TATGGATGGGCCGGAAATGCATGTCATTTCCCGTGTTGATGCGGGAAGCGGGAAGGTAGTTTGGGTAACGGGCTTATTTCACGGCCCCAAGGAAACGAGAAACGAGGATTCGTTGAAAAAGCCAAGATTCAACAGGGGATTCTCTTGTGAATGAAGTTGTACAAAGGTGCAGGAGAGGAGGAGGTGGTGCAGGGGCGGGTGTGTGTGTGTGAGAGAGAGAGAGAGAGGAAGGGAGGGGCAACTGTGATAACGGTGATGGTGGTGATGGTCCAATATAGTTTAGCAATGTAGTACAAAACGAGGCTCTCCCTACTTGTATGTTCTCTCTCTCTCTCTTTCTCTCGTATCTCGCTAGGGTCGAATTGCGTGATATTGATAATGTTGGAAACATTTTCCGGATAAATCAATCGTCCAGTAATGAATGAATGAATAGCTAGCTCGCTGACACTCTGTAACTCTGGACCTCCTGTTCAATGTATGATTTGTGTGTGTATACAAGTGGATATGGATGTGCTCATTTGCAAACCATCATTTCTCAACTTTCAAAGTTGAACGGGTGACGAGGTGGTGGGACAACCAGGTCGGCAAGTACTCGTTACTCGTCAGGGCAAGAATCCGAAGAGATACATGAGGAGTACAGTAGGCATCAAGGATCAGGGTGTCAGGTAGGTCCAAGGGACAAGTAAGCAAAAGGAAAACAAGTCATTTTCCTCGACATCTGAGTTCAACAACAACAAATTGACGTTGGGATAAGAATGTTGAAGTGGCGTCATTCTACAACATTTTTGTTGTCACCAGAAAACTGTTGAGTGTGCAGACGCGGGAAAAGAGAGATCATCAAGGTATTTTTCGATGGCGACGAACAACCTGCATGTATTCAAAACGAACAAAAACATGTAGAGCAATTTGCCCCGAGCCGCCTGTGAGGAAGTTGAGTAGTAGAAATGTCCAAAACATGTCCCATGGCACCGTCGATGGCAAACCTACAGTGGTGTGTTTCCGTGTGCTCTTCTGATCGAACTCAAGTTCTTCGTCAAGTGACGATCACAAGATGAAGACGCGAAAATGATTTGCGCTGCTTTCGGCGAAACTCGTTGATCAACATGGCAGCTTTCTGCCCACATGTGAGACAGACAGAGAGACAGACAGACGCCTTTGGGTACGAGCTCGACGCAGGGTTTGCCGATCTCTCTCCAGGTCCCGTCGATGACTTCAGACAACCAAGAAGACCCTTACATACGGAGTCCTGTCTGCTTGAAACCTGGGGGGTGGCAACAGGCGGGGTTTTGGGCTTGAACTTGCAAAAGGGCCCAGATTCTAAGCAAGACAAAACACCCCGTGGTACTGGGAGAGGAGAGTGATGGTGCAATCTAGATTATGTACGGTCGTTTTCGAGAGGCTCGGCAATAACATGCCCAGCAGCGATAGGACTCTGTAGATCCTGTAGATACAAAGTCATGTCAACAGGGTATGCTATCACTCGACGTAAGGTCCTTCCATCACTCAACGGAAACACACTGGCCAAATTAACAGCGAACCGCAAATCCGTTGAACTGGGGGGCGGGGGGGTTGAGAGGTTGTCGTGGAGCGAGTGATACGAGTAACAGCGCACCACGAGTATCAGCTCGAAAGTCTGGAGAATTGAACGATGCCGTATTTCCGTGGAGGCGAAGGCATCCTCACATCGTTAGTAATGTCGTCGACGTGGGATGATAAGAACACACTTTGTGAGTGTCGAGGTCTGGTTGTGGCGACGATACACAAGAGAAGGGATTTTCACATGCCAAACTTGGCTTGCATGGACAGCACAAAAACTGTCAAAGCATTGGGTTCTTCTCTAGTAAGGAAAAAAAAAAGACTCGAAGCGATCAACAAGAAAAAGGCTTTGTGGGTCAGAGGGGCCTGCACCCCGCCGTTACGAGTACGAATGTTGTACAGCAAGTACTGGAAGCGACGGGGGTGGTAATGACAATCATAATAAAATCCCAACAAAATCTCAGGCGAGGGCTCCCTTCGTGTAACGAACAAGTTAGTCGTGTGTGGACTGCTGTCCACTGCTGTCTTGTCAATTCCGACGTGAAGCATGTGCAAAAATACGACTTTACTCTAAAAAAAACCCCCCATTGACAAACAGTGAAAAACGTGCGACGGTGCGGGCGATCGTTGAAGGGGGCCCTAGACTCTAGCCTGTAATGTAGCGCCATGGTTTCCATAAGTTTTTTTTACTGTGGCTGGGTCAACAAAGCAGTAGAGCCCCCAGCAAATTTGAGCGATGGCGACACCAAGTAATAAGTGGCTTGCATAAGTGTCAAGCATGCTTCTGTGATAAACGGCATGGGTCAGGGAACCACTGGTTCTGTAAGCGGACTGCAAAACACCAAACCGGTGGAGATATCAAAAAAGCGCCCCCGGGCCTTTTTTTTTCATGTTTGAACCCATGCTCCTGGCTGTCAACAACACATCGACGGCCCTTGAGAAAAGTGTATGAATTATGGAGTCTCTTGTATGATACTAACGAGGACCTTTGCGGAGTGCATGCATTACTTACACCGCCTTGTCTCTCTGGTCGAATATGGTCACAACATCCCGCGCGCATCATCCTAAGAGGAAAGGGGGGAGTTCTGGACCCTGTGGAGATTTCTCTGGTTCTGGGTCAATGCGACACACACCTCGCGCGCTCTCGTATGGAGTGCATACGTGCACACACACACACACATCCACGACAACGCAGAACTGGAGAGGAGTCGGGGTGCGTCTGGAGAGAGAGAGAGAGAGATACGATGATGGAGACGTCGCGTGCATGTGTGTTTGTGAACGGTTACCCGGGACTTGTTGGGGATTTCGCCATCTTGAATTTCCTTTTTGATATTGGGGATACTTCCCGTACGTACAGAGGTAGGGGCCCGTAGTCCGTAACTGGATACTTCTCATCGCATCGGTTGGCGCCGCTGTAGGTTACTTACTGTACAAGTAGTATAAGACAACCCAATTTGCCACCTCAACACATTGTTGTTGGCTGTTACTGTAACCATACCCTAAGCGATATGGAGAGACAAGGTCAGCTAGAAGATCAATTTGTTACACGGCGCGGTACAATGAGACAATGAGATGTTAACAGCAAGCGTGACATCCATTCGGGGAAACCCTCTTCAACAAGACCTACCTACATTGTCTACGGAGTGTATAAAATCATGTGATTTTAGTAAGGCGCACATGCTTCTTGTTTTTCTGGCCTTGACCTCACACTTGTACACCCATTCATTACCTGATAAGGTCTTTCTTTTTCGATTACATTATTATCATTCATCCATCGATAATCTTTCAGTAACTCGAAGAGTGTTAAACTACTCCCCGGGTACCGGATCGTCACTCTCGGCTACCCGAATTCGTAGGATCATGACCCGAAGTGTGTGGCCAGGTATCTTCCACGATTATGGAGAACAAAACTTGTGAAGGGAAACCAGAACGGCAGCTAAATGATGGAGGTGTGGGAAGGGGGATGAATCCACGTTTTGCCGGGGCGAACTGCAGGGTTTTTTGCTTGCCCAAAAAAAAAGCTTCATCTCCCTCTGGCAGTGCAGGGTTCTCCTCCCCCCCTCGTAGCACACACAACTCGCACACACACACGCCTACCTCTCCCTGCACGACACCCGCCGCCGGTCTCCCGTCGCAGGGAACTTGTCTAGGGAAACCCTTTTTCTTCACCCCTTCTCTCTTGGCCAGGCACACTTGGACCTTTCGAACGACAGACCCTGAAGATCATTGATGATGATGATAAAACTCCACGGGGAGGGGGCGGGCTTTTGTTGTGATGACACAGGACCGTCATGATGATTTTCATGAGACAGTCGTAGTAGTGGTATGTCGCAGAGAAATTTCCGGCGACAAGAAGGACTCAGCAGGTCGTTTTCCATCGCTGCGATTCCCGGCGCGTAACATTCCTGTGGTCCTACAAAATGTGCCTCGTTTAGTAATGCAGTAGGAAAAAGCCATCCTGATAACTTGCATGCGCCCTCCTCTTCTCGTTGCGGAGCCCATGCTATTGTTCAAGTTGCAGTGGACTGCAGCATTCTGGGTTTTGTTTGTACGGATACGAGAAGACGGATATGTCCTTCTCTCTACGGCGGGCATGAAGAAGTGAGAAGCACTTCTCGATGCCTAACCAAACCCTCTCCTTCTCACGGTATCTGAGATAAGGAAACGTCTCCATTGTCCCATCTAGGTCGAGGGGGCATCCCACACCCCCTCGTAAGAAACCCCGATCACACTGTGCACAGATAAGTAGTTGCACAAGGCAGCGTTGTCGATCATCGGATGCACAACCCCTGCTGAGAGAAGAAACCTGTACAGCACGACCACGTACTCAACGGGCCAGCTACATGTCATGCGGCGCCCTCCAATGGCTTATATCGCTTGCGACGAATGTCTGTATATCCGTAGATTGCAAATGCACATGACAGAGGCTCATGCAGGTTAGAGCCGGCCCTCATTGGGAAACCGGATGTTGTTCGCTCACTCTGGGCAATTTTGAAGTTGAGACTATAACAACATCTGTTGGCAGGGGGGGTGGTGTGCCGACAGCCGGAGGCAGTAGGATGAGAAGAAGGATCACGAAGCAATATTTGACGCATATCGACTTGTGCAGAGCGACTTATTTCTCAAGTGGCGCCATCTTCGGAGTGGTGTGGCATTATCAGATAAGTCGCCACAGAGCACTAAGAGATAACGATACTGAAGCAACAGTTGGCATTAGATATCAGTGGATTTGTGGTCAGTAATATTGTGTTCTCATACAATATATCAGCAAGCCGGGATTAATCGGGTTTGACTGCCATTCAGGGAGAAATCAGACCACGCAAACAAGTGGTAGCGCCAGAGTGCCATAGACTTTTTGATGGGTTTTCCATCAAAGTGCCATGAGCATAATAATGATTTCTGTCAGGCAGGATCGTTAACCAATGTGGCAATTCCATACCAAATTCTCTATGGTTGGATCTGATGCGCAATATTGACCGGTGCGTTCGTTTTTTGGACCTAAACGCCCCATCGTGGACTCATGGTGGACCAAACTTGCATTTTCCCGAGAGATAAAGTAAGTCAGCGCCACGAGTGGATATGATTGGCTGCGCTATCATACCGCCTTTCAGCTTTCTCCTGTCATGGGTAGAGAACGCAGCATGTGCTACACCTTGTCGCCAACCTCCGATATGGAGACTGACCAAAAGATGTGTCAACCATGTCCTATCTCGTACTCCTGTGCGTATGAAAAGTCTTGACAGTATCGACGATGGCGAGAGGCGCAGAGTGGTGGGACAGCACGTCCTGGGAGCCACCAAGGAAATCACTTGGAACTCTGGTATCTGAAGGGCAATGAATCCATGACCCGAGACCGAGAGACTGCTATCAGCTTGTGTCGCGCCAATGTCGCAAAAAATTTGGGACGAGTTGGCCGGTGCGCATGAGATGCAATATCTGCAGGAATCAAGGTTGGCATGAGAAGAAAAAATGGATTATCAAAGCAGAAGCCCACGACAGCGCGGGATGGTGGAGTTGCAATGGCACAAGTTCATTGGGTACATGTCGTCCTTCACCGCCAGGTCGCTTGTCGCGTCAGAAGCCATGGGGCCGTCAAATCCAGGAGGCCTACGAGGTAAACGACGCTGGGAACGCGCAGGACGCGCAGGAGGCGTCTGGGGGAGTTCAGTCTGCCACTCGTACCCACCGTCGCATGAGACGACAGATTGACTCGCCAACAGTCACTTCTCGCGGGGTGCGCGACTCGCTTGCGAGGCGTTGCAGATACAATTCTGTCAATGAATTGTGCATATGTACAGAAGCCTGTCAATTGCCAGCTGCCAACTTCTGCCCGTTGTTCAGCTGGTGACTTGAGCATGTAACCGAAAAGTTGGAACTTCGGAGGCGCCTCATACTTGGACAAGTCAAGCTGCATGTCCGCTCTAGTCTTGTGACAAGCCTCGAGGACATTTCCTTACGGAACATCGCAAGCCAGCAATAATAATAATTAAATGCATGTTCAAGGAGGCATGCCTGCTTAGGGATAAAGCCCACTCAACTGCCGTCGCGCTTCCGTTGCAGTGGAGGATGCTATCCAAAAGGTCCATCATGGCTGCCATTAAAGATCCAAAAGTGGGCTGGTAAACGACACTTGGTGTTGAAAATAATGATGACATGAACAGCGGTTTAGGCATTGGCGCCTCCATTTTCCGGGCACCTATCGCCTGTGCACGCGCGAAACACGAGCCTAATTCAATAGCCCAACAGCCTGTGAATAATGTCGCGAGAACTGTACGCCTGGTGCGCCACAACTCTGAAAATTTTGTACGACTACTCGTACGAGTACTTTGCAGTCTTCCAAACCTTGTCACGGAGTAATTAGATGTTTGGTATTTCAAGAGATCAGCGTTCTCCCGCGCGAAGGATTTTCAGGCACAGCGTCTGCGTCCAAGAATGGATTTTCCGTGGTAGCGGTCTTGATGGCGAACCGGAACTTGGATGCCTTGGCTCACCTCTGGATCGCTAACGCGTACTGTACTGCAGGCGAGGAAAAATGGTGCAACAACTACGGTACTCCGTACAGTGGAAGGCCTTTTGCGTCCCAAGGGCACATTATTGGTAGTGATTGGCACATCAGAGGCCGGTTGCGCTTTCCGGGCAAGCAACGACAGGCGTCCATAGGCGCGGATTCGTGTCTTGTTGGGAGATTAGACCAAGATGAGACCTAGCCAGACGCGGGCAGAGGAACGATTGGGCCTGATAGCGCTGACAATACTCGGTACACTGCAAATAATGTTAAGCTTGTGTCGCAAGGTGAATCAATGGGAGGGACTGTGGGGGGACAGTTTACTAGAGACGTCCGTGCTTGCGAATCGAGAATTCAGGAGACGACCTCCGTGCGGTGAGCCCTCGTGTTCAGCTGTTCCCAAAATGCGGAAAAAGATGTGACCAGCGTCAATTTATAATTATCTCATGTGTGCCTCGAGACTAAGGTACGGTATGCGGCAATGTGAGGCCGACTGTGTTCCTCCTGAATACGCCGCAAATATTGTCATTTAAGGCGCATCTCACAGAATTCGAGAGACCGGAAGTTCCAGTACTGGTGGTATCAGGTCGCGGACTCCGTGCTCGTAACTGAGGTGGTTGTGGGGGGGGAAGAGATGACAGGAGGTGGAAGCCATCGATTGGACTCCTCAGCCACATGCTTCGTGTGAGGCATGCAATTTTTTGTTTTTTTGGCTTCTGACAGACAGGTGCAATTATTATTTTCCGCTTGCGGCGAGGAGGGGCATTCTGGCGGGAAACGGTCACCAAGCGCCCGGCAACCATCGTCCAAAAGCGGGAATTTGGCGCTCAGGCCACGATAGGGACTTGACTTCTAGGGGGCTAGGGAGACTCTTTAGGTGACTTTAGGTACCTTTAGGGGCTTAAGACATGAGGTAATCACCACATGATTGTGACGGAAGAGGTATTGGAGACCAAAGCGGTACTTACGTAGTGACAGCCCTCTACTTACCTGAGGTAGATCTTTACAGGTCCTTATTCCATCCGCCCCCTCTTGGCTAACGGATGCGCCGGTTCTACTTATAATCAAGGTACTCCATAAGATCGATGATGATGTTGAAAATGAGGACCTACGAAATCAACATATATTTTTTTTGCAAAGTTTTATACTCATTATACAAGTAGAGATATACAGGAAGCATGTCCGTTTCAAGAATAACACCTCCTGGTTGCGATTCTAGTATGGGCAATTTTCCCCCACTCTGCCCTCTGCACTCCATGTCCCTCTGTTTTCACTCAAGTCAAATTTCTCCGACACTGCCCGCCACCCCCATGTCAAGTTCGTTCTGAGATATTTTGTTCGTTTGCAACAGAAGAACACGGCGGGGTTTGGCGGAGGCGTGTGTGAAGTGAGATTCATCCCTGTCGGCGGAGTACTGTACGGAGGACGCACATACAGTAGAATAATACTTGTACAAGGTAACGGCATGAGCTGAGTCTCCCGGCGCCCTTCTTCACCTTCGTCACATTGATCTGTTGACTCCCACGCCCATTGTGACTCCTACTCAACGGTATCGCATCAGTTGGGGTGTTGGTGACCACGCCGCATTATTGTTTAGCATCAGTCAGTGTTCACAGACTCGTCGCCACACCCGTTGAACTCGCATCAACCGCTACTCATCAACTCATGAAAAGTAGCTGCAACTCCCTGGTCGTCCCGTCATTAGCCTCCTCAACTATCTCCTTAGCCGCATGGATGGTGTCGCCCGACTCAGAGTTTGTTCTTGACGCTTGATCCTTGCGCCACCCAGACTGCCCACTTCTTAGCTGCATCGTACCCTGGTCGTATCTTTTCTTCGCCTCTGCGCTCGAGCCGCGCCCTCCAAGACAGTAGCCCACTCTCTCCCTCATCGCCCGCCCGATCCCTCAGTCCCAGTGTTCAGCGTCCACCGCAGATCCCACCTACCTGCCTACTTTGGGCCGCTCGAGACTCAACACCTTCTGTAGGCTCGCCAGCTTTTCCTTGGCCTACAATCCACCAAAATTGTCTCCCTCCTCTATCAATCACCTCCTTTCACCTCACCTCCTCTACCTCCCGCACCCTTTCCTATTCTCTAGGCATCTGCCGGCCTAGTTGTCACGACATCCCAAAGGAAGAGTGGGATTTGGAACAATCAAGAGGGAATTGGCAGTCCTCAGTGGTCGGTCCCCGATTAGCGAGCATTCCCGGATCTGCGTGGGATCATTTCTCAGCAACAAAGGAAATCTCGGAAACAAAAAGAGCATAATAATTGACACCAGGGAGCGTAACCTGTTGTCTCACCCATCTACGAATACACTCACGGTTGCCGGTCCTTGGGTGCCAGCACCGCCGAAGTTGGACTGATCGCTGTACGGTTGATCTTTGATCCCGTGGCGTGACTTCGACTCGACTTCTGCACCCTGCACACGTACACGCAACAGCCACAAACACCACGACAGGCTGCATCCGGCAGTAGACTTTTTGACCCTCTGCACTTGGCAGCTTCATTGCTGCTTCCTCCCACCCTGTAAGTACCTTCCTGTTCATATCCGAAGCCCTGGCTTCTATCCAATTTCGCACGAGCTTCAAACGAGCTGGCACATTGGTACAATCAAGTCGAGGCGTGGCTGCGCTTTGGCAACATTTGACGATCGTTGCTACACCTTTATGTCTTCCATCCGCCGTTTCTCCGCCTACAACGCTCCTACCACGAAACTATCTTTATTGTTCATCATGCTTTGACCGCCTACTGACAACTCACTGTCTATAACAGACGTCCGTCCCCCGCAATCGGTATTCAGCCTCCTCGGGCTGCTCTTGATGAGCCTCGTAGCCTGCTCAATTTTGCAGCTCCCGGTTAGGGGTTGATACACCTCGCAGTCGACCGAATGCCTTACACACCTCCTTCCCACCAGTCCCCGGCTTCCTCAAAACAGTCCAGTCCTACCCCGAGCAGGTCTCATTCATACATTAAAGGACAATTTCTCTCTCCGGAGCTGCCGGCTGCCTCCGGACGACCAAACCTTCCTCGATCCAACGGGTCATCATCATATCTCACAAAGCATCGAAGGAGTCCCTCACTGAACGAAGCAAACAACGATGTTCTGTACAATGGCGAAGCATATCAAGAGAATGGAATCATAGATCCCTATGGAAGCATCCGCCAATCGCCTCCTCCCGCAAGTAATTCACTGATACCAGCCGGGATGACTATCTCACCTCCCGATTCCTCTCATAACTCGAGTGATGATGAAGAGCTCGAATCACGAGGACGTTCGAGGGATTTGGAACTGGACAACCTGGAAGCATTGCAAGCGGCTATCAGGTCAATAGAACAAAGAAAAACGGGCTCACCTACACGGCGTCAGAAGAATGACAAGCCAGAGCCTGCTGCTTCTCAGTCTGACGGACAAAGTTTGTCACAGAACTCAGCTGTTCAACGCCCACCTTTATCACAAGAGGCGAGGAAGATTTCTCATTCTCGATCATCGACAGATTCAAACATTGTCTTCGAGCCTGTCAAACCATCCACTCCACCAACCATCTCTCAACCAGACTCCGATGAAAGTGACAGTGACGGTCCCTCAAACGATCGTCCACCGATGGTGCGAAAAAAGTCTGGCGAACTGGTTCGTCCAGCTTTACGACCATCATCAAGACGGCGGCCTTCAAGCATGCCAGGGACGCCAACATACTCCAAGGCTGTCCACTTTGACTCCCACCTCGAACACGTTCGACATTTCCTTCAAGTCGATCGACCACTCGCTGTCAGTGCCGGGTCTTCGCCAGTCGAGACCTATGAGAGCGAGACAGAATTTCCTTTTGGCTCGGATGAGGCTAGTGCCCGACCTCGTGCCAATGCATATGAGTGGGATCTTCGGTTGCGAAACTTCGATGAGAACAGCCCCGCGAGGAAATCGCAAGTCGTCTTCGTCGAGCGGATATTCTTATCATCTGATAACAAGAATCTGATTGGCACCGTCGCTGTTCAGAATCTAGCTTTCCACAAGCAGGTTGTCGCTCGATTCACCTTCGACTATTGGAAAACCACTTCTGAGGTTGTGGCTGATTTCAACCAGGACGTTCGTCGGAAGCCCAACAATGACGGCCTCGACCGCTTCAACTTCAGCATAAGGTTGATAGATCAGGCCAACCTTGAGAATCGGACACTGTTCTTCTGTGTTCGTTACACTGTTAATGGTCAAGAATTCTGGGACAACAACTTGTCGCTCAACTATCAGGTCGACTTTGCAAAGAAGTCCAAGGTCCAGCACAGCTTGCCCGGGCTAGGAGCCAGACCTATAACTGCACTGCCACGGACACGACAATCTCCACCTACCTCGTCTGGACGACCAAAAGGCTTACCGTCTTCATTTGATGACTTCACGACTGGTTTCGATAACTTTGGTTACCAATCAGCAGGTGCACTCATGGGTGAACCCAAGCTCAAGCTGAGGAGTCCGCGATCGAAAGGCGACCTGATTTCCGATGCCCCATCTCGCCGCAAGGCAAGTAATGGACAGGCATTTGGGAACAGGTACGACTTCAACTCGTCGCTGAGCGCTGCCAAAAACTCCGCCTTTGCTGCCTTGGGTGACTTTTCCGGCTTGACGACTTCGAGGGTAGATACAAAGCGGTCTTCTTCCCACGAAGTTCCTGCGAGCACTCCTACGAAGAGCGTTGCCATCGCTCCACCCAAGCATGACACTGGCGTCAGTGGTTCAGTCGACGGAGCTTCTCCCAATGCTCCGGCGGTTGCTCCTATGACATCCAAGCCGGCTGCTCTGGTGTCAGAGAAACCTTCCCTTACCTCTGAATCCTATCAGGATCTTGCGATGAAGGAACTCGTGGAGAAGAAATTCTGTTTTGTAGGTACTCCGAATGTCAACCCAGGGGATGGCGCCAGCGTCAAAACACATTGAGGCTAATTCGTGTTGTAGTTTGGAACAGCCGGAACAAATAAACAGGGTGAAGCCCTCAAAGCTGCTACCATGAATGTGGTTGATGGAGCTGCCGACTATTTGTCTGTGTCGGATTTGAGTGCTGATGGAAGTTCTCGATCCGCGGATTCGTCTGGTTCCTCTACTCCTGCACCACCTCGAAGTTCATCACCTGCTCTGTCAGTCAAAGCGACCGGCTCTTATTTTGTTCGGTCGCCTTCGCAAGCACCATTTTATGGCTCTCGATCTCAATCGCCAGTTTCTTTCGGATATCCATTTCACTCTTCTTCTCAACATACCTTGATGAGTGAAACGCCGACACCAACGGCAATTCGAGGCTGATAGTGGCTTTCGTTAGCTTCAGAGCTTTCCACCATCTTGCTTGCATACCGTTCTGTGGAGCAATGTCGCCCCATATGTAAACAGTTCTCGACGAGCTCTCCACCACTCCAGGAGACGGTTCTTTGCGGGCACTCGAATTCGCATGGAGCGGGCATGCAGCTCGAATTCAAGCGTGCACAAATTTGTGATTTTGTCTGATGTTCTTTTAGCGCCCAGACAATCGTTTTTTACCTTATCTTCCAGCATTGTCAGGATTCGACGGCAATCTCTTTCTCTCCCAGCGGCGTCCTGGCATGATATTATTTCTACATTGTTAATAGATGCAGTTCTTGATTTTCAGTCACAGATCGGCCAAAAACGTCGACGGCAGGAATCTGAAAGAATCAGATTCCGAGGACAGGGTTTAGAACGGTACCAGCGATCAATCATAATGATGATGATGTTGTTGGGCCGTACATAAAAAGTTTTTGGAGGGTAGCGGACTTCTTCTTTTAATTGCTTTTTCGGACAGGAACGATTTGATGATGTGTCCCCAAGTTCCGACGTCAGCGATCAAGTTTTTTCAGCCTTTTCAGAATTTTTGGAGTTATTCTGGTGACGGTCTTCTCTCTCCTCCGAATTCGTTGCTCTGGTTGCATGGTGGCTTGTGCAGAAGGCCGCACTGGCATTATGGCCTGGCAACTTCGCATGATGCAAATTGCGGACATGAGGAAATTGATTGGACGAATTGATACATGACCGAGTTGATGGGATGATGGTGGTATGTCTCTTCTTGACCGATGAGCAGTGGGTGGAAATCTTTGCGGCCTTGCTTGTGAAGGAGGGTTGTTGAGGTTAGCCTTTGGGATGTGGTTGTGCGTAGTACCCCTTGGTCTCGACAACTACTCTTTCTCTCTTTATTCTTGATGAGCCATAGAATTGCCATTCAACATTTTGATCTCAAGTTCCTTTTCTTGTTCTCATTCAGGTTCCGGTTCGATGTCGCCCAGTAGCCATCTGGTCCAAGTCAAGCGCGACGAAGTAACATGTAACATGTCTAGAGAGGTTGATGTTGCGACGAACCAAATGAGGGAGTTGGTCTTTTGATATATTTGGAGCCCTAGGACGGTAGAGCATTTCTCGTTGTGATTTTGTGGTTTTGTATTGACGATAGGTATTGGGGCCACCTCCCTTCCCCCCTCCCAATTGTAATTCTTCGGTATCAAATGTGAGTTGAATGGTGACCGACAAAAGACAAACAAGTCAAGAGACATTGTCAAAGACAGGGGAGGATGGAGAGCACCGAGAGACCAATAAGGACAGTAGTAACGACCAAATTATCAGTCTCTCAGTTGTGTGCCTTTTGCAAAAGGTCCCTTGTCCCTGTTGCGAATGACTTTTGCAGGGGGGAAACTCTAGTGATGAGTATAGCCTTGTGCGTGATGCAGAGGCGGGGTGCGTGTACCTGTCGCCTTTGTTTTGTTGACGTGTTGCCTCATGCGGCAATGAGAAAAAAGTGTAAAGGATATACAATTTGACCACCTCTGGCATACACGGGTGGTCCGAGCCTTGCTGGACATTCCGGTCGGTACCGTCAAGAGTACAATGGCGAGCGAGTGAACATGGTGCTCGTATGCAAATGGTACGGTGTCACTTTGTACTATCGACGACCTTTTTTTCTTGAGTGATCACGTCGAAACGGAACTCTCGTCGACTTCAAGTCTTGTTGGATAGACGACCTTTTTGAAGATCCGTCGAAACAAGACGGCGGCGACCTGATGTCTTGTTTCCGGAGGTACTCCGTCGGTGTGTGGACAAGGTTATTTGGTCAATGCCCGTCGATTCAAACAGCGACGCCACACATGTAGTTTGTTGAAGTGCATGAGGTAATCCGTCAACGGCGACCCATCATGATGTGACTTGGTAGGTATGTCCGCCTATGCCAGCGTGGTCGAAGAGATTGTTGTTACTCTGTACGAGTACAGAGTAAAATGATATCCACGACGACGGTGGATCCGATAATCGATATCGATAAGATCGAGCTCGCTAGAGAAGAGGCACTGGTATTGGGGGCCACTCTCACGATGATCCGGGCCAAGGTCAGCCGATCAGGAGTGGGTGTTGGGTACGCATTTTATAAGCCGTCAACGACACCGAGATCAAAAAGATGTTGTTGAAGACTTGTGTTTTATTTGAACCCTCAACGAATACACGTCTCTGCGAGGAAAACATTGATTTTTGGTGGGCGGCATGGTGCAGTCAAGGCTCCTTCAGGGCCTTGGGGGGCTGTCCGTAACAAGAATAGGCCCGTCCGGTCCGGTGCGGCGCGGCGCGCGGGTAGGTGTGCGGTTCAGCCTCGTTCGGTGATGCGCATGACCGGTGACAAGAGAACAAAATCATCTAGTGCCAGGTTCATGTCGATGCGCGACGACGAGATAGAAATGAAGAGTGATGAGAGAGAAGACTGCGCGGCGAGCCACCCCTTTTTTGGAAGGAAGCAGTGAGAAAGCGTAAGGTAGGAGGGTCATGTGCGCCACGGTGCCGCTCAAGTTCCGTCGGGACATGGTTGCGCAACATCATGGTGGCTGCTTGGGTCGATGCGCATGACCATTTTCGTCCCGACTTCGAAAGAGTGGTGAACTGCGCATTACCGGCAGTGAGAAAAAAATAAGAAGAGAAAAAGAAGAGAAAGAAAAGGTCCTGGCAAAAGGGGTGGGTTGGTGTGGCTTTCAAAGCAGGCTGAAAAGGGCCGTGACGATATATACTCGCGGAGTATTCGTAGGCACCCAGCAGGAAAATTGGCACATGGTCCGAACTCCTTGGGCAAGGGCCGGGACAGGGAGGGAATTCTTGTTGAGGCTTGTGCGAATAGCAAGGACAAGAAATGTTCGGAAATGTCCAAGTCCCAGGTTTGGCCCTCCCAGACAGACGCCTGGCACACACCGAAAGAGGATCGATCCGTCCGTCAGCCCAGGGTTTCACCGGTCGTAGGAGACAAAAAGAGGGTGTCGGATCATTTTTTGTGGGAGATGGGCCTTTCCAAGTGGTCGGGGAACCAGGATACTGTGCAGTTAGGCTCGAGGTGATTGACAGGGGATCAGCCGTGAGATGCCCAACGTGGCGGTGGGAGCATTTGATTGAGCCTAGTGAGCTAGGAGACCCTCGTTCCTGGATCGAGGAAGGGGGGCCGCCAGTTGTATGATGCCATTTGGCTACTCCGTACCCAAGTAGAACCCTTGCTCAGGAGACCACCATTTCTGGTTGCTACTGTACTGGCGACGGACCAGAGTGTGCCAGGTGTCCGTTTGTTCGTGATAGGATGTACTGTACAGGGCGCGTGATGTTGGCTAGTCTTGGGTAGGGAGGTTCGGATTCTACGAGTATTGGCTTTCTTCTTTGCCAAGGTCTAGACCGTTCGTAGGGAGGCCATTACTTTTCAGAGGTGGAAAATACCTAGGGATGGTGTGGTGGACGTATCGAGTATCGGGTGGTATGTATGTGAGAGAAAGAGGAATGCTGCATTTGTGGTGGGAATTGCAGGTGAAAAGAAGAGGGAAAAATGAAGAGGCGGTCGGCCAACGATGAGGGTGCCAGCGCATTGTTATTGTAAAGTACTCCGTACGGATCACTCACTACTACCTTACTCCATCTGTGAGCACACCGATGGAATAAGATAGAAATAGAACCTGGCAAAGAGGAGGGAGAAAAAAAAGACTGGTCACATCGGAGACAGTGCCCGCTGGTGGGTAGGTGTGTTTTTGCTCTCAAAGGCGAGAAGGAGAGAAGTCCAGCAGGGGACTGAAGTAGGGGTGCGAATATACAGTACCTATAGGGAGTAAAAGGTGTCCATACACCTTGTGTGCATTTAAATTGCCTGGTTCCGTCTCGGTTTGTTTCTACACAGCGCGTGACCAAGTATGCTCTATAGTCTAGCTTGAAATTGGTCCGTCGACGAGTACGTACAGTAGAATCGATCTGGAACGTTCCCGCTGCGTGGTTGTTTGTGCCTGACGATCCACTTCGCCTGCAAATTTGCCCTGCAGATATCCATACAGAAGACTCCATGTTGGTCTTTTTTCTTCATGTCGAATCCCGACTGGACAGTGAGTACAGCTGTCTACCAGATCCTACTCCATAAGTGGCCTAGGATTGTATTTTACTGATCTCTGGCTGGTTCACACGCACCTTCTGAGCCTCCCCCCCCCAATGTACCTCCCCACCAAAATCTCGGTGAGGGTGACTTCGGATCCCTATTTCGGCATCGTCTCTTCATCCTCCGCCTTTTTTGACTGCTCCGCTTTGTGTTCGCGTGATCGTTTCTTCTTGTTCTCGTCCACTCGGGTCAATCCAGGGTAATAAGGGTCCCAAGCTAACAGGACTCATTCTGCCTACCGTACTTGGAGCTTCACGAGAAAAGTCCGTAGAAGTGACCAAATGCTCCGAGTAAGACACCGCACTCGGGCGACAGGTATTACGCACAAGACTACCCACCAGGGAAATATCGCTGAAGTACCCCCCCCGAATCTGTCGCGTCATTTCTTAGTATCAATACCTAAGTATAGGTTAAACGGCAACCGGCAAGACCCAAATAAGTCAAGAGACATTCTTATGAATATCGAGAATGACGAGCACCGAGACACTAACAAGGACAGTAATAGTGACTAAATTATTAGTTGCTCAATCGTGTGCCTTTCGCAAAGTATAGCCTTGTGCGTAATGCAAAGGTGGGTGTGCGCAATGCGATGCATCTCGACAACGACAGCGCACAAAGACGAGTCAGGGGATCCTCGTGCTCCCTGCGACAGGAGCAACATCTTCTTCGGCCCATGAATGTTGAGGTACATACAAGACCACGCTGGCGAAGGAAGTCCCCAACGAGTTCGGCTTACAGCTTCCGGAAATCGGGTCAGATGGATCGGGGTGGGCTTCATCTCATCACCGGCATTACCCGTGACGCGTCAATGCAGTTTTGCCCGAAGACTCACTCTTTGAACGTTGGTGAGGCTTGAAATGTACCTCTACTTAGGCATACTCATTCAGAGACCACCTTCCACTCCCGCAGTACCACCTACGCGGAATTCCATGAGGAAGATTCTTCTAGACCACCCTTTCATCCTTTGGCATAAAAGTCATTCTTTTCCTTGAGGATATCCAACAGTCCTTGTGCCCAACCTTTGGGATGCGTTGCGAAACCGATATGCATCGCAGGGAGGAGCTTGACGTCCAATCCCAACTTCTCGCCCAGGGCTACGTTAGCCCGGAACTGCAGGGCTTCCTTGTTCGAATCGGCGCCGTTGGCCAGGAGAAGACGGTCCTTTTGCTTCTTCAGCACCTCGACGTCGAACTGGCGATACGGGTAGTCCAACAGCTCGCGCTCAAACCAGTAAATCGTGTTGAGCTTCACGTAAGGATCTGTCGAGGCAAAGCCGCGCACGAGACCCTGTCTCTCCTTGCCGGCCTTGATCATGTCGGCGAACATGTCCAGCGCCGGGGCGATGCCTGATTTCCGGTAGGTCTTGTAGATGTCGTTCTGCATCGCCCAAAGCTCGTCGCAGTCCGGGACAAGTCGCATGGCGGGCGGCTCGTGCGCCACCACCACGCGGATGCACTCCGGATGTCGGCACAGGAGCTCCAGTGACACGATGGCGCCGGAACTGTTGCCGACGACCGTGGCTCGTGTGTTGTCGTCGTCAGGGGAGAGATGCTTGATTAAGAGACTGGCGTCGTCGGCGTCGGTCTCGATGCGGTGCTCGTAGTCTTGGGCACCGACGAGCTGACTCCGCGAGAACCCGCGCCGGTCGTAGATGGCCACGGTGAAGTGTGACTTGAGCTGTTCGGCGAGTATGCGCCATAGATCGCCCGAACCGTTGGCGCCGGATATCAATAGCAGTAATGGGCCGGAACCGATGGTTTCGTAGTAGAGCTGTGCTCCGGGCACGTCGAGATGAGGCATTGTCACTAACAGATCATGTGCGGTAGACGATGTGAATGGGGTTTGGAGGGAACGGAAGCTGGCAAGGCTGAGGCCTAAGCTGGGTCTTTTATTATACAGTGTATGGGACGAGAGGACAGGTCCCATAATACGGAGTACGACTACGCGATACGGAGGTACAACACGGTGATAAGGCCATCACAGCCACCCAGATTAGAAAGCCTGTGACAGGAAGTAGGTGTCCCACGGTGGGACGGGTATTCCGTATCTGCAACATAACCGCGATTCCTGCATGCCATGACGACAAGCTCAGTGCACTCAAGGTGGTAATCATCAGGACAACGAACTATTGCCTGGACCCTCGTAAGAATTTGACGATGAAGTTCTGGTGGAGAGGATACGAGAAGCCAACCGCTGACTAAGCCTTATTTCAACCACGAGTCTCAGCCTCGTCAGCCTCATCAATATCTTGGCATCAGAATGACATCAAATGACGGCATTTTTCACAACTGTGTGAATAATTTCTCGTGGCGAAAAGACAAAGTACAAGGCAATATCGAAGACTTTCAACTTCAAAGCTACCGCATTTTCGTTTACAAAACCATGGCGGGATCCAACCCTCCATCTGACGGCGTTCTCATAGACGACCAGAAGCGAGGAGTAGCGGACGCACAAGTGCCAACCCACACATACGTACCGAACCAAGGATATGTAGTGGACAGTAATAATGGCACGGGGCATCAGCGGAGACTAGCACTGGGTCGATTCATTCAAGAAGATGACGAGGATGAGGAGGAAGAAGAATACTACGACGATGCCGACCTAGACGACGACGACAGACTCGCTGACCCGGATGATCTCGCCTCTGCGAACCCTTCAGATCTCACCAAATCATATAATCGTCAAAGACGCCTCGACGACGCCATCGCCAACCCGAGCGTACCGTCATGGCAATACCCCAAGACGAACCCTCAAAAGTCGTCCCGACCCGACATGGGCGAACTCGGGTACGGCATGAAAAAGCTCAAGATCGAAGGTCCGGAATCGCTGCCGACGGGCCCATCCAAGGGCAAAGACAAATCTGACCGGGCCACGTCCGAACAGGTCCTGGATCCCAAGACACGGCGAATCTTGTTCCAGATGATCAACTCGGGTATCGTCTCTGAGATCAACGGCACCATCTCTACGGGTAAAGAAGCGAACGTGTACCATGCCGTCGCTGCCTCGGACGACCCAGACTCCCAGCCAGACACGCACGTGGCGATCAAAGTCTACAAAACCAGTATTCTCGTCTTCAAGGATCGTGAAAAGTATGTGACCGGTGAATTCCGATTCCGAAAGGGTTTCAACAAGAGCGACAACCGCGCCATGGTCAAACTCTGGGCCGAGAAAGAAATGCGGAACCTCAAACGGATCCACGCCGCGGGGATCCCGTGCCCCGAGCCGTTGTACCTACGCAGACACGTTCTGGGGATGAGCTTCGTTGGGGACTCCAAAGGCAAAGCTGCGCCGAGACTAAAAGACGTCGAATTCGAGGATGAGAATCCCGTGGCCCGGTGGCGCGACGTTTATCTCGATGTACTCGGCTACATGAGAATCATGTTGCAGGTGTGCAAGCTAGTGCATGCCGACCTGAGCGAGTACAACATGTTGTACCACGAGGGCAAACCGTGGGTGATTGACGTGAGTCAGAGCGTCGAGGGTGATCATCCCAGGAGTCTGGACTTTTTGAGAATGGACATCAAGAATGTCAACGACTTTTTCAGAAGACAGGGCGTGAGCGTGCTGAATGACAGAAAAGTCTACGAGTTCATCACGAACCACACGAAGAGCGAGGATGACGTACAGATGGAAGTGATGAGGAGGGATCTCGATCGTATCATGGCCGAGAGAAAGGAGGATGATGAGGACGACGAGGTGGAGAACGAAGTCTTTAGGAAACAGTATATCCCTCAAACACTGGACGAGGTGTACGATGCCGAAAAGGATGCGGAGACGATGAAGACGGCCGGTAGGGATGCCTTGGTGTACAAAGATTTGCTCGCGCCGAACAAGGTTGAGGTGCAGAAAGAATCGGCGTCGTCGTCGTCGTCTTCGTCGTCGGCAGATGATGATCAGGACGAGAATTTTGGTGCTCCTCTACAAAGAGTAGAGTCGCATTCTCAAGACGGGTCTGGTGATGGTGATGATGCTGATGATGACGACGGCGAGCACTCGAATGCCGAGTCCGGTAGTCTGTCTGAAGAAAACGGCCGGCCACGAGGAAAACGGTTCCAGGACAAGGACGAGAAGAGGGAACACAAGCGCAAAGTGAAGGAGGAGAAACGGGAGAAGAGGGCGACCAAGATGCCGAAGAACGTCAAGAAGAGATTGGTCAAGGAGTCCACGAAACGACGTTGATTCAAACAACCGGGCCAATTTTTGTTCTTTACTTTTCGAGAGAGCCACGGGGTTCAAGACGCGGGCAGCCGAATTTTTTTGGCCTGGGTACGAAGCAAAACACTTGGACCATCAGAGGTCGGGTACCTACAATTCAACACGCTACGACGAATTGTACATATTCAGTCACGCATACCAGCCCCCAAGATCGTCGATAGTGGCTCAAGGAGTCGAGATTGCCCACAGCAGCACCGAAGACACCCAAGCTTTTGTAGTGTGGTGGTTTTCTTTGCGCCACCCATCTCCACATCATGAAAGCAACTGAGAGAGGTAAGACCAATCCCCAGCCTCGAAAACCGAAGCCTGTTCGGAACTTCATTGGCGAGAACAAAACACATGAAGACACCCATCACACACTTGATATGAAATTGGGAGACGGGCCGAGGAAGGCTGGCAGACGGTCGTTTTGGATGGAACATTCTCCGTACGAAACAACCTCGTCACTTTCTCATGCCCGTCTCTTACCGATCCCTTTTCCAAGTACCTTGGATCGGGACCACATGATATCCAAAGAGAGCGCTGAAAACACAATTACACCTTACAAATTACACATTATACTGTAACAACCGTTGTTCTCATCATGATTAATCACATTCATTACGTTTCTGGCAATGGACTTTCGCTAATTCTTCCTTTCCTCTCACATACAGGCAGGCAACCTCCGTTCAACCTCCGTCGTCGCAATTACTATAGGTGGTCCAATACATCTCTCATCGCCCTTTACTAAATCTCCTTGCGGCCTCCTCGACCGTCCGCCTGGGTATATCGGGTACACTGGCTTCAAACCCTTCGTCGACCCTGTTGATCTCGAACCGTGGCGGCAAGTCATTCACGCCGTGCCAGATATCTCCCGGCAAGAACTCGCCCATATTTTCTCGAAACTTGACACGTAACTGCCGATCAGACTCGTACAGCTGGTCGAGTTGACTATGAGCTTGGACGACGACGCGTTCCATGGCCTTCTTCGCCGCTCTGCGCCGGTCCACTTCGACAATCAGGCCGTCGTAGGCGTGTAGGAAGTTGGTGTAGTAGCTGCATAATTCTTCCATTCCGCCTATTCCATCTTCGATCTTGGCCTTCTCTTCGTTCCACCGACTAGCGTGCCGTGCTGTTTCTGCAACGTATCCTGATAACCGACCTGAGATTTTGTCCATGAGGCGAAACGCGGTGGTGACGTCTGCATAGACATTCTCTTGCTGCTCGCGCCACGGGACAATCCTCTCCAGTTGAGCTTCCATCTCGGCATGCCGATCCTGGAGCTCCATGACCACTTCGTCGACTTCGTTTGCGTCGTTTTCGAGAACTTGAAGCATCTCCAATCGTTCTTCTTCGTTCATGGGCTGTGCCGGCGCCTGTAACTCTTCCATGCCCATACCGACGGCTTCAGGAAGGTCTTCGGCATTGGTGTTCATGGTCTGGACGACGGCTTCACCGCAGCCCTCGGTGTGTTTGATGGCAGTGACGCACAAATCGAAATGCTTGACTAGACTTTCCAGACCCTGTGCCATTTCTTTGGCGTGGTGTTCGAGAATAGAGAGGGTGGCGGAGATGGTCGGCTGTTTGAGATCACTCTCAGCCCCTGAATCATTGGTGCGATTGACGAGGACATCGTTGATGGATTGTAGATCCTCCTCGAGGGTTTGTATGGATTGATTTATTTCGTGCTCATCGTTCTGCACGTTATCTATAGCGGCTCTCATGGCCTGTTTGATTTGTTCCACCCCATTGTCGTCGACGAAGTCGTGTAATGTGACCTTACCTGTGACCCCTTCTGCTTCGGTGGTGGATTTGAAGGCTTCCTCGATGGATGTCTCCTTCAAGAAATCTATACATTGTAGCAGCCTTGCTCCGGTATCGTCCAACTCTTGAATTATGGTCTGAAACTCTTGCTGAATGGTTTGAGCAGCCGAGTCAAGCTCATACTGTACCCCACGCAGAATCTTGAGTTGTGAAGCTAACGAACGACGCAGGTATGTTGTCTTTGCGAGGAGGGCAGTGGTAGATTCAATGGAAGCACGTGCTTCTGTCAGGATGTTTGTGGCTCGGTGAACAAGGTGGATGCTGCCCAATGACCGTTTGGACGCAACTAGATACGAGACGATTGTTTCGACGGTGGCCGGAGGGCTAGCCGCTCGCAAAGACTGAGAAGGAGAGGACTGGGGAGAGTGCTGTTGGGCGAGATATGGAGATTGCGCCATAGCCGGGAAGAATGAGGAACAAGGCGTCAGTGCAAGGGTTCGATAATATCATAAGCCATCCTTGGGGCCATAAGCTTCTCCGGATATAGAGACTGCCGTCAGTGTTTAATAATGCAACATTCAGGGACGGATAACTGCCTCCGTGAAAGTGGATGAAGTTATGTGGTTCTAGACAGGGATGGATGGGGATCCATAAGAGCAGAGTACAAGAATAATGCGGAGAGATGTCAACAAAAGTGCCGCTATTGTTTTAGGAGGATGCAGGAACAGGAGGTGAGGGCCTTGGGCATCGACACTAGACCTGACAAATGCGAAAAGAGGCTGACGATGAGAAAGACGATGGTGAAATGGCGTGCGAAATGATGCCATCGCGGATTTCAATATGCGGAGGGGAATCGGCGTCTGGCCCGATCTTGTTCAACCAATGGGAGACTTTATAAGGTGTCCTCAAAGCACGTCAAAGCACGTGACGCTTGGTTTGCCGACCAGCCGAAGGATTGACTCTTTTTGCCCGGTTCTTGCACCATTTCACCACCGCCACCCCATGAGCAATCAGTCTGCACCACCGACGTCTATTCTGCCATATCCTCGTCTTCTACCCATCACTCACCCTCTTTTCTGTCACATTACTTCTCTTACTTGGACTTACTCGCGCTATATACCCTTACGAACCACCTGCCCACTTAAGACCAACGTCCGATAAGCCGGCAGACAATACGGGCCACCGATATGTGACATCCCTGTGTATATACTCCGTTGCCAGTTTATTATGCCGTTCGATTTGTTAGAAAGGCACCAAGGTCGAACCCCGGCCGAGCCAGATTGGGAAGAACCTTCTAGGAAGAGATTGCGCCCAAATCCAACGGAAGAGGAGGACTACCACGATCACGCACCAGATGGCTCCAAGGACAAGAGCATTACCATAGCCTCCACCGCGAAACATGCTCGGCAGACCGTTGCTCCTTTCCTCGCCAAACACATCCCCTCGCAATATGCGCCGCTTGGAAAAGATGACAAGGCTGTGGGAGAAACACGGAAAGATCCAAACACCAAGTTCTGCTATAGGCATAGACCCGACATGCTGTGTCGCAGACAAGCAGATGAGCCGTCTATGGACAAGCTGCAGCAGGACCTAGATACACTCTCGCAAGAAGATCGCCAGGGCATTGTCCAAGTCTGGTCGTTGTTCTCCGCTGCACCCTCGAGACATCGAAACCTCATGCTACAAGGTATCCTCGCTCAATGCTGCTTCCCGCAGCTGTCCTTCCTCTCCGCAAACGTCCAGAAACTCATCCGCATCGACTTCATCTCGGCATTACCTCCAGAAGTGGCCTTCCGAATACTCTGCTTCCTTGACACGACATCGCTATGCAAAGCTGCACAAGTGTCCCGCAAGTGGAGGCAGTTGGCGGATGACGATGTGGTTTGGCATAGGATGTGTGAACAACATATTGACCGGAAGTGCACAAAGTGTGGCTGGGGCTTACCGTTACTGGAGCGCAAGATGCTGCGTGCTTCAAAAAGACAGATCGAGTTGCGTGCCGCAGGTACTCATGTGGCCGAGGAGCATTCTTCGAGCTCATCCCAGACTGTGGACAACGGTCCTGGACCAAGCACCGTGTCAGATAGTGAAGACCGCCATGATGTCTCCGACATCGAAAAGTCATCTGATGGTCGTCTCTCTCCGGTCTCCGTTCGAAGGCCTCCTCTCGGCACGAGTGACAGCGAATATAAAAGAACAAGGCCTTGGAAAGATGTTTATAAAGACCGGTTCAAGGTCGGAACGAATTGGAAATATGGGCGTTGCAGTATAAAAATTCTCAAGGGCCACTCGAATGGTGTGATGTCTCTTCAACTTTGCGACAACATCCTTGCAACAGGCTCTTATGATTCAACTATCAAAATATGGGACCTCGATACTGGCACAGAATTGCGAACACTTACAGGGCATACTATGGGCATCCGCTGCTTACAATTTGACGACAACAAACTGATCAGCGGCAGTCTGGACAAGACACTCAAAGTGTGGAATTGGCGCACTGGAGAATGCATCGCCACTTATCAAGGCCATTCAGGAGGAGTAGTTGCGCTACACTTTGACTCCAATATTCTAGTGTCTGGCTCTGTAGACCACACCGCTCGAGTGTGGAATTTCCAAGATCGGTCAGTGTGCACCCTCCGTGGGCACAAAGATTGGGTGAACTCTGTCAAAATCGACACTGCCTCACGCACCATCTTTACCGCCTCGGACGACTGCACTGTTAAGCTCTGGGACCTGGACACGAAGAAATGTATCCATACATTCGAAGGACACGTTGGTCAAGTCCAACAAGTTTTGCCCTTGCCGGCCGAGTTCGAAGCAGATGAGGATCAGGACCAGGACGAGGACTCAGAATCAGGCAGTCCGGTCAGCCCTACCGCGGCCAAAATCAATCGTAAGATGCTATCCATGTGCATCGACCATACAGGTCAATTCGCTTCGGAGCCTGATCGACCTCAGCCACCACGGTACATGCTCACATCGGCATTGGACTCGACCATACGCCTGTGGGATGTCCATTCGGGTCGATGCATCAGGAAATTCTTCGGGCACGTCGAGGGTGTATGGGCTATTGCCGCGGACACGTTGCGTTTTGTGTCCGGCGCAGAGGACGGAATGGTCAAAATCTGGGATCCGAGGTCAGGCAAGTGTGAAAGAACGTTCACCGGACATGCAGGACCAGTGACGTGTATTGGGTTGAGCGACAGTCGAATGTGCAGTGGCGGGGAGGATGGCGAAGTCAGAGTATACAATTTTACGGCCTGATCTGTATTTCTGATTCCAGAAAGGATTGTTTTCATGGAGTCATTATCTCGCATCGTCTACGGAGTATTACACTCGAGCGGAACTTGGAGTTTTGGTTGGGAAAAATGGTTTTGGAAGAATAGGACATTTGGCGTCGGTGATTGGACATCTCGTTCACCATGATGATGAAGCCTCCCAGGATACCAAACGATCTATATCGTTACTTTGTTTTGGTTTCAGCTTCTCGGGAGCTACGTGGTTGGGCGTCTAGGATATTTCGTGGTCATGGTGGTCATCTGAGTCGAAGTTGATGTATGGCCAGGTAGACAAAAATCAATACCAATCATTTCTATCATACACGACAATACAAGTAGCACATTCGTCGTACATTTATCTATACTGTAAAAACATAGAGTATTATCTCGTCCGGTTTCATGCACACTCTTGTATGGACGAGGACATCTCTCATCGCACCCTGAAACGCCCAGTGACGCCCGAGTTATCAATCGTCTTGTGAATAGCAAACCATCCATGTCATACCATTCTTGTCCTCATTGACCCAAGTATACAGCACATCACCCATTGTCCTCGTAAGAGCCTCGTTCGCAAGCACTCCTCAAACTCTCTGTGCTCAGCACAAGAGAAAGGTTTTTCCAGAGAGGGCCCCACCAAAGAGATACTCTGGCAAGGCAAGACTTGAGAAAATGATGATTCCTCAATCAGATCCCGGTGATCCTCCTGATACTTCTCCTCCCACCTTCGCCCGTGACCTGAATTTTCCCCTCCTGTTCCAGAGACCTCAGGACCTCTTGGAACTCGGCCCCCTCGATCTCGGCCGTGGCTCCTTCGCTCACCCGGCGGTAGAGGTCACTGTACCTGGCGACGCCGCCACTCCTGACGCCGGTATCGTCATCGATGGCGTTCAGGACGGCGCGTTTCAGGTCTTCCTTTCTGCGCCTGTCGCTCGCGCTGCCTCCCTCGGACAGCAAGCCCATATCGATCAGGCCAGTCCGGGAGTCCGTGGCGCTGGCCTTGATGGCGGACTTGATCAGTCTCACGGCCTCGGCGACGTCGGCCTCGGTGACGGTCTGGGAGAGTCGCATCTTTGCGTGGGCCTCGCTGAGCCGGATCATGCTCTCGAGCTGTCGTGTCGTCGCGGTGATTCGTCGGTCTGACGCCTGGATCGAGCTCCCGAGCGAGCGCATCTGGATGTACGCGTCCACAAGGGACTTTGAGGCGGTCGGCGTGAGCGTGGGGTGGATGTTCTGTCTAGCGTAGGAGATGTACGCTGTCAGGAATTCGACGGGCTGGTTTTGTAAAGATTTTAGTTAGCACAACGTGTTCATTTGCGTCTGAGGCTATACAACCGGGAAGCAAGTGAAATTTTAACGGGGAAATGGCTTCGTACCAGAATTTCTTCTCTTGACGCATTCTCTGGTGTGTCTTCCAGGTACATGCCGACCAGATGCTTCGCTAGGCGGCGATCAGTGGTTTCGTCAATCCGATCTAGAACGAGATACACGAGATCGAATCGTGAGAGCAGTGTCGGTGGAAGATCGATGTTCTGAGGCACAGGCAGGTTGGGGTTGTATTTACTCCCGATTGGATTTGCAGAGGCGAGGATGCTCGTTCTAGCATTGAGGGTGGTGATGATACCTGCTTTGGCGATGGACACGGTCTGTTGTTCCATTACTTCGTGCAGGACCGAGCGGGTCGATTCGTTCATCTTGTCGAACTCATCAATGCAGCAGACGCCACCATCGGAAAGCACCAGCGCACCGGACTCGAGGACCAGTTGTCGAGATTCTGGGTCGCGCGTCACGTACGCCGTCAGACCGACCGCCGAAGAACCCTTGCCGGAAGTGTATACACCTCTTGGTGCGATCTTGTGGACGTATTGGAGGAGTTGAGACTTGGACGTGGAAGGGTCACCACAGAGAAGGACGTTGATGTCGCCTCTGTATTTTGGAGAACCACCTTTCTCAAACGACTTGTTCGTGCCACCGAAGAGCTGGAGGAGAATACCCTTCTTGACATCATCGAGCTCATAGATACTTGGGGCAAGACTTCGCGAGAGAATGTCGTAGACATCGTCTCGGGTGGCTATTTCATGGATCCTGGCTTCTTCCTCTGCCGTAATCTTGCGGGTCTGTTCGGCGTCGCCTACGACCTGCTCAGAGAGTTCTTGCTCGATGGTTGATGCGTCGATTCCGAGTTTACGCTTGTCCACTTTCTGAACGTGTAGGACGTCGACATAGGTTTTGAAGAGAGCCTTGACTGTGCGTTGACGGGGATTCACACGGACGGGGTTGCCACGGAAGATACCAGTGACTTCGATTCGATCACCAGCCTTGCACACATCGACTAACTCGTCGTAGACGCAAAGAGACACGCTGTGAGGAGTTTGGCCGTCTGGCACAGAGTCTGGGGTCTCCTGGAGCTTGATCACTTGCTTGTCTGCGAATACACATCGGTTGTGCACGATCTCCATGCTGTCTCGAGACTTGCAGGCGGTGCGAGGACATTGCGTCGGCTCCGCAATCTTACCTCGGTCAATCGAGACATACATGGTGTGATTACAGACCGCGCATTTGAAGAACGCTTCTTTCATGTCTGGGATGACTGGAGTCGCTCGAATGACGAGACCTTTGATAGAAATCAGCTTGTCGATGTCTGCTGGGTCCAAATCTCGCATGTTAACGGTCTTGTCTAGACCAAACGGCAAAACTTTCCAAGGTCGAATCTCTGCCTCTTCAACAAGATCGGGAATTTCATCTGCAGCAGGGGTCGCAGCTGGTGTTGCAGCACTGCCCATGTCTGATGGTGTCAAGGGAGGCATTGAGCTGCCATTCCTGGCGCGTGAACTTGTCGCACCGTTACGAGCTCTTTGAAGCTCTTGCATTTCTTTTTGTGCAAGTTCGACCATGACATCTTTGACTACCTGATCCATCAGTGGAATGATTTCTTGAGGGTAGGCTTGCAATTGGTGCCATAATTTCAGTGTTGCAGGATATGCTTTGAGATTACGGGCATCCAGATTGAGACCATAGACACCCAATTTACGCATGTCTTGAAGCATTTCTAGGTATTCTTTCTGATCCCCATCGGTTCCAAGTTCTCTGGTCTCCTCTTCGGATGCTCCATCAGCCCACAATCGATATTTCTTTGCATAGTTGTAGAGGAAGTTCTTGAATGAGGACATGGAATCCACAATGGAGATATTTGTGCCCCAGATGACTCTTGTAGAATCTCCTCCCATGACATCTGCTTCCGAGGTATCGGGATTGAGGTTTGAGAATGTAGCTTCTGAAGGTGGATCTTGACCATCTCGAACTGGCATGCCATCTTCGCCAACATATATGCGCCGACGGTTGGCAGGAGAGGATGCAAATGTGTCCGAATGAATGTCGCCCCGTCGAGACGATATTCGAGGTTGTCTGTCTTGACGAACAAAAAGAGCGCTGCTGCTGCTCGGTACATCAGACTGAATGCGACCTGAAGTACGCCCCGGGCTTGAACTGGGATCGTATCGCACGGGAGAAGACTCTGTACAGAGTAAGATCGCTGCTATTCTACAGAAAGGGGTTTTCTTCTTTACCTGCGGCTGGCCTGGTGGTTGGCCGTGGGGTGGTTTCTCGGTCGCCAGCATTGGATGACTGTCGTGGAGGAGAGCTTATGATCATGCCATCACTCGCCAACTGTGAGGGCGGTGCGGGCGCTGACCGAACCGGCGACGATTGGAAAAAGAGTGGTGAAGAAGATGCGACTGCTGGCCCTCCAGTGGGCTGCCTAGAGTTTCTGGGTGTCGCTTGAGACGGTTGTGCGGGGGATGAAGACTGTGATTTGCGCGAAGAGTGACCTCGGCGGCGCGAGGATGGCGTCGACGACATTGTGAACGGTGTTGATTGTTTGTATCTGAGTTCTTTGACCTACACGATATTAAGGAGTCCCTCTTCAAAAGGAGGGACTGGCCACTTTACGCGTGACACGCTACGCGATATCTTGGCGCGTCTCGAATGGAATTTGACGCGCGAGCCTCGTCCACAGCCTCAAGGACTTATCAAGTCCATCTCGATGGCTATTTGATGCAAGCAATTATACTTCGTTTTCTGCGGTCATCATCTTAGCAGGCTATGGAGGACCAATCACTTCATTATCTCCTTTACATCTGAACTGGAGGTCGAGCTCTTGATCAACTACTCTGGATCAGCCGAAGGTATGTACCAGCCGTCATCCACCACCAGCTTCACGCGATGAAGATCTTTCGATTTTATTTTCTTCTCGTCGGCGATATAGTCCCCAATCTTCATGGAGCAATCGACATATCTTCCCGACATGAAGTCCATCTGTCCACTGGCTAGGACTGTTACCATTCCAGCTGCCATTTGTGGAGTATCCCAAACAACCTCTTTGAAAAAATGGACAGCAGTTTCTGCTGACTTCTTCTCGCCTGGGGCTGTTGTCGTAACATAACTTCCTGGTTTGATGTTGCCTTCCGCTGCATCCTTGAAATCGCTAAAAAATCGTGTCCGAATTGCGCCCGGGTGGATTGCGAAAGTTTTAATCCCAGCATCCTTGTTTTCAAAATGTAAGGATTCAGCCAATCGAACCATACCAAGCTTGCCCAGCATGTAGCTGGTCATGCCTTTGTTGACATGAGCTCCTGCTGAAGCGGTGAAGACGATCCTTCCGCCACCCTCTCGACGCATGAGTGGGATTGCCGCTCGGCTAAAGTTGAAGGCTCCCTGTAGGGACACAGCGACGGTATCCCACCAAATCTCGGGGTCTGATTCGTGAGTCGCCAACCACTGAGGTGGTCGACCAGCGTTCATGTAGAGAACATCGATCTTGCCAAATTCTTTGTCGACACCCTGAACAAATTGTTCGACTTTGGCATAATCCCTGACATCGAACGCTGCCGTTTTAGTTATCAAATTCGGATTGATCTTCTTGCATAGCTCCGCTGTTTCCTCAACCTCGGCAGCTTCCAACGCCATCAGACTAAGCGACTTGGCCTGGGTATGAGCGAAGAATTCAGCGGTCGCTCGCCCGATGCCTCGACCTGCTCCGGCGATGAGCACATTACGGCCCTTCAACAAGGCGCCCAAGTCTTTGTTCTGGCGAGGATCCGAATCATACTGGCAGTCATGTTGCTCTCCGAGCCATCTTTCTGGTGCTGGTTCACCCATAGTGGCGTGACGATATCTCGGATTTGTATTTGGACGGGATGATTTCCTGGTGACACCTACTTGTACTCCAACAAGGCCAAGATAGTGCCTAGACGACGATATATATGTAGACTCCCCCACATGTTTGTGAGACTCCCGGGAAAAGACGTGGAGTAGGTATACTTGCCGTTGTTGCTATCGGCAAAGGACCTACTAGGTGGATATACTTGCATTGCGCAGGGGGGGGAATGTGGGGAGAGGGTTGGGGCCGTTTTGGGGAGCCCTCCGCCGTTCGAGCATTTTCTTGGAGCAACCACATGGTACTAAGGCTGCTTTCGGCGACCCAAGCGCTTAGAAAAAAAGCGCCTAGAATATGCCAATTCCTTCCCCGACGGCATTAGACAATGGTCGGCAGCCTAGTCATTTTGGTGATGACTATCCCATGTTTTGTAGAGGCGCGTTGTCCTGCATACCTGGACCTTATCATCACATTCTTTTGGCATTTCTGAGATTCTATATTGTAGCGAGAAAAGCAGGGGGTCCTGCCGAGGGTGCTGTGATTGGCTGATGATGAGTACGCGTAGAAGTGTGAGTGCCTCTGCCTTTCCTGCAGAGGAGGAAGCAACAAGTAAATAGACATGCATCCAATTAATCGGGTTTTGTGAGAATCATAGCGCTGCTGCGCGCGCATTGCGAACGATGAGGAGTGCGATGAAGTCCTAGTCACGAAATTGATCTGATGCACTGTGAATGTCGTGAAGGCCCGTACGAGTGTCGGGTAGCAAGGGCGACTAAGCGGTGACTATTGACAGGAGGTTCCGAGTGAACGAGAATGTTTACAGAAGTCACAGAAGCGTTACAAGGCTCGCTACGTGCAAGAAGTATCTCTGAGTTCGAGGTTGTTGTTGTTGTTGTTGTTGTTAAGTTATAGACATGCCCTGACTCTGCACCTGGTGCTTCCTCATTTACTTCTGTTATAATATAAAGAAGTTTTAGAGATAATATATTGATGTTTATTTGATTATAATAAATAAAAACTTTTACTATAAGAAAATAAATGTTAGTTTATAGGAAAAAATAATATAATATTAACATTAGTGAAGAGATATAATAATGTCAAAATATTATGAGCGTTACAAGTGATATATAGTCACTTAGCTAAAGTGAGAATCACTTGTGATCTTACTACCCTTCTTAAGTCTACTTTATATGCCCTTCTCTATGCTAACCTGATGGTAGGACCGGACTCGATTCACCTATTTTCCAAGCGCTTGCTCGCCGAAAGTATGTAGGCACTTAGGAAAGTTGCAAGTACTTAGATAAGCGGCTGCGAGCGCTTTTTTGCATCGCCTAAAGCAGCCTAACCCTGGACAACAACACTTAACAAGGACCCCTCATGGCCTTCGCCAGATCTTTTGGCGATTGATTGTGATTGACGAACTTTCCCACGAGCGAAGCGTACCAAGGCCGTCAATTCAAATTCAAATACCAACAGACCATGGGTTCCCTGGGCGTCGAGCACCATAAGGTCATCATTGTCGGATGTGGCCCTGTCGGCTTGACCACAGCGACTAACCTTGCAAGGGCTGGAGTACCCGTTCTGATCCTAGAGCGAAACCATGAAGTTGATCAGTCGCCTCGTGCATCTGCATACCAACCTTGTGCACAAGCCGAACTACTCGAGACTGGAACGCTAGACGATGTCAAGGCTCAATCTGTCATCAACGATCGTCTTTCTTTTTGGATCAACAAAGAACGAGTCGCATACGTCGACAAGAGAGAAGGAGGCGAACTCTTCCCGGCGGGAATCAACTGTCCACAACCCCAGTTGGCTGCCATCCTGCTAAAGCACTTAACCACCAAATACAACTCCCATGTTAGATTCAATCAGCAGGTCATCGAAGTGACCCAGGATGAGGCAACCAACATAGTCACCGTGACGGCTCTCAATCCTGTCACGACCGAGCAGACGAGATATACCTGCGACTGGCTCGTCGGCACGGATGGGGCTGGCTCAAGTGTTCGAAAGTTATGTAATATCGCCTTTGAAGGATTCTCCTGGCCGAAAGAAGATTTTGTCGCCACGAATATCAAGTATGACTTCTACCAGCACGGCTTTACGACAGCCAACTTCGTCCTGGATCCCGTCAATTGGGCCGTGGTTACCATTCTGGGCGCCGAAAAGGACCTTTGGCGTATCGCGTTCGGTCTACGGGCTGGTTTAACAAACGAGGAAATCAGAGCCGAATTGGACGAGCACTACAAGCACATTTTCCCCGTCTGGCCAGTCAAGTATGAGCTGGTTCAACTGAACAAATACAAACCCCACCAGAGGTGCGCTGAAACATTCCGGAAAGGCAGAGTGATGCTGGCTGGTGATGCTGCACATGTGAGTGTGATATACATATTTCATTTGGATTTGTCTCCAAAAAGACTAGATTGAGACTGACTTTCTACCAGAGTAATAACCCTATTGGCGGTCTAGGACTAACGACAGGACTTCTGGACGCAGGTCCTCTGGGACGAGCTCTCGGCGCTGTGATCAACGGTCGAGCGCCCGAATCACTTCTCGACGTCTGGGCCAAGTCTCGCCGTGACAAGTGGCTCAACTTCACAAACGAGTTCTCCATCGAGAACAAGAGACTAATCCAGCGCGGAGGTTACAGTGAAGACCCCTTGGAAATCTGGAAGATCGACGACGTTGCCAAGGAGCACAACATGGAGCAATGGCTCGCGATGGCCACGCCGGAGAAGAGGGAAGCAGACCTGAAATTCTACAAGGCCCTAGAAGATCCCAATGTCCAACTCATGAGCCGCATGAAGCAGTGGGAAATCACAATGGACCCGTCGTGGATGGCGGAATATGAGGATCCGGAAGTTGTCAAATACCGAATTTCACTCCGGCCTCCTATACTATCCGCTGGCACGATGGCAAATTCTGAATAGACATCGCTTTGGGAATAAGGGCTCAATGTATGGAGTTTTTGTACACACAAAGTGCATTTTCTTTTTGGTCTTTTACTTTCTTCAGAAACATATTTAAAGAATACTATCCATGGGTACGATGAGTTTCGGGCGCACACCTTACATATGTTATCAATTACCACTTGCGGAGACTTTGTTATCATATATGCCCTTTCGTGGAGCACGCAGCGTTGTCCGGAGACTTTTCCCATGTCGGAGACATTTTCCATGTCGGAGACAAACAGCAGCAATAAGCGAGGACCTTAATAGTTCCTCTACATGGGGTGTGTCTATTTATATGACAGGTAGACGTGTATAAATCAGACAGGTATGTATGTAGTGAGTAAGTCATTAGACAGTATTCGGTATCAATTATCTACCTACAGTACAACGGGCTGTCACATTAGCACCACCAAGTACAAAGATCTCCCCCACAGGTGCTTGTCATGGACAAGACAAAGAGCAAGCCACGAGAGCATTTCGAGTATTATACTTTGTCCCTTTCTTGAACATGGTGAACGGGGGGCTGATCTTTGCTATAGCCAGACTGCCATAAGCCACCAGACTGACTTTGCACCTATTCTTCAAGCGACAATCGATGAGTTGCGATCCCGACGATCATGGATCCTCAACAAGGATTGGAAGGATGTCCGTTTACTAGATTATGCATGTGGGGCGGGCACGGTTTCCAAGGTGAGTTGGTTGATGAATTGAGCTTTCCTTTCTCTTGAAGGCCCGCTCACTTGCTCCGAGGCTGTGGAGAGGAAGAGAGAAAGAGAAGATATATCCTTCGGTGTTGTAGTGATTTCAAATACCTACTGACACAGACACGACATATACATGACAGGCGTTGCTCCCCTTCATCACACAAGCTGTGGGCCTCGACTTCTCAAAGGGCATGGTGACTGAGTACAACAAATGGGCGTCGCAGAACGGACTCGATCCGTCCGAAGCGTATGCGTATCAGTGTGATTTGCTGGACGACGACGAGTTCAAGGCCATGAGTGATCAGCAGCGGGAGGCGGAACAGCTCGTGACCAACTTCAACGTTGTGGTTGTTGGGTCGGCTCTGCACCACGTCGACGACCAAGTCAAGCTGTTGTCCAGGCTGGCTGGGTGTCTTGTAAGCGGTGGTGTTTGTGTGGTTCTGGATAAAGCGCCCGACCCCGACTCTGACGGGAATGAAACTGACATGATGCGACAACCCAACGGGTATACTGAGCAGGACATGCGTAAGATGTACTCTGACGCTGGCCTCGGCCAAGGATTCGAGTACACGCTTCTGGCGCCAGTCGAGTTCACACTGCACGGGCGCCTTGTGAAGGCGACAGGGTTCATAGCTCGCGGAGAGTCGCTGTAAACTCGACGAAGAGTTGACGAAGTGATACTCGAGACAGCCACTTGACCAAAAAAAGACGGACATGAAAAACATGGAATAAGTGGGTTTGAGGGCAATCTAGCTGTGCTGTGGCAGTGTGAATGGAACAGTCGGTTGCTCATGACCTTAGTCCCCATTATACCGATGACAAAGTATGTCAGCTCAAGAACTATGGTCCGCAAAACCTAGCAAGACTGCGCCGACTGCCGCCAGCATAGGCGCGTAGCTCCAGTGGTTGTTCTGTCCGTGACCGACAAAGTGCAGGCAGACCCAACCGTCAACCGCGGCGACCAAAAACACAGATATCAGAATACACCCCAGCACTTCTCGTGCACCGTAATACGTGGCGGCGTAGATTGCGAGGCCCATGAAAATGTCCCGGACGCCATAGACCACCATCAGCGCGTTGACGACTTTGGCGCTGGCGGGGTCCTTGGGCGGCGACATTTCGAAGAATGTGAGGCCGTGTGCAGGACGGACGATGGCGTTGATGCCGAAGCCCAAGAATATAGTGCCAAAGGCATAAGAGATGTAAGGTAGGGCGAAATGTGTCGATAGTGCCATGGCGTCGCTTTTGATCGTTGATGTTGTATCAGCTGTGACTTGAATTGTATTCGGCAAATCGGTTCTCGGCGGAGAAAAAGTGTTGTAGAGCAAGACGCACGTTGATTGTCGTGATGAATTTTTAGGGCTGCTATGATAATCAGAAGATTTTGAAGGATTTTTTTCGTAAAATCCGAAGGGTGGTTACATGTGTAGGCAGAAGTAAACGATCGATATACCTGAGCAGTGGATGATGATCTATTGTATGCCTACGGATTTTGGAAGGGTTTCCAAAAGCCGGCCAAGGCTGAAAGGCGCCTTACATAGGCGCAAAAGGGGGGGTGGATACGTGCCTCGGGACACTGGGTGGCCTCCCCAAGCCATGGCGTAAATCTGATCGTTATAACTTGAACCACAAGTGCCAAACAGGAGCTGGCCTGAATGTAAAAGGCAGAGGAAGACAATCTTCGCTTGAAGTGACTACTATCAGCGTCACGCGAGTTCCTTATGTGGTAGTGAGATGGAATCATGACCGGACACGATGAGGAAGGGAAAGGGTGTGTTGAAGCCGATCGCGATGGCCCCCAAATATGCCCAGGCTACGAAAAAGATCGTTGAAACCATTTCCCTGCTATGTTGACCATGTATCCATTCCATAGACACAAAAAATATCCAGCCTCGAGAACAAGAAAAAGTGACGCTTCACCTGGCCAGCAACCAATACGAAAGTCTCTTCCCTTGTATAACAGCACGACCGAAACGCCGGGGATTTGCTCATGGGCGCGACCTTCAAGCGTGGGCCAGTCCAGCAGCTTTCTTTGGTGAGTATCCTGGATCTTCAAACGGTGTAGCATACATGAGCTTCCAGGCTTGGGCCGCATGCATGTCGACATCGGGCATTTTCTTTGGCAAGGCCATCTCATCACCTGCATTGTTGATGTACATCACATTGTTACCCTGGTAGAAAGATGTGATATTAGTTTCGTATGCTTTAAGACGTCTTGCCCTGTGTCGTGACTTACCACGCCTAATGTCAATTCGATTGAAGCATCAATCACTCCCGGCTTATGCTCCTTCAACGGTTTCCCATTGATCGACCTTACAATGTTGTCGCCGACGAACATTCCCTGATATGAGGCAGCTCTGCCCAGTCTCGGCCCAGGGAGGTCGATCACATCACCACAGGCGAAAATGTTGGGAGCACAGCCCTTTATCTGCAGGGTCTTCTCAACCACGATGTTTTCCGAGGGTGAGATTGAGGACGGGAAGGCCTTTTTGACGAGGCTCGACTGTGGATGTTGTCCTGTACTTTTGATCTATGTCTCTCATCAGCAGTGGACCATGAAGAGTCAGCAGCAAGTACAAACCAAGAAGTCGGCCTTGAGCACCTTTCCACTTTGTAGTTTGATCTCGGCAGGACCATCGCTATCCAATCCAGCAACCACACGATCTCCTAGGACCAGTTCAACACCTAGATCTTCCAAACCCTTCTTGGCTATGTTGTGCAGTTCAGGTCCAAACTTATTCAGCAATTGTTGTCGTGAGTGTACTAGGGTGACTTTCTTCTTCGTGTACGTGGTCATAATGTCCCCTGCCACCTCAACTCCAGCGGCGCCTGCACCGACGATGACAATATGATCCGCAGCCTTTATGCGCTGTTGTTGCTTCTCCAAGAAAGCCATGCAGTCGGACTTGTTGTCGGCGACCATCTCGGCTGGATACCGTGCATTCGAGCCAGTCGCTATGACAAGGTACTCGAAAGGGATGCTGGTGCCGTCGGACAGTGTCACTTGACTGTCCCCAATCTCCACGACTTCTCCTTGTCTGAAAGAGTATACTCCCGCTGGTTGTATCGAAGTCTCCTCGGGGTATGGAATGAATGCATTTTGCGTATGACCTTCGACCACAGTAGTCCTGGGGAAATTCCAAGTAAAGTAATAATGCGAATGCTTCTCTATCATTACAACCCGGTAGCCAGTAGGAAGGGAGTCTGCTAGCTGTTTTGCCAGGAAGAAGCCAGCAAAAGAACCTCCCACCACCACGACATTCTTGGGATTGGGAACTGCTTTATACGTGAGACGATGGATCCGAGCCGAGATCAGATATCCCACTCGCTCTAAGCTCAACGAGAATGCAATACGAAGCAATTTGCAATAGAAAATGACTTTCTTCAGCATTTTGGAAAAAAGGGACAGTCGAAGCGCATCAAGCAGACAAAGAATGGGGAAAGTTGAGATCTTATCTGATAAAAACCGACAAGCTTAACTGTAGTGTCGGCCTCAAGGCAGCAGGGTATAAAAGACCGAGTTTGTTTCTCCGGTGTCGGACGATCCATGGATGTTCCACTAGGGAGGAGACAAATGAATGGATCCTGCCGACGTTACTCGCAAAGAGACGAGCCTGCCATGCTGCGAAGGTGGTCAAAGCCCAGGATAATGTGTCTGGACACCCGAGAACTTGACCATTAGGCGCATATCGACAATGAACAGCCATCCAACTGGTCAATATTGCTTCTGCAAAACAGGACCTGATCGAGTAGAGAGAGCACTGCTGCGGGACGAAATCCTCGAGGCCGACTTGGCTGAAGCGCGAACAGCATTAGATCCGACGGCCGAGTTTTCTCGGCGAAAAGAAATAGGCTCAAGAAGATCGGGAACGGAGTACTATATTAGTGAATCAGACCATGTCACACTTGGCGTGTTCAAAGTATGGCGCGGAGGCAGGGCAAGTGTATATACTAGTCATCGTCTTCATGGTAAGGATTCGATCAGGAAACGGAGCGGGTTATTGAATGGGAGCTTTTCATATGTAGTACGAGACGTCAATGAATTGGACGAGGCTGAGGTCGATGTGAGCGGTTGAAATTCGTAGCCTCGTGGATGACTAAGCCAGTTAGATCAATGAAATCGCGGTCGCGTGGAGTGCGAGTTGCGCATCGCGTCTGTTCAGAAACAAATCAATCCCACTATGTCCTGACACCAGCATCCTTTATACACTGGTACCGGTCAAGATGCATATCAAACAGATAACGATCCAGGGCTTCAAAAGGTAATCAGTTGGAGACTGCTTTTCACTTCAATCAGTTCGTTAACCACAAGCGCGCAGCTACAAGAACCAAACCGTCGTCAACCCATTTTCTCCCAAACTCAACGTTATCGTCGGTCGCAATGGATCTGGCAAGAGTAACTTCTTCGCCGCGATTCGCTTCGTCCTCAGCGATGCATACTCACAGATGGGTCGCGAGGAGCGACAAGCCCTTATTCATGTCTGTCCCCCACCATCCCTCTCTTGCACTCGCGATCTAACAATATTCAGGAGGGTACAGGGTCGGCAGTCATGTCTGCCTACGTAGAAATCGTATTCGACAACTCCGATGGTCGGTTTCCTACTGGCAATGACGAATTGATCCTTCGTCGTACGATTGGTCTGAAAAAGGATGAATACTCTCTGGATCGCAAAAACGCAACCAAGCAAGATGTCATGCAACTTCTTGAAAACGCCGGCTTCTCACGCGCGAACCCCTATTACATTGTCCCCCAGGGCCGAATCACACGCTTGACAAACATGAAGGACTCTGAGCGTCTCGACGTTTTGAAGAGCGTGGCGGGCACACAACAGTTTGTCGCAAAGAAAGAGGAGTCACAAAAGATCATGAGTGAGACTAACAACAAGCTTGTTGCAATCGATCAGACTTTTGACCAAATAAATGAACGCCTTGCTGAACTAGAAGAGGAGCAAGCTGAGTTGAGAGATTTTCAAGAACAAGATCGCGAAAAGCGTGCCTTGGAGTATACACTGTTCACCCGCGAGCAAGATGAAATAAACAAAGCACTCGCTGAACTGGAGGATAGAAGAGCAGGGGGTATAGATGATGCTGATGAAAATCGTGAACGCTACGCTGAAGGCGAAGATGAGTTGGCCAGAATCACCCAACAAATTCAGAATCTCAACCAGCAAATCCACGCTGCTCGGCTCGAAAAGAGACAGTATGACGAGGAGAAGCGGGAGAAGGCAAAGGCTCGAGCACAGGTCGAACTGGAAGAGAGAAATCTCTCCCACGGCCAGGCTGCGGCTCACCGTGCAAAACAGACCCACGACAAAGAGTTGCAGCAAGTCCGAGCACAGATACAACAAGTTGAGAAAGAGTTAAACACGATCGTTCCTCAGTTCGAAGCCGAAATGGCGAAGGAGCAGTCGGTGAAGAGCCGCCTCGATGAAGCCGTTGCGGCACAAGAGCACCTCTATGGCAAGCAAGGCAGAAACGCGCGTTTCAAGACGAAGAAAGCTAGAGATGATTGGCTCCAGGCACAGATTAGTGAAGCTTTTGAAGCATTATCGAGGTTCAAGGCCACAAGGATGCAGACTGCAGAAGGCATTCAGGAGGATAAGAAGACGATTGCCAGCCTCGAAAAGGAAATCGAGAGCCTACAGCAACAAGCGGGTGGCCAAGACGATTCGGTTGACCAAGATATCCTACAGGCACAGCACCGAAAAGAAAGTCTCATGGACGAACGAAAACTTCTCTGGCGTCGAGAGGCCCAGCTGGACTCTGAATATGCTGCAGCACAAGACGACTTGAGGAAAGCCGAGCGAACTCTGTCCCATATGATGGACGGTAACACTAGCAGAGGTTTAGAAGCAGTGCGGCGCATCAAGCAACAGCACAATCTCGAAGGATGTTATGGCCCCCTTGCCGAACTCATCGACGTGACACAGCACCATACTGCAGTGGAGGTGACGGCTGGAAATTCCCTGTTCCACTATGTTGTGGACAATGATGATACAGCCACCAAAGTCATGGAGATCCTCAATCGCGAGCGAGCAGGCCGTATTACTTTTATGCCCCTCAATCGATTGCAGCCGAAGACTGCCAACTTTCCGAACGCACAAGATGCAAGACCTCTCATGTCTCTTCTCCAATATGATGAGAGGTATAAGAAGGCCGTGCAGCAAGTGTTTGGCAAAGCAATCATCGCGCAGAACCTGAGTATCGCCGCTCAGTACGCTAGAACTCATGGACTTACTGCTGTGACACCCGAAGGTGATAGATCTGATAAAAAGGGTGCGTTGACCGGCGGTTATCACGACGTACGTACCTCTCGATTGAAGGCAACAAAGGCGGTGATGGCCGCTCGAGAAAAGTTTGAAGCTGTCAAGATAGAAAGTGCCGAAAACAAGAAAAAGATTGAGAAGATTGACCAGACCATTACCAAAGCTATGAGCGAGGTCCAGAAACTTGAGCAGCGAAAGAATCAATCTCAAGGTAACCAGCGACTGTTAAAACAAGAGATCAGAAACAAGGCGGACATGCTTCAGAGAAAGAAAGACGACCTCGATGCCAAACAAAAGCAAGAAGTTGCCATTAGCGCCAACGTCAAGCGTTTAAGCGATTCTCAAAGTGCATACCAAGCCGAGCTCAATTCAGACTTTAAGAAAGCATTGACACAAGCCGAGGAGACGCAGCTCGAGAGCCTCACAGCCACCATACAAAACCTGCGGCGCGAGTACAACAACCTCTCGGCTTCCAGAGCTGAAACCGAAGCAAGAAAGGCAAACCTGGAGGTCCGCTTGAACTCAAGTTTGAGACCACAGTTAGCTGCTCTAGAGACTGATGAGTTTGAGAGCGAGGGCGATGTGTCGGCTCATCTGCGAGCAAAGAAGACTGAACTAGCACGCCTGACCAAGGAACTTGACTCTGTACAAGAGAGCTTGGATGAACTCGAAGATCAAATCGAGTCTGCCTCTACTGAAGTTGCCCAACTTGAAGCACAGGCTGCAGAGACGCGTCGACAACAGGAAGAACTCGCCAAGGCCATCGAACGACATCAGCGCCGACTTGAAAAATCTGTGCAGAAGAAGGCAGCCCTTCAGGCCTCGAAACAGGAGACAATCGACAACATCCGTGAGCTCGGAGCGATCCCAGAGGATTTGCGAAAGAAATATCGTAACACGGATTCCAACACCATAGTCAAGAGACTCCAAAAGGCCAAGGAGGCGCTCAAAAAGTACAGCTCTGTCAACAAGCATGCCTTCGAGCACTACCGAAAATCGGCCAAGCAGCGCGAAGAGCTGGATGGGAGAAGAAAGGATCTTGAAGCCGCGAAAGCCTCCATCCAGAACCTCATCGAAATTCTTGATCAAAGAAAGGACGAGGCTATTGAGCGCACTTTCAAACAAGTCAGTAAAGCATTTGCTGAGGTCTTTCAAAAACTCGTCCCAGCTGGTCGCGGACGATTGATCATACAGCGAAAGACCGATAAGCGACAAGCAGAAGATGAAGAGTCAGAAGACGAACAGCCAGTCAACAAGCGTGGCGTTGAGAATTACACTGGCGTGGGTATCAGCGTCAGCTTCAACAGCAAGCATGACGATCAGCAGCGCATTCAGCAGCTGAGCGGTGGGCAAAAGAGTGAGTGGATCTTTGAGTGACCAATGTGGATGTGTCGAAACTAACATTCCTGTTTCTAGGTCTTTGCAGTTTGGCTCTCATCTTCGCCATCCAAGCTACCGACCCAGCGCCCTTTTACATCTTTGACGAAATTGACGCCAATCTCGACGCTCAATATCGTACCGCTGTTGCAGACCATCTCCTCTATCTCGCGAATAGAGCAGACGAGGAGCCGGCCGACGGAGACGAGAGACCTACTGGCGGCCAGTTCATTTGCACTACTTTCCGACCTGAGATGTTGCGAGTGGCTGATAAGTGCTTTGGTGTACGATTTGGGAGCAATGTCAGCAGCATCCGTGAGGAGAGCATGGAAGACGCCTTGGATTTCGTGGAAAGTCAAACTCAGTGACGTGGTCACGACAAGGGTTGTAGAGTAGTCGACTGTTCACGGTATGGCGCAATGATGTGTTTGTATTGACGAATGGGAGTTTGATGGTGCTCGGGTACGACGTTACTGCATCACTATTGCTTGGGACATGGGAAGTGAGTGGCAGATGGAATGTGGGCTTGTAACAACATGATCAACAACGACGAGACCGTGGGTGGATGGATATTGAGTTCCGGCTTTTCACGATTGATGAAGTTTTCTTATCTGCCTTGGGAATAAATCTTTCTCTGCTGGGGTAAAATGACATTCTTGAGAGAAATGACCATGGGTTTGAACTTTGAGAGTAATTCTGTCCACACTGAAGCATCACTCAGTACTGTAACCACCTCAACGACAACAAGGACGGCGGCAACGACGATAAGTAAGAGGCCGCGGAGTTCGCTGAGGACAAGAAGGGACGGCGTCCAAATTGGCTACCTCAAAGACATCTCATCCTTCAGACTTCAACATCACAAGGTACCACTGAATAGCCCCCTCTTTCAATGAGACAGCAATATTAATGAGATAATGTGCGGAGTCGCACACAATCCGCCCAACTAATAGTTTTGTCAGAACTTCCCAAATATTTACAAGCAGTAGGAGATATGGATTTCGGACGACGTACACTGACACCGAGGATGATGCAAGCAATATCAAACTTGCGTTTTGCCTTTTTCCATTCGGCCTCACTCTGGACCCGATTTTTTTCCTTTTCGGCCTCATACTGGACGCGAGTTTTTTCCTGTTCAGCCTCATACTGAAGGCGTAATAGTTGCTGAATTTGGACAGGTCTGATCTCATCTTGGACACATCTTCATGAATTGCCTTCGGGCAGTGGGATCCTTCGCTGAATGTCCTCACTTGAAGCGGTGAGATCATTCGTGGGAAGCCGTTCAGAAGTCGCGGGCTTAGACGATGGTAGACAGTGCGTCGGGTGAGGTTCAACGTCGAGTGTAGCATCTTGAATGTGTTGTACGATATAGAATACTCGTAGTATTGAGTAGAAGATGAAGACTTTCAATATCAGACCTACGTGATATGTGAAAGTGAGATGGATGTACGGGTACTGTGAGTAGAAAAGAGAAGTGCGTGTTGAGACAGCTGCTGCACCTCCTTATATAGACATGTCTAGGTACCTGAGGACATTTTTGAGAAGGTGCAAAGGTACAACGTACGTGACTCGACACAAACCTAAGGAAGGTAGCTTTGCACTGCAGCCTGCTGTACCATGAATTTGCAGCATTTAGCATTCACTCGATGGCGACAATTCATGGTTCACGAGGGAATAAGGCGATCTATATCCCCTCAAAATACTCTCAAAAAGGTCCTCAGTTACCTAGACAGTCCTAAACAAGGAGGTGCAGCAGCTGTCTCAACACGCACTTTTCTTTTCTACTCACAGTACCCGTACATCCATCTCACTTCCACGGTCAAAGCATGTTACGCTCAACGTTGAATCTCACCCGATGTACCGTCTACCATCGTTCAAGCCCGCGACTGAACGGGATTCCACGAATATCACCACTTCAACAGAGGACGTTCAGCGAAAAGTCCCACAGTCCGCAGAAGCTTTGTAAAGATGTGTCCGAGATGAAAAGAGACCTGTCGGATATCAGGAAGGAGCTATTACACATCCAGCATGAGGCCCGAAAGGTAAGAGCTGGCCTCGAGTGTAAGGCCGAAGAGGAAATGGCAAGACATATGAGAGATATGGGTTGGAAAATCATTGTTTCGAGTGTATGTCGTTCGAAAAACCCACATATCGTGCTGGATATAAATCTTTGGGAAAGTTCTGACTGTATTATTAGGTCGTCGGATGTATGTTGCTCAGCACACTATCTCATTAAAATTGCTTGTATTTTGAAAGAGAGGGGGGGGGGTTTCAGTGCTAGCCTTGTGGTGTTGGATTCTGGAGGAATGGTTCAGTATAGGACGTCTCTGAGATACCTAGCGAATTTAGATGCTGTTCCTGCTTTGTCCTCGGCGACCTCGGCGATCTCTAATTCATCGTCGTTGCCGCCCGTCCTTGTTGTCGTTGAGGTGGTTACAGCAATGAGTGATGCTTCAGTGGGGACTTGTTAAGATTTTCAGCCTTGGCCGTACTGCAAAGGTGGTTTGCCGTAAATATCGATCGCTTCAGATAGATCGCGGTTACGACTGCGGTTCCACTGTAAGCGCAAATAAAATCTACACTATTAGAAAAGTTGGGAAAAGATTTGCGGTTACTAACGCGCTCTTATCGCATGGTTTCCTCCCCTGTTTTCTGACTCATTTCTAGGCTCTGTTCTTAGACAGGGCTGAAATCTAGGTCAAAGCGAAATGTTCCCGTGCATCAGTTTGAGATGAGTCGTTGCGTATGATACTGAAGAGGGGAAAAATATATTCAGATTAGGATCAGTCTCTCAAACATGACAACCGAGCAGATTGACATGCCTCCCCTCCGGCCACTGGGTACGTTGACATCTACTCACATACTGTACGGTCACCTGGAATAGTATGGAGTGATCTGTAGCACGCATCTGACCCCGAGCCCAGGAATTTTTGAGAGGTTCATGGTCGCTCGGAGTCAGCAAGGGGTATATCATAAAGTCGGCGTGACAGCGTTCTATTCGTCCGACCGCAAGGCGACAACAAAAGAGAACCTCAAGCCAGCCATATACTCGGCACTCGCTCTCGTCATCTCAAAACATGCCAACCTCTCTATCACACCGGCTGGGATTGACTCGTCTGAATCGTACTTTGCCCGCCTTCCGTACGTCAATCTAGATGAGCTCGTTGCGTTTACCGAGATCGAAAACATTTTGGACGGCGAAGGCAGACACCGACCGGCTTTAGACCACTTCCTAGAACGAGAACACAGCCGACCTTGGGATCTGAGGGCGCCGTTGCCACTGTGGCGTCTACATATTCTCCAGCAACCTGGGGGAGACGCATCGAGGTTTGTACTATGCTACATGTTCCACCACGCTATCGGGGACACGAAGAGCGCACTGGTCTTTCACCAGGCCTTGGAGGAGGCACTGAACACCACCGACGGTGGCACCGAAACGTCGTCAATGGTCAGTTCGCCGGATCTGCCGCTCATTCCACCACTGGACGCTTTCGTCGACACTACGAGAGAGGTGGATGGCGGGAGTGCGCCAGAGGAAGCAGGAGCTGTGTGGACCGGGGCAGAACAGTTTCTGCCCGTCCGCACCAGGTTCCGATCTCTTCGGTTCGGAGGGGATGAGTCGACAGAGTTCCTGCGATTGTGTAAAGCTCACGGCGTGTCCCTTACGGCGGCGATACAGGCGATGCTTGTCACGGCTCTCTTTGAGAAGTTGCCGTCGGAATATACTGCCCTCAGGACCGACTGTCCCATTTCACTACGTGAGTGGCTTCCCGCACCGGTCAGTGCGCTATCCATGGGCATACTCGTGGATACTTTTCTCGAGACACATCAACGTCCCAACTTGTCCCACGGTGGGAAACAGGGCTCGTTCGCATGGGTAGACGACGCGCAGACGACCAAGAAGAGGATCGATCGTGCTGTACGGGAGCGCAGGGGCGACGGCCTGCTGGAGAAACTGTCACACGTCAAAGATGTCGAGGCGTGGACGATGGCGAAGATGGGCCAGCCTCGGACGACGAGTCTCGAGTTGTCGAATGTCGGGAGACTGCCATCTCTGGCGGAGAACAACAGAAGTGCGAGGATTCATGGCTTGGTGTTCAGTCAGTCTGCCGGAGCCGTCAGTGGAGCGATCAAGGTCAGTTGTGTCACGGGCAAGGACGGGAGGATCTCGTTGGGCTTCACATGGCAAGAGGGTGTCGTCGAAGATGGGTTCATGGACGAGTTTCTGGACGAGTTTCTGTCAATCTTCGATGGGGATTTGATATTCTTCCAGCAGATGCACAATGGTCCATAGATGGAATAGAATAGGTAGGGAGGGAGTTCGGAAAATGCTACTTTTGTTGTTTTATTTCGCTGGTGGGATGGGTTTCACAAATGCCGCCTTGACATCTTTCATCCACCCACTGTTGACCAATTCTTCGATGATTTTCTGGTCGTTGTGTTTCTCGAATGCCGCCTTTGATTCGTACCGCTCGAAGAAGTGGATGATGCTCGGGTCGTCCGGATCGCGACCCAGACAGTAGGAGAGAGTCCCTTTTTCTTCGTGAGCTCGCTTGGTGGTTTCTCTGTAGATAGCTTCCACTTTGTCGGTATGTTCTGGGTCCGTGTACACCTGAAGGTAGATAGATTAGGGGGGGTTGTGTTGGTCAATATCGTCAGAGTACTAGATACCTTTCCAAATACTGCGAATTCACCTTCTGGTATCTAGAGTCCAGGTCAACTCCATCCGGGCTCGAAAAGACCACTGACAGCGGTCTAATTGTAGTGCAATATTTCGATCTTTGATGGAATGATGTTCCAACTTACCTCCCACTTTGTGTCTTTCCAGTCCTTTTCTGCTTCAGCCATGATTCCTCAAGTTCTTTGGCGATGAATCAACCGGTGCCGGCGACTTGAATGGGTTTCCACAGGCTGCTCAAAGCTATCGAGTGAAAAGACTAGGCAGCTTTACTGAATAAACTAATTACGATACTTATCTTGGTTAAAAGGATACTTACAGCAGGCACCGATACTTGATGCCTGCCTTATCTATGACTCTTATCGTATTCGTACAGGGTTACTGACTAATTACGGAGTAGTACAGCGTGTGGTTGACGCGTTCTCGCGTTTTTCGCGCGTCAACTTTGTTACATTTTGCACTCATTTTCGGGTGGAAAGTACAACAACAGCGGGGCAACAACAGGCCAATGACGTTGCCCCGCATTCACCGTTTTGCGCCTCGAAAAATTAATTTTCGAGTATTTCTGCCCTCACACCGCGACCCGACGATTTTCCCCTTCTTTCCCGCCTGGCGACAGCCAGCGACGGCATCCTACATTTTCTTGTTGTTGTGACAAAACACTTACCAGCACATCATGAAGTACGTTCTTGTCAGTGGTGGTGTCATTTCCGGCATCGGGAAGGGCATCATCGCCAGTTCGACAGGCTTGTTGCTCAAGACTATGGGTTTGAAGGTACTATACAAATGTTTGGGCTTTTTCCTTCTATGTGCTCTTTCTTAACGTGTTACCCTAAACAACAGGTTACAAGCATCAAGATCGATCCATATCTGAGTATGAAACCACCACGAATTGCAAAACCCTCCTTCTTCTCTTCGAAATCATCTAACATTAGCAAAAAACTCAGACGTCGATGCTGGCACGATGGCCCCTACCGAACATGGTGAATGTTTTGTACTCGACGATGGAGGAGAGGTTGATTTGGATCTTGGAAACTATGAACGGTAACCACACACATACTCCGTTCCATCCTTCCACCATTGTTTGCAAGCGACTCATGGAAAATTACTTCTTCTCAGCTACCTCAACATTACCCTCACGCGAGAAAGCAGTATCACCACGGGCAAGATTTACCAGCATGTCATCGAGCGGGAACGACGTGGTGACTACCTGGGCAAGACTGTACAAGTCGTTCCTCACATCACGAATGGTATTCAAGACTGGATCGAGCGCGTTGCAAGACAACCCGTGGATGACACGAATGAAGAGCCGGACGCCTGCATAATTGAACTTGGTGGTACGGTGGGTGACATTGAAAGTGCACCTTTCATCGAGGCCATGCGACAACTGCGGAGAAGGGCTGGTCGGGACAATTTCATTCAGATCCACGTCTCCCTGGTGCCGATAGTGGAGGGTGAACAAAAGACCAAACCGACACAACAAGCGATCCGAGAGGTGCAATCAAGAGGATTGTCACCTGATCTGGTAGGTCTATCTCGAGCTGATTGTTTATTTCGCGACTCGCTGCTGATACAGGCTCGAAATAAAAACACAGATCGCATGCCGATGCTTGGAACCTCTTATCGAGGCCACCACCAACAAGATCGCCATGTTCTGTCAGGTAGAGCCAACCCAGGTCATTGGCGTACACAACGTCGACTCGACCTACCATGTGCCCATGCTCCTGGAGAAACAAGGTCTCATCCTGCAACTTCGCGAAATGTTTCGCCTGGACCACTTGACTCTGGCCCCGGCGCTGGTCGCCAAAGGGCAGCAGATTTGGCACGATTGGAAAACCCTGACGTCCTCACAGAGTCGACGAATGCACCTGGACGAAGTCACAATTGCCTTGGTCGGCAAGTACACCAATCTACATGACTCGTACCTCTCGGTTATTAAGTCTTTGGAACATTCTGCCATGGCTTGCAACAGGAAACTAAACCTGGTCTGGATCGATGCCAGCAACCTCGAGAAGGCGACAATGGAGTCGTCTGCCGAGTCATACCACAAGGCATGGCACGACTTGTGCACGGCTGACGGTGTGTTGGTTCCCGGTGGATTTGGCCATCGAGGAACAGAAGGTATGATCGCCGCGGCGAACTGGGCCCGCACGAAGCCCAAGCCGTACCTTGGAATCTGTCTCGGCATGCAGCTTGCCGTCATCGAGTATGCACGAAACGTGTGTGGGTTGAAAGAGGCCGGTTCCGTCGAGCTGGACGAACGAACCCCGGACCCCGTGGTCATCTTCATGCCCGAGATCGACAAGGCCACCATGGGTGGGAACATGCGACTGGGTCTTCGCGCGACCAATTTTCAGGACAAGACCGAATGGTCCAAACTGCGAAAACTCTATCACGGTGAGCCGTCGATCCACGAACGACATCGGCACAGATACGAGGTCAACCCGGCTTACATTGATCGTCTTTCCGGTTTGAATTTCATCGGCAAAGACGAGACGGGCGAACGTATGGAGATTATCGAGTTGAAAGACCATCCTTTCTTTGTCGGAGTCCAGTTCCACCCAGAGTACCTGAGTAGGGTGCTCAAGCCTAGTCCGCCTTATCTGGGCTTTGTCGCTGCGAGTGCCGGCGTTCTCGAGCAGGTGATTTCCAAAACCCATGCCAACTAATGGGTTGTTTTTGGTTTGAGATCTTTTTTTGTTCGGGGCTCGACGAGGCTTCGACGATAAACTCGCACGGGACATTCTGGATATTTCGGGCAGATAAATGCACTAGACATAAATAGGTTGTGGGCAAATCTCTGGGGTTGTGTAGGTTTTTTGTTTGGTTACCTTAGCTAGAAAAGAGGGTATGATGTTATGAAAACTCTACGTTTTATGAAATTTCGACGCCGTATGGGCTATGCAGGATAATATCACTCTGTACTACGTATCAGTCGTGGAGAAAAAGACGCTCAATCGTGGAGGGCTCAGCCCATCACGACGTATAGGGCCCCAGGTGACATGATCCTTCTTTTTTTAACCTATGACCTTGAGGACCACTGCACCTTGACCTGTTGTATGCCTATATATGTCGGTCCTGTCCAGAAGCTCAAGTTCGACTGCACATGTATCGATACCTGGGTAGGTACATATGTTTACGTAGTACTAATTTCTATTTCTTTTTCCTCATAACATCATGATGAACCACCAGCATCCGCACCACCACTTGGTCCAGATCTAGGTGTCTTGTTGTTGTTGTTGTCTTCGTCATCGTCCGCATCGTGTTGTTCCACCTTGATGGTGATGTGCTGCTTCCGAGTCGGCTGTTTCCCTCGAACTTCGACCAGTTCCTCCGCCTGACCGTGTGTCGTGGCGTCGTCAGTCCGGAAATTTTGTTCGTCATCGTCGTCCGTGTACTCTTGGAATTGAAGCTCGGTCGACGTTGCATTCGTCGTGCCGTGATGCGTCGTGTCCGGTCCTATTTCCGTCTCTCTCAACCTCTCCCTTTCCTTGTCGACCCACCTCCTCCACGGTCGGTAACACAGCACACTTATGCCACCAAACACGATGAAACTGGCACAGATGGAACCACCGATGATTTCGTAATTGTCGCTGGCGGTCTCGACCCCGTCCCAGAACTTGCCCTTTGGTGCGGCCACGTTCAAGACCAGGCTCAACAACTGAATCACACCGATGATGATGGCGCACATGACGGTCAAAGTGGTCAGGACGATGGAATAATACAAAAACGTCAATGGATCTTTGACTCGTACCGACACATCTCTGTCGGTGTTGTCGTCCCTGTTCTGGTCGTTTCGGTGTGCGTCCTGTTGCCGTTGTTGTCGCTCGACATCATCGGTTTCTCGAGAGTTGTCCATGACGACAACTTGACCATCGACTTCTCCGTCATCATGACCCAGGAGTTTCTTGTCATCATCACCTCCCATACCCATGGGAGCGACGTACAAACTCATCATCAGAGCTCCGTCGATGGTGTCGACCAGACACATACCGGCGGTGAACAAGACCGGAAAGATCAAGATCAGCCACAGGCTAGTGCCCCGAGAGCCTTGGATGCTCGAGATACCCAACAAGGCGATCTCGGAGCTCGTGTCGAAACCCAAGCCGAACAAGACACCCAGGGGGTACATCTTCCAAGGTCGGTCGATGAGTTTGAAGGCCCTCTTGAGCGTGCGGAACAGGCACCCCCCGCCTTCGACCTTCCAGGCTTCTTCGGCGGTGGCCCCGTCGGTGCCCGGTCGCGGCAGGCGGATCACCTTCCGCACCTGGACGACGAGCTTGTACAGGATGTAGGCGTTCATCAGGCCCAACAGGATGAGAAAGGCCGCCGACACGGAGGTGCCGATGATGCCTCCCACGGTGCTGAAAGAGTCGAAGTGGGAGGAGACGCCCGCCGCGGTGGCCGCCACGACGATGGACGTCACCACGACGATGGTGCTGTGGCCCAGTGAGAAAAACGTCCCCACCGTGACGGGTCGTTGGCCCGTCGCTATCAGTCGCCGCGTCATCAGGTCGATGGCCGAGATGTGGTCGGCGTCGAGGGCGTGCCGGAGACCCAGGGTGTAGGCCAAGGCCGCCGTGGAGAGGAGGTGCGTGTGGTTGGTGAGGATGAGACCGCATATCGCCCACACGACCAGGTTGACCAGGACCAAAAGAGCTATGATGAGGATGGCGGGTAGCGGGAGTGACCTCAAGTATGGTGTGCGTGAATGAGCACGTGAGAGCCGTTTGTGGACGCGGTGTATCGACCTCTTTATCGGATTTTTCTTGTCGGACGGTGACGGGCGAAAAGAGGTATCATTTTCGAACGTACTACTGCTGTTGCGTTCGTCCATGGTTGATGTCTTCTCCCGGGCCTTCCCCCTCTGGACGTCTGCTCGATGTATCGATAGACTATCAAAGTGCGAGAATGGTATCGTTATGGTATCGGTTTTCCCCCTTCAGAGCTTGTTTGTGGTTCAGGTCTTGAGTATATCTAAATACTGGTACTCGTACTCCGTACTTGGCGTGGTGAGGACCTTTACCCGGTCATTGGTACTCAAGTTCCCGATGGCTAAGAGCACAGGAAACGACCTCGTGCGGAGATTCCTCGTTTCTGTGTACAAATCCAGACTTGGTGGTGGGAGGGGGGAAGTCGAAGTGTGTGTGAGGGAGAGAGAGAGAAAGGGAGGGTTTGGGGATCGGAGGACGACAGCGACTTAGCTGGTTCCTAAGAGCTCATCATCATCAACCATCAAGATAGCGGGGTTGTAACTGAAGAATTGTAATTGTAGATAGCGATAAGAAGCCCGTACAAATCAGCTTGGGAACAAGTCCGTTTTCTTTGTTCCCACTCGATGGAATTACATAACTGTCTTTAGTGTTTGTTCCCTAACTAGGCATGTAAAGTTGTCCCCAAAGTGACTGACCTACGGAATAACTATTTTCCCCTTGAACACTTTTCTACATAACAGATAGATTACCACTAATGAACTGTTAACTATTTAACACTACCAGTAAAGGTATCCTACTGGTTCTCACACGCAGTAGCATGTGTACAGAGTACACGTTCTTTAGCAAGTCACGAATTACTAGTTCTTACAAATACAATACAAGTGTCTCCACCAGCATACACCATAATTGCCTCGTATCGTCTCGTTAGCCTCGTTCTCGGGGACCACAAATATTCAACGTTCAACTCTGTGGAATCGGGACGACAGTTTGTTGCAATTGCTTGCCGAGGATAATATCAGAAAACGATTTTGCCCTTGATTCTTTCACGCATCACACTCTATCTTGTTGTTGTGGTCGTCGTCGTCCTTTCTTCAACTTTTTGTCCTATACCATATCACATCACGACACATTCAGCTCAGACGACTAGCTTAGCTACATCGCCATCCGCACGCCTTCTTTTTCTCCCTTGGGTATTTCCCGAAAATCCCAACAGCCCAGAAACTCCTTTAGCCGACCTAGCCGTGTGTGTGTGCGTGGGTTGTGCGTGGGAGGGCTAAAAGGGGCTTGGGGTGTGGTCTCGTTGTTTTTAAATTGTCCAACACCCTGCTACATTCTGGTCGATATCTATCACCTTTGAATTTCCACGGGTCTCGTTTGGAAACACACCCTCCCCCTCCAAAAACCGGGTTCCATCACCCATACTGGCCATGTCTCAACGACCGCCGTTGACGACTCGTCTGTTCAGTCTCATCGAACCTGGGTTCTTGCTCTTTGGTAGTGCAAAATGTATGTCTTCCTGTTTTCCCTCTCCCAACCTGTCTGTGTGTTTACGAGTCTGTCACAAACCGCCCGACATCTACGCGATACCAGAGTTCCCAATGTTCTCTCAGACATGAATCTGTTTTGTTTGCTTTTCAGCTGACACGTTTTCTCCTTTTTCACGTGTGTTGCAGCTTTCATCAAACAAGCCTTTCGGGTATTCATTCTTCGAGGAACATTTCCTACACCTTCAGCCTTTGTCAGGGTCAGAGATGAAGCTTTTAGCATGTGGTGGACAAAAATCACCGGTAGGTGCTTCTCCCTTTTCTCTCTTTGAATCACCAGTCCAAACAAACACGTGGTGCCGACAACATTTGCTCATGTTTCCATTTTCCATCTCATGTCACAGCCCCGATAGACCCCCCTCCGCCGCCGGTGGGGTCCTCCACTCTCGTCGCTCCCATCCTGTCTCGAGCTCACGGCGTGGTCTTGGACATTGGACCCGGTTCCGGTTCCCACGTTTCGGCATTCTCCGACAACCCCAACATCACCACCATCTACGGTGCCGAACCTGCCGTGGGTCTGCACCCTGCCCTACAGGAACGTATCGACGCCGCCGGCCTGACGGACACATATCACGTCTTGGCTTGCATGGCCGACAAGAAGGACTTGATCGCCGCGTTGGCCGAAAAGGAGGTCGCCGCCGCGGACGACGACATTGCCGGTGGCGTCTTCGACACCATCGTCGCTGTGCGAGTCTTGTGTTCGGTCCCGGATTTGGACGGGGCCGCCCGAGAACTGTACTCGCTCCTCCGACCCGGTGGGGAACTGATGGTGGTCGAACACGTCAGGAACCCTTGGACCGTCAACGGGAGCATCTTGGGCAGATTGGCGCAAATCCTCTACACCTTCCTAGGATGGAGATTCTTCCTGGCCGGTTGTAACATGAACCGGGACACCGCCTCGTCCCTCCGAAAGGCCGGCAAGTGGGAAGCCGTGGATCTCAAGATGAATTTCGAGTGGGCGGCCCTGCCTTACATCTCTGGTACTCTGACCAAGGCGAGATAATTTCTGTTTTTTTGTTCTTTTTGCGCGGGACATTCCAGTATGAACGAGGGAATGAGTAGGCTTGGTCACCTTCCTCACAAATTACGGATTCATTTCCGGAGACCTACCCGTGTGATACCGACTTATACAAACCCAAGGCATGGGCGATCTGATTGCTTCTACTAGATAGCACAAAGATACTGGAGTCTGGAGTGGAAGCTGAATCTGATTTTGCAAATTTCTATGCGCATCATTGACTTCCTCTATTCATGTCTCACACACACAACACATTTTGTGATTGGATGGAGATGCAAGCCTTTCTATGTGTAACTGTGTCCATGACCACAGTCCCTCTCACGAAGCCCAATTCATAAATCCTTGGCTTTTCCCTTGCCCTTGACGACCCGACTCGGCTGCGGCTCGTGAAAATTGTGTAATCGCTCGCCGATAAGATATACCTCATCACGAATCCTCGCTCTCCAACTTGCTACCTGTGCCTTCAAACCTAGCATCCCAAGCCATGCAAGTACCATGCCCAAGGCACAGGGATATGCAAATCGGTACATTAGTCTCTGGACTTCATGGTCCTGGAGACGTCCGATCATAATAACAGTCTTCGCAGCGCCTAGAGGGCCCGCGAGTAATACAATACAGACCGCACTGACAGGCAATACGAATGCACGGGTCGCAAGCCCGACATCCGGTCGAAGAATACCATTCCGCACAATGGCAAACATGGCAGTACAGATGCGCGAAGTGGAACCCAGGTAGCGCACGAGCATGTGCCATAGCAGTCGAGAGTAGAGTAGTCCCATTACCCATGATTGTAATATGAAAACGGTCGCCATTTGTTTGTCCATGTTTGGTCTTCCGTCAGAAGACTGTCCGTCGTGGGCCCATTCCACATACGTTACCAAAGGGACGTGGACATACAACTCCCAGACCAGAGAGAGAACAAAGGGCAGGGCCAAGAAGGAAAAGGTAAACAGATAAACTATGCCGAGAGCATAATCCACCAGCTCAAAGATTTGTGACACTGACGATTGGGGAATCTTGCTTTTAATGTAAGTCCATGCAGGACCTGCATAAGCAACTGCAGAACCCAATACTGTGTAAACCTGCAAGCCAATCGTGAAGGCATATAAATCATTCGGAGGCAGAGAAGACTGAGACACTCGATAGAGCACTTGCCGTCCGATTAGGAGTGGCCCGATGGTGAAGGCCACGCCCGTGGTAGCGGCAAACAGCCAAAGCAGAAAGATAAATGTTGAGATCCGAGCACCAAAGTTAGGAGGTAAATACACTTTGGTAAATCGCGGATCCTTCTTTCCGTGATCTCCGAAGTCTTGATCAGGTTGACCATCGATCCGTTCGTTCTGCTCGTTGACCGGAAGGAAGACACTGCGTCCCTTAGGCATGCGCACAGAGTCTGATGCCGGAGCACGAACGTAGGTTCCGTCCTGAGTATGCTCGGGCCCTGAGCTGTTCCCCCGAAGAAGGCCTGATAACCGGCCCGGACTGCTGTAGGTTTCCTCAACGGCTTCCTCCCCGAAAAGAAAATTTGTCAACCTCAAATGCTGAGCACAGCCACGGAACCACCACTCGTACATTGCGGAAATCTTTTTGGAAGGCTCCATTTTTCGTACCACATACCTCAGCATGAAGTGATAGAATACAATATCTCCCGGGAACGCCAGTCTTGGTTCAGGGGTAGCCCACCGAATCGGCAAAATGCCAGGAACGCAGTTCAATGACCACACCACGCCTCCGAGGCACACAATGACCAAAGCGCCGTAGACTAACGCCGAAAATGCAATTTTTCCTAGTTGAGCAGGTACAGGGCGTTCGATTACGTCGCGTACTGGATGGAATGTAGGATCGTCGGGATCTCGGATGAAATAAAGGACGCCGTTGCGCATGATCTTTCGGCAGATTGATACAAATAACGCAAAATGAAACATGTAACAGGTTCCAATGAACCAGTGGACGAAGAGACCGGTGAAAGGTGCTTCGGCGATGAACGTAATCCGTCCAGCGATGGTGGCATCTGCGAACAAGGGTAAGAGCGCCGCATCCAGCAGAAGACCACAATAAAGTGGGAACAACAACATCTCGAGGCCAATGATGATTACCACTTTCATGACGCCTCCGGCTTGCCTGAGGCTGTCCGCAAGGAATCCTTCTACTTTCTCGTTGTCCTTGAGACCCAAGAACATGTGTGCAAGCTCCAGTAAAGCAATGCCGACGGCTGCGAAGAAAGCATACCCAATAACAATTGTGATGATCCTGTCTTCTGTGCTCCACACGACTAGAGATTGGTCAAGCTGCAATGGAGCTTTGGGTGATATATCCAACAGCTCTTGGGGTAGATAGCGAACGGTCCTCCAAGCGCCTGCGATGGCCTGTGGAGTTTTCCCCAGAAGCTGTGGGACAGAACCAATTGCCTGAAAAAGAGTACCAAGCATTTCTTTGGAAGAAAAAGATTGTTCCGACATGTTGTGCTGAACCCAGAGCATGGAAGTTACTAGTTGCTCTGCCCCATAGCGAATTGAAGCTTTGTAGGAAAGAAGACCATGGTGAGCCATGATAGAGAATGTTGGGAGGTCAGGCTTGAGATTGAGGAATGCACCCGATAATGTTTTCTCCAATCGCGCACCACTCTTTTGACTTATGTCGAGAGTGAAGCCGTCTATCACATCTGAGTCCAAGATGTTGTTGAAAGCTGGCAAGAGTAGTGAGATGAGGGCTTTCAAGGCCTTTAGGGGCTGATTAAGGACATAGCCACCAAGACCGGCCACGAAGAAGAAGCAATCCACCGTCATATCCGCGGTCGCAGATATACCCAATAAGGGTGCTTTGACCAACATAATTGGGTTATGCATGAACAGCAACGCAATTTTGCCCCAGATGTATGGACACCAGACACTGGCCGACAAAGTGATTGTGATGAGAAAAAGACTGAAGATGACATTCTGGATCATGCCAAATATGGGACCTTCCATACCAAGCAGCTCGAGCACTCCATCTAAATCTTCAATGTCTTCTGCTGCGTTGGGATCATTGAGGTCGACACCAAGAACAATGTTTGGCTCGCGTGCTGGTAGAGCAGCAGGATCGAGAGCTGGTGCTGGCTGAGGAGCGAGATTTCCGTGATTGAGATGATTATTATTGGGTACAAAGGGGTCTTCGGCTAGATCATCTTGCATGATCACCTCATCATCTTCGTCATTATTGGCGGTCTCGAATCGAACTCGCAGATTAATTTGCATGTCTTCAAAGTTCTCCGTAGGCCACAGCCAGCGTGCAACTCTCGACCAGATGGATAGATCATTGTTCTCTGGTCGATCGACATGGCTATTTCTTCTGCCCATTGCAACTTCTAGTATTGGCTCATCAGCATCGCTTGATGCGGGCGTCGGCGGGGGGGCTGCCGCATAGTGGATGAAACCATCGAAATCCATATGTTCTTCATCGAGGTCTAACATATCCCCAGCTGTCGTGTAGGCCGCTCGGGGAGGAGAAGCGTTGACATACTGATCCTCGGCGCCAGTCAAATCACTAGCGTCGAAGAAGTCGTGTTCGTCGGAGGGATACGAGTTTTCGAAATAGACTGGGTTCGTCTCCTCTTGGCCTGTATTATTGCCCGAATTTACCTCGAAGTTTCGTTGAATGAGGATAGAGTTGCTCATGCTGTGTCTCCTGACAGGTCCCGAGTCCGTGTCGTCAACTATGGCGGAACTTTCCCCTATCGAAAGGTCATGGTCCTGATATGCTGACCTGTCATGAACAAGACTTTGTGATCGATTTGGTACGTTTGGTCTTTCGAGGACATCCCCTGTGTCTGTTAAAATGTTCTCTTCTGTCAGGACGTGTCGTAGTCGCGGAATGACAATGGGTCTTTGGCCTTGTTCGGGGACCAGGACTTCGGCGTTCTGCTCAGGGTGAACCTGAGCATGCGGCTCTTGCTGTTGATTTTGGTGCTGCGGTTCAGGGACAACATCGACGGGGTCAGGATCCGGCATATTTAGATTCGGTTGCTGGTTGATGACCCATTCTCGTATGAGAAAAACAAGAATAAATGCAGTGACGAGCGACACACATATCAATTGACCCTCAACAACATCAATACATATGTCATTGATTGCAGGGATGTCTGTGAGGCCACTTAAAAACTCAACGTCGGAGAGTAGAGATGGTGGTCGTCGCATTGCACTGACAGGCAGTGTGGTATCAGCTCCAGCAGGAAAAGCACCACGTTTCCTCCAGCCCGGAAGAATGAGGGAGAAAAAGAAGTGTGCTATCCTTCCTATCAGGCCATTGTTCAAGAGGATGCGGACGATATCTGCCAATGATAATTGCATGGGAGGAAGTGGCAGCTTTATCTGTTCAAGGTATTCATATAGCCCGGAGTTGACAGAAACATCATACGACGTGCCATTGGCCCCAGCGGTTGCGGCATCGTTGAGCATAGCCTGCGTGTAGTCCTCATCAAGCCAATTCCCATCGGCGAACCAGATCATACCGCGCCATATCTGTCTTATGCACCACGGCAAACAACAGATCCAAGTCAGACCAACGATGAGATAGCGTGTATATCGCAAAGCTGTTCTGGCTCCGTGTCTTGCGAGTTGCCGGGCGAAGAGAGGAAATGGTAGCGCCGCTGGCATGGAACGGTCGTAGAGTTTGGTGAAGCGAAAGGAAGTCTTGCATAATTCGCAGTATTTCTTCTGGGAATGGGCAAGCCATTCCTTGAGACATTCCTGATGGACAAATCTAATACTGCCGCTGCATTTGCAAGGGTAGAATAGCGGCTGGCTTGGAGTGGCTTCACCACGACATATCCGACAGCAATCCTGGCCTTCCTCATAAGGCACAGTCTGAGGATGAACAGGAATGGGGATCGGGTCTGCTTCTTGGAGATTCGGCGGCATCTTGCCTGGATGTGATCATGGCGAGAGGAGGTCAATAGGGGGGAGAAGAGACGAGAGAGGCGGATCAGTGAGAGGAAAGGGTGTATCAAAGTGATGAGAACAAGAGAACCAGAATCAGAGAATTAAATCATGATGTTTGATTGTTTGATGGGAATGGCAGCCGCAGTCGCAGTTATTACTGTCTCATTTCCCCAGACCAGGAAAGTGGCGCGCATTTTGGGGAATCGATAAAATACACAGCCATTAAGCCTCCATTCCCTCCTCCTCCTCCTCCTCCTTGTACGGGCGTTACACCCTGACCTAGGTCTTCACTGGCTCACAGAAGGTGATTTGGCAATTACTATTGCACGTTTCGTTCAATAATTCTCCTCCGAGTCTCAAAAGTCCTTTTCATCATGTCAGGATCCTGATCATGTGACTGCTGCTGCCTCTTATTGCACTAGTCCTATTCGGGAACTGCCTACTCGCACAAGCGTTGCGGCCTCAACACCTAGTTTAGCCCACCTTCGTACTGCATTCTATCATTTCAAGCACATTGTCGTGAGATATCACCTCATCCACAGATATGGAGGGTCATGTCGTTGGCGTGCTCGGCGGTGGCCAGCTCGGACGCATGTTGGTTGAAGCAGCCAACAGACTCAACATCAAGGTGGCTGTGCTGGACAGCGAGAACGCCCCAGCAAAGCAGATCAACCAAATTGCATCAGATTTACACGTTACTGGGTCATTCGCCAAGGCATCAGATGTGAGAGACTTGGCGTCACGATGCGATGTGCTCACATATGAGATCGAGCACGTCGATACAAAGATTCTGGAAGAACTAGAGGGTGAGAAGGCGCTTGTTGATGGAACACAGTGGGGTAGAATTCAGCCTAGCTGGAAGACGATCCGAACGATACAAGATAAATTCCTTCAGAAGCAGCACTATGCCAAGTATTGTTTGTCAACGGCAAAGTCGATTGCTGTAGGCACGTCTCATCCACAAGGCCTCAAGGATATTGCGGATGAGCTTGGATACCCGCTCATGCTGAAATCAAGGACAGAGGCCTACGATGGACGAGGAAATTACCCGGTCAGGTCAGTATCAGATATTGAGCCAGCTCTCAAGGCACTTGGCGATCGACCTCTATATGCGGAAAAATGGGCCAACTTTACAATGGAGCTTGCCGTCATGGTCATCAAGACGGCTCAGGACGCGAATATCGATGCGTGGGAGAGTATGACTATGGCTTACCCGACGGTAGAAACGGTCCATGAAGATAGCATCTGCAAACTGGTATATGCGCCTGCCAGGGGCGTCTCGAAGAAGGTGTCGCAAGCAGCGCAAGAACTCGCACGACGTGCTGTCTCTACATTCACTGGAACCGGCGTGTTTGGTGTCGAACTATTCCTCTTGGAAGACGACAGCCTGGTCATCAACGAAATCGCACCACGACCCCATAATTCAGGTCACTATACGATAGAGGCATGCCACATGTCTCAATATCAGGCTCAAGTCAGAGCAATCTTGCCCGAATTAGCATCCAGGATACCTCCCGGTTCGACCGACCTCCGTGTGCCTGCCGCTATCATGCTCAACATTCTCGGCGGCCCTCTGCCAGAATCACATCTTCTCGTGGTGAACGCTGCTCGCGATGTAGCTGGAGCAGAGGTACATCTTTATGGCAAAGGAGGCGGTCGACCAGGCCGCAAAATGGGCCACATTACCATCACTGGCTCGAGTATGTCGGAGTGCGAAGCGAAGATTCACCCGCTTATTCAGATGGTCAATGCGGTCCGCGCACATCGTTCAGATTCGTCGCCGGCCTCAGCGACAGCAATCATGAATACGTATGCAGAATTGATGAAGAGCAATCCCACACCGCCACCGAAACCGGTGGTCGCAGTGTGCATGGGTTCTGATACCGATCTGGCTACTCTGAAGGCTGGTCTTACAATCCTGAAGACTATGGACATCCCATACGATGTGCATATTACCTCGGCCCATCGTACGCCCAAGTATATGCTTGAATTTGCTGAGAAGGCTGCGGCGCAAGGTTACAAGGCCATCATCGCCGCAGCTGGCGGTGCTGCACATCTTCCCGGAATGATGGCGTCAGAAACATCAGTGCCCGTGATTGGTGTACCAGTCAAGGCAAGTAGCCTTGATGGAATGGACAGTCTGCTGAGCATCGTACAGATGCCACGCGGTGTGCCTGTGGCTACAGTGGGTATTGGAAACAGCACGAATGCAGCGATTTTGGCTGCGCGGATTGTCGGCACAAGCGAGACTAAGGCGCGACAATGGGTGGAAGAACATTTGCAGAAGATGGAAGACGAAAACATGGAAAAGGAGCATCGACTTCAAAGGGAGGGATGGGAGGTCTACAAAAAGTTGGACTCTTAGATATAGCGAATTGCTTAGACGATATGAAAAGAATACCAGAACAGGTGGTCCGCAACGCACTCAGTTAAAATACATGATCATGTGACCCTTGTTCGACTCACCGTCCCGAGACCAAGTTTTTGTGAGCAGTGATGGGCGAGCTGAAGCTTTGGCACTTGATAGGCGCGATTGTCGATGGACACACCTGCATCTTGACGTGATTGTAGCCTACTTGCACATGCCAGCGCCTCTAATTGACCTCCGTGCAGGCTTACACTGGGGTGCTCTGGGCGTCCAAGGATACCCCCAGTGACCTCCATAGGCCTTCCTAGCCAGTAGCCTCTCGGCCCAGTGACGTAAGATCGTATTGACATGGTGCTCTCCATACCCCCATTATTTCCGTGTTCGAAAAGCAGGAGCTCAAACCTGCGACACCTGCTTGACTATCTTTTTACATCGTGAGACGACGGGGTTTTCTTCATCCTTTCTTCAAAACCGTGTCCTCAATAATCCTAATCGTCCTCCCTTTGTCCTTGTCTGTCTCTTTCTCTATTCCCCGTATACGAAATCTCCTTCGCCGATCTGGTCGACCCTCTCTGTTTCTCTTTCCACGGGGAGTGGAATCCGTCCGCACTGGGACTGTTTGAATTGGTAGAACACCACTGCCAGTCGGAACGCACACCCCTAGCGACATGGCGGTGTCTGAGAATGGGAGACCGATAGAGAGTATCAAGGACAGGCCTAATGGACACAGTGTAGGCCCAGTGGTACGCCGGCAGCGTCCTCGCCGTCAAGGCTGGGTTCTGTGGCTGTTTAACACTCTTGCAAGGTGCGCAATCTCAACCCAAACGATGGATTATCTCTAACAGCGCCACAGGCTTACGTTCTGGTACGCCTTGTTCACCATCGTCTTCCGATGTCCCTCTACGCCAGAGCAGCTCACCGAGTCCTCGCCGCAACTATGCCAGAACTATTTCACCATCAAATCATATGCCCAGCCACATCTGCAACCGTACTACGACGAATATGCTGCTCCATATGTCGCCAAAGCCCAGCCATATGCTGAACTGGCAAATAGACGTTTCATTCGTCCTGCTTCCGTATTTGCAAGGGTTAACTACCATAAGTACGCCGCGCCACAGGTTGAGACTGCGCAGAAATACATACAAGCCGAACTGGAGAAATCGATTGTTCCGCAGCTTAAAAACGCTCAGGACAAAGCTGGAAAGATTTATGGTACCAATCTTGCCCCTTATGTCAAGAAGGCTACGGCAGTGACCGAACCCTACTATACTGCCGTTCGAGATTCTTCATCCCACACCGTCCAACATTACATACTGCCAGCGGCCCAATACTCCCGACCGCATTTGGAAAATGCATATAACATTACGCAGCGGTTTGTCACAACTACTGCGTACCCCCTAGCTCGACATGCTTGGTCAGACCTGGTCATTTTTGTTGATGGAACTCTATGGCCCTTTCTAAAAGGTCTCTACATTGATAATGTGAGACCGCAACTGGTCATGATTAACGAGCGGGTGGCGAAGTATAGAGAGTCGAGGAAGCTAAAAGCTGCCATGGACGAGGTCGATAAGACCTATTCGAGTTCAACAGCTTCTGCAAGCGCAACTCCCATTCCCGCCGATGACGTCTATGCATTGTTCGAGACCAACGATGAGACGACGACTTCCACTACAACGGAGGCCACTGAAGAGACCGCTGCCACAGTGCCACCATCGGCTCGACCAACGTACGAACAGGCTACTGAGGAGCAGATCTCTGCCGATCTCAAACAATGGCAAGAGAAGTTTGCCGTTGCTGCCGACAAGGGTGCTGATGACCTGCGTGAACGTGTCGGGTCTATTGTTGAAAGCCTCATTCAAAGCGACATAGAAGGCATAGGCCGAGGTCTAGCCACGGCTCTCGAAAAGACAGTCGAGAATGAGATTGAAAATGTCAAAGCCAAAATAGTTGGCGTGGTGGGGGCTGTTCCCGAAGATGCAAGTTCCGGTGAGGTCAAGAAAGCTGCAGAAGATATCCTTGGTTCAATCCGATCCTCGGGCGCCGAAATTAAAAGTCGCGCACAAAAGGTACGGGAATGGGCCCAGGATTTCGAAATCGCTTTGAATCAACGCTTGACCGATGCTTCTGCTTCAACTTTGGAAGTTCTCGATGGCATCAAAGACTTTGGACTTCAGGAAGTCGGCATGCGGTGGTCGTGGATGGAAGGAGTAACTTACAAGCACTGGGCAAAGTTCCACGCCGTTCGAAATCAGCTGGATGACTGGAAACAAGAAGTGCAGGATGTTGTCGTACAAAGCCCTGAAGCAGAGAAAGCCCTCTCCACTGCGCGACAAATCATGGAAGAGAGCATGGCGATCACCGAAGATGCGGCGAAAGAGCTGGTCAGACTCAAAGGAGTTGCTCAGTGGAAGCTACGAGCACGAGACGCGACAGACGATTTCGAGTCCAGAAGCATGCCTGCTGGGGCGGTATCGGCAGCGTCAAGTCTTGCAGCGGAGCTCCAGGGTACCTCTTCGCAAGTAGTTGAGTCCGCCAGCAGTGCCTTATCTGAAGCAGCCGATGCTGTGGCAGATGGTGTTTCCTCCGCGTCCTCTGTAATTGTTGGCAGCAGCACTGGTTCTGTAGAGTCAGTCACATCGGCAATCAAGAACCTGGCAGATGAAATGCTCGCGTCCGCGGCGTCAGCTGTTGAGTTCTCGAGCACTGGTTATCTCGAATCTGCAGCAGCACAAGTCAGTTCATCCGTTGCTGATGCTTACGAATCAGCTTCTTCACTGGTGGCCGGCACAAGCGTCGGCACTGCCGAGTCCATTGCCTCTCAAGTAAGCGAGTCGGCTTCAAGCTTGGTTTCTGCAATTCCTGAGGAGGTCACGTCGCTATCTAGCGCTGCTGCCAGCGTGGGTTCTTCACTCACAGAGTCCATGGCCACCATTTCAGAGGACGAGTCTTCGTCCGCTGATTCGACTATTCAAGACATTGCTAGCTCAGCGTCCTCTATCGCAGATTCGGCTAGTAGCCATGCTTCATCCCAGGTTTTTGCTGGTGCGATGGCTCAAGAAGTAAAGGGCACTGCACCTATCCTGGATGATGCGTTTGATGATGACACAACCTCTGCCTTTTCTGAGAAGCTTCAAGATATCGTAAACAATGCCGGTGATCGTTACTCTGAAGTCACTCGAGCAGTTTCAGAAGCGCTTTATGGTACAAAACAAGGAACTGGCGAGAGCATCATATCAGTTGCAAACGAGCAGTATTCCAGTGCTGTTGCAGCCGCTTCAAGCGTTCTTTATGGCGAGCCCCAGGGAGCTGCGGAGAGCATCACCAGTGTGGCATCTGAGAGATATGGCCAAGCTGTTGCGGCTGCCAGTGCTGTGATATATGGAACTCCGATGCCTGTCACTGATTCTATTCTCCTACAAGCGAGTTCTCTGTATAGCCAGGCCATCAGCCGAGCTGAGGATAACTACAGCGCTGCCAAGTCTGCTGCTTCAAAGCAGATCTCAGGAACCCCAAAGCCGATTCATGAAGAAATGTTATCTTCGATCGATTCGGCTTATTCTGGTGCAACCGCAGCCGCTCAAAGCAGGCTCGAATCTGCCCGGTCCGCACTTCCCTCCAGGTACTCGGCTATCAGCAAAGCAGCCGCGGGATCTTTTCCAACGACTAACCCGCTTGACTCAGTCTCAGCAGTGGCCTCTTCTGCCCTACAAAATTCGTTGGCTGCAGCATCAGCGCAGTACTCCAAAGCTAAGGCTGCGATTGGTGCCACTCCTGCCCCAGCACACGAGCGTTATCTGAAAGAAGCTCAAAAGGACTATTATGCGGCCATTGGAATGGCACATGAGCAATATGATGACTTTATCAAGGTGGCTTCTAGCGCTATCTACGGTACTCCAACCCCTGTCCTGAGCAGTATGTCAAGTGCTGCATCGGCTGCAGTATATGGGACTCATGTTCCGGCGTTTCAGAGTCTACTAGATCTTGCTGCAGCTCAATATTCGGCAGCCTCCTCCGCAGCTTCAACGAGTCTCAACTCCTACCGATCATCGATCAACTCTGCTGCCACACCAGCCCAAAGCTTGCTAGATGACGCACTTGCGGCCTACTCTAGCGCACTCGAGGTTGCATCATCCTCTCTATCTTCTGCTTCATACGCTGCCAGCACAGCTGCCTACGGTACGCCTGCGCCTTTCTATCAAAGCGCCTTGGACCAGGCTTCTTCTTCGTATGCCGTTGCTTCCTCGGCTGCTGCTTCACATATGTCTGCAATGCTAGACTCAGCCTCTTCCGCAGTTAGCGGCAAGAAGTCTCCTGCACAAAGTGTACTGGAGGGTATATCTTCCCAATACGACGCTGCTATCTCAGCTGCATCGTCATCGTTGTCTGCCGCCAGCCTTGCCGCCAGTACCGCTATGTACGGTACTTCGACTGGTCCCATCGAATCCATGTCTAGCGTTGCCTCTCAAAACTGGGAAGCTCTTGTCTCAAAGGCCAGTACTCAGATCTACGGTACACCAAGACCCTTCTACGATGAATTGGTCGACCAAGCAGGCGACTATTCAGCACAAGTGACCAACTATGCAGGCGAACAATATGTCATCATTCAATCATTTGTGTCGGAACTGATCGTGGGCAAAGAGCCAGCCTTCACTGAATCCGTCATGAGCAGACTTAGCTCAGCGTACTACACAGGCTATGCCTCGGCTGCGAGTCTGGCCAATGATGCCTATGATTCAGCATCGTCGATAGCATCGGTGGCTGGCTCCTACTTCACCCCGCCTCCAGAGGTTTCGTCCGTCATTGACTCAGTTACCGAACAACTGAACTCGGCTGTGGATGCTGCCAGCGCTCAGATCTACGGCACCAAGAAAGGAGGAGTCGAGCAAGCAACTTCTGCTGCAGCAGACTCATACTCAACAGCCAGTGCCGCTGTTAGTGAGGCGATCTACGGAACTCCCGTTGGTTATGCAGAAGCTGCCCAATCTTCCTTCGCTGACATGGCAAAGAGTGCACAAGAAGCCATCTCTATAGCCATCTATGGAACACCCACTGGCACAGTTGAGGCTGTTACAAGTGCTGCAGCCCATCAATACTCGTCCGTTTCGTCCGCTATTGGCGATGGTGTTGCGGCAGCAGCAAGTGTGGCGGACAACGTGAGAGCAAAAGTCTCGGAGGCAGTGTATGGCCCCGAACAGAGCGCCCTGGAAAGTGCTCAGTCAAGAATCGCCGAGGCTGTAGAGAGCGCAAAGAGCGCCATTGCGGCAATGGCAAGTGACGTTGGCGAGAGCGGGGCCAGCATCGCGGACGCTGTCAGCAGTAGTGTGGACGAGATGGCGAGTGCTGTGAGCAGCACGGTCAGTGGTGCCACTCAGTACGTGAAGGATGAGTTGTGAGCAGGTCCGCCCGCGAAGGGAGATGGTGATGACGCTGAAGCGACGGAAAGCAAAAATGATGGTGCGCTTCATAAGGCCACCAAGAGAGAATATTGAAACGAATTGCTGCCCCGGAGGCGTTGGAATGAGGGTTGCTTGTCGAGACATGCACCATGGCTCGAAGACCCTTTTTTGGGGATTTTTGCGTTGTGTTTTTTTTACAAAGCATAGAGTGGCATCTTGTTGCTACTGTGCTATGCTCTGATGATACCTATCTCGTTGTGCTTTGCTTTGAGCCCTTGTTTCTGTCTCGAGTCTTTTTGCTGTGTCCCATGTATGTATGTATGTCAGAACGAACGAATCAAGACTGCTTACGAGTACCTGGCCTTTTGTGTGGTTTTTGATATCCACAAGTTACGGAGTTATTGTACAGGTCATTAGGGAGTGCGTACTTCCGTATGTGGGCTATTTGAGTATTAATGGGAATATACATTGACCAGTCCGAAGTGCAACCAACGACCACGAATTGACCAAAGTGCACTCGGTATAGTTTGTTGCATCTAGAATCCTCTCGTCGAGCCCTCTCCGGTGTACGAATGTAACCGGGAACGAGTCTCGCCGCCTAGAGAAGGTACTCCGTGTTGGTGGTAGGTGATCGTAAAATATAATCTCTACTACTGGTGTACACACGCTGGATGAATGCTTTGTTCTTCTTTTTTGGGTCTCTCTCGATTCGCAACAACCCATGTCGATGCCGCTCCCCAATGCAGCGCTACTATTTGAACAAGTCATGCCTCTCGGTGCCAACGTCCGATGCGATGCGATATAAAGAAAAAAAAGGAAGACACGTCTTTGGACTCTCTCCAGTTTGTTGACTCTGTAGGTACTAATCCATATCTTCATCCTCGTCGTAGCCGTCTTCGTCTTCGTCGTCCAAACTCTCCATGGCATCTTTGATGAATTGAGCGGCCTAACCCCCCGAAACAAGTCAGTAAAAGTGTGCAGAAGCAAACGGCTTGGCGACAACATACCTTGGGGTCCAAGTTCAGAGCCATGGTGAAGGCTCTGACGGCGTTGGCCTTTTCCCTCAACGTTTTGTACAACCTTCCCATCAAGAACCAAACGTTGGCCTCGTCGGGCGCGACGTCCCTCAGGATCAACAACTCCGCCAAAGCGTCCCGTGGACGTCCCAAACTCATCAGGCATCTCGCCTTCTTGAACCGACCCAACGCACTGCTCGGCGCGAGTGTGCACGCGCGGGTGTACATCTGCAACGCCTTCTCCGGTTGCTTGAGTCTCTCGAGGACGAGACCGATGCAACATATCAGCACCGCGTTGGTCGGGTTGATCTTGGCCGCGGTCCGATAATGTTGTTCGGCAATGTTCCACTTGCCCATCTTTTCGTACACCTTCCCGAGCCCGTACCAGGCGTTGTAGTGTCTCGGGTCGGCGGCGATGGCTGCGCGGTACGCTTCGAGCGCTTTTTCATATTCCTCGTTGGAGATGTATTCGTGGCCCTGGAGGGTGAAGCCATACGCGAAGTTGGGGTCAAGTTGCGTCGACCGTTTGAAGCATTTCAGCGCCTGTTCGTGTTCGCGCTGGAGAGAAAACGAATTGCCAATGGCACACCATGCCTGCGGGGACAGTCGTTCCAACTCGACGAGCTCGTGGGCGAGATTGGCGAGTTCGATCTCATTCTTCAAATGCCAGAGGATCGTGGAATATATCTCCATGTCTTCCAGGCGGGTCGGTGCAATTTGCCTCAGCCGCATGAAAAACTTTTCAGCCTCGACATATTGTGCTTGTTCGTAATATGCCTTGCCGATTTGGGCAAGGACGTAGGGCGTTTCTCGTTGCGCCGAAGGCAGAGAATTGTATATTTGAATGGCTGTTTGGGACTCGTAGTTGGACAAATACAGTTGGGCCGATGCAAGTCTGCCAAACAAATCGAGTAGTGATTGGATTGCTTCGAGCTCTTTGGCCACAAGTGATTCTGCCCGAACTTTGGCGTTGGGTAAGGGAGGGACTGGAGGCACATTCGTCGACTTTTGCTCTCTGCTGTCCACCTCCATTGCATCTGCTGACCCTGTCCTCGTCCGGTTGCCGCTCACTACTCTGCCAACGGTCGACGAATTTGCGGTTCGGGCTCTTACGGCTGGAGCCTTGGCCTTTTTGATGTCTCGGCCTTCGCGTAAACCCAGGGTGTTTGCTAATGAAGATATCTTGCTTCCTGTCGTGCTGCTCGCAGTAGGTGGCCTCGTGGTGTTGAGTAATCGATTACTCCTTCTCGTGCCTTCGGCGGTTGCAGAGGCATGATTTGTGGGCGCTGGCTGACCTGAAATTGTTCTCTTAGATGGTGCAGCCGGTGGAGGAGGAGGATCCTGTAATACAGTCGGATCGTCTGTGGGCTTCGCTTTGGCTCTCATTCTCGCAGATCCTGTCTTCCACCTAGGAGGAGGATCTACGATCGCTTCAGCAGCGCTCTTCACTTTTCGAACAGGTGCAGCAGGCGGTTCGTGCAAATGACCGATGGGGCCTCCGTGTAACACGCCATCATCTGTCTCTGTATCCGCCGACGGCGTGTTCAAACTCTCTTCGTCTAAGATTGTACTGGCAGTGTTGACGCTGATCTTACTACCATTGAGTTTCTCCCAAAGAACAGAGTTGTTTCCATTCGGTCTTTGGGAGGAGACGAATGGGTCCGGAGGAAGCTGGCTTCGGTCCTGATTGACATGATTCGATGACGAGTTCTTTTCGGTAGCCGTTTCAATCTTTGCTGTTTGTTGTTGTGCGAGATGTGTGGCATTTATGACTTCGGCGGACATTTTGTAAATGTTCGGGGCACTGACTTTTGCGCCAGAGTCGGCCAGACCTGTAAATGCATCCCACATAAAAGGATTCAGCTTCAGCGCTGCGGCCCAACACTCGACCGCTTGATCGAGGTTTTTCTGAGCCTTCCACAGTTTTCCCTTGAGACACAAGACGGCCGCCGCGTCGGGTAGATGTTGCCTTCGCGATTCATTATGTTGACCCCAAGCGTTCCGGTTCTGCCACAAGTGTTTGCTCTTCTCTAACGCTGTCAGCCCGTCCACAAAACGGCCCAACTCGAGAGAGGCTTGTGCAAAGACGTAGCTACAACCCAGATGTAAACCTCTCAATCCTGCAGATCGGCTTGAGTCCCAGGCTGCCTTGGAAAAGCCAGACTGGTATTGGCAGTATGACAACAAGTATGCGGCTTCGGGAGATCGAGGTTCGAAAGCTACCAGTCGAGCAGCCAGGAAGAGGGCGTTTTTGAGAAGATTGTTGTCGAGATGATAATAGATTAACTGGCGCAGCTGACCAGCGACGTGTACTGCTGTAGGAGCCATGATTGCATAGAGACGGTATTAAGAATCGCTGCAGAGGATGAGAGCGCTCGGCACGGTTTAGAGAGTCCTTCTAGGGAAGAAACACGGTGGTAGTGGCATGAACAATGCGTGGTGTCAGTAGTCAAAACAATGCGGCGCGGTGGAACTGATCATATCGTGAGGCCGAAGTGAAGTGTCGTGAAATTATCGTCGAGGCAACAACATGGTATTGGCATTAACTGTAGGTGTTACGGAGTAAAGTCGAGTATGAATAACAACTGGGCGGTTACTGTGAAATGTTGCCGTTGTTTTGAAGGCGGCGGCGATGGTCGATGGGCCGTTGCTGGTCTGCGCTGCGCTACAGAATAATGTGGCTGGAATGAGGCACCGTCACTATTATTTACTTACTATTCCGTACTATGGAGCTCTAAATATCGCCTGTGGTGGGGGATTTTCTACTTACAGTACCATTTATCTATTCAATACTCTCTCTGTGTGGACAATTAATATATTCGAACTTAGCAAAGCCACTTCCTACTGCTTGCAGTGACTACTACTGCCTTTCCCTGTCCTCTATCACTCACCTTCTCAAGGGAACGCTGACACATCATCGGACGCCTTGTGCACAATCAGTCCTGCTCGAGCACACGACTCCTAAACACCTCTCTTCGAGGACACAATATCCTCCCGGCATGGCCAAAGTACGTTGGCAGAGACATATCTATATATCTTATCTAACCATTTGCTAGAAATCAGCAAAAAACCTCACAGTCCGCAATGCTAGCCGGCTAAAACAGACACATCTCATCACGGCTGCCATAAATATAGTCTTCCTCCTCCTACGCTTTACCCTCCGACGATCGTTGTCCCTCAAACGATATATCCTGTTCTCCTTACCAGGACTGATCATCGAGTTCTATCTTGACCGTGCAGCGAAACCTACCTATGGCCCTGATGGAACAATACGCAGTGGAGGAGAAGACCTTGATGCGCAAGGTCTGACTGAATTCATGTGGGATATTCTCTATTGGACATGGATAAATCTAATTCTGGTCATAATCTTTGGAAATCGGGCATGGTGGTTATACTTGATTGTCCCAGCTTACGCCATTTACGCTGCCGTTACCACCGCGAGCGGACTGAAAGGCATGTTGGGTGGCATGGCTGGCGGTGGTGGAGAGGGAGCCAGCATGGCGCAGAGTAAGAGACAGGCCAAGATGGAGAAGAGGGGAGGTCAACGTGTTGCATATCGTTGACGAGATTGTCCATTGTTCAATGAGTGCAACATGCAGAATGAATAGATGGAATCTTAATACATTTGAGGATATCCGTACAAACAGAATACAGAGAGATACAGCAATACAGCAACACAATGTGGGGCAAATGATTCGGCGCGTCCCAAGTCGATGTTGTCATTTCTTCATCGTCCGTTTCGACTGCGTTTGTCCCTCTCTCCGCTTCTTGCTTCCCTTGCAACTGGGTGTCAAACATCACACGCATATTCCCATTCCATTCTCTCCACGTTCATGACGATGTCTTTCACGAGATGATGCGAAAGCCTCTTTGCAAACAATGGCAGACTCATACCCTTATAACAGTCAACTTGTAGGATGACGGCACCCCCTTTGGATTTCCTTCCCCGGGGCGTGTCTGTACTGACCACCGAATTTTCCCCAGGATGCCTTTGAGCTCTACCACCAAGTCCAGGAAGAAGCTCGATCCTCTAGATCATCCTCTTCACCCAATGCCACGCTCCTCGAAGCCCTGGGCCATGCCATCTCCGGCTCCGTCGGCGCCTCTATATCCAATGCCGCCCTCTACCCGATCGACCTGATCATAACCCGCCTCCAGATCCAGCGACAACTACGCGGCAACGACCAGTCCCATCCTTCCGACACCGAATACAAATCCTTTGGCGATGCCGTCCAGAAGATCTACGCGAACGAAGGCGGCATCGCGGGTCTGTTCACGGGTCTGGCACAAGACACCGCAAAGACCATTGCCGACTCCTTCATCTTCTTCCTACTTTATAGCTACTTTCGCAACAGACGCCTGGCCGCCCACTCCGACGCCCACTCACTCCCCGCTCTCGAAGAACTATCCGTGGGTTTCGTGGCCGGCGGTCTGACCAAACTCGCAACGACACCCATTGCCAACGTCGTGACTAGAAAACAAGCCGCGGCTCTGTTGGCCGCGAAGGAGGACCTCAGGGATGATCGAGGTCACTTCCATGTCCCCAGCACCCAAAAGATCATCCAGGATATCCTTTCGGAAAAGGGCATCCGGGGTTTTTGGTCCGGCTACTCTGCCAGTCTCGTCCTCACACTCAACCCCAGCATAACATTTTTCCTGTTCGAGAACCTCAAAAAGGTCGTCCTCCCTCGACACCGCCGCGCGAACCCTCCGCCATCTTTGACGTTCCTCCTGTCTGCCCTCAGCAAAGCTTGCGCCTCCAGCATCACGTACCCCTTCAGTCTCGCCAAGGCACGCCTTCAGGCCGGTGGTGCTCCCAAATCCTCTTCCTCACCCTCATCCGAGAACGACGCCTCGACCGAAGAAGAAAAGGTCGTCCAGGAAGACGTCCCGACTCGTGAAGACCGCGCCGCTGCACGCGCGACCATCTTTTCCACCGTGCTCACCGTCGCACGGACCGAAGGCGTCCCGTCTCTGTACGAAGGGTTGCCTCTCGAGATCGTCCGCGCCTTCTTCTCGCACGGCCTGACGATGCTCGTCAAACAATCGATCCAACGACTCCTCGTGCGCGCCTACTACGTCTTGTCCATCGTCGCGGGCCGGTACCAGAGGAAGGCCCACCGCGGCGCCGACCGCCTGTCAGCCAAGGCCAGGGGGAGCGTCGAGTACTACAACCTCGCCATGGCCCGCGCGAGCCAGAAGATCGAAGAGACCAAGACCGTCGTCCAGCAGCGCGCCAACGAGACTGCCGAGTTTGTGGCCGAGTACGTCGAGGAGGAGGACGGGCAGTGGCGGGATCTCTACGGCACGGTCGGGCTGGCGAAGTGGTTGGACAAGGACAGGGGGTTATGATTGATGAAAAACGTCTCGATGGCTTCGAGGTTATGACGTTGACCTTTTTTTCCCCCTTCTTTTCTCATGTACGGAGTGTAGGCAGTATGTACGGATAACAATCATGGAAATGGTGTACCCACCTAGCTATTTTAAGTGATACTCGGGCCTAATTTTAACAATTCAAAGTTGGATGCTTCATACCTGTACAAATGTATAGATTTTGGGTCATTTCCATGTCATAAAACTCGCAGTTTCAATGGAGAGACATAACGACAGAGACTTGCTACCAAGGGTATTATGTATCGACAATGAACAAAACAAAACATAAAAAAAGGAGGCGGAAGACACCAAGTACCTCCTCTCCTAGAACTGGCAGGCAGACAGGCACACCTCGAGTAGGTTGTAAGTATATACTCCGGTATAATCAAATTCCCCGTCGTTTCCCTTCCAAATCATGCACCATTGCCATGTGATGATATCCGTTGTCCCTTTGACCAAAAGGACGCCCATGAGAACAAAAAAAAGCCAAAGCAAAGGGCAAAGCATCGTCCTTCCGTCGTCATCAAGCCATCAGTCTGACCAAAAATGAAGAGAGGCAAGAGCGAGATTAAGAGGATGAGACTCTGTGTGTGCTCACTCATCAACCAAATTCGTTTTGGGAACCCCTTAATCTCAATCTCATTTCATGTCCCCATTGCTCAAGGTGACGTAGCGTAACTCCCGCCCATCAGCTCACACTCCAAAAGCTCGATCATATCATCATCAGCAGCAGGCCGCGAATGAACCGAGCAGCAAACAGGTTCACATGTTCACATATGTCCGTTCGATGATCTGCTCAAGCCCTCATACTCGTGCGTCGTCTGAGCCCATTTGCTACAGCATGCAACTCCCTAGCAAACTTCTCATCTACATCCAAATCGCTTTCGGCCGTGCTAGCTCTACTGACAGGACGAGCGGCAGATATAGAGATCTCTGTGGACGCACCTCGTCCACGCAGCATGGCTATCGCGTCTCGATGAACAGTTGAGGATGTGTGACTGGACGACCGTCGACTTTTGGGGTTGGTCACGATAGTTTGTGCGCTAGCGGCACTCGATGCTCGTCGATTGCTTCTCGGAGGTTTAGGGTACGCTTTGGTCGGCGATCGTTTATCTTCCGGCGTGTACCGTTCAACCTGTTTCGGCTGCCTGGACGATTGCCTCGATCCTGGTGTTGAACTGGCGATTGCCGAATAGTCTCCGTTGACCGAAGAGCCGGTTTTGATTGGGCCTGGAGTGGCAAATGCACTGTTGTTTCTCGAAGTGGTAGCCTCAGCAACATCGCCATCGACCATTACGACATCTCCCGCTTCGTGTTCATTTTTGATATTGACCGTTTCAGTCGCTTGAACAGCAATTTCCATCAACGATGGATCTATTGGCATTTCATCCTCTCCATCACCATCGTCGGCAGGTTGAACATCGTCCATTCCGTTCTCCATATGTCGAGACGCATCATCGGAATCATCAATGGCGTTTTCCACAAAGGCACCAGGGGTATGGAAACTCTCTTCAAGGATTTCCTGTCCGAAGAGAAGAGACTCGCCATTCACCAAGGACGGATCAATAAGATCGTCCATAGATTCGTCCGACATCTTTACGCGTTTGTTGGGTCCATTGTCGTCACTCGGTCGAGAAGGTCGTTTTGAACTGCTCGACCCTCGAGGCTTGGATGGTTCTGCTGCTTTGGCGGGATCAACCCGACCGTATTCATCATGTACGCACCGACGCTGGAACTTCGTCAACATTTACTCACCAAGGCCATATCATGAAACGTACCTTGCTTTTGCGACATTCTTCGCAGGCTTTTGTTCTTCCCTTCTTGGAACTTTGCGGATCATTGGACTCGACGCCATTCACTACACCGTCTGAAGCCGCAGTTTGGTCAGAAGTGCAATTTCCTGCTGTAGTGTTCTTGGTCGATACTGCTCCAGCAGAGAAACTTCGCGGTCGGATCTCTGGCGCAGGCCTAGTGGGCGTCTCACTACCAGATTTGTGTTTACATTTGATTCGACGTTTTCTGCAGTTTTCGCATGCGGATTTGCTGCTACTGCTCTTGGACCCTGATTTTGAGCTTTGCCTCGTCGGGATGACAACGCTGGGTGATTCGGGAGGACTTTGTGTCCGACTCTGAACCTGTGCGGCCTTTCGTGCTGAAGTGCGTTCTCCTGGTAGTGAATATCTTTCGAGTTTTTTGGTCTTGTCGATTTGTTCACTCTCGAGGGCACCATCAGAATGTACCCATTCTGGAGCAGTGACGTTTCCAATCTTCCAGGCAATCCAGATTGCAAATCGTTTGGTCATAAGTAGAGGATCACTGCATTCTTTTGGCACTGAATTCTTGACAGCATCGACCTGTTTCTTGTTGATATCCGCAACAGGCAGGCCGGCATGAACTCGAGCAGTCCGGTAAAGATAGTCTCTTAATGACGGCCATCCCGTCACTTCTGATTTCGGGTAGTATCTCGAGTTGTGTGCCGGATCCCCTGGTGCCGCTGTATTTTCCAAATGACCAAGCTCATGCCACACCGGGTTTGCGCGTAAGAATGTATAATCCGGATCTTCCTGAAAGTCCTCCACGACTTCTTCCGGAACCGGATCGTCTTCCAAATACTTCATCAATGCATACCACATTACTTTCTGGAAGAAGGGGTACCGAAACTTGGCTGCGACTTTTGTTGCTTTTTCAACATTAAACACCTTCAGCTGTGTTTCAAAGTCGATGCGTGTTAGGAAATTTCCTCCGATAACAAGACTGTCTTCTGGTGTCCAAACTGAATGGATCCAACCAGCGGGAATGAAAGCAGTATCCCCTTCGTGAAGATCAACTCTCGTGACATTGCCGTTGCATAAGTCTCCCAGCCAGGTGTCGTTCTGAGCGTCTGAGTTGCACCATTCCTCATACTTCTTGAGATACCTATCCTCAGGCGGAATGAAGAAGAACGTCTTGGTTCCCTTGAGAATGTGATAGTACACCGACGATCCTCCGAAATCGATGTGGAAATCGGTATAGCTATCAGCGACTGACATCAGGCAATAGAATTGCACAGGTCGTTTCTTTGCTCGTGTTTCTGCATCGAGCTCCCAAACATTGTCTTCAAGATCCAGTTCTCGTACGACGGTTGGACGTCGCAAGAGCCGGCCCAGCGGGCTGTGTGACACTTCCAAGCTTATCACGTTACGAATAGGCTTCTCGCCCTGCTTTTCATAGTAGTCAGCCCATTCTTTCAAGGTCCATTGTCCTCTAGTCTCTTGGGTCTTGACATCAATAACAGGGACAAATTCGTGTTGTCCATAAAGCTCTGCCACCTTCCGAACAGTTAGATGGCGTGGAATGACCATACCGAGCAAGTCTTGGTCACAGTCGATGACTTCGTCTTCAACTGTTTCAATTGGACCCTCCACTTCGTGGACCATTGGAATTCCTTCTTCATTGATCACTGTGGATGAAGGGTTTTCCGGCTTTGGACTGGCCTGTCGTTTCGCACCGAATCGTGGGTTCCAGCATGCCGGAACTACAAATGGTCGCTTCATTCCCTCGAAGCTTTCCATAAATTCCACTGTGAGCAGCTCCGGCCGTACGCGTGGGAAGTCATCTGGTAGAAGCTCGATCTTTCCCTCTTTGATCGGCTGTATGTAATGATGCGTCAATGTATCTTCCGATGGTTTGACAACGCCCTGGTTGAGGTTGACGTAGTCGACGGCGGTCCTCTGCCTCGCCGACTTCCGTACGTATGTGGTCTTGCCATGCACTGGTTCGCAGTCCTTACAAACATATTTATCGACACTTCTTGCTTCGCTTTTTGTTTTGAATCCTGCACACTTTTCATGGAACCACCTCTCGCAAGGGCCACATTGTATCCAAGAAATCTCAACGTCCTCTTCGTTGGTGGCTTCCGGTTGGAGGCGGTGACAGCCTGCGCAGGTATCTTGTTGAACCTCAGGTCTGACTCGTCTCTGTTTCTTAGGAGGCGCGGTCTGGGCCTGGGTAGACGGAAGGCCAGACTGCACGTGCGTAGCTGTTATATGGTTTTCGTGGACAGTCTCCTCGCCTGAGATCTGTCTCTTTGATAGGTTGGAAAGCCTCCGCGCAATGTTATTCTGTTCCGACACAAGAGCCTGTCGAGCATCGGTGGCTTGATGTTCCTTGCTCGCGGTCGGGTCTCTGTCTCTCCTATCTCTTTCTGGACTCTTGTGCTGCGATGCTTGCACAGCTGCCGTGTCTTCCACATTCTCGTCTTCCCAATTCTGCCTCGACAGGGGTGGGGACGCTGCCGGCTCATGCAAGACTGCAGATGGTAAAGACGGCGTAAGATGTTTGAAATTGACTTCGTTCTTCAAACTCAGCAGGAGCCACGCGTCTTCGTGGGTTATGTCTCCCGCACTGTCATTACCGCTTGTTTTCGGTCTGTCCGCACGGGGTGACCATTCAAGGTTAGGGAGCCGCTCGGACTTGATTCGTTTCGAAGGAGGCTCATTGAAGTGCTCATCGAATGTGAAAGATTGAACATAGGAGGTTGAGGGTCGTGTCGTAGAGAATGGGCTTCGTGTGGAAAAGGAGGGAGATCGCTGTTCGACGGCCGCAGGGCTAGTCGCAATGGCGGCACTCGCAAGGTCATCGATGGTCGAACCAGAGCGTGTATGGCCCTTCTCTCGAGCTTTCCGATCATCTAGAGGCAATTTAGTACTTGTTGACGAGCGGCGTGAGGTTTTGGGTAACTGACGGCCGTTGGCCACGCTCGCTCCTCCGACTACTCGAGCGCCAACATGGGCCGCGCCATCTTGATCGTAGTACAGATGATCTGGCTGAAGAGTGGCTCCTGCATTGTCCGATATCCCTGTTTCTGACAAGCCGAGTCCCTTTAATAAGAAGCCATTTTCTTGTGAGGTCTGAGGGAAAGAGGAGGATACGGGGTGGGTGAACGTGTCAAGGACCGGCTCAGGAGAGAGTCTTTCGATGTCCTGGGGCGAGGGGCGCATGGGACTGACTCCCCGAGGTATCTGAGGGTCTCCGGAAGGACGCCATATGGTAGAGGTAGGCATGATTCTCGGTTCACCAAGGAGGCAGGGAGGCGGGGTTGTTGACTCTAGCTGTGGACGCGGTCGAAGGTGAGAGAGAGCCCGGAGCGAATTTGGCTACATTGGTGAGAGAACATTTGTCAAAATAGGAGAGCGTTACAAGAATTGGACTGGGTGCAGCGTTTGGATCGTGGTGCGATAGAAGGTGTAGCTGGTTGTTGAAAGGCGGTTGCGGGAGAGGTTGATGACTGCGGTTCTAAACTCTTTCGCGCGCTTCGGCCAAAAAAGCAGCGACTCGAGCACTGGCCGCGCCACAACTTCAATTCCTAGACTGCACTGTAGTGAACCGAAATTGTTCACGAGCACGTTTGAGTCAAAGTGATAGCGGTAAGAAGTCAATTGGTCGCATTGCGCCGCTCCTTTGCTGTTGATTCTCCCTGTTGCGAAGGCGCAGGTATCTCTCGGCAATCCTCCGCATTTTCCAACTTCATCACCACAAATCTATTGCAAACAACACCGACGGCATCAATCACACCATCTACCCTCTCCGACACCTCATAGACTCCTCTAAACGCTGAGAACACCTTTACTTCACCCTTCACACTCCATCAAAATGTCCCGCAGCAACAAACTCGCCCCCGAGGCCAACCGCATCCTCTTTGTCAAGAACCTGGCCTACAACGTAGACAGCGAGAGTCTGTGGTCTTTGTTTTCCAAGTTTGGAGGTGTACGCCAAATAAGACTGGGAAACTCGAATACTACAAAAGGAACAGCATTTGTGGTTTACGATGAGGTGCTAGATGCGAAACAAGCCTGCGACAAGCTGAACGGGTTCAACTTTATGAACCGCTACTTGGTTGTTCTGTACCACCAGCCTGAGAAAATGAAGATCGAAGTGAAGGAAGATATTGCTGCCAGGCAAGAGAATCTTGAGCGCATGAAGCGAGAACACGGAATCGAGTGATTTCTCAATAAGCATACGATGCAGCCAAATCTGCTCAAGTATCTACTATATGCTAGCAGAAAGTTCGGACACATGCAAAAATCTCGACCTCAACGGCGTCGGTGGCATTGGCAGATTCCCACATATGCCTCTATTCTTCACGAAGAGACAGCTCACCGTTGCTAGCGACGCCGCGCGTGGAAAGCCATCAATCTCAAGATCTAAAGGGACTGCGCAGATGGATTGTGGAAGGCGAAAGTGGCGGAAGGCCGGGGGAACAACGAATGCGTCGTTTTAGCGACGCGAACAGGATGACGATAGTCCTTACTATATGAGAAAGAGAAGCAAGAGCCTTGAGTGTGAGGGAGCCGATATTACAGGGATCCCCGTCAGACATAGATAAATTTTCGTCTTCTGCGAAAAGACAATATTGCGCCCAACAACCAAGGATAGTTTCCTTTCCGAGAGTCGCGGCTTTGGCATTTTGATCAATGCTGTTATATGCGTAGCCTTAATCTCTTGGGGGAACTTTTAGGATGGCAAAAGAACGGACTGTTGAGTATCTGTTAAATGATTCGATACATCCCGAGATCTTTGAGCCATGATAGACAGAATAGTTGCCAGGTTATCCCCAGTAGAGCTGCCTCAAGTCACGATCATGCAGGTATCAATCCCGAATTACTCGGAGGGCGTGTTCTCCCGACACCTATGCCACTTGTCAGCATCCAAGACAGAATCTATCGGAACAAATAGCCACGACGAAATCGTACCCATTTCAAGACATTGTAATGATCGTGGATGCGCCCGTTGTGATGCCGACAGTGGCAATCTCAAGGGCCTCAGAATCATGTCAAGAGTGAGCAAAACAGACCAACTGACCGAGTCCACGATTGCAGCTGGGTGACACGATGCCACTACAACGCAACATCGATGTCCGCCAGGCCTTTGACAATGATACTGTTGAGACCAAGCGCCTCAGCGAGATCCTTAAAAGAACCCATGCCTGCTTTCGTCCATACAAGGCTACCTATAGGCAATTAGGCAAGGTGGTCTCCGGTATCTCACAACCTCGTTTACTCACTTCGTACGAGTAGGGGTCTGTTGTCGGACAGTAGCCACACGTCCATTGAGCAACCAACCAGGGTATGAATAAAAGATCCGTCGTGACTGTGAGAGTGATGGCTGTACACCGTACACCGGACTCGTACGCCACCACGCAAGTTACAGTCGAGATGTAGGGCGACGATTCACGGGGGGTTGCGGCGGGCTGCCATGATTGCTTACCAACTCCGCATGCAAGTGTTTGCTGGTTGGGACTTGGCCACATTCCTGGGGTTGCCCTGTTCTCGATGCCCGATGATTGCATCCAGCGACATTTCGTGTGTCCGTGGGACGACGCACTGGGGGTTGGTGGCCAGGTCAACACGGGGAATGCGGCTAGGTCGCCCACGACAGGTCGACTATGTGATGAGTGACAAGTTGACAAGTGACAAGCTGGCAAATACGATGGCTGCTGGCCTAACCCGCAGGGGTAAGTGGCGGCGGCGGATGAAGGTGACACAACCGAAAAATGGCCAGCAGCAGCACCGTTTGCATTTGCAGAGGGGGGGATCACAAGAGAGATGATCCATACATATACGGAGTACGGAGTACGGATATGGAGTATCCATGGTACGAGTAACAGGGGTCATGATCCTCCTCGTATTCCTCGTATCCGCCGCGGATGATATTTCTTGTTTACTCCCGCAGGAAGAAAGGCGATAGGAGAGGAGTGAGTGGTAGGCCTCTATCTCTCTCTCCTGGCAGAGAGAGATGTGATTGTACAACTGTCAGGCATCAACCAGGGGAAAACCAATTAGCCACTTTGCAATTGGGTACAATAAGGTAGTCCGTAGTCATATCCGTAAGCAACATTTCGCAAAGGCAAGGGTGAAGTACGGAGCAATAATGGTCTCGAAAAAGGAACTGACCACGGAACTGGATCTGAATGGTCGCATCCGCGGTGCAAGCCTGGAATGAGCCGCCATCCCCCCGTGCAGAGGGCCGTTGCGTTTCTGTTTTAGCTCCCGGACACATTCCCGCAACAGACGGCGGCGGTTCCAATCCCCACTTGACCTTCTGTACGGAGTACCTACAGTATAGGTAAACAAGGAGTAGGGATGGAGATGGGGATTCCGGGGGCTTTTCAAACAATCGCTAAGCAAGCCCTCGCGGCCCTTCTGGCGTCGGATGTAGACCTTCTGGCGTCTCGGGATGGACAACTAGACTCGCCCTCAAAGGCTTCCGCTTCCAAGTTCTTGGGAAAGTAATGCCCAACGACCCAAGGAGAGCCCACTTGTCTCCTGATCTTGTTATTACTCCGTAGCTAGCTTCACTCTCCCTTACGAAGACCAAGAAGCTGACGTGGTTGGAGCCTCCCACCTATTGTAACTGCCCCTTGTTCATTCATGGGCCGCTTCCGAAGTTTCTTTGGGTCGCTCGGGAAAAGTACCAGACGTCCACACCGATCTTGACATCGATCGCTCTCATGCCAGTATGTAATGTGCGAGCTACTACTCCGCACGGATAGGCGGTCGGCGCGGATCATCGTCCAGTCAACAAGGGCATGATGGGCGGCGGCGATCCATCACAGGTCGGTGCATTCCAACCTGACGGCCTAGTACCAAGTCTAAGACGAGTAATACTCCGTACGTACACAGTATCATACCTAAAGTCCAAGGCCACCAGCGACAGAGCCGGCAGGTTGAGAGAGACCAACAAGGACGACACACGCTGTTCAGGCAGCAACAAAAGACATGGCAAATAGATGTACGGAGTCAAGCAAAGACGGAATTACCATACATGAATAATGCTTGCTCATTTCCCAGATAACCCCTGTAGGCTCCCCGCCAGGACTGGCCAGCATGTGTTGGTCCAGGAATCCCGAAGGGATCCAAAAAGAACAATGCCACCCTCGTGGCTCCGGGGAAACAACTTCTGGCGCATTTGGGGTCTGTTTGCAATTGACCAGCCGGATTCGTTTGAAATGTGACATCCCACGTCGCCTTTCACCGCCATATTTGTGAATTGATGAGTGTCCCAGACCATTTTTTTCTCCCCAGGCGAAGGGGGTATTTGACTACCGTCACATCCTGTTGGAAAAGTGCGGCTCCCTTGCTCCTGAAAAATCTCCCTCATACAATACACCCAGCATCTTCTTTGCACGCAACTCATAAGTAAACCGTGGCCCCGTCTCCAGTTTTCTTTGCCGATCAGAATCTTTCTCTTCATCGGCTATACATCGTACCTGCAGCATAACTCACCCACTTTACGCACGACATTCCTCCATCTCGACCCGAACGATAACCATCAGCCCATCACCGTTCGGTAAGTGAACCTCTCCCTCAGGACCTGCTTTGACTGATCGTGGCCGTCTAGCATCACAGCCCCTCATCATCTACGATCCGCCTACACCGGAACGAAACATGCCATCTGAAACCATGCAACGATCATCCTACCGATCAACCGTTCTCGCATCAGAGAACTCAAGCAGAGATATTCGCAAAGCGGTTGAGGCTTCCCCACGACCAAAATACGCCTTTTACTCAGAGCGCAGACAATTTCCTGAGCATTCGCCTCCACCCCCACCTCCATCACCAGTGCATTGGAACCGTGATAAGCACGACCGTTAGATCGGTCGTTTACTCCCAACTGCGTTGGGTTCTGTGTCGTTTGCTGGAAGGGTGGTGATAGCTGCAATGTTGGAGTTTGCTTCTGAGACGTCATGTATTAGGTTTTCATATGGCAATACCTTGCCCTTGTTGGATTTTGGATTGAGCAACATCACGGCGTTGGAAAAGCACATGAATTTGCAATATTTAGTCAGTTTGACTCGAAGGTAGTGGAGCGTCTTTTTGGGGATTCTGGTCTTGTCCCTTTAGTCGAGAATAGATTTCCTGAAGCTTTGCGAAAGCATTTCCATCTCCGTTGAGCACCTTCCGAGTAAGAGTTTCGAGCTCACCATGCATAGCCTCAGAATGGGCAGACGTTCCTGTCATGGCCGTGTCGTCGTTAGCATAAGCGCGCACAATGTCCCTTTCTCCACGTTGTCGTTTGACGTCCATCAACTTTTCTAGGAAAGAGGCTTGCTTCTTGATCTGAGCGTTGATGGCCGGGTTGGAGTGATGGAAGTCTCCCAGGCTACTGCCATCCAAGATGCGCCCAGAGATGGTCGGGTTGACATCTACGTTGTCGCCATCTGCCATGCTGTGTTTGACCACTTTGGCTTGTTCAGCAACGAGTTTGATTCGTGACGTTCCAATCAGATCATAATTGTCCGTGTGTTTCAAGGGTTTGTCCATGGAGCCAGGACTTGTGAAAAACATGTTGGTACCGATCATATCAGTCCACATGCAGCTGTAGACCTGGCCCTGGTATGAAACTACCGGATTTGTAGTTGGTAAGTCTAGAATCTGGACCCATCTCCCGGAGGCCGACGTATCATTCTCATCACCCTCTACCGCCGATTTCTTGGGTGTGCCCTGGGTTGCCAGATCGTCATTGCCATCGACCTGGTTCTCTGCTGGGCTTTCGGCTGTTTCAAGTCTGTCGGGCGTTTGCGAGACTGAGTCATCGGCTGGTCGTTTGGCAGGGACTACTGGCTTCTGGCCCCCGGGAACTGTTGCGCGTGTTTTGGCATTCAAGGTAGAGAGGTCGAGATCCACGAGGAACGTCTGTCAGAGAAATATAAGGAACGGCCAAAAGGAGGAAGGACGCAAATTTGACATCATGCGATTCCTACCTCTGTATCATTATCATCATACTCATATTCGTATTCATCGTCCGAAAACATGGTTGGACTAACATTCTTCAGAGCCGCTTTAGCTATGGCAGAGCGATGTCTTTTTTCTTAGGGCATTGTAGGGAGGTAGCATCAGGATGGAGGGCAAGGCTTGAATTGAGATCTTCGGAAAATGTTTCTGCAGAGGCCATCACGTGCACTCCGGTGAGGCCAGTGCACAGTTAGGCGGCATTACTTTGATCCGGGCTGTTTCTAGTGCCATCGTCCGCACAGAGTCACTTCCACTCAACCAGTCGAACATCAAGCAGATCTAAGGGTAACATGAGAGACAACGGACTACAAGATTATGGTCCACTCTTTCAGGTACACACTCAGGCGGAACACTCTTTCAGGACTTCCGGTGCTGGATTAAATCCGAAAAGTATTGGTACACACATGCGAATGGCGTGCACCAACCAAACCTCGGATTCACGGTCGCCTTGCTAGTACTGGTACTCAAGCTCTGCCTCAAGGGCCGAGTCTCACGGTAATTGACATGCAAAGCTCCACGAGATTGACCATCAGCCTACCTGGTTCGGATCAATTCAAAGTTGACTTAATTCTCTTTTGGTGGACGGAGGCGAGCGGGCTGATCGATTCGACTCGAAAGAGAAGTGATCTGGAGATCCTTCTGTGGGCTCCAATGGTCAGCCTGCGATCTTGAAGAATCCGACCCATGTGGCTGAACTCAGTACACTTCGGTCTGTTCCCAACTCGGTATCGGGGTCTCAGTACAGACGTCCTTGTATACTCTTAACGGCAATTGTTTAGTCTACATGGAATTTCGCTTCCCTAGCTAGTTTCCAGCCCCAGGCTTCAAAAGGCCGCAAGTCGAAGAGTAGATACCCGGGACGAGCACCTCTCTCCCTTTCTGAGGCAGTGTAGGACTCCTAAGGTATGTGGCTAGGTGGCTAGGAAAGCAGGCCAAACTCGCACATATTTCTGAATGCAGAAACAGGCAAATTACCAGGTTTCAAAGGTACATACGGTCCATACAGCTTCCTTCGTCGATGCACATTTAGCTACCCCATTCTGTGGGACAAAAAGTCAAGTGAACGAACGATGCAACAATTGCCACTGACCTAGTTTGGCCCTTCAGGGTCGAAGGATGATTGACCAACAGGTATAAATACGGTTGGATGATCTTTGATCGGCAAAATGGGACCCATTCAGCAGCATATATATCAGGAAGACACAGGTACTCAACTCAATCTGTAGTATTTCCTTCATTCCAAACCCTTCCTGCATTTCAATAGACACGCCTCTCTCCAAGACATCCAAGCCACAACATCTGATACTTGCCTTCTACTAGAGACATCCTTGAAATCCCTTCCACCAAGATGCGTGTCTCAACCCCTCTCTTCGGCAGCTTGAGCATGTTGCTCCTGCAAGTCAAGGTCAGTCGAGCGTTGCACTCTCCCTCCCAAACCCTAAGTCAGATCATTTCTCTCTGTCTTTTGGCATGCAGCGACGTACATCAATGTCCACGTACATAGACTAATGTCCATGAATATAGGCCCAGGACAGCTCCGATGAGGGTGGTCAAACTATCACCGGCGGGATCTCCGGAAATGGCGGCACTGTAATAATTGACGGCACAACCGTCAGCAACTGCCCTGGTGAGGTCCTCTCGACGTCGACAGGCAGCTTGAATGGCGTATTTTGCTGCATTGAGGAAGACCCCTCGACCGTCAGCGCTTCGATGTGCGCCGGCTACCCGTTTTGTTCCGACTCGACAGCTGTAGCGATGTCCATCAACACTCCATCATGTGTAACCATGATACCTGCCACGGCTAGCAACTATGATCAGCTTGTTGCATCAGCAACCAGTAGTGTCGGCAATGGCGGTTCGAATGGCGGTTCATCGACGGCCGCAGCGTCGCCTGGAAGCACGACCTCTTCAGGGCCACAAGAGACCTCTGCCCAAAGCTCGGGCAGTCAATCAGCCAGTGCTACTGCAACCAGCTCAACGTCTGGTAATGAAGCAGCTGGCATGGCAAAGGTGCCACTGGGATGGATGTGTGTTGGAACCGGCCTGGGTGCTCTTGCTGGCGTTCTCGCAGCCGTCATTTAAGAAGGGATTGCACGAGTCAAGACCTCCAGATAGCCATCGAATACTCCAGGTCCAGCCTGATATCCTACCTCTATTACTCGAGAATGAAAGACCTGATCACCATATGCGGTTTAACCCTAGAGATTGAACGAAGGAGCGAAGGATGCTTTAGCCTGACCTTTAGCTGAGCCCTTGGCTGAGCATCACTCAGCGCTCAGAGAGCGCTTCCTGAGCAAATAAACCGGAGGCCTAATCTGGCCCCTGAAGATCGGGTATATTGTACTTAATTCTCGGCTAGTCCTCCGTTTCACACAGGCGTCAGGGAACCTGGAAGATTCCCTGCCCTTAGGCCGCTGCCTAAATTTTCTCGTAACCTCGGCCGGCAGTGCAGCAGGGTGTCGGTTGAATCGATGCGTCGCAAGTAATGTAATGGTGGTTCAGGCACAATACATGGCTATCTCGTCAATTTGAGATTCCAACGGGGATGCCGCTAAGTTCCAGATAGTGAAGCTCTGTAGAAGGTAGACGAAGCTACAGTTAAAGCTTTAGAGCTCATGGCTCCTGAAGCTCAGGGCGGATCTCCAGAATACGCGAAGGTTTGTAAAATCGTCAGCTTCAAAATAATCCCTTGTTGACCTGAACGGCACGGCGCTCAACTGCTCGAAAATGAGACTTTTAGAAAGCTGCACTCTTTATGATCGAAGATGTCATTCCGCCAGACTTGGTAACATTAGTTTTTCGTCGCTGATGATCGGGTAGAGTTAAAATTCCTTTAGGAGCGATACTCACTCTCGAGCCCATTAATACAAGCCCACCTCTCAACAGCTCAGGCAGACAATGCCTATTCAACATGGTCCGCTGTATGTTTCAAGACTGCCCTAACTAGGCTTGCAGTACGCAGCCCCTAAGCCCGACAATAGATCTTGCACACCCAGGGACGTGGTTACAGTAATCCTTATGGTATCCTACAATAGCCATCGGCTAGGCACGCACACCCTCGCATAGCGTAATCCCTCGTCTAGAAAACGCCAATATTGTTCTTCGGTCTACTCAGAACCTTTAAGCCATGCATGCCTCGACGGGGAAGGAGACAAATGTCTCAACAAGTACCCAAACGTCTTTGATGGTATCTCAAACTTCTCACATTGCATGTCAAATATCTCAAAGTGCAAGGGTGCTAGCAATGTCTCAGTCTGAGGAATGCTTAGGAAATAGGATCTCGAGGTTATACGGACCCTCTCGACGACCGCACCACTCTTGAAAGCTCCTGTCTTCCGTCTTGTACTCAACAGTGCATTGAATAGCAAAGTATCATAGCCGGAACCTTTCAAGGACCCCTTCGAAGTCCCCTTCAACCCCTTCGCGACTTGTTCCAATCGAGCGCATTGCAAGCCAAATTCGTCCTGCTCACAAAGGACAACAAGGACCCTCAATGCAATCATTTCCACTGTCGCTTTGACAGCAGGATGCTTGGCGTTCGTGACATTTTATATCCATGGACCGCTCCCATTACGCGGTATCCGGACACAACTCTCGATTTTCTGATCATCAGCAGCCACAATACCATGCTTGTTTTTCAGATGCTCTCTCATTTCATCAGATGTCAAGAAAACCGAACTATAGTGTTCGTACTTGGAGACATCAAATGGGAACTGACGACAATTGCCATTAATCTCGCGACACACGTACACGTTACAGTTTTCAAAACGCTTCGAATGGCTCGAGGCCGTGGCTCGCTGCCTGCGATTGTTGACGAGTTTCTCCGCCAGCCGGTCCATTTTTTCAAGAAGTCCATCGATCTGATCCCACCCCACGAGCCTATCAATGTCATTGTCTATGTTCGCGTCAGCCGTTCTCTCCCACCTTATGAGATTATCAATGAAGTCGGTCGTTTTCTGTCCATTCGTTTCGATGGCATCTAGCTTGATGGCTCCAAGCTCGCCCTTGAAATTGAGACGAAAATAGTTATTGTTGTCCATCTTTTCACACATTAATTTGTGCGTTTTTTCTGTCTCCGTCACTTCTTTCTTCACTGATGACCATAGAGACCGCGGTCGCTCCTGATCGTCGAAACCCGTGCCGATGCTCACAATCAGTATAGACGGGTTGTCGTCCCTCCTATTGCTCATGATCTGCGACATGACCTCTCTCCAGGCTCTATACGATGGATTATTCGTCCCCGCGCCACCATCGATAAAAGTTGCTCCATTGATGGCTTGTGAGTCGAATTTGAATGGCGCTGCAGTCGTCGCACGACTTGCTTCGAGGATGGATGCCTGTCCGCACTCCAACATAGCGGTAACAAACAAAGATTTCCATGAGCAAGCTCTCATCACTGGGCACCCCGGTTGGACTAGTGCGTGTCCGTGGTATGAATATTTTAACTAGTTCGCCTGATCCCAGACTCAGAGATTGCTAAAGTTGCAAGGCCACGAAGCCTGGGCTCCCAAGACCTGCACGTCTACGGCTGTCTCGGCTCGAACGGCCAATCCTCTGGGAGACACTAGGTGTAGTGGCGTGTCTCTTGCATTTGTCTGCCCTCATTTCATGCTCGTCGCTTTCCTAAGGCTAGACTTCGAGTTCCAGCTGGCATGAAGGCCTGACTATGAGAGGGGGATATGTAGGTATTGATGCCCGACTTCATGTCGGTGGGCATAGACCCGATTTCAGCATGTGACGCTCCTCAAGGGTATTCGTGCTCTACGCCGTTCGTGAACGTTGCCAAGCCGATACCGACTTCACTGGTGATATCTCTATGTGCGAACTCTCGGACACTTTGAACCTACGGTGAGCATGACTGAGCCTCTAGATCAACTCCCTGGGCAACTCCCTGAGTACTCCCTGAGCCGAGGGTAGGGAGCCCGAGTTGGCTCCTTTTGCCTGACTACCGATATAGTTGTCACTTGGCAAAATTCCGAAGCTCTTGTGAGGGCACTCAAACACTTCAGTCAAGGCACAAGGATGAGGAACCCGCTCTAGCAAGCTATTTGGCTATACTTCAGGACAATCAGCCAATTCCCCCCACCCCCCGCCCTTCCCCCCCGCCCCCGCAAGGACAACCAGATCGGCTTTTCGCGCAACCTATTCCCATCAAGAAAGCAAAGCTAGCGGCTGCGCCTCATGTGATCCAAACCAAATCATACACCGACCTCTTCGGCGCGAGTCTGAGTGGCCTGCCATTCACTATGGGAGGATTGCATCGATGAACCAAATGATCAATGATGGAAATCTAAGATATCGACTTGCCAGCGCAAACAATATTCTTTGTTTTGAGTTGGATGCTGCAGGTCTACCCTCTTATGTGCCATGTCTAATAATTCGTGGCATATGTGATTATGCCGACTCTCATTCTAGCGATACCTGGCAGGGTGTAGCTGCAGCTGCAGCTGCAGCATATACTACAGAATTACTGTCTGTAATCAAGCCTATCTCGACACCGGCGGTTTCACTAGTAACATTGGCCAGTTCTAACGTTTCAGGTAAGTTACATCCGAACGACGAAGACTTCGAATCTCTTGCCGTGCCATTGGTAAAGAAGTTGAGCTGTTATCCAATCGCTATCGTTCATGCTGCAGGTTATATGAAATCTCTTGGACAAAACCTTCACGACTATCTGGCAATTTTTCACGAGCAATCAAGACTAGAAGAAAACTCATTGAATGCTCTTCTGGACTCGATGTTGGAGAATCTCCGCAACCATCAACCGGAGGCAGCTGACTTCCTATTCACACTGACATCGTTCAATGTGGAAGAAATTCCACAACGTCTCTTGCAGCCATCTCGCGAGGAGGGAGACAATCCCCCAATCGAGGTCCAACGCTTGGTCGAGATTGGACTACTGTCTTACAGTCCCGACAAAGAATCGTTCTTCCTACATAATGCGGTTGGATTAGCAATCCGCGAGCGCCTGGAAAATACACATCAGGAAGCATACTTTGCATCAAAGGCCTTGGAGTTGATGGCCGACCGGGTAGAGACATGCGAAGCCCTCATACCTGTCGCTCTCTCCACTCTGCGGCAAAAGTTACGCCCATCTTCTTGGGAGGCCCAGGCACTCCTGCTTTTCAAGGTTGGCGTCTTTCAACATAATAAGGGCGAGCCCGATCAAGCTTTTGGGATGTTATCTGAAGCATGCAAATTCTTAAAGGTGAACCACTGTCCAGATGATCAGCCATCAGCAGCTATGGCAAGGGAGGCTTCAGCGTCGGTACTACTTGCGCGTGGCGGATACATGGAAGCCACACAGATTATCCAGGCCACCTTGGAGCAGAAGCTAAAAAAGCTGGGTGATGGCCATCCATCCTGAGACTCTGCGAGTCTCTGTCCAACTTGCCAGGCTGTATTATGAGCAAGAACGGCTGCCTGAGTCGGAAGCCTTGCTGAGAGCGACGCGGGACAAACTTACTCAGGTACTTGGAGTTGCGCATCCCCAGACCTTGTCTGCCACAAACCTCCTAGCGCTAACGCTGTCGGGAGAAAGCCAGTTTGAAGAAGCTGAGGAGCTTTTCAGCATGACGCTGCACGGATACGAGCAAGTAATGGGTCCTGAGCATCCTGATACTTTAGCGAGCATGCACAATTTGGTGTCAGCACTGGTCGCGCAGGACAAATTTGCCTAGAGTCTGATACTAGCAGAAAAGGCCTTTGCATCCGACGAGAAGATGCTAGGTGAAGGCCATCCGGTTACACTGGCAGCCATAAACAATCTAGCACTCGTCTTTGGTGAGGTGGGTTCCGAGTCGGCGGAACACGGCGATACTTACAACAAGGAATTGGCTCAGTTGGAAAGCAAGGCCAAAGACGCGCAAAAGCTATACAGTGCTTTACAGCGATCGAAAGTCCGCTTTGCAAAGAAGACAGTGCGAAACGATATTGCAGGGCGCAATACTCTATGACCTTGTCTCCGGTTGAAAGGAGTCTTTGTCAGCGAAATGAAGCTGAAGAATAGATTCCCTCATAGCCGCGGGCGGTGTTGGGTTACAGTGCGAGCACATACACTCAAGGTTTTGTTTACGATTCCAGAACCGCGAATGCAGTCTCAGCCGTTGTCCATTGATACCATCATGAACAGCCAAAGGTAAGCTGTCATCTTCACTTGTCCATGCGACGAATTCAAGATCGCAGAATCCAAATGTCAATGCAAACAACACATTTTGTGATTACTCGAGAATAGCGAAATTCCGAAGTTTGGGACACGGCGTAACAAGCTACTGTAAGCCACTGACCATCAAAGAAGATTACCTTTCAGGCAGTAGAAAGTAGACTCAAAGACTGATGCAATTTTGATGCAAATAAATCAGTACCTTTGGGGAAGATGTGGTCGAAGAAGCGTGAACTCTGGGCGAAATCGGCTGTACGAGCGAGACCGTGGTGAGGGAATGAATGAACGGAGTACGGAGTACCTGTACGAGTACGAGGCACGCCTAGGGAAGCTTCTTACAGGCTCCAAGAGTAGCCTAGGTTGGGTCTTTACTGTAACAGTATATTATTGTATCTAAGCAATCCTTCCCGTCGCCGTAGTGGCACTGAGGTCAGCCAAACGTTGTGCCGGAAGATGTCATCGTATCGCCCAAAGCCAAAGTTGGGTTTCATCACACACAATTGGCCTTCAGGTTGTCCTCTCCATGTCTCCTCATCACTGGCCTCGTCACCATCTGTTTCTTCACACATATCCGGATACAATCGCCAAATGGGGACCGTGTCTTGCGCGTTTCATCTACCCTTCTCAAGTTCTCTTTGAAACCCTGAATTCTTTCGATTCTTTTCTCGGACAGATGAACACCTCGCTGGTCTAGGGTAAATCAGACCGCTACTACTCGTACTATTGTACTGCACAATCCTGCACGAAGCCCGTAGCAGTCTTGGTCGTGTGGGCCAATCAAGTCTTATCAGTAAGTCCCCTCGTTCACTTCCCAGCGCATCGGACCTAGAGCGATTCCTCCCGCGTCATACACGGATGTTGGCGGAACTGCATATTTATGGCATTATTCATCTACAACAGCGGACTGCCGCTCAATGTTGCATGTCGGCGGAGCTTCGCTCAGTCATTATGTCCGGCTTCTTGCCCTTCTTGAGGCTGTTGTTTGCTCAATGCGGCCATTGATCGCTGGTCTGGCAGCCTTGACGGACGTGGTGCCCTGTTTCCGCCCTACCGCCAGATCCGGGTGGTGCACCACGGTGATCCAGTCACATACCTGGTCTTCATGTCAGATCTAAACCACTCGTGAATATATGGCTAATCCTTTCGGCTCGTTTGCACAGTGTCTTCGATCTTTCATCATCCGCACTCGTTTTCTCGGCTGACAAACGCACTATATACCTCGGCGCCGGGAGCCTCGTTTCTCACTACACTTCCTTTATCTCAGACTTCGGCCAGCCCGACGGTCGACGACAACTCTTTTCCCATTGCGCAGGCGCTTTTGAACACAAACGATCAAACCGACGTCGAGCCGGACGAGTCTGTTGTGGTCGTCGTAGAATCCAGAACGGCAGAGGCCGATCCACAACGCAACCCTATCTATGAATCGGTGACGGACAAGGCACTACAGGGAGAGGAGATGGGTGCCACCAAAACCAAAGCCACCATAGGCGTTCTGTCCACGATCATCTCTTATATGTGCATCAACAGCATATGGAAAGCCACGAATCCAGAGGCGTTCATATGGCAATATGAAGATAAAGAGGAGTCGAAGTGGATGGCTACTTCCAAGTCATGGCTCGATCGAAAGGCCTGTCGGTGGCTCGGAGTTTGTGGCGGGACACATATACACTACGCTTCGGACACGACCAGGTTTGGCCGTCGTCCTGTGATCAAATACAATTCTAAGAAGATGGTCGACTATACACGGGATTGGGATTGGCAGCATGCTTGGACCGAGGGAAATGATAGACCCGAAGATTGGACAGATGATGAGCGTGTTCTTCGCGAGATTCCTGAATATGTCATGGAATATGCCCCACTCGTCCATCTCTACTCCGGCGAGCAATTCTGGCCATGTGATATTGCAGAACACCTCTATCACATCACGCCGACTCTCAACTACACAGCGGTGCAGTCAGACCAGCAGCATCCAACACTCAATGACCTGGACGGTTTGAACCAGTGGCAGGATGGTCGATGGGTCTTCCTCACAAGCAATGATGATGTTGAAGAACGACCAGAGTGGCTGGAGGGGCAGAAGAACATTCCCAACAGACCTTCCAATCCCAATGATCCGCTTGATGACAACGATGGTTGGGTACACAGCCCTGGCCGGACTTATTTTCAAGGCATGAAGGATGCAATGACCGACCTCAAAGACTGGTTTGCACCAGACCTTGAGGATTCGGAGAATGGAGCCGATTTTCGAGAATCCCTCACTGGCCAATCAGAGGCAGACAAGAAGGCACGCCAAAGACATATGGAACTCAAACGTTCAATCCTCGAGAGTCAAGCACCCGGGACAATCCGTGGCGGCCGAAGCGATGCCCCTGCGGTTCTCCTCACCATCAACAAAGGCCATGGTATTGTGGATGCTTTCTGGTTCTTCTTCTACAGCTTCAACCTGGGTAATGTGGTGCTGAATGTCAGATTTGGTAACCATGTGGGCGACTGGGAACACACAGTGGTCCGATTCCAGCACGGAAAGCCGAAAGCTGTGTTCTTTAGTGAACATAACTTTGGATCCGCCTACAGTTACGAAGCCGTAGAGAAGCTCGGAAAACGGCCAGTCATCTATTCAGCCTACGGGACCCATGCCATGTATGCCACCCCGGGAACACATCCATATGTCCTGCCTTGGGGCATTCTGCACGACTTGACTGACCGTGGCCCTCTATGGGATCCGTCGCTCAATTCACATGCTTATACTTATGATTACAAGACGGAAAATCTACGATCCTCGAATGTGACACCCAGTGCTCCAACTGAATGGTTTCATTTTGCCGGCCACTGGGGAGACAAGTTTTATCCACTGGGCGATAAGAGACAATATCGCTTTGCTGGACAGTACCACTATGTCAATGGACCCCTCGGCCCCAAGTTCAAGCACCTTTCGAGAAAGAAGATATGTCAGGGCCCGGAGTCGGCACCATGTGTGATCAAAAATTGGTTGGGTTCAGGCGACAAGATTGGACGGTTGAATCCTGGAAACGAGAATGGAGAAGACGATCTGTAATGACAGATATGAAGACGGCGTTCTGGTTTTAGCTTGCTAGATGTTTTAGCATCATGATACCCTTTGAATTTTGCTGTTGGCCTGGCGGTTCATGATTGAAATTGATTGCGATTTCCTTGATCCCCATCAAATATAGCTATATCTGAGTTCGGGTCTCTCCTTCTATTGCTAGACAAATTGTATGAGACAGGAGCTTAGCGTCAAATTGATTGAGGTTCCGCTCATTGAGGATTTTCCTGTGTACAGCACAGTGGAAAAGAGTAATTCGGCGGAGAGGAACGTTCGTGGGAGTTCGAGTAAGGTCACTGTGTCAAAACTCAAGCGTCGCCTGACATGGCTCAATAATGACGAGGACTTGGCGTAGTAGATTGCCTCCCCGCCTCACATGTTTGGCCACCGTCTGGGACAAAGGGCTGCGCCTACTTTCGGTATTCCCTCGAGTGACTTCTCTTCTGCCTAATCATCACCAAACAGGACTTCTCAGCAGGCTGAGAATCATAAAATTGAATTCTGATGAATCTATCATAGACATCTAAAGCGTTCCCGACGCCCTCTGCCTGCACATGCAACCTCCCGACCTCCTCCCCTCTTCCACGGCAATACACGATGCGCTTGCTACGGCATCGCAAACATCGCCTCTGCTCGGTGGCATCATGACAACCTCCACTACTCTTATGTTTAGCATAGCGACTGCTGCAGCCTCAACTACGCAGGCCTCCTTGTTCCCTCTTACTTCGGCCTTCCCATCGACGCCAGCATCTGTCGCCGACACAGATGACGAAAGCAGCGGCGAATGCAAATTACTCGGCCCTTTTGCCATTCTTATCCAAGGTGCCCTGGGCGCGCTTGCCCTTTTATCTCTTGTATACAAAAGATGGAGAGAAAGACCGCAGCGGCCTCTGAAGATCTGGTCCTTTGATGTATCGAAACAAGTGGTCGGATCGATCCTCCTACATCTGGCCAATCTGCTCATGTCCATGTTTTCTTCAGGACAAATCGAAAGGGCTCTGGCAAAGGCTGCAGCCAGTACCCTCGGTACCGAGACAGATGATGTGTACAGGCCCAACCCCTGTTCTTTCTACCTTCTAAACCTGGCCATTGACACGACGATCGGAATTCCTATATTGATATGCATACTGAGAATCCTCACCATTGGCGCGAGTTACACTCCTCTTGCAAGGCCGAAAGAGTCAATAGAGTCCGGGCATTATGGGACGCCACCCAAGGTTACCTGGTGGTTGAAGCAGTGTCTGATCTACTTTTTGGGCCTGCTGGGAATGAAGGCGTGTGTATTTCTGATTTTCCAGCTGTGCCCTTGGCTAGGCCGAGTCGGTGACTGGGCGCTACGCTGGACGGAAGGCAACGAAGCGGTGCAGATTGCTTTCGTCATGCTTATCTTCCCACTGATCATGAACGCGCTGCAATATTACATTATCGACACTTTCATCAAGAACAACAAGGGTCCCCGAGACGCCGACGCGGAAGATCGGGAACGTGGAGCCGAAGAGGAGCATGGCGGACTACTCGAGGAAGACTATCCCGACCATGGTCACTCTATTGACGAAGATGAGGCATGTAAACCGTCACCTCCGCCTCTCAAGGCCCAGGCCCAATCTCAGAGCAGAGCCATCATCACGTCTTATGACCCGGACAAGGACGGAGAGGTGGATGCAAGTGGCTCCCAGGGGGAAAGTAGTTCGCTCGCAAGTCACGCGGAGGAAGAGGCCGTGGAACATAGGCCGCGCATTTGATTTGGTTTGTACCATTACTGATGTCCATATTGTATGTGTTGAATCCGGGGTCAATGGTGAAGGATCGGAGTTCTGTCGTTTGTTTCGTAACAAGAAAGTAACATAAATGCCTCTTATTGCCCCAGTCTCATCATATGCGGAGAGAGACGGGAGCGATACGGGAAAAGGAATACATTGTTGGGTCAGGAAATCCAGTTACAGCTGCAGCGCCTTGCGACATTTAATTTGTCTTAGTCAATTGTGCATTCTTTGTAGGACTTCTTTACCTCACCGCGTCTTCTCACTGGCCCAGACTCAAGCAGCAGCACCGCTCGAGCCCGCTAAGCCCCGAGGGTAGCCGCGTCAATGGGCCATGATAGGACTCTGCCCTGTCCCTGGAGCAACTAGGATATATCTGGTTACCTTAGCAGCCCCGTGCCTGGAAAAAATCTGGGCTTAGAGGCCGTTCAGTGGCGCATCGATCCAATTGCGGGGGACAAAGACAAGGGCACTGGCGTAATTAGATTCTGAAGTCGCCCCGAAGTCTCAAATGTTTGCAACCATGTGATGCAAGTCGAGGAAAACTCTGCGCAATTTTGCTTGATATAAATAGCGAGGGTAAAAAGGACACGTTTCGTGGTTGGAAGCATTGATCTGTAATCTCACATATAGCACCGTGTTTCAGCCGGTCAGAATTTGGTTCTACTCCGACGATACGGCTGCCGAATGGAAGCCGTGGTTGAACAACGTCAATCAACACCCCGTATCACTCCCAACCAGACTTCTCTCTACCTTGTCTGCGGCTGACTGGCCCTCACAGACGTCGAATACTAGTAGCTGAGGCAGACATACCGTATCAAGTCACTGCAAATACCTCCTACATCCCATACCTTATATCTCTGCTCCGACTTTAATCTCCTTGCGTCATTCTCTTCTCTTGTCCATTACGTCGGAGACTTGCCGCTCATTCCTTCAGCCAACATGGATCGTCAAGTTGTCAATGGCGACGGCGTGCTGAACGCCGCCAAGCACAAGCTGGTTGAGCAGGTCGTTAGAACGCCAGGGCGACAACCCTCACCGCAACCCACCTCACTCGGTGTTCCAGGTGCATCCAGTTCAAACGTCTCCCTGCACCGGACCCTTTCAGCAGATCACAATGGTCCCGGCTATGTGGCTCCCAAATTCGAGGGCAAGAAGGTTCAGATGGAAGAAGGCAAGTCTGCATCCTGGTCAGAAAACCCCGTCGAAGTACTAACCAGACAACAGTCATGGACCTCATCGAAGAAAAGGGCTTCCTCCCCAGCGAATTCATTGCCTCGGAAACGGAATGGTTCTACAATGCCCTCGGCATCGATGACATGTACTTCTCCACGGAATCCGTGGAGGCCGTCGCGAGCAACATCCTCTCCTTGTATGCCGCCAAACTGGCTGCGTATGCGCGAGACGACAAGAAGCTGGAGATCCAATTGGCCAAAGAGGCGGCAGATCATGCGGTCTACATTGATACAAGCAAGCCCGGAATCAGTATGATCGATGGCCCGAGGTACGAGCAGAGAATCGACGAGAAGTACATTGACGGGTCGACCCCCTCAAGAAGCTACCGAGTCGAATCTTTCAGGTCGAATAATGCTCTGCCCGAGAACCCCGAGCAGTCGCTGCGCTGCTATTTTGTCTACCAGTGCCAGTTTAACAATCCCAACCCTAGCCCAGATGAGACGGACATGGAACAGATTGGAGAGAAGAGATTCTTGCAGAAAGCCACCAAGAACACGAGAGAGGTCTACCAGGAGATCATCACATATGCCGTTCAGCGAACGGGACCTGTCATCGAGATGTTCGATATGCAGGGCACGAGAGAGAAAAGAGTTGTTATTGCGTACCGACAAGGCTCTGCCATGGGTGTCTACAGTGCTCTGTCCGATCTCTACCACTATTACGGAGTTACCAGCTCACGGAAATATGTCGAGCAGTTTTCCAACGGCATCACGGTGATATCTCTTTACCTGAAACCCGCAACCAACGACATTGCGAAGTCTCGACACCCTCCCATCGAAGCAGCAATTCATCAAATTATCAAGGAAGTCTCGCTGCTATTCTGTATTCCCCAGAATAAGCTGCAGGGCCAGTTTGCTAGTGGGAATTTGAGCTTGCAGGAGAGTATCTACGCCCACTGCGTTCATGTCTTTGTGCAACAATTCCTCAATCGTTTGGGCTCGGAATATACCTCCCTGGTTGCGGCTTTGAAGGGAGACAGTAATACAAATGCTGAGCTGCTGGCCAAGATCAAGAAGCGGCTGCGGACGGAAACGTTCACTTCGGAATACATTCTTGAGATTATCAACAAGTACCCCGACCTCATCCGAAATCTCTATCTCTCCTTTGCAAACACCCACTATGTGCAGACCAGAGGAGAACAGGACGACTTCATTCCAACCTTGAGTTACCTCCGCCTAAACGTGGAGCAGGTTCTCGACCATAATAGCCTGTCCGAGTTGATCTCACGGACCGTCCACAACCAGCATGACGAGATGGTGATGCAGTATTTCCTGACCTTCAACCGAGCAGTTTTGAAGACAAACTTCTACACGCCCACCAAAGTTGCGCTCAGCTTCCGACTCAAACCAAGCACCGAGTTCTTACCTGAACACGAATACCCTCAAGCGTTGTACGGCATGTTTCTGGTCATCGGATCAGAATTCAGAGGTTTCCACCTACGCTTCCGTGACATCGCTCGTGGTGGTATTCGAATTGTCAAGTCTCGCAACAGAGAACTCTATTCCATCAATGCCAGAACTCAATTCGATGAGAATTATAACCTGGCAAACACTCAGCAACGGAAGAACAAAGACATTCCCGAGGGCGGCTCAAAGGGAGTTATCCTGCTCGATTACAACCACCAGGACAAGGCTCGTGTGGCATTTGAGAAATACATTGATAGTATCATGGATCTACTCCTGAAGCCAACGAGCCCCGGTATCAAGGATCCAATTGTTGATCTTCACGGACATCAAGAAATTCTCTTCATGGGTCCTGACGAGAACACAGCTGATCTTGTCGACTGGGCCACAGAGCACGCCCGCAGCCGAGGAGCACCATGGTGGAAGTCGTTCTTCACTGGCAAGAGTCCCAAACTTGGAGGTATACCTCACGATGCATATGGCATGACGACATTGTCTGTTCGTCAGTATGTGCTTGGCATCTACCGCAAGCTAGGTCTCGATCCAAGCCAGGTCAGAAAATTGCAAACTGGCGGTCCCGACGGTGACTTGGGTTCAAATGAAATCCTGTTGGGGAATGAAAAGTACACAGCCATTGTCGACGGAGCTGGCGTCCTTGTTGACCCTGCTGGCCTGGACCGTACTGAGCTGGTTCGCCTAGCTAAGAAGCGTGTCATGATCTCGGAGTATGACATTTCAAAATTGTCACCCGAGGGTTACCGAGTTCTGGTCGAGGACACAAACATCACGTTACCGTCTGGCGAAAAGGTCAACAATGGAATGACCTTCCGAAACACTTTCCACCTACGCGACGGTTCCAAATACGATCTGTTTGTTCCATGCGGTGGTCGTCCAGAGTCAATCGACTTGCAAACTGCGAGCAAGCTCATCGTCGACGGCAAATGCACGATCCCCTATATCGTTGAAGGTGCCAATCTTTTCATCACGCAAGATGCCAAACTCCGACTCGAGAGGGCTGGTTGTATTCTGTACAAGGATGCGTCGGCCAACAAGGGTGGCGTCACGTCATCCTCGCTCGAGGTGTTGGCCAGTCTTTCCTTTGACGACAAGGGCTTCATCGAGAACATGTGTGTCCACGCCGACGGCACCGTCCCTGAGTTCTACAAGACGTACGTCAAGGAGGTGCAAGAGACGATCCAAAACAATGCCCGACTCGAATTCGAAGCCATCTGGCGAGAACACGAGAAGACCGGCGTGCCTCGATCTAGGTTGTCCGATCAATTGTCCCTTGCCATCACCAAGCTCGATGAGGAATTGCAGGATTTCAAGGAGTTGTGGGACAATGAGCCGTTGCGTCTGGCGGTGTTCAAGGAGGCACTCCCCAAGACACTCCAAGCCAAGGTCGGCCTGGACAAGATCTTGCAGCGTGTGCCGGGCAATTATCTCAAGAGTATCTTTGGAAGTTACATGGCCAGTCGATTTGTGTACGAGTATGGTGCGACGCCGAGTCAATTTGCCTTCTTTGATTTCATGAGGAAGAGAATGGCGGGAGCGATTGCACAGCCGCAGTAGTGAAGTGACGACACGACAGGACGTGAACTTATGATTTGGAGAGTTTTTTGGATGAAAGGAGGGTACTACGGGTCTTGGGTATCGGTATTGCAATAGGTTGGTTCATGGTGTACGTGTGAAGACAAAAAACAAGAAACCAGGGAATCGAAGTAGAAACGAAAAGTTTTGAATATTGTTTGGTACTGATTCCATGCGTTCGGGGAGGGAGACTTAATAAGAGATGAGAAGTGTAGCGAGCGAGCGGTCAAGTAGTGGATTGATTTGCTTTCTACATGTCGTCCTTAGCTACCGATGTACTAATATATGATGTACTTGTGCGACCAATATAGACGCTGTCAGTTCGTATCTGATCGGTGTGATTTTCATCGTCACTAAGAGGAGCCGTAGGCGTGGTCGGTTTGGATCTCGTTTTGGTGTTGTTGTGGTGGTGGTGGCGGTGGTGACGACGATGATTTTGAGGTAATTACATCCATCCCCATTATTCTTGGTGATCTATTTCGGCGAGGATTGAGGTTTCTACTACTGCTGGGGCATTGCGGCCGTATTTCGATGGTGTTGATTGACGGTCTAACTTTCTCAATCTCCTTTTTCTTCGGAACCTTGGGACGGCTCCTGCTGCTGCTGCTGCTGTTGTTGCTGTTGCTGCTTCTTCAACTTTTCCCTCTCCTTCCGCTTGACTTTTTTCTCTCGATTCCTGAGAGTACGTTTTTGACGTTCCAATTCTTCGGTCTTTTGAGACTGTAAAGCCAATTCGGCACGGAGGGCCAGACGACGACGGTTTAGGATCCGTCTTTTCTTGGACGGTCTGGGTCGTGGCAGCCTTGATCGTCGATCGGTTATAGTCACTGCGGCGGAAGATGGTCCATTCGGATCATGAGAAATTTGGAGAGATTTCTCCTTCTTCTTCTTCGGATCTGAACTGGCCACCAAAGTTACGTGGACACATCTCCACGGGAGAGTCGTGCCAGGCCATTTCGTGGATCCGGCCCGAGCGAGAACGTCCGAGTCCGAAAGAGCCGTTTGAGAGTATTGCGACCTCGACGTTTCGATCGTAGCGGTTGGTCTGGAAGATGTAAAGTAGTACCCGTCGGGACGATTGGGACGGACGAAACCTGCATTCTCAAGCGACAAGGTCGATTCTATAAAATCCTCGGGTGGAGGGGTGACACTTAGACGTACCGTCGATTTGGGTCGCCGTTGTTGTAAAGCTCGTTGCGTCGTCAAGGGCTGTTTTGTATTTGTATTCGTATTTGTAGTCGCAGAAAAAGAAGAAGTGGTGGTGAAGAGACGGAATTGATATTCTATCGGTTCTTCCTCTTCTCCTTTGGCGTGGTGGTCGTCATCGTCGTGTTCGACTTGATCCAAGGTTTGACCTTGATCTAGTACTTTCTCCTCCCTCTCAACAGACTTTGGTGTGATGAAATCATATTCGAACCCATAATCGGGCCTGATCACCTCCTCATCTCTCCTCCCTACTTCCTGCGTCTCTTCGGGGGACGTCGACCTCGATGAAGGTCTAGAACTCTCTGGATTATCATCATCTTGTCGAAAGAGGTCTTCTCTCTTGACCCTTTTTGCTTGTGGAACTTCAAACATGCTGAATTCGGTATCCAAAGGAGATTTCCTGAGCGAGGGGCCAGGAACACATGTATCTTGATTTGAATACAGGCCCTGTGAAGTAGAGAGTACAGGGTAGAGAGTTGTGTAGGGCAAAAACATTGGTGGACTTTCTACGGAGAGGACTCGGCAAAATTTCAAAGTACCGCCCGCCTTAGAGCAAAACCTCGTGGCAGCCACCATTTTTATTTTATTATATTCGGCGCATCAACCTTGTTCAGCTTATTTATTCTCCCACGTCTATACGTACGGCGTAAATCATCAATACAAAGTACATATCCTCTGAATGATGGTTACACAATCTCAGCTCTTGTCCTGGATGCTTTCAATGTGTCAGTCGCTCACAATCCAAGGCCAGGGCCAACCCATGCATCTCTGGCTTGAATCCAACGCCCGTTATGGTCAAGTCTGGTCTGCCTGTTCTGCGCGCGGCTGCAATACCCTGCAGATCAAAGTTGCCCATGCACCCATAGACAACACCTTGTGGCTTTCCGCTAAAAGTACCTAGCAGGTAATCATGGTAGGGATCACACTGACAGAACAGAGGCACAGCCTCACGCGATACAAATGAATAACCCCCGGTGGTGCTCTCCTCTACTGCTGTTGCTCGCCTTCGCAGGGATCTACCTCCATTTCCGCCCGCCCTTATCTCGATCGCATTGACACAGCAGCACCCATTTCTTTCATCCCACCATGTCTGGCGTCGGCGAGGCTCTTGCCATAGTGAGCTGCGTCGCCGGGTTGATTCAGGCCTACGATGCCGGTGCTCGTATCGTCCGACAAATCAAGGCTCGTCGACAAGCCCACGATGCCCTACCGCCCTCTGACCTCCTGGAAGAATCGATGGAGAAAGGCAAGAAAGAGATCGAGCAAGCTCTTGCGAAGGGTAATGAGCAATTTGGTCCAACATTTGAAAAGGGAGACAGTATGACTTTGTGCTGGGCTGGTTTGGACACCGCTAATGCTACGACGTAGCGATTGCAATCATCGCCCTGTTGAAGATAACCGTTGATACGCAAAACGCCCTCCTGGAGGGTCTTGCCCAAGCCAGAGTTGACGATAGCGTCATCGACTTTGAAGAGTGTATTGACGCCTCGGCACAGAGCCGCCTCAATGCTGTGATCGAACTTCAGTCGCTGGAGAGGCGCATGTTGGCACAAGAAATAGAGCGAAAGAGAAATGTACTTCTTCTTCAACAGCAAGAAAGTGCTCCTCCAACGGCACGAGCAACTGCATCTGCCGTGGTTTCCGATCCTCGGTCTTCCTTGCAACAGCCGATAGCAGCACAACAACCAGAGCAACCACCTTCCAGCCCATCGCAACAGAAAAACAAGAAGTCCCACACTTTTGGCAGAATCCTTCGTCGCAAAGAAACCGATCCACAGGTTTCCCGGTCATCCGAAGTGACAACTAGTTCTGTAAGTCCTGTGCCAGATACCTCGCCTAGATCATCATCCCAACCAGAGGCCCAGTTTCAACTCCAAGACACTGCTATCTCGAACAGTTCCACCGCCATATGGTCGAGTCCTAGCAGCCGGTCTTCGGTAGGTACGTTTGATTTGGCTTTGCAGCATACACGCCCTCCTGTCCACTTGAACAATGAGCGAGAACATGTTTCGACCGTTTCGAGACAATCGACCTCTCTATCCACATTTTCAGCCGTCACAAACCTGTCCACAGCGTCTAATGTATATCCCATCACCAATTTTGGAGGCTGTTGCAAGTATGCATATGATCTTCGTCAAGGATCAACCAAGAAGGCACTGTGTCGGATCCTTTTTGGCACGTATCATACAGAGGTAGCCTACAAATGTGCCAGCATAAAATGCAGCTTTACGAGCAGAGCCATAAAAAGAAACAATGGCTATCAGATCGATGATCGCGTCAGGCAATTCGCCGAAGGTGTTCGCTATCGGTGGCTATTCCTCGCCAAGTCGCATGTACAGCAGCATAGAGATCAAGAGCAACCGACTTTTCGCTGTCTGATATGCACCCTGTTGGGTGACGACTCTGGTATGTTTGAAGGAATCAGAAGCCTCCTTGCCCATGTTGCAGATCACCAAGGTGCCATTCTCGGCGGTTCTCAGTTACAAGGTCCCATAATATTCTCCAACCACGGTGCAGCACCCGCCTCTGAGAACGACTTCGATATCAGTCTCACTCAGCCTACGAGCACAACGATAGCTGCGGAGCCTCTGCGACACGGAGCTGCAATTGTGGTCGCTGCGAGTGTGCCCATGAATAGGTCTGTCGAAAGTGCAATGTTGCTGAAGGAGATTGCTTCCACTACGACCTATGAGACTTATGATGATGATGATGATGAGAATCCTTGGGTTACTGAAGGGCGGTAGAGGAGGACGCTGCTTTTTTCTTTGCACTGGGAGGAGATCATGACTACTTATGATGGACTACGCTTGTTATGTCTGCAGCACCATGGAGTAGGGAGTGTATACCTAGTATCTGTGGACAGAAACGGACACCACATGTTTATTGTACATTGTTTTATCGAGGACAATTTGTATATGGCGCCATTGGGTGTTTATCATCGGGTTGGCCGGGAAATCTTCGGGAGAAATTTCCTCCGAAGTGGGATGGACGATTACGGAAACACAGTTCAATGGTACTTGATATTAGTTGTTTCCAAATTTCATGATTGATGAATATTGTACTCCATACACCGCATGAAAACGACAATTGTCTTCGAATACTGTGCAGCCGACTAAGAAAGCAGAAACAATCGATTGCTCTCTCCCAGTGTTGACAACTTCCCACGACAGATAATCTCGAAGTTTGACTTTTGACGACATAAGATATAAAAATTTCTGGAGAAATAACACCTTGTCTGTCAGCGTCGAAGGGCCTACGAAAACACTCCGAAACAAATCTACTTTCTGGAGAGCACCATGTCTACAGATCAACGAGATGTTCCTACTACTTATTCAGGTTCGTATTTCCAGACCATGATGCATTTTGTCTTTTTTGGGGTTCGGGTCGCCCATGGAAGTCATCGCCGTGAGGCTTCATTTTACAGAGACAACATGACCTTTGTTTCATTCTTTGAAATCGTTTCTGAACTCGAATACGGGGGACCTTTGCGCATACACTGGTGTCACCTCTGCGTACTGTTCTGAGATGGTCTCCAAGTCCGTCCCCGTCCAGCCTACGCAACGATACATACCTTGATATGATTATGTACTACCGGGTTTCTTTCTCTCTCTCTCTGTGTTTGTGTCTATCTCTCTGACACTTCTCTTTCTCCTTTTTGGTGTTTGACAGGCAAGATCCACATCGCCGTCATCGGCGGCACTGGTCTCGACCACCTCCCACACTTCCACAAGGCGGCGGTCCTGAACGTCGAGACCCCTTGGGGTGCTCCGTCGTCCCCCATCACGGTTCTGGAACACCCTTCCCCGACGACCGGGAAACCCATCCCCGTGGCCTTTTTGGCCCGACACGGCCCCCACCACGAGCTCAACCCGTCTGAAATCCCGGTGCGAGCAAACATCGCCGCCCTCCGCAAGCTCGGGGTCAGGTGTATCGTCGCCTTCAGCGCGGCGGGGAGTCTGGCGGAGGAGGTCAAGCCTCGAGACTTTGTCGTCCCCGACCAGGTCATCGACCGTACAAAGGGCATCCGACCTCACACCTTTTTCGAGGATGGGTTCGTGGTCCACGTCCCGTTCGCCGACCCTTTCGACAAACGAGTCGGTGACGTTGTTAGGAAATGCGGACACAGTCTCGAAGGGGAAGGGGTGGTTTTGCACGACAAGGGTACAGTCATTGTAATGGGTAAGTTTTTGGGGGTTTTTTTTGCATCGTCGTGTCATTACATCGTCCTGTCTTCCTGCCTCACCAGGAAATAGCAAAAACAATGTCCAATGCTAATATACCATTTCTCCTTTGTGCATATCAACAGAAGGACCTCAATTCAGTACTCGAGCAGAATCAAACATGTATCGAAGCTGGGGTGGTACGGTAATCAACATGTCTACATTGCCAGAAGCAAAACTTGCCGCCGAGGCAGAGATCGCATATCAAGTCATCTTGATGAGTACCGATTATGATGTGAGTTCTTGTTTTCTCCTATCTATTCTCTTGCCCTCTCAGGTTTGGCGTATTCTCGAAAGCTGACAAGACACAAACCACTAGTGCTGGCATGACTCTGGAGACGTCTCGGTGGAGATGGTCATGGGTCACATGCGAGCCAACGCTCTGAACGCGAGACACTTCATCGCCGCCGTGTTGGACGAACTCTCAAAAGAAGAACACGGAGATTTGGTGAGGGCGACTCACCTCCAGGGCGCCCGGGAGTTTGGTATCAGCACGGCACCGGCGGGTCGGAGCAAACAAGCCACGGAGAAGATGAAGTGGCTGTTCGAGGGATATTTCGAGTGAAAAACAAAAAAGTGTTCCGAGTGTCCTGATCATGGACCGAAATTGGCTCAACCCAACATGAGATATGGACAAGAAACATCATTGCGAGAAGAATATAATGATGAGAATACAGAATAGATGGTCATATGTTTTGGTGGTCTCTTTTCTCTCTTGGATGCAAAAGTGTATGCTTGACCGTCGGTCGAGTTGACCTGGGTAGTGGCAGTGTAGATGTGTTTACAACAAAAGAAGAACTCGGTGAGTCTCAAAGGTCTCACCGAGCACGCAGCCCAGGGTCCTTGGCGATGTTATTGAAGCTGAAACTTGACGCGTAATGCCTGAAATGGGAAAAATTCTCATCGAGTTGGTGATTCAGCTTGAACGACGTTTGAAGTGCTCCGAAGGTGTTCACAGGAAAAATCAAGTAAATGTCCCGCGGTGATATCCCCAGATTGCTTCCAGGTCTTTGATCCGCCACCGAGAACCCCACCCGGTGCGTGTCTCGATCGAATCAATCAGCTTCACGATGATCGCCTGCTCTTCACGGTGGGTGAACAATTGACCGGCAACGTAGAGGGGTTGAATGGCATTGTTGATACACCCGCAGTGGGGGTTTGTCAGGGTGATGCCCACGACTCTCCGCGCGTGCCACAAGGGCGAGTAGACGTGCTCTGGGCGATCGAGCTCCTGAATCCCCTTGATCTCCAACATCAAGATACAGGCGGTGTGAAAGAGTTGATTGCCGGAGATTGCAGCCCAGTGGGAGAAGAAGATTCTGGGAAAGGCACCGTCTCGGACGGTCTTGACGGGGAGCATCTCGACCGGACGCCTCGAGAGCCACTCTTGAAGATCGTTCCAGAGCCGGGTCCACTCCGATTCGAGATTCTCGTGCTCGCACCCATTGTCCTCGCCCATCTCGACACACTTGATTCGGCGAAAGAGAAGGTCGCACACTCTGGCGCAAAGGTAGACCGCAAAGTTGGCGTACATGTCCGGGGCCTGCTGGCCCTTTGGCGAAAACCGTCGCTTGATTTCTTCCGCCTTTGCCGCGTCAGAACCGGTGAAGTCGTCCAGCAGGATCCACTTTTCGATTTCCAGCACGGTGGCCTCCGTCCCGTCGGCGATGATGGCGCCGCAAAGGTCCATCCGGGCGTAGCACCAAAAGACAGCCTGGAGCAGCCCTCCGGAAAACCCATTGATCCCGAACGAGGCAAAGAGCGCCGCGCAACCTTCGACGTGCCGCCTCCAATCTCGCGGGCTCACACTCATCATTTCCAGGACACAGAGGAGGCACGCGGTCAGCACGACCGTGGGCTCCCTCGTGTCCAGGGACGACGTGAGCGAAGTGATTGCCTGCGAGTACAGCTCGAGACTGTCGCGCGACCCGGACCGCTCCATCCGGCCTTGTCGTTCCGCCGTACGAGCCCCCACCGCGAGCATCGCGTGCAGGACGGCGGTCGAGCGTTGCGCGATGATGGGGACCTGCTGTCCAAAGTGTCGCTCGCTGTCGAACATGTCAAGCCACGGGGCACAGTCGGTGATCCACACTTGAAGATATAGGATCTTCTTGGACGGAGGGATCTGACTTGCGCCGCCATTCACCATGTGTTCCCACAGGTACTCATGGCCCGGCCTGTGGCTGGCGCTCAGGTTCTGCTCCTCCTCCTCGGGCGTGAGACCCGGCTCCGGCGAATGGTCCCGGCTGTTGGCGCCTACAAAAAGCCACGAACGCAGTTCCGTCTGCAACTGTTGGAAGCGCGGATTGGCGGCGTATTCGTCAAACGTACTCTCACCGGAGAGCGCGCCTGGCGAGACGAAAGCATTGGCGGTATCAGGGTCCATCGATGGTAGCTGTCGGTCCAGAGGTCATTGCGAACCGAAGGTCATGAATGGATTCGATTCATAGACATTGGACAGCTGGATCACCCTCCTCGGCCGTCAGACATGCGACGCAACTGTTCCGTAGAGTATGTATTGATGCGAAGTATCTGGCTGCCGTCTGAACTTGGCGAGTGCGAAGAGGGAACGGATGTGCATGTCGAGAAAAGAGAGGCAGCTCAAGCAACGGTTTAACTGCTTTGAAGCTCGGGGTGCCACTTTTACAGGATTCCACTGAGGGCGGGCATTGGCCGGCATCACAACTCTAGCCGAAGAAACACCCCACTTGGTGGGTGACTACTAGCACAGCACAATTCCTGATCCTTTCAATTGCTATATCTAGCTTCATATATCGCACGGGAAATGAGACTGAGATACTAGGTGAAAGGAGAAAAACAACATGTAGAACTTGAAACATCTTCTTTACATTGTTTGACTCCCGCAACCTCGACGCTCAGATACCACAGGTACGCCTGCCCAGTATGGTTCTCAACAATCACTCGTGAGCGGATTTCATGTGGACTTCCTTCACAACCTCACCCTTGGTCTGTGCCTCGGTCCTGTAAGTCTTGAACTTCCGAGCAGGAACGCGTTTGGTAAACATCTCGTCCAGTTCCTCGTATGTCCGGCCCGCCGTCTCCGGCTGGAAGAACCAGAGATAAGCGATACAGAGAAAGCTTGGTCCGCCAAAGACGAAGGCCACTTTACCTCCCAAGTTGCCCTTGTCAGGATTGAACATGTACGGTAAGACGAATTGCCACATGACGTTGATGGCATTTTGTAGAGCCAAGCCAATTGCGATCGTCTTGACGCGGAGTCGGGAAGTCGAGGTCTCGGTCATGATTGAGAACTGCAAATTATACGTCAGTCGCTGCTGGGCAGAAGACAGCAGGAAGTAGACTCCAGGCTCGGCAGAATTAAAGGAGACATACCGCTGTGGAACCAATGGAAACATTGTACATCCAGCTGTAGATCAGGATCATGGCCACGGTGCCTTTTATTTCGGCGGGACTGCCACCCGTGGCCAACCCTCCCTCAATGAAGAGGAGCACAACCAGTACGCAAAGGCCGTAGAAGGTGAGGTTCCGTCTGCCCACACGGTCAATGATGACGGCGGCCACCAAGTTGCCAAAGATTGAGAGGACGGGCTGGGCGATTTGGATCCGAAAACTCATTTCCGTCGAGTACCCTGCAATTTGCAGGTAGTAGGTGAAGTATCCGGCCACGAAGGTGATACCCGTGAGCACCTGAATGATCAACGGTCCGATGGAAATGATTGTTCGCCGGAGGTTGGACTTCCTGAAACACTCCAGGTACGTCACGCCTTCGGTCTCGCGCTTGATCTCCTCGAGTGTCAACTCGATCAGGGCGAGCTTCTTTCTTCCTTCCTCGCCTCGGTGTCCAAGCTTCCCCAAATTTTTCAAGGCCTTTTGTTTACGGCCTTTCGACACCAGCCACCAGGGAGATCTAGAAGACGATTCAAAAGCGATTAGATAAAATCCTTCGTGGCATACGACAACAGACACAGCTTGCAAGCTGACAATCTAGGAAGAGACAACAGGGTGCTTACTCGGGCATGAAGTAGACGAGAAGGGCCGAGACGGCGGCAAAGCCATACTGACAGCAGAACACTGTACGGTAGGCCCAACGAGTGTCGACATCCCCCGTGTAGTTGACGATGATGAATGCAACGAGGGGACCTACTCCGAATGCAACACCAATGCCCACGGTAAAGATGCCTCTCCAGGCAAGAGGAGTGATCTGCAAACCATCTATCAGCAAATCGAGTAAATCTACAGGTGGATCAAAGGGTGAAAAACAATACCTCACCGATGTAGGTCGTCATGACCGCCTGGATGGTTCCAGTCGCGAAACCGTTGAGGAACTTGCCACCAAAGAACACCCCCTTGGTGGTCGAGACGAATTCCATGGTGATTGCGACAAACGAGACGACCAATGCACCTACGATGGTCCATTGACGGCCCATATAATCAGCAATCGCGGCGGCACCGAGGACTCCGAATGTCGCAGATGCCACAGGGGCAGCATTGAAGGCAGACTGCCATGCAGCAGGCAAAACGTAGTTGCCATTGAATTCTTCCCCAAAGTCCTTGCGAAAGGTCGGAATACCTAGGACGGAGCCTGCGGCCTGCAGTTCGAAACTGCACAGGATGATCGTCCAGCAGGCGTAGGCACACCATACACAGGCCCAGGGATACTTGCGAAGCGACGCATACACCCCCAGCTCATGATCCTCTTGGTTGGCAAGGTGGCCTAGTTGCTGTTGCTCGTCGTCCAGGTTGACTTCGACATGGCTGGTGTTGGACACTTCGGCTTTGGAATTTGCTCTGGGGGTTTGCGAAGGGTCGGTCTCGAGGGTCGAGATATCTGCCATTGTCAAAGAATTGTGTATATACTTGCCGTCAAAGACCTGTATCGATCTGGAGGAGGGCTATCTGGCTCTTCAGGAGAGAGGTTCTTGAAACCGAATACTCCCCCACAGCCATGCATATCCCTCCACGTTGTTTAAGTAGTCAATTGCGGAGCATCCAGACCAACAGGGATTGCAAAGTCATGGTCGTTGGGATGAGAGGCCGAGACACTCTGCCGAAATTCTCGGTCAAATGTGCCTAACCATACTGGGCAATCATAGCCTCCCCTGTGAGAACTGCTTTCAGAGTGCCTACGACTCCCCAGTCTGGCAAGGTCGCAACCTTTCCCATTCTGGAATGTGTCGGCATCTCACTTGGCTCAGAAATGCCCAAGTTTATCACACCAGGGCAGATCATGGCTCTCAAGATCCAGACTTTCAAGAGCTTATCATTGCGGATACTCGGGCATGGCTAAGACCGGGGAGATTGTGCACGGCCACGGCCGTCGCAGACGTGATTCTGGACAACATATTTCCAGACATTGCATTAACGAAAGCCTGCAGTGATTAGAAAATCAAGTCGAACCGTCGCGCTTTCTGCAATTTCAAGTTTTCCAATCCCTTGGAACTGGCTGAACTCTAGCTGCGTTCCCTTTGAACCTCTGGTGGCGTTCAGCGCCTTGGATCAAGTCGTTTGTCCCAAATCTGAGTGCAAGGGTTGTTAACAAAACAATATGGTGTCCGGTATTCTCTCCAACATCAATTCTGAACTCGAGGTGGTTGTTGGCAAATCTAGCCAAGGAGACTGGAAAGTGAAAGGTACGAAGGGGCTGACCGCAGCGGAAGATTTGGTTCTGAAAACATTCAGAGTCCTCATTGCTGACCTATGCCAACAATTCAATGGTGGACACCCTGGGTAAGTGTTGGTCGTCACTTTTGCCTCGAATGCCCTCCTGACGACGACGAATATATAGCGGAGCCATGGGTATGGCAGCCATTGGGGTCGCCCTGTGGAAGTATGTGATGAACTACGCTCCTCACACACCGGACTGGATCAATCGAGACAGATTTGTGCTCTCAAATGGTCACACTTGTTTGTTTCAGTACACATTCCTGCATCTCACAGGCTACAAAGACATGACTTTTGAACAACTGAAATCCTATCATTCTGATCGCGTGGATGCACTATGCCCGGGCCACCCGGAAATCGAGCACCAAGGCATCGAAGTTACTACAGGTCAGTCAGCAGCCTTTCTTCTGGACTGATGAAAGCGGTTATACTGAGCGTGTTGTGACTAGGTCCACTGGGTCAAGGCATTGCGAATGCTGTAGGACTCGCTATGGCTTCGAAAAGCCTCGCAGCAAAGTTCAACCGACCAGGATTTGACATCGTGTCTGACCACATCTGGTGCATGGTTGGAGACGCATGCCTTCAAGAAGGAGTGGGACTCGAAGCCATCTCCTTTGCAGGACACATGCGTCTCAACAATTTGACAGTCATGTATGACAACAATCAGATAACCTGCGACGGTCCGGTGAATCTGACAAACACCGAAGACATCAACGCCAAAATGAGAGCGTGCGGGTGGAATGTGATCGAAATCAGCGATGGGTGTTGGGACGTCCTGGGCCTCGTTGAAGCTCTCGAGGCATCGAAGCATTCCGCCCTGCCTACGTTTATCAACGTCCATACAGTGATTGGAGTGGACACGTCCGTGGCAGGCAATGCCGTCGCACACGGCGCAGCTATCGGGACAGACGCGGTGGCCTCGTTGAAGCAATTGTACGGTTTCGATCCGGACCGGCGCTTTGTCGTTCCAGAGGCGGTGCGAGATTTCTTCAAGGAGCTTCCACAAAGGGGCGAGGCGATGGTGTTCCGGTGGAGAGCAATTTTTGACAGGTACCGTGAGGTCTACCCGACGCTCGCAGAAGACTATACGAGGCGCCACGGTGGAGATTTACCTTCCGACTGGGAATCGTTGATACCGACAGAATTTCCCTCCAAAGCCACCGCGACTCGTGCGTCCTCGGGTCTGGTCTTTGGCCCCTTGGCCGAGAGTTTGGGTCAATTCATGGTCGGCACCGCCGACCTTGAACCGTCTGTGTACATGAACTGGAAGACCAAGGAGAACTTTGAGCCTCCCGAACTTGGCACTGGAAGTTACACGGGCCGGTTCATCCATTACGGGGTCCGCGAACATGTCATGGCCGCCGTCTCCAACGGGCTGGCCGCGTATCACCCTGGCATGTTCATTCCAGTAACATCATCGTACGGTTTAATTGTCCCTTTCAAAAAGCTTGTGGGATCACTTGTGCTGATGACCGTATAGATTTTTCATGTTCTATCTTTACGCAGCTCCCGCCGTCCGTATGGGCGCATTGCAACATTTGCAGGTCATCCACGCCGCCACGCACGACTCGATCGGCATGGGCGAGGATGGCCCGACGCATCAGCCGATTGAACTTGCCGCCCTCTACCGGACCATGCCAAACTTCCTCTACATTCGACCGGGCGACAGCGAGGAAACCGCGGGGGCTTGGATGGCGGCGATCAAAGCCAGGCACATGTCCTCACTCATCTCAACGTCTCGCCACGCTCTCCCACAGCTGACCGGGTTAACCCGGAGAACAGGCGTTGCCAGAGGAGCCTACGTTCTGGAGGAAGCACCGCAAAAGGCAGATCTCACCCTGATAGGCGTCGGTGCCGAGCTCAACCTGGCGGTCAGGGTGGCCACCGAGCTACGGACCCGTCACGGGCTCACCGTGCGAACGGTGTCCTTTCCCTGTCAACGATTGTTCGAGCAACAGCCGCCTCAATACCGGCGGGATGTCCTGCGGAAGCATACCGGGGTTCCCGTGGTGGTGGTCGAGGCGTACGCCGCAAACGGATGGGAAAGGTACGCAAATGCGGCCGTCTGCATGCCCACCACCCGCTTTGGAAAGTCGCTGCCGGGCCCAAAGGCCTACGAGTTCTTCGGATTCAGTGTGGACTCCATGGTCACCAGGATTCTAGGCTTTGTGAATTTCTTCCACGCCAATCCGGAAATGAGAGTTGAATTCGTCGAATTGACAAGTGTTGGAGACGAATAGTTGTTGAATGACGGCTGTAACGACACTAGATAAGAAATGCAACATGGATGAGCGTTCCGCCTCTGATGTTTCTGACTCCAGTAGTGTATATGCTTTCTGTTAAATCTAGATCGAGATGGAATAAAGGCATCTTTCCACAACGCAAGTGACACAATGGACACAAAATCCATCTCCGCAACGCCGCAGAGTCTTCTCTTGGTATTTGGTAAGCCCGATGTGTACTATTTCACCGGGCTCGTGACAATGATGTAGGAGCCACATCAGCCTTGTTATTTTGAATGGTGCACGACAATGCACTCGCTCGAGAAGCCGGCCTCGCATCCGCCGGTGGTGAGCACTGTCCGTTTCAGGTAAGTTGAGCCACCGCTCCGGGCTGTTTCCGCTTGAAGCGGATGGGTCAATGGGGGTTTTATACTGTACCAAGGCAGGACTTGGTGACATGAATACCTGATAATCTACGATTATAATCCTGAGACACGCCCAAGTCTTCGCAATCACGTTTCTACATACAGGAGTGCCACGAGATTCGTGCACCTACCCATTCGACGGAGGTTGCAGGAGACGACAAAGAACAAAGCTGGAAAGGTTCAAAACTTCTACTCAACAGACAAACCAATTCCCCAACGAGCGCGAAGTAGCGATTTTGTAAAGCCAAACAAAAATCCACGAGACAATGGCTGATCCACGTAGATTGCGACATTGCTCGACAAAGCCTCGCGTCTTTATCGTCTCGGACATTTCCAACGAGCCGGATGACGCAGAGTCCCTTGTCCGGTATCTGTTGTACTCGAACGAATTCACCACTCTCGGCCTGGTCGCGACGACGTCGACGTGGATGAGAAAGGTGGTACACCCGGAAGACATGCGAAAGATTGTCCACGCGTACGGCGAGGTCGTCGACAACCTCAACGCCCACGTCCACCCGGACAATCGTTACCCCACGAAAGACCACCTCCTCTCCGTCATCAAATCTGGGCCGGCACTCTACGGCAGAGAAGCCCTGGGGGACGGCGTGCCGGTCAGCGAGGGCGCGCAACTCCTCGTGGAGCGCGTCGACGAAGCCGAGGAGCCGCTGTGGCTTCTCTGCTGGGGCGGCATCAACGTCCTGGCCCAGGCCCTTTGGCACGTACGACGCCAACGGACGGCCTCCGAGTTTGCTCGCTTTCGCGCCAAGCTGCGCGTCTACACGATCTCCGACCAGGACGACACCGGGTCGTGGATCCGGTCGAGCTTCCCCGACATCTTCTACATCTGCTCGGTGCACGGGTGGGGGGAGTACGGGTGTGCCGCGTGGACGGGCATCTCGGGCGACGTCCTCATGCCCATCGACCACGGAGGCCCCGACCCGTCAAAGGTCACGAAGGAATGGCTCAAGAAAAACATTCAGATCGGGCCGTTGGGGGGTGTGTACCCGACGTACGCGTTCATCATGGAAGGGGACACGCCCACGTTTCTGTACCTGATCCAGAACGGCCTCGGGTCTCCGGAGAATCCTCACTGGGGCAGCTGGGGCGGTCGCTACAGCCTGGTAGACATCGGTGGGGGCGCAAATCAGTACGCCGACGCGAGGGACGCGGTGGTCGGTCTGGACGGCCGGAATCACCGGAGCAACCAGGCCACCATCTGGCGGTGGAGAGATCATTACCAGGACAGCTTTGCAGCGCGCATGCAATGGTCCCTGACGGGTGATCGGAGCGAGGCAAATCACGAGCCGGTCGTGATTGTCAATGGCAGTTCATCCGGCCCCGAACCGCTACTGCTCGAGGTGGAAGCCGGGGAAGAAGTCACTCTCGACGCTTCGAAAAGCTACGATCCAGACGGCGACAAACTCTCATTCGAATGGTTTCAGTACAAGGAGCCAACAGCCGCACAGTCTCATGTCCACTGGATTGTCCCCGACATCGACATCAAGCCTGCTCCCAGCACGACGAATGACGATGATGCTGATAACCCCCGAATCGTCAAGATCAAACTACCACCGCCGGAGACGAGCGCGGTCAATATTGTCACAGGTCAGGCCCTCGAGAAGGGCATGGCTCTTCACTTTATTCTCCAAGTCACCGACGCCGGAACACCTCCTTTGACCACGTACAAGCGGATCGTCGTGCAGACAACCAATCCAAACTTGCTCGGAGGTCGATCCGAAGTGTTTGATACGGTCACTGACGCTATTGGAAAGGGAGAAGACTAAAAATCTCCACCAAATGGGATACATCGCCGCAAAAACCCAAAAAGTCAACATGTACGTACACAGTTCTGCCTCGTGAACTCATTTCTTCCGGCTTCGAGAGCGACTGCAACTGGGGAGATACAAAACCCGCGTCTGCTGTGGGTGGACCCGGGGATAACCTCAACAGAAAAGTAAAATAATGGGGAGCGTTGACTTCGAATACTCCATATCAACCGAAGGAATTCGCTTGGGCAGTTTCCAGCTTCTCAACCTCTTCCTGTAGCTGCATCCCAGTTCTTTCCACGACCTTGTTCAAGATGTTCACCACCACCATGATTTGGGACGGATGACTCAATCTCCTGGCTGCGTATAGGACGCCAGCCACGACGAGAGGATCAAAGACGTCGGATTCGTGCAAAGTGGCCACCATTCCGATTATTCTCTGCGCATGCCACATTGACGATATCGACGATCCTGGCTCGGGGAGAGCTCTGATGGCGCGTGGCTTGAACTGCAACAGAAGCAACGCCGTGAGATGGTGGGCGAGATTCGCCACGAGAGCACATAGATTGCTGAAAGCAATGGTCGGAAACGGCATCTGGCTGGTAGCATCATCGGTCGACAGTCGAGCGTCGAACTCGCCAATTTCGAATATCTGTTGCATCTCCTCGCGTCGAGCCGTGTACCAGAGCTGATTGTCGCTCCAGCAGGATTGCCACGACGAGATCAAGGGAAGACGTAGTCGTCCAGCCGACTGACGCGGCGCTCCAGTGTCAGGTCGGGGGATGATCGACGCTGCGCGAGCGAGGTTGACAAGAACTTGCTGAAGTTGCTGGTGGTGCGTCAAAATTTGGTCGGGAATCATTGGCCTCGCGCGCCGCAGAATGAACGACAGGTCAATGCGGTGGCTTGCTGAAGAGGAGGAGGAGGAAGAAGGGGCGGCTGTTAGACTTGCCGCCAGGGTGAGCCTTGCGATCAGCTGCCATTGCTCGTCGACGCACTGATCCATCAGTTCGAGACTGTTGATGTTTCCAAAGGTGACGGCCATCCATTCGTGCCATAGATAAGGAGGCACGTCGTGGAATTTCCTGAGCGTCAGCATGGTAGAAATTGTGATGCTATCTTCATGGTCGGCGACGAGGGCTGCCCGATTCGCCTGGGCGGCATAATCTGGTTCCTCATCAGTAACATCATGTCCATGTCGACTCTTGCTCCCACCGTAGGCCCTTGCGAGCGCGAGGATGCTTTGGTACAAGAAGGGTTCGGACAAAGCTCGCGTGAGCACGTGTACGCCGAAATAAGGATCCCCCACTCCCAGATCGAGTTGGGTGGCAATTTGATAGCGGTAGAACGTCAACAGATCCAATTCGGCGATGTCAGCTTGGCTCGATCGTGAACCGGGACTTGTACCAAGTGGCGGCGCGGGCAGCCGATGCTGCGAAAGGGAGGATGGCGTGTTCGCCTGAGCAGCAAAATCCCGAAGGACCGGTGATTCTGCCGACAACAGGTTCAAGCGATCAAGTGGTTCATCATCAGTAGTAAGTGGTGCCCGCGACGAGTTTCGGGTTGGGAAAGCATCTGGCTCGGACCACAACACAGTCGTCACAGGTTCATCATTCGACAAAGCAGATGATGGTCCGGAGTCCTGAAGGTGTGTGGGCTGAGTGTTGATCTCGGCTGCCTTTGCGGACTGGCTCGTGATCTGTCGCCGCGCCGGCCTGTGTGAAGATGTCGTCGCGGTGGTTCCGTCGATGAAGGTGATGTTTAGGCCATATCGACAAACAAGACCCTTGTCCACACAATTCTGACACGTCGGCTTGCCTTCGTCGCATTTTCTTCGTCTCTTGCGACACGTGAGACAGCCTGTTCGAACACGACGCTGGGTGGGGGCTACGGTCTCATCGTTTCGCTTTGGCATCAGAGGAGGTCACCATCGAACTTGTTCTTTTGGCGGTGGCTAACAAAAGAAAACCCAAAGTAAGTCGTGGCTCGGGGTGGGCAAAATTGGCACCGAAATTGGAAGCTGTAAGAGCAGAATCTGAACAATGACCGGAGGGGGGAGTTTACCCACCAGGGTTTGCTTGAGCTGGTTCTTTCGAGGCCACCCAAGGCGATAACTTGTAGCCCACACTCGCGGCGTAGTCTTCCAACCAAAGCATTTGTCTTAGAAATAGGCTACATACACCCGTTTGGGTTGATCACACACCAAGTAGTGCTAAGACATTCCCAAAGCAGTCAGTCGTCTTCTCTACAGACAACCAGCGAGGGGCAGAGCTCCCTGTCAACCATCGCCCACGAGCCATGTTTCTCCGAACCAATCTCATGCAGCTCATCTTACATCCAGGCTGTTTTCGTCGTCGACACCAAAGTATTCCAGCATTCGATTCATAACCGGACCAGTGCGGCAAAAAGACAGCGAGACCTTTAGGTGTCCTGCAAATATGATTCTGGCCAACTTTCAATCCCAAAGCTCGTAACTCGCACTTGATTTCCCTCGCACAGCAAACGGAATCAGTGACGCGGACTGAAGACTACAAGGCACAACCTTCGCAGGGAGAGTTGAGAATGTCGCCCTCGGCTGTCGTTGTAGCGGATCCTCGACAGCTTACCACTACTAATGGATACCCGACTACTGCTGCCTCCGGAAAGACTGTCGTCGCAAACCAGATCAAAGCGGCGGCCGTAACCACAGCGCTGGCCCTCGACCCTAACCCTGTGAGCAATGATGATGTCGGAAACCCCGCGCAGCACAAATATGGACGATACAGAAACCCGTCGCTCTACGTCACTCCCGACCACGACGTTCGCGTGGAAGAGAGTCCCATACCGCCACCCTCACCGACAGAGGTGTTGATACACGTCCGCGCGACGGGAATCTGTGGATCGGATCTGCACCTGTGGCATCGAGGCGCCATAGGACCCTTGACCGTGGACCACGCTCACATCCTGGGCCACGAAGCGTCCGGGGTCGTCCTGGAGACGGGGTCGGCCGTCGGCCACCTGAAGCCCGGGGACAGAGTCGCCATCGAGCCCCAACTCCCCTGCCACACTTGTTTCCTCTGCACGTCGGGCAAGTACAACCTGTGCGAATCGGTGCGATTTCTGGGCGTCTGCAACGGAGGGACGATTCGCCGCTTCATGACCCACGAAGCTCGGTACTGCCACAAGATCCCGGACGCCATGACCTTCGTCCAGGGGGCCCTCCTGGAGCCTCTCTCGGTCAACCTCCACGCCATCCGACAGTGCGGAGGGTCGGTGTCCATCGGCAAGCCGGTCTTGATCTGTGGTGCCGGACCGATCGGTCTGATCGCCCTGGCCTCGGTGAGGGCTTCCGGAGCGTGGCCCATTGTGATCACCGACATCGAAGAGTCGCGTCTGGATTTTGCGAGGAAATTCGTCCCGGGGGTCAAGACGTACCTCGTTCGGCAGCAGCACCAGCAGCCGTCCAAAACGGCCCTCGAGTGCGCCGAAGAGATTAGACTTTTGTTCGGGTGTAGCGGGACTCGCGACGTCGAGAGGGGGATCCCGGAAGAAAATGAATACAACGCGCCGTCGACTGTCATGGAGTGTACGGGGATCGAATCGAGCGTCATCACCGCCGCGTACGCCTGTCGACGTTCCGGGATCGTCATGGTCATCGGGGTGGGGCGGAGCCTCATGGACAGGTTGCCCTTTATGCACCTCAGCCTTGCGGAGATCCAGCTGAGGTTCATGAACCGATACAACGACACGTGGCCCGCCGGCATCAACGCCCTGTCGGACAAGCACGTGCTGGACTTGGACGCCCTCGTGACGCACAAGTTTCCCTTGGAACGAGCGACCGAAGCGATGAAGCTTTGTGCGGATCGATCCCAAAGCAGCATAAAGGTCATGATAGTCGACGATCAGGAGATCCTTCCATGAAGGTTTTTTTTCTTTCTTTCATGTATTGTGTTTGACCAGCCTCCGATATAATAGAGAGAGATATAGAGAGAGCTAGAAAACAGGTTGTAGAAATCATTAGGTAACGGGCCAGATCTTCTATGCAAAAATCCGCAACGGCTTGTCTAGATAAAACCCCGGGTCGTTGAACCTCAATCCCTTGTCGAGTGCGCCGATCGACTTGATTTCGTCACTTGTCAACGTGAAGCTGTCATTTCTAACCTCCAGATTCTGCCGCAGTCGAGTGGCATCGTTCGACTTTGGTATCACGGCAATGTCCCTCTGAGTTGCCCACCGCAAGAGTACCTGCGCAGGCGTCTTGCCCACCCTCGCAGCCGCCTCCCTGACGATATCCACGTCAAAGAGGAGAGGGACATCCTTCGCCCTCGCTCGAAACGCCGGCGGTAGTTCCAAGAAGCTCTGCGGTCCGAACGACGAGTAGGCCGTGATCGCGATGTTCTCCTCCCGGGCGAGCTCCACGAGTTCGGGCTGGACGAGGTAAGGATGGTGCTCGATCTGCAGCGACGAGATCGGATGTCGCGCGTACCTTTGAATGTCGTACAAGGTCTGAGCCTGGGCGTTCGAGATGCCGATGGATTTGGTGATCCCCAGGTCGACGACTTCCTCGAGGGCCTGCCAGGTGTCTTGGAGGGGTATAGGTGCCGTTTCGATGGCCTTGTGCTCTGCATCCGTCCACCACGCCTATATGTAGACAGGAATTTCCCTCAGTTATTGGTGCCTTTGTACGTAACGGTCGTTGTGTGTTTTTTGGGAACAACGAGCGTCAACTTACTGGGTACCTCAACTTTTCAGGTTCAATGTACTTGAGCGCCACGGGGAAATGAATCAGGTACAGGTCGATGTAGCCGAGACCCCATGCTTCGTTCTGCGCTTTCGCCATTTGTACCGCGTGGTCTTTTTGGTGGTAGTTGTTCCACAGCTTCGTGGTCACGAATATCTCGTCGCGTTTCACGAGTCCATCCTCGATGGCGCGTCTGATACCTTGACCTGCCTCCTTTTCATTTTGATAGTCGTACGCCCCGTCAAACAGTCGATATCCTACTTTGATGGCCTATTGCGCGCTTCCGTGTTATCGCGCGCGCGCCACGTGTGAAAAAAGGTGTCTTGAGACACTCACATTGTAAACGATATCGGCGGCCTTGTCTGCAGGAACCTTCCACAATCCAAAGCCTACAAGAGGCATTTGATGCCCAGAGGCTAACATAATGGTGTCACGACCCATACTATCTGACCAGAAGAATTATCTCTGCTGCGACGTAGAGAAGATTTGTGCTAACGCATCCAGAGGCTGCTCGACCTAGCGAAGAGGTAATATGCTGCGCCCCTGTAAAAGATCTTGCAAGGATTGGACACGTCTGCCTGGTCGCAAGAATCTCTCTAAAAGCATTTATCAGCTAAACAGTCAATGCCACTTGCCCCTCCTCATAAGGCTGGATACGAGTGCGTGAGGTTGTAAAATGATGTCTAGTCGGAGGCAGTGAGTGGCTCGACCTTCCCGAAACAGCAACATTTGACGGAGTGCTACTGTAATATTCGGTATCCCAGGTCTCGCGAGTTATTGTGGTTCTTCTCTCATGTCATTCCGATTGGGCTCTTAGGACATGGCGCCTTGTCACCTGCTATGATTGTGACTTTGCTGGCTTCATGATATTTTGTGGTGGAAGTGTTCTGCCAGCGACTTTACTCATCTGAACTCGGTAATTTCCTACGTCAATACGAAAATTGATCGAGTTCAATCCTACAAACGCAAGGCAGAAAAGCTGCTTTTGGCTACTACTCCCACGAGTGATTGATCATGTTAACCGATTGGCTCTAATACCTAACCTTGTGGCGACCGATTGGTGCGGTCTGATCGCTGTCTCTCGAGTGCCTCTTCAGAACTTCTCACCGGCGATTTCCCTAACACTCCTCGCTGACAAAGGGGCTATGATTCGCAGCCATCGAGACCTCCCGCATTTTCCCACCACTGTCCTGGTTGACGTGTGCTATCATCCCCAGCTGAACCTGGGGAGGGATTGCCGCATACCTCTCACACACCACGTACGTACCCGCGACGTCTTTCCACGCCGCGTACGTGCTCTTGCTTCAAAAGGCACCATAGACATACGGCTTCAGACTAATTACAGCTCAATAGTTCTTTGTGTCTTGCAGTGGCTGACAGGCTATCTACTAAAGCCTACTGAATTGTGCTCAATAATCTTTCAACGAAGAAGCAGTATTTATTTATCAATGATTTGTATTGTTTTTGTTTTTTTGGATCTTTTGCGATTGTGCGTAACTCTTTGCGATTGTTTTCATGAAGTTTTGCTTCTATTATTGCTCGACCTGTAGACAAATGTTCAATGTTTGTTTCGTCGACAATCACATTTTCATCTCTCTTGTTATAAAAACAACACCTTCGATTCAAAGGGTGGCATCAGATTCCTGTAAACGGATGACTCGTGCATCTACTTGGTTGAAATTCCTGAGATCTCGATACAGGATACAGGACGTCATAATATGGTTACCGTGCGCAAAAAAAAACACGTCGTCTACAAAGGACTGTGCTCATCGCGTGTGTAGGTGTGTTTTGTAGAGGTGTGTGTGCTGTCATGTCGTGCATCAATAATCAGTGACGTTCGTTACTCCTACGGACTCGGACTGGGAAACATGGCGTGGAGGTGGTCCGGGAGGTTCAAAAAGACACGAGCAACAACCACTCCGTCATGATGAGGAGTCAGGAGACTATTCGTATGAGATGGTTCATGGACGGGGGGTTCGTATCTTCGATGGCGGGATGTTGTATCATGTTTCGCTTATCGTATCCTCCCGCTGAAGAGGTCCGAGTACGCCCTTTCACGAGGTCATCGGGGGGGGAGGGGGCACGTTGCGACCACTTGCCACGGCTCGAATCCGGGAAAATCAGGCCATATCTACTGCGACTTGGTTGTGTCTGACGTCGTTGTTGTGGTGAGGAAATGAACCATTGAAACACATATCGGTCGATGTTATGCAAGGCTGAACTTCGATCTCGATATGCACGCTCGATCTGCGTGCTCGATTGACCTGGCGGCCCCTTGGTGTGGAGTTCGCGATCACCACGATGGAATCTCCGTGCCTTTGACGTCATTGTGTTTATATAGACATGATCAAGGTGCGAAAATCTCGTATTTTCCCGACGCGTCGAAATTAGCGTCAACATCCAACGAACGCGTTGTTGATGACGCAGGCAAAACTGACTGAGGGTGTGTAACACACCTTGAAATTACCTTCTGTCTATTGCACGCATCCCTGGGGGTAGCATCTGTGCAATCATGTATGTTCACTTGGTTGTGGACGACACTGTCAACTATTTTCGGCGCCAAATGATGGGCTGCTGGAAATCTGGCATCGGTTCATCGAAACCCCTGAGGGAGCGTTGAAGCCTTTCCCCCCGGTTCACAGACCAAGGTAGCGATGAGCCGCTGTTATTATTATTGGGTGCAAGATTAGCGAATGGTTTTTGTAATAATGTGGAGGCTGCAAGAGTACAAGTAATTCTCTTCGAGCCTTGCAGGGTTTTGAACAGAGTTCTGAGAGAGTTTCGTGCCAAATCCTTCGTCAGTGGAATGGCCCACAAGCATTTGCAAACAGAAACACAAGATCATCGTAGCTTGACACCGAAAACTTATCGCTCGGAGCGGCGATGGGGTTTGGGTGATGCTCAGGCAAAGAAACTGGCAGCTCAAGAACTTGTAAATGAATGGGTATATAAGAAAGTTCTGAACAGTCTCCTGAGGTCTGGCCTGACCGAGAATGGAGAGACTTGAGGGACAGCGGCAACCATGACCTTTTGGTCTCCCGACTCTATGAGCTGTCAAAGAGGGTGGCACCGGGGGTACAGGTGGTTTTCAGGGTTCAAGAAGGATAAAAATCAATGCGCATGAGGCTCACTTAGCCCACGCTCAGGGCACACGGTGTCAAGTAACATGCTTGTGAAGCCCGGTCTCAAGCGTTCTGTCAAGTCAAATTGACAATTGATGGCTTGAACATGGCTTAAAGCAGGGTGCTGGATCGAAGGACAGTGCGGTATGGCAGACGGGCTTTCGCCACCCAAGTGATCATAGTATGAACAGGAGTATGTACATACAGTACTCGTATGATGGAAATGGGAATAATCCATAGCTGCTCATACTTGAAGCGAAGCCCGCTTCGCTTTTTGGATTCTGCTCACGTGGACAGGCGACTGTAGCGCGTTCAGTTGTTGACGCTCAGACTTGGCGACACGTCTCCCAGGCCACAAGAAGGCCGAGGGTAGACGGAAATTGTAAGCCATCCCAAGCCGATCTGCACCGCTTTCCATGTCAGAAAAGCAAATTCTCGATGTTTGAGGTCTAACTCTTCGCATCAGTACATGGGAGACGAGGTTCATAGGTTGGTGGCCTATCAAAGTAACACCAACTTCGCTGGAGTCGCGTCGTGGATGCCGGAGCAGTGAGATACAAGAGTAGCTTCAAAGTCACACCAGGCAATTCCCCGGACTCAGGCTGTGTCGCAGTGGGCGGGGAAGATAGCCTGTAGTCGAGCTGATTTCAATTCGGAGCTTTGTAACCGCCCCTCTTCTTGATCAGCCCTAGTTATGCATCGTTGCAACACCATTACGCGAGGAAGAGGAGGAGGTGTGTTGTTTTCATCGCGATCTCGATCCCACGCGTTGTGCTTGCGGTCAGAGATAACCATGTGAGTTCATCATTGACGGAAACAGGGATCGGGGAGTTCAGAATTTGATCTCATGACGTCTCATCGGTGTTGGTGTGCCGGTAACTGCAACAGAAGAGGGATTGAGTTTGGATTGTGTCTTTCAGACCGACCCAGCACAAGGGCTGGAGAGGTAAAGCCTCACCCGCCATGAACAATCCAGGCTAGTGAAACGAAGCTGGTGATAAGAAGGACCCGTTCAAGACTTGCGAATTTGAGTCAATCCGGTCTTGGCCGTAGCTAGGTATCCTCATGCTGGACAAGGGCTTTTCATCCGCGGTTTGACTCTGTGCCTAAAAGGTCAATGAAGCTCTAGAGATGAAGTTGACTAGCACGGTCACACCGACTGGCCGTGGGCTAAACCTGTCACAAGCGAGACGATGAAGCAGCTAAGGCCTTAAACCATGCTGAATTCGACGGCCCCGCGTGAGGAAGTGCTGATAAGACGAGTTTAATCGCGCCATTTCTTGACCCAAACATGCATGTCCTTCTGTTCGCTGCATGTGATGGGAAGCAGTGGCGGCTGTCCAGCTTCAACAACTATTTGACGCCTCAAAGTCTTTGGAATGGAAGAGGCTTTCAAGTCGAGCCCAGAATGTCCCCAGAATAGATGATAGAAGGTGTCTAGACTTGCACAAGCCTTGTGCTTGGAGCATTCCAAGCGCTATGTGATTTCCGCACGCGCTGACATTCGGCGTGCAATGCACCTGTTCGGGAGGAGTTGTCGACAGCGGGATGATGACATAGCAAGCGCCTCACCAGGACTCCTAAGAGAAAGCTGACTTGTTTGACATCCAAAGTGGCATTTGTGATAGGCAGAATGAAATCGGTTATCGCACAGGGCAACCTCGTGCCATGGCGTAAGAACCCTGTCAAGTACGGAGCCATCCTAGAGCTGGCCTTCAGCTGCACTGTCAACTGGACAAGGTCTTTTAGTCTACCCAAAAGAGGCTTTTTAACACATCTCCACCTTGTTTGTGATCAGCTGTGATCAAATGGGCGGCTGTTAGAGGCGCCTCGGATAGACGAGCAGAGGATTTTCGATCGAGATCATTGCGGTCACAATAGAGCCCGCTCGTACCTGTGGATCAACGGATGATCAGAAGATCACACAAGCAGGGCCAAAGTAATAACACCAGTATCAGCAATGACATAGGTGGACATTCGGTGCACACGCAGCATGGCCTGGTTTGGGTCTTGAGTGGTCGGCATGGTTGCTTCATGAAACGAGACTTGGAAGAAGTCGGCTGCGTGCGTTGCCCGTGTTTCTGAACTACCGGCGGGGGCCAGCGAAAAACTAGCCTTACCACATCCATGATTAGTGGGGAGCTCTAGGCCGTGGAGAGCCTGGCAATGGTACCTGTAAGGCTCGTGGTTGTAGGTAAGGAACGCGCCCCGACCAGCGGCTGCCGTACAGTATGTGCTTATGGGCTTTGTTAGGTGGTAGCGCTCGGGTACTTGAGGGGGGATTCCTGGCTCTGGGTTCTGGATATCTCTCTACCATTTTTATTGCCCTCTGGTCTGTGTGACGGTCATAGCAGTTACCGTGCGACCATTCTCGCTGGACCGTTAATACTACCCCCATCACATATTCGTACAGATCCCACTCGCATAGCAATAGCAGCTGTCAGAAAAAAGAAGTGACCCATTCCCGGTTCCTTCTGGATTCGCAGCCAAGGCTCCGCATTGCATCGCTTGCTCCTCCATCGCTCCTCACCAACCCCAATGCTGCCCAGCAACAACTTGGGCCTTCACCTGCAGTCTGCTTAAAACTCTCATAGTCCCTCCTCCTCCCTTCCATAAGCCACCGAGCTGCAGGTCAGGGCTTCTTCTTTATCGAACATTCTTGCTGGCTGTCAAGGGAAGAACGTCCACCTGCTTACTGGTGGTCTGTCTTACTTGACTTGACCGTTTTCAACTACACCTCCTCTCTGCTACCGCACGCCCGGTACCGCCAGCACCACCACCACGACACCGTCGTTGCTTCACTGACCTGTTGCACGGGAACATGAGCATATGAACCCTACTCGACCTACGTGTGGAAGCCATCTGCCCTGACGACTGCGAACGAGGCGTTCTTAATTCTAAATTTCCTTGACGACTTGTGGAACTTTGCTTGGACGAGACTAGAACCTGCATCATACCCCAGTACAATTCAAGTGGTACCATGATTGTGTAAGAGAGGGCAAGAGATCAGAGAGGCTTGTTCGGCATCATGATTGAGGCTTCTTCACCGTTGGCGGCCATGCAGCCTCCAGCATTCCTGGGCCATTGTGGCTTTAGACCCGATGGCTCTTCCTCATACGCTTCTTTGGCCGCGACATCTTTCGCCAACAACAGCTTCAATTTCAAGGACTTGTCAATGAAGAGATCCCATATAGACTATTTCAACTTGAAGCCTGTCCGGGGTTCTTCACCAACTGCTAGCCTTGCTGCTGACCTGTCCCAAAATTTCCATATTGATCAAAGGTATGCCAACGTTATGAAACAAAGATACACTAAAGCTGATACTGATCGTTCTCTAGCCCTCAGTTGCCAACGCCGCGGAGGGCACTGTTCCCCAATACCAGCATCTTTGCAGGGCAAGATGGGCACTGTAAGCAGACGTTCAAGACTTTCGCTTGCCCGTCAGACTGACACATCCAGTAAATCTCACCACACCTCCTATTCCTTCGTCCTCACCTGGAGGTCAGGACGCAATGGATATGGATATGTCACCTCTGCCGCACAAGGTACCCTTCGGAGCGGTAGAAATCCAACTTCAATCCCCCACGCCAGAGCCTACACCCATGGATTCACCGGTGTTCTCCATTCCCTCTTCAACCTCTCTTGACTCACCATCAGATGTTCTCCCTGTGCCTCAGGAACGACGAAGATCGGGTCCATTGAGACCGTCGCTGTCGAGAGCGAAGGGTTTTAGTACCGGCTCATTACCTCAACGACCTGCACCCGAGAGTCAGGCTCCACCCTTTCGATTCACCGACTACATGAATAATAAGCCAGCGACCTCTTCCTCCTTGTCTCTCTCTGAAATCTTTGCCGATTCGCCAATTCAAGAGAAGTCAGCGTCTCGGTTCCCCCCTCCTGCCTTCGCGGCTCCACGGCCTCGCTTTGGCGTCTGTGCTGGAACTTCTCGCACTGGGTCTCCCATCGGAGGGCATGTGAGGAAAGGCTCAAATCCTTCTGTGCGCCCTCGCAAGCAGTTCCGCCGGTCACTGAGTATGTTTGAGCATCCTGAGGATGTCATGAAGCGTGAAAAGGAACGAATGAGCCCGCCCCCTCCTTTATTGCCGTCCATCATGGACAACGAAGCTCCTCATGTACCTCAACTTCCTCATTTCATCCCTGACGGCGAAGCTGGTGCCCTACCACGCATCACCAAGGAAACCATGATTGAAGTCCTGGATGGTCGTTTCAACCATTCGTATGAGAAGCTTGTCGTCATCGACTGCAGATTTGAATACGAATACAACGGCGGCCACATCGAAGGTGCCGTAAACTTCAACGACAAAGAACAACTCTCATCTCAGCTCTTCGACGTTGAACCAACCAAGAAGGCATTGCTAATCTTCCACTGCGAATATTCAGCTCACCGTGCACCACTCATGGCTAAATTCATCCGCAACAGAGATCGCACTGTCAATGCAGACTGCTATCCTATTTTGACCTATCCCGAGGTATATATCTTAGACGGGGGCTATAGTACATTCTTTAAGGACTACCGGTCTCGGTGTTTCCCGCAGAACTATGTTGAAATGGATGCCAAAGAACACGTTCTTGATTGTGAACGTGGTCTCGGGAAGGTGAAACAACGATCCAAACTGGTTCGAGCTCAGACCTTTGCCTTTGGCCAACATTCCCCTTCGGTTGACTCTAGTCCTACAGCTATGGGTCGAAGTCGACTCGACAGCGATATGGATCTGGATATGAATGTGGAATTCACCCCTGTCGCCGGACCACGCATGAATCTAGGGGCTCTCCGTGGAATGAACCATCGCATGGCTTCCTATTAGCGGCTGTTTTTATTTTCTTCCGACATCAATTGCGTTCTAGCCTGGCGTTGGGAGCGTCATCATTGTACCATTTTTCTGGCATAGGATGTTATTCATCCTCTTAGCGATGGGGTTCTCAGAGCTCCGGAGACAGTCATCCCTGTGAGACACAACTGGTCTCTGGCTCACCTGCCTGTTACTCCTTGTAACTCATCGAATCAGCCAACCTCTCTGCAACTTTACTTGTCCTTACAGCCATTTCTTCGGCACCATTCCTTTTCCTTCTCTTCATTACGAACGATCGACTTTGATGACAACAGTTCATCTACTTTGATTCCGATACGGAGAAGCCACACATTGATTGGCAACGAAACTACGAATAATCCAAACGCTCAAGTGTATTCTTCACACCCCTACCTCATCTTCTCCAACGTAAATGGTCGGCATTTCCACGTAAATGGTCGGCATTTCCAATGTTTTGGAACCAGGAACACCTTTACTTTTCAAAGCATACAATATCGGCTCGGGTTTCATCTTGGAGTTCGAGCTTGATCCTGCATTCTTCTTCTCAGCCATTAGCGAAATGTTTACATATACCCACTGGCGCGATCGGTATAGTGTTCGCAGGCGGCCTCGTCTCTTGGAGGGCCGTGATTTTGATCAAGGCGGTATTGAAGAAAAGCAAATACCGAATAAAAGGTATCGTTGCTGGGCGAAAGAGGCTCTGACGGCGCGTTCGACCCGTTACCATGCCTTCTTCGTATGTACAATGCTAGTCTATTTTTGACGGGTCATCATGCACAGAATTTTTGTGACTTGGCGGGTAGGTGGGCATTGTTATTGATATGAGCGAGCATTGGACCAGGCACAGCTAGCTAGATAAAGCATTGTTTTCATGGCGTTCCATCTGGAGGCCTTGGAGGCATCAGCATTGGGGAATTGAATTCCAATTTCACACGTCTCTTTTTCTCTATCATGTCGCCTCGTGTTTGTAGTTCTTCCGCACCGTCGACGATTACAACGTCATGTATTCGGAAGATACAACATTGTTCCTTTTTGGACGAAGAAAGAGAAAATATTCTGTGCCTCTGCCAACAGAAGTACAACACGAACATAACGGACGGCGCATGTTCTCAGGAAACCCTGCTAGGGTAAGTAAAGAGGCAGTAGCTCTTCTGATGCGTCTGCGCCCTGCATTTTCGTTCCCCCAATGTCTAACAATGACTATTGCACATTTCTCGAAGAATTTCCCTCGTTGAACCCCCCCGGCGCTGTCTGCTTACTACTACATGTTTGCGATCTTCCCCATGAGGATTTCCGTCTCCCACATGGCGCTCAGATCCCGGCATAGGCTGAGGAAGGACGGTTGCATGATCAGGCTGGCCAGGTGGGACCGGAGGACGCTTCTGCGCTGTGCGGGAGGGAGCCGGGACCAGTCGTCGATTTCGGCCAGAGCCTGTGCCGACGTCGGGTCGGCGAAGAGGAACTCTCCGGCCAAGGTGTCGTCGTGGTTCACTGCTCGGTCAGCGGGCGCAGCAGTCCCGGCAGGTTCGGGTTCAGCTCTAGGGTTGTTGTTGTTGTTTGTTGGGTGATTATTCGTGCTTGTGGTTGAGGAGGCCATGGCCATGTTGACATTGGTGTCGAGCCCGAGATTTCCAAGGTGATCGATAGGTGGTGGTGGTGGTCCTTGTGGGTCGTCTGCTGCGGTGTTGGTGGTATTGTCGACGGCATTCCGTATAACCATGGGCTCGAGGTGCGGCACGGATGGAGAGGCAGGTGTACATACGTCGATGATCTGGTCGGCGGGTGTGCATGGATAGGTGTCACGGTCACGAATGCGCTCGCCCTCGTCGTTGGCAAGTGTGTCGGCAGCGGCAATAGTAGTGGTTTGAGGTCGAGTAGTGCCTGTTTGTATCTCTAGCGTCGACAACACTCGAGAGGCCGATCGTAAAGTGTGTCGTCGTGATGGACTGCCGAGGGAAAGACTTGGGCAGCGGCCAGTGTCGTCATGTGCTGGATTTGCAGACTCTGGAACTTCGGCACCATTTGACTTTGGCACTGGTAGAGGGGTTTGTGGTGGATTGTTGGCCTTATCGTTTTGAGCACTCGTGATGCTCATAGCGCGGGTCAAACGACGTGTGATGATCGGTTCTGGCTGTTTGAGTAGTTCTTCGACGGTCGGGACTGGGCGATCGCCCTCTGCTGTGCGTCTGGAGGCTGTTTTCTTGCTCTTGGCAGGTGCTCGTGGTTTCTTTGCACCCGCAGCCTCCGTGGTACTCTTCGGGGCGACGCGCTTGCGTTTGCCTGTGACTCTGGGAGACGGTGGGGGAATTGCCTCGTTCCGCGTTGAATTCGATGTTGTTGTTGGTACCGCGGAGGTTCTGGGTTGGTCGTCAGAAACGTTGGCCTGGGGAATCGCTGCGGAGTGAACCTGATTGGGTAATGTAGACACGCTGGGAAAAGGTAGGTTTCTTCTCGGTGGTAGACCCAAGTTGAATTCGTGGTCAACGGTCGAGCCTCGAGGAGCATTGGCGTAGTTGTTCTTGCCTTGTGGTCGTGCAGTCGGCAGCAAATTGTCCATGTCTTGACGGCCGCGCGGGTTGTGTATCCCGGGTCGGTCTCTGTTATTTACGAGCGTAGTGGCCGTGCTCAGTGATCCGTGTGAATGAGGTCCTGCGGGCTGTCGCCTATGGCTCAGGCTAGGCAACAATTGGTCATGAAGGGATGTTGGCTTTGATGGGTCGCATTGTGGGTTTCCGAGTGCTGACGCGGCGAACGTTGGAGGAGCCATAGACACTTGAGCCGAAAGGGATGGACAAGAAATTCGATTAGACGTATTCGTAACACTCACAGAGTTATGTTGTTGCTCGTAAGTCGTCGAGGCATTGCTAGAGAAGCCTCTCTGAGAAGCAGAATCATGTGGTGTTAGCTGGTTTGCTGAAGCTGCATGATGTGGCTTCGGTTGGGTAGGAAATGAGCCCGAAGCAACAGTAGGAACGTTTGCACGAGACAGCATCTTCATGGCTTCATCGTAGTCCTCATCACATGTGAATTTGACCTGAAAGCGTCGAAACTGCCGCTATAGTGAGCAGAGAAGGCTTGAGAGACAAGAGTTCATCACCTGGCCATTTGCCATAGGGTACTTGAATGCGATGTGTGGCACTTTGACGAGTACGACGACTGCAGGTATTTGAGCATTGTGTATCATGTTGGACGATTGGGTCATGGAGCGATTCAGTTCGGCCGCGAGCACGTTCAGATCCAGTTCTTCCTGTCAGCGTATGAGTTTTGAGAATCAGATCGAAGGACCAAAAATTAGTCTGGGTGCAAATACCATGATTTCGGGATCCTGCAAGACTTTGAGCTTTTGCCTGTCTTCAAAGCAGCCATCTTCAACCCGTACTGAGCTCGTTTCGAAGACAGCAAAAAGCCTGTTATTAGCGGATATATGAATCCATGGTATTGGAGCAACATTTTCAGCTGAAACTGTAGCATAAGAAAACTTGGACAGCGGAAGACACACAGGAGATTGGGAGAGCATTTGAGAAGGCATTCTAGATAAGCAGAGCAATTCAGAACAAGGACGAAATCAAAGATGTATGCTTCAAAAAAACTACAAAGACAATGGTGGCAGAGGAGGAGGAGATTGATAACAGTATCACTTTGTACAGTGTCGCAAGAGTAGAAGAGAATTGCAAACCTTGATGATACTCGTAGAGACCAAATATCTGGAGAACAACTTAGTAAGAAGTCTGGAGAGGGATAGTTAGCGTACTCGTACACTAGAGCAGACTAGCGAGCTCATACTAGGCAACTTAGCCGGAAAGAAACTCCGCGCGGATCAAGCCGCAAAGTGCGCGACTGAGTGCAAAGTGTATGTTAAAGAAACGTTGGAAGCCACAATTCACCTGTCCAACCCTCGTCAGAATACCCCGTCTCGTTTGGGAGAGTAGCCATCAAGGGTCAAAGCCCTCTCTACTCCCTGCTACTTCATACCAAGAAACCTCGCCCAGAACGCGTCCCGAAATGAGCGCAGCCGGCGTTGGCAACAAACTCGCACCCCGATAAACCCTTAACTCGCATAGCATCGACACCGCAAGCCGGCGCAACCATGGTACCTCCACTTCACACAATCATTGAGGACGAGGAGGAGTTCTTGAACGATGTCGCGGCCTTTCATGAACGCAGGGGGTACGTCTAACATCGCAACATCTCTTTTCTAGCTTGCTCACAGTTTCTTCGCGCAGCACCAACTTCGACCGTGATGGTAAAGTCAGCGGTCGCCCTATATCCCTCCACAAGCTCTACAAGCTGGTCATCGCTCGAGGCGGCTATGATACGCTTTCTGCAGAACGTATGCAATGGCGAACACTATGCAAGGATTTTGGCATAGGGAAAACTCACGAAGCTGTTATGACATTTCAGCTGAAAACTGTTTATTACAAGAATCTTGCGTGAGTAATTGGTGTCGCCAAGCCAGAGAAACATGTATAAGTTGACTGAGTATATCTCATACAGTGCCTACGAAATATCGACGTACTGGGGCGAGGAACCACCGCCGAGGGAAATTCTGGAAGATCTAAGCGCAAAGGGCGGAAACCTGCGGACTAGGACCCTAGAGAACTATCCCCACGCCCCGGCTCACGTACCAGAGACCCCCCAAGTGGATGGCATTGCGGACGCTCAAGACAGAGAAGATGATCAACAGACGCCGAGGCGTGAGAAGACTGAGCCTGAAGACGCAGGAAGTGCAAGCAGATACCCAAGTCGTAAGTTGTTGCCGCATGTTCTGCACAGCGAGCTGTAGCATCGGACAATGCTGACACCAACGAACAGGCAACCTCAGACAAGATCCCAAGCGCACCCAGATATACCAGCCAGACCTGCAACCAACGCGGACTCGCAATGTTCGAGCCACAGATTCCCCCTCTGCACCTCCAGTACAGCCACCGACCTATCAGAACACTGCCAGCGATCCTTTCAATCCGACTTTCGACTGGTATAAGAACTACCAGCCGAATTTGGGCAGACCTTTGACTCTGCAGCAAGTAAAGACACCTCGCGATGATCCACTCTGGTACTCCAATCAAGCCAAGTTGAAGGCTCAGAAAGAGCTGGAGAAAGATCCGAGGAAGCTAAGAGAGGCCCAGAAAAACGCGGAGCTATTGCCTGGTGTCGATGCCAACGTTGCCAGAAAGATTGTCTATCCGCAAGGCCTCTTCAATGGTCCCAATATCTACCAACGTTGTCTTTATGGACTTCGATCGAAGGTTCCCTCCGAGGAGGTTTTTGCCTTGCATCACTTGGTCAAGGTATCTGACGAGCGTGGTGACAAGTACAAATTTGAAGGCTTCCCGTACTTGGCCGAAGCTCTTTTAGACAAGGCTCTGGAAATAAGCGATCTTGTATATGGTGTAAAGTGGCAAGTTGTTTACGATGAGGACGATCGCGAAAATTCTATCAACACACTCAATGCCGCGTTTGGCACCAAAGACCTGCTGCACCGCATTCAGCAGACTTCAACAAGTCTTACTGACGAAGACGTTGAAGATGCGCAGTCAGCACAGAAACTTTCAAGGCTCAACGAGGCTATCCTGGTCATCCGAAATATGGTGACCCTCACCGACAATGCGTCCTTCCTTTCTAAGATGCCATTGTTCAAAGATTTGCTAGTCATTGCAATCAATCTGCCGGATCAGCCACGATTAGTCGAATACAAGCAGTCTGCATTCGAGATCTTGGAGCTTGTCACCAGATACTGGGCCCTCGACTCACAGGACCCTCTATACGTGTCGCTGATTCCATATCTTCTATCAGGAGACCGCGCAGTTCTTATAGCAGTCATTCGTGCCATGACAAGAATTGGAATCGAGATCGCAGAAGTCCAGCGCCTACAGGATATATCTGTCCCGACAATAGAACGACTATTCTCGTTCACTCTTATTGACGACGATGAGCTGGCGGAGGCAGTCCTCGACTTCCTGTACGCGTACACAGCGATTCCAGAAAACAATATTGAGCTACTCACCAAGAGGCCCTTACTTCTTTCATCGATGATGCCTCGTCTAGTTCATTTACTACTACACAAAGCATTGGTTGAAGAAGAATCAATAGTGGCTGGTCGAGCAGCCAAACAGTCCCCTCTTGTATGCACGATACCGGCAGTCCCAGGGGAGCTCTATGCCGAGCTGTTACAATTCCGCGAGCCAGAGAGATCCTCACGGTGGCTGCGCTGCTGCTTCGAAGAATCTCCTACTGATGAAATTACGCAGATTGCTATCTGGCAAGCCTATCAACAACGATTTCTGCCCAATGGGCCGATTGCGGCTGCAGATTTTATTAAGAATGTGTCCATAACGTTTACCCATGCGCAGGCACAGGTCATCCAGATGCAACCCCAGTCGAGATTCATCATCAAAGGCATCAGACCCCGGCGAGTACTCGTTGGCCTTCATGGCCAGCCTTACTTCAAGTGTTTGTGGCATAATGGTCCGCCAGAGAGGGATCAGACTGGCCGCCTGACTTTGAAGCACATGTGTAGCAGCTGGTACTCTAGCCGGCAGAGGCTGCTCGCTCACATCACCAGTGACCACCTCGCTGTTCAGAGAACGACGGACGGCCATTTTATTGCCAAAGACCCTGCTCAACTTGTGTGTCGATGGAATTTGTGTAAACACCGAGCTGCGTTCAAGTCGATAAGGGAACTGGCACAGCATGTGTCTGTTCACATCCCAGAGAGAGCGGATCAGATGGCCAAGATCATTCACGAGATTGCTTACGACACGAAGGATCCCGAACCAACTTCGGTGAAGCACTCGATCCACTATACCGGCTTCGATCGAGCAGACATGCATCCATATGGCATTTCCTACATGAGTGTCATGATCCTGCGTAACTTGGCGCGCTTCGCGAGCAAGCATGGTCAAAAGTTCGAAAAGGACGGTCAGACTCTCACCGAGCAATTGTTTAGCGTGCACAAATATGCTCTCTTCACGAACCTGAGTCTCAATAAGCCACTTGGCGCGTATATTGCGGACCTAATGGAGTTGTTGGACAAGGGTGAAAAGTTGGAGAGACGCGGCACGAAGAGGGAGCACGACGAGGACGAGGAAGAAGACCAGAATCCTTGATTTGACTGGGCCGCACGAGATACGAAGCATATGGTTGTCGGTCTCGCGAGCGATGACAGTACAAACTTGTGGCCTGTAGCGCAGCTTTAATGGGTTTCTATGCGGACGGAGGGCTTTGGAATCTTGGACTCTGATACCAAAAGAATCAGGGATGTTGTGCTTTGAGGATGAGTCGACTATACGATGAATGGAGGAACTCGGACGATTGCTTTTTGGAATGGGAACTGTACGTCTATTATTGCTATTCAACACCAGAACGAGGGCCGGGATGGGGGCAGCATGGCGCTGGTTCGGTACGGATTTATCATCACCTGCCTGATGTCGGGTGGCAATGTGCCTTGTGTGTAGTTACTTTTTATTCCCCACGGGCTCGGATATCAAAGATTGAAGTATTATACTCTCACACGCACGCATGCAATTTCCAGCGGAACGAGGGCGGCTCTGCGGATGCTGAATTGGCGGGTTTGCGTGTGTTTAGATTTAGATTAACAAATTAGCTTGTTAAAGGTATCAAAGCTTGCCATGGCTTTGCCATCTTGGAAGACAAGGACAGAAAAAAGTCTTGTCCATGCCATTATTCACCCTATTCTCAATCTCCCTTTCAATTCCCGCTCATGATGGGTATGTCATGCTCCTGCTCGAGAGAACAGGGTGGAAGAGGCACTCCGTTGTGTGTCTCAGTACAGACACTACAAGATTGAAGAGGAGCGCGAAAAAAGTAGCCCCTTTCTTTACCTCCCTCTTGCTGTCTCCGGAGAGGCAACAATCACATCATATCATGAAGCGGTAACCCTTTTGCAGCCTCCGTGCCGCGGCGATGTCGATTCCCTCGATCTCGGCCGTCTTTCTCAAGCGAGCCAACTCGCGTTCCGAGAGCTGTATGTTGTCGTCTTCCAGCCTGGCGAGCTGCTTGTTCTCCTTCTCCAGCACGTACCTGAGGGCGATGCCACTCAGGCCCCCCACGACCAACAAGCCAATGACAACGCCGAGGGCGACCGGGTAGTGTTTCCCTTGGCTGTCATAGTAGGTGAAGGGGGTCCAGATGCTGGCGGCGTTGCCGACGCTGTTCATGAAGGCGAGCGCCGCGGCGCGCTTGGCGGGGGGGCGGGGGATGGCGTTGCTGATCCAGGCGTAGCAGGTGGCGTTCATGGCGAAGACGAAATTCATGAGGAACAGGCTGAAGTAGCGGGGGCCGAAGCTGTCGGTGGTCATGAAGATGACGCAGCCGACGATGGTGATGGGGATGGGGTACATGAAGAACCAGAACCGGTTGCCCACGCGGTCCGACAGCCAGCTGTGGAAGAAGGAGTAAAAGACCAAAAAGACGTACGGGGGCGCGACGAGCAGGAGGGAGACAATGTGGCTGTAGCCGAGCGTCGCGGTGAGGGTGGGGAAGAAGTTCTGGAACCCTGCGGCACCCGTGATGCCGTGGTACGCGATGGCGAGGATGTAGGTTTTGGGGTCCATGAATGCGAGCTTCATGCCTCGGATCTGGCTCATGCCACCGGCTTCGTCCACGTCGGCTTCGGCGGCGTCGATGGCGAGGCGACGGTTCGCGACACGCTTCATCTCAGGGCTCAGCGCACGCCATGTGTCGGGGAAATCGGGTAGGACGAAGATGATGACCACGCCGATGAAGCATGTTATGGCGCCTTCGATGACGTACTGGGTTTCTTTCTGTTAGTCGCCTTGCAAGGGAAAGATGGGGAGAGAAGGGCGGAAAAACGTACGAGCCACTGCCAGGCTGACATGCCTCTGGCGCCGGCCAGACCTGAGAGAATACCTGCCGCGATGAGATTGCCAAAGGCACCGGAAATAAGAGATCCCGAATAGAAGATGGCCATGCGCAGGGAGAGTTCGCCCTTGGTGTACCATTTCTGTTTTCAATTGGTCAGTAACGGTATAGCTGCGTGCGATTGACAAAAGGTGCCGGTGCTTACACTAAGATAGAAAAGCACACCGGCGAAGAATGGTGCCTCTGGAGTAAAAGGTTAGCCATGCGAATGCTTTGGTATAGGTGTGAAGGGGGTTGCCTTACCGACGAGTCCGAGGATGAATCTACAGGCGACAATCTGTCCATAGGTGCTTACTTGGCTGGTCAGGGCAGACACGAGACCCCATGCACAGACGAAGAAGCCCAGATACCACGACGGGCGACCGCTATAATTGAGCAGAGCATTCGAAGGCACTTGCATCAGAACCTAGGCGCGGCGATCAGTTGGCTTATCATTTCAAAAGCTCACATTGTTGAACTCACATATGCCACGAAGAGAATACTCAAGCCGACTTGGTACTGGTCCCCTGTCAAATGTAGATCCTGCTCTAGGCCCTGCAATCGAGCGGCCGCATAATTGTTCCTGTAGCACGACATGAGCATGAGTGTTCCACATGGGCGTGGTGGAGTGAGGCATGGCGTACCGGTCGATGTAGTTCATTAGATAGACGAGAATGACAAGAGGCATGACAAGCATGTCTATCTTGAGGCGCAACTTCTTCTCGATGTGCAGCTCCTCCTCTGTCAACTCCCCCCAGTGCATTGCCTCCTCGTGCGAGATGCCCACCTTCTCGCCAATGAGGGCGGCATCGGTAATCTTGTCATCTGACGCCTGGGTGTCCATCGTATGGAAGGGTTCCCGAAGAGTGGTCGTGGTTGATGATATCTGATGAGGGTAGGATCGATGAAGGTGGAAAGCTCTTTAGTTTGCCACTCTGCGCTCACAACGACAAGGTAGGAAGAAGAAGATGAAGAGCTCGAGCGGAACCAGTCCTGCGGATGGAGCAATCCTGGTAGCTCTTGTACTCTTCTCCCCTGCACCGGCTTGCCTTGCTCGGGTCAATGATGAGACGATCGGTTTGCGGGGTCCATGAAATCATGGAGAGACAGGCATACAGTCGACTGTGACAACAATCCAAGCGCCTCCGTCACGGCGACAGAACGCCGTCGGTGTCGGTCGGGGTTGAAGCACATGGGCGTGCATGGGGTTTAGTGGCTTGCCATGATCCGGGGTCTGTATGGAGAGCTGGGGGATTGCTCTTCGCTTCCGTCTGTGCACCAACCTCTTTGAGCTTCGATCGGCATGACAATGTCACAGCCAAGTGTTCAAAGGCAATTGAAATTAGCCGGAGGTTGCAGGTCACTTCAGTAATCTGTGGCTATTTTGTCGGCAATTCGAATCGCATGATCTGTCGCACGCTCCATGTCAGACCTAAGCCTACGCGAAGGCCTGCTATTTGGCGCTCCTAAGCCTGCTTGGTAGATTCTTGTTCTATCACCCAAGGAACCTTCTTCGGAGGACGAGACCGTTTCCGGCTGTCCGGCCACCGGCATGACCGACGAATGTATCTCGCACGAGTTACAGGGGAAAAACGTGTTCTCGTGAGTTTCGGGCTCGGCTATTGACTGTCTGAGGGTGATCATGAGATTGACCTTTGTTCACCTGCCCTCTTCGCGGTCAAACTCCGGGGTAGCAGGGGATTCGTACAGGAAGGTGTAAGAATACGCCACACGGCGGGGGTGTACCGTACTATTGTCACTCGGCAATTCAAAAGGCATATATTGTGGCCCGTGGGCAAAATTGTCGTTTTGACGAATGCTGAAGCTTCAAGAGCCGTCAGTATACCTACCGTACCTAGGTACATATATAGGACCTTTTACTCAACACAACCGGGGGCAGCGGAAAGAGTCACAGGCTTCGTCGTCTGAAATGACGGTTAACTCAACTCGTGCTTAGCCAAGGCCAACCGCTGTTTGGGAAAGTGAGCCGACCGGTGGTGATTCCCCTCATCCCTACTGAATGTTTCGACTGTCGGTGAGTCAAGATAACGGTGAATATCCTGTTGCTCAAAGGTGCGAAACTATATCAAACAGTTACTCGCTGTGTGATAGTAATGAGCTCTTCCTGCTATGTGAAAATGCCTCCAGAAAATCCCCCCAGCGGATGCTGTAGTACAGCGAACAGCAAAGACAAAGACTGTTGCAATTCTCCGATCGAATCAACCAAGATGAATACGCTTTGCTGTGATAAGGCTCGGCCAAACGTACCTACGAGCAAATGCTGTGGTTCTAAGGACTGCGATAATGGCAATTACGATAGCAAGGCATTGACGCAGACAGAGATAACCTCATCATGCACTGAGGAGACTCAACCACCAGCCTCAAGCAGCTTTGGCGAAAAGCAAAAGAGCAAATGCTCTGACGATGGCAATGGCGAACTTAGTTACAATCCTTCTGTGTCCGCAGAGCCTCCATCAAGCCGAGGCTGCCCCGAATGCCCCTCCGGTCTTCAAAATTGTTGCAATGGTCTGGCTTCAAGTAAATCAAACCAGCACGTTAATGAAAGCTAACCCATCTAGTAGAAGCCTGCATCGATCGAGCCGCTGCTATTGAGTGTCAAGCAGAGTGCCGTCAACGTAAGCCAAGCAGGCCAATGAGCAGTGCGAAGACCACGAGCGCCGAACTGTACACTTCCACATCTATCAAAGGGGTGCGGGAAATTGCCTGGAGTGATGCATCCTCACTCCAGGCATGTGAAGATCATATCAAAGCGTCACGCCAGAAATATCGAGCCGTAGCAGGAGTCATTCGCTGCATTTGCCGTGCCCTCAAAGCCAAAAACCTTCAGCCTTGCTGCCAAGTTCAGAGCACCCGCAGAGTCTCGAGTTCGAGATCTGGCAACCCTGAGCATGTCAAGACTACTCGTCAGTGCTCGCGGGAAACGTCCACTGTAGGAGGGTCGAAGGGCTGCTGTGACGAGGACAAGATTGAAATTGCTCAGGCCTCCTCCTGTTGTGCACAGAATACCAAGTTAGAGAGACAGTCCTCTTGTTCTCGACCACGCAAGGCAGCTGTCCAAAGTCAATGCTGTGCAGCTCAAGCTGATGTCAGCGTCAAGGAAGTGCGAAATAGAGGTGATCTGGAGAAAGGTGCGGAGAGCACGGAGAAGGTCGTGCTCAGCATCAGCGGTATGACTTGTTCTAGCTGCGAGTTGTCGCTGCACCGGACATTGGCATCTTTGTCTGAGGTCGACAACATTCAAGTCAGCCTCATACTGGCACGAGCTACTTTCGACCTTGATGTCAATCAAAAGTCTGTCGATCAAGTCATTACACATGTTCAGCGAACTACGGACTTTACATGTGAGCCTGTTGCCACCAAAGCTCGGCAAATAGATGTTCTTCACCCAAATGGCGCAAAAGCACTCCTTCAACAACAGCCTCCGGGTGGAGTTGAATTGATGAAGGCAAAGTCAAGAGGCTCTCAGGTCATTTCCATACAGTACGACCCTGAAATAATTGGCGCCAGAGATATAGTCGGAACTGGTTTCGACCAACCACTGCAGCTTGCACCTCAAGAAGGCCCCGAATCTCTCAGTGCCGGCCTACATGAAATTCGAAAAGATGGCTTGATGACCATGATCTCCTGTCTTCTTACCATCCCAGTCCTGATCCTGGCCTGGGCACCATTACCGAGCCATCCAATCACTTACGGAGCAGTGTCGCTCGCACTGGCAACCATCATTCAGGTGGCAGTCACCGGGCCCTTGTATGTGGTTGCGTTCAAGAAACTTTTCTTCTCTCGCCTTCTCGAAGTGGAATTTTTGATTGTCCTCAGCACAACCGCGGCTTATGTGTTCTCCCTAGTTGCGTTTGCCTACGAAGTTGAGGGCCACCCTCTGAGAACAGGCGAATTCTTCGAGACAAGCACTCTCCTCGTCACCCTGATTATGATCGGCCGACTGATTAGTTCCTGGTCCCGCCAGCGAGCTGCTGAGTCGATCTCATTGCGTAATTTGCAGACCTCACTGGCGATTCTTTTGCAACCAGAGTCCAAAACCGAATACGAAATCGATGCCCGCCTCCTCCAATACGGTGATGAGTTCATCTGCAAGCCGGAAACGAGGCTGGTCACGGATGGCATCGTGATATCTGGCACTTCGGAAGTGGATGAAAGCATGATCACTGGCGAATCTAAACCTGTTCCCAAGGAGGCTGGCACGCCAGTTGTAGCTGGATCAATGAATGGTAGCGGCTTACTACATGTTCGTGTCAGTCGCCTGCCGGGTGACAACACTATAAGCACCATCGCAGATATGGTGGATGAAGCAAAAATGACCAAAGCCAAATCTCAGGACATGGCAGACCGGATTGCCGGCTACTTTGTTCCTGTCGTCTTACTGATTACCGCAGTCACCTTCATTGGATGGATCAGTTTCGATGTGGCACAGCGGGGTTATTCATCTTCTCAGGCGGCCGAAGATGCAATTATCTATGCTATGGCGGTTCTGATCGTCTCTTGTCCCTGTGCCATTGGGCTCTGTGTGCCAATGGTCATCGTCATTGCAGGTGGAGTGGCTGCGAAACATGGAGTCGTCTTCAAAACTGGCCATAGTATTGAGATCGCCAGAAATGTTAATCATGTAGTCTTCGACAAGACAGGGACACTCACGACGGGAACTTTATCAGTGGTATCCGAAGACCTTCCATCCGGAAAGGAAGACATCAAATCCTTAATTCTGGGCTTGGTTGCAAATAGCAAGCATCCCGTGTCTGCAGCGGTGGCTAAATATCTCCAAGATCAGGGCACGTTGCCGCAGCACCTAGAGGAAGTGACCAGTCTTCCTGGCAAAGGTATGGAAGGTATCATTGGCGCACGCAGGATCTCCGCTGGCAACTCTCGCTGGCTTCATCTCGAACAGCATAGTCAAGTGACGAGTGTCTCCTCCAGGGGCCTCACGACATTCTGTGTCATGCTTGACAGCCAACTTGTGGCAGTTTTCGGACTCAAAGATACCGTCCGTGAGGATAGTCACGGCATAATCTTCGAACTAAAGAAGCGCAGGATCTCAGTGTCGATTGTCAGCGGCGACGACAGAGGGGCTGTGGAAGACATTGCGACTGGTCTCGGGATACCGCCATCTCACGTTAGGGCTCGATGCTCCCCGCAAGACAAGGTAGGCTATCTTAAGCAAATCATGAAGGACAAGCATGCCATGGTCATGTTCTGTGGCGATGGCACCAACGATGCACCCGCCCTGGCCCAAGCCGACATTGGCGTTCACATCAACGAAGGCAGCGAAGTGGCTCAAAGCGCGGCGGATGCAGTCCTTATTCGACCTGCACTCGGGGGAATCTTGTGCTTCATGGATCTCTCTCGAGAGGCTGTCCGGCGTATCAAGTTCAACTTTTGTTGGTCGTTTATCTACAACCTCTTTGCGGTCTTGCTTGCGGCAGGATTGTTTGTGAAGTGGCACCTACCTCCCCAATATGCCGCTCTAGGGGAACTTGTCAGCGTTCTTCCAGTCATTGGTATTGCCCTCCACTTGAGACTCGTCAAGCTGAGTGGCTACGGGAATTGAGTCACGGATGATGGGGGTAGAGGTTGGGCTTGGAAAGACTGTTTGCCCATTAAGGATGGATGTTGCGCTCTTCCTTTCTCCTAGGGGCGAAGGGAAGTTTCGAGATTCTCGTTAGATTTAGTATAGGAATATATAGATTAGAAGGCTGAGGCATCAATTTGACCCTCTTTGACAAAAGCTCGATGGTTGTGATATTGACGTTTGACCCCAGTATGCTATCTTTAGTATTGGTGGTATTGAAGGGGAAAACCGACAGTACCTTAGTGGCTTTCGCCCAGTGAGGAATTGGTACTTGTGTATGGTGTATGCAACGTCACAATCCGTGTGAAGTATGCCGATCAAAGAGACGCCGATGGGGAATGTGCAACACAATAGGCCATACACTCAGGACTAAAGGTTTGACTTTTGTCTTGTAACTCTATGTAGGAGATTAGACTGAAAAGTCATAGAGGTTTGGGATCGTACGCAGGTGGATTTCATGACGAGGCTATCGAAGCTTCATACTTTGTACTCGGTGCATGATGACATACTGTATGCCAAGACACAGCGCTGTATACAACCAAATGCGGTTAGCGACCTAACATGGCCACCACGCAGTTAGGGATCTGCGCAGAGAGATGCTACGAATAGACTCATGAGATGAGGTGGGCAGAGCACGTCGAGGTGTATATATATGTGCAAAGGTAAGTCCTCATGGGATGACTCGTAAGTTGACACACAACCCTTCTCTATCAGACGATACCACAGACACATTCCTTGACCATACTACCACGAGTCCTACAAGTAACCACCTCTACCACAATCACTTTGCTACAAATACCTACCATCACTGCAGTCTTGACAAAACAAAAACTCACTTGTTACGATGGAGTACGAACACGACATCCCCAAATCCAACGAAGACACCTCACCTTCGCCCCTACCTCTCACTCTCCAGGTGGACTTTTCGTGGAAGAAATATCGAAGCATCATCACCGACAAAGAAAACCCTACTGAGCCCATCTACAACGTCCACTACGGGGCATTCAGATCCCCACACCTCACCTTCAAGTCTGCCGACGACAAGGAGGTCGTGGGCACGGGTACGCTGCAGGTGATCTCGATCAATGCCAAGTACGAAGTCCATGGGCGCGCAGGAACACTCAAGGCCCTAAAACGGCTCAAGACTCGATACACGCACCTGTCGTACGCGTATTCGGACGACCCTGACACCCCCGTGGCCATGAACTGGAGGAGCAGCTGTGGCCTGAAGAGATGGGACTTTGTGTGCTTGGACGAGGCCGAAAACCCGGTGGCCAAGTTCTCGGTGAACGTCTGGGCCCTGCGCAAGATGGGTCATTTTGAATTTTTGGGTGACAAGGCGAGCAGCAACGTTGCGCTTCGGGATGAGCTTGTGGTGACGGGGTTTACACTGTTCTACATGATGTACCTGAGGGCGAACAACATTCTGTCGTTATTCGGGGCTGCGTTTGCGAAACCGGGGCCGATTGACATTGAGAAGGAAAAGGAAAAGGAGCAAGGGAAAGTCGCTGATGTGGTGAAATGATGTTGTTAAATATAGAGATACCCCTTTCAAGAGTTCTTTGTTGGTTATGAATTTTCTATAGCTATTTTTTTTTTGACAAAAACAATAAACATGAAATGCACTGCAGTCCCCTTATTATCAGGCACTTCTAGAGTACCTTGGGTACCTATTTATTTGTTTGTATGGGGGATGCCCCAGGTACCGATCCCGAAATAATTGGCTGTTAATTTTCCCGTTGATGCTTAAGTCTTGTTCTAGCGTGGCTTTGAGCACTGTGCAGTGCGTTGCCTGGCCGGCTGCATTGACGTTTGTTGACTTGTGGTTGCGCCGTTTTTGACACTTGCATCACCATTTCCCATTCTGCATACCGAACATCGCAATCCCAAAGTCGACAACCATCGCCCTCCGGGCGCGCACACGGCCGATAATACTAACCCAAGCAGCGTAATACCGACAATCATCAGAAACGACCGCCGACGACACCACCACCACCCAGGACCTCGCCTACACCGCTCCCCAACCTCCCCCGGAAACTGCGAAAACGACCGGAGCGAACACAACACACAGACAACGACTATCGACAAATGGCATCTTGATCGCGACCAGCAAACTTCAACCATCCACATCGATACAGACCTGCCAGACGACGACACTGAAATTATCATCGACTCGCGACCGACGCGACCATGCCCCTATCCGATGGGTTCCCCTCGTCTCCTCCCGGCCCAGGCTCCTCCTTGGAAGAGTCCCTGAAATACTACAAGGCGCAATATGAACTGCTAGAGGCGGAACTGGAAGAGTTCCAAACATCTAGCAAAGAACTCGAGGCCGAGTTGGAAAAGGACATTGACGCCTCGGAAAAGCGCGAACGACAATTAAAGGAGAAGGCCAGCAACCTCCAATACGAAGTGGACGAATGGAAAGCCAAATACAAGCAATCCAAAAGCGAAGCCTCCAATGCGCAGAATGCGCTCCAGAAGGAGATTACAGAGTTGCGCGATGCCAACCGCAACCTGCAGATGCGCCTGCGCGACATTGAAGTTGCCAACGATGACTTTGAGAGAAAGCAGCGAAACACGGAGTCGTCGCTGGAAGATATGGAAGCCAAGTATAACCAGACAATTGAACGAAGTGTACTGCTTGAAGATGAGTTGCGGTCCAGTGAGCAAGACCGAGAAGGATTGCGCATTGAAGCACAGCGACTGCGAGATGAACTCTCTGATCTCAAGATCGAGGCCGACATCACGAAAGAGAAGTTACGAAAAGCAGAGGCCACCGCTCGAAAACATTTGACCATACATCCTATCAACATCACCAGCTCGTCTCCCCGTTCAGAACTCTCACCGACCACCACCAATGCCTCCTCTCCAACGTTCGACACTCCACCAGCAAAGACAGCCTCTTCTTCTGGCCTCTCGGACACACCCACACCCCCTTCCCCTCCGATATCAGACAAGTCGAGCAACGTCTCCAAACCCTTCGCGACACCCGGAATCCCCAAACGAACATCCCTGGCCAGTGCCACTGCCATCCAAAGACCATCGTCTTCCATTTCCAATTCGAGACCGAATGGCCACGTGCGAGGACCTTCGGTCTTGTCTCGAACCGGACCTTCTTCCTCGTTCCGCCAGAGCTTGTCCAAGAATAGTGCTCTCCCTCAAAGGCCGTCTGGATTGCCTCAGTCTGCGTCTCTGATCCATATTAGGAACCTCCGGGGCAAGATGCAGAGACTCGAAGAGCGTGTGCACAATGCAAGATCCAAACTTCCTGCGCCTGTGAACACGCCGCCAAAGATGTCCCCCAGATCGGGATCGGCGCTGGGCCATCACATTCCCTCGTCGGTGACTGTTCGCAACCGTAAACGGACCGGTGGCAGTACGATTAGTGGAGTGGACTCGTTACCTGACAAGGCCCAAGAATCTCCGCTGAAGCCAAAGGGGAGGCCGAGCAGGTCGTCTTTGAGTCTCCAGCAACCACCATCTCCCACGAGGGGTGACATGGCCGCACCGCCACCACTACGACCGTCGTCACGAACCAGTGGTATATCCGGGCGATCGTCGTTCGCACCAAGTCACAGCCGACCGCGCAGCCGGGCGAGTGTTTCGGGATTCCGAGCACCTCTTGGCAGCGGTGTCGGGTCAAACTATGCACCCAACGCGTCGACGGATAGAATCCGACCGAAGAGCAGTCTCAGTAGCTACGGTTATGATGGTACCTTGGATGAAGACGACGGTGAAGAAATGGCACCGGGTGGAGTTGACATGAAAGATACAGCAGCGACACCGACCCCGAGACGGACGACGTTTGCCAAACGAAGCAGTGACGTCGGGTCTGGTATACCGAGTCCCAGTAAACGGACCAGTTTTGGGAGTGCGGCGACGAAATTACCTGGTCTGCCTAGACGGCCTAGTACTGGGTTCGTGAGGGTGACCAGCGGGACTGGACCTGGGGATATGATGAGACCTCCATCTCGACAATTGGATCATGTCCAGGAAGGTTATGACGTGAATGAATCTTATTGAGTTACTTGTTGACTGTTTGAAAGAGGGCTTTGAGTAAAATGGCCCATCGATGAATGACACTAGCCCACTGGGCACTTTCAGGATCAGAAGAAGAAGTGTCAACTTTGGTTTCTTTTTTGTTTGTTCTTGGAATGAGCTTGAGCAAAAGAGCGGGTTTTGTACGTTGTGTGTGTTAGCGACCACGATTCTTTGAAACTTCAAACTTGACTCTTCCCTCCTCTAGTCGAACGAGGTCTGAGGTTGATGTTTGGGGAGGAACAATGACCACCCCCTCCCCCCTTCCCCCAACATAGGTGACTTTAGAGATAGCGTTATGAGTGTTGTTTTTGTTTGGAGCAACCCAGGAAATCATGACCAATTTGCATTTACATCTTGTAAACGGGACCGAGGAATGTGAAAATCATCCGTCGAATGTGGAATTCATCTCAACATTGAAATGCGACCCCTTCTCTCTTTGCCATGTTTGTCCCGCCACTGCTACCTGCGAAACCTGTCCCTTCGGAACTGATTTCCACAATGCTTCCGACCGTGACCTTTTTGTCCTTTTCCTTTTCCTTCTTGTCCTTTTTGGTGGTGGTCGGTTGGTTCTTCTCCCCACTCAAATCCGATTCACATACGTAGCACAGGATTTTTGTCGCTTCCGTTGCCGACTCCGTGGTGGTGTTTGGTTTGTTTTGATACAGTACATCCGAACAAGATTTGCACAAAACGTGACCGCAATTTTGGGCCGTACCGACCACCGCCCTTGATGTGTTTGTCAAGTGTTTTTTACAACTCGGACAGATCGGTTGTTTTTGGTGACCGCCGCCATCGGTACCGTTGTCGACATCATCACCACCGTCGTCGGTGTAAGAAAAATTGACGTTGATGAGTGACTTCAATGAGTACTCATGTTTTTCATCGGGTGTACTCGATGGACATATGGGGTGTAATTTTGTCGGTGTTTTATTTCGGCCAGTCGTATCATGTCTGGACATGAATTCCGATCCAGGGATCCAAAAACTTGATTCGGATGATTTTTCGCCATCACCACCGCCAGAGGAAGTTGAGTTGTGTTTTGATTTCTTTGAACCTTCGTCACCACCACCATTGGCCTCGTTCTCACCGGTACGTATCGATGATGTAGTGTTGTTGTTCTTGCTCGAGTTCGAATGCATTTCTTCCGCCATTCTTTTCCTTTTGGATCCGACACCACCGGAGAGTGAAGTGTCGACATCATCATAGCCGGAATCCAATTCTTGCCTTTCGAATCGTTCAAGGTCTCTTTTTTTTCTTTCCTCCGCTTCCCTGCGTCTGTCTCCTTCCATCTCACGGTTTTTCGTTTCAAAATCCCGTTCCAAACGTTTGATTTCTTTTCTCTGGGTCATCAAATCGTTCAAAGCACATTCCCGACAAAACAAATGTACTCTTGTCATGCCGTTGTTCGTGTCGGTGGTAGTACCACCACCGCCTTCGGTCGTTGTTTTTGTCGTCTTCATCCCAGAACACGTAACTGGATCAATCGCCAAACTTAAACATAATCTACAATGACCAAAGGGTAAAAAACTTTCCCTGCCCAACCTCGTGGACTGTGTACCCCAATTGGACCTCAACATGGACCTCTCGTGGGCCGTGAAAAAGGCCAAGGAAGTGTTTCTTTTCGAATGAGACATGTTGAGAATCGCGAGAAGGAGAGAAAAGGAGAAATTCTTGATCAATCAAATCCCACAATCCTTTCCCCCCCCCCAAAAATAGTCGATATGTACGGGAGGAAACGTATCCTTCCCTGGCAATCAAAGCTTGCCCGTGTCGTATCTAGTGTCGAGTATGTCGAGTGTGTCGAGTATGTCGAGTATGTCGAGTATGTTGAGTATGTCGAGTGGGTTTGACGCCGTGTAAGAAAATAGAATGGTGTGTTGACGCCGACACCGAGAGTACAGAGATGAATCAAAAGTTCGATTCAGGTGTTTCAATAGATGATGAACATGTCCTTTTTGAATTTGTCGCCGGTTGAATGTTTGTCAATTAACGAGTGAATTGTTTTGAGGCTTGATGAATGAATCACAATCACATTTGTCTGCAATACAAAATTATGAATTGTTTTTAAAGCGGCAGCATATTGTCTAGTCGACCAACTTCCGACCTTCTTTTGGATAGAAAACATCTCCAGACCAGATAGACGGCACAACACACCTCCACAACCTCATGTCATCAATCAACAACCTTCTCATATAAACATGTCATCACTCAGTGACTTTCCCACACTCGAACGATAGTAGTCGTTATAGTCTAGCGACTAGCCTCATGTCTCACACCGGTCCCAAAGTAGTTCCTAACAGAGTCATCGAGTTACAAAATACATGACTTATGTATCCCACAATAGGTACTACATTATGTAGTCAAGCGGACCTCATCAACAACAACACGATCATGGAAATTTTAATGACTAGTGTATTCTGAATGATACCCAACATTTATAAAATCATACAAAACCCTGCTGCAAGGAGTATCTTCAACCAAAAGGACCCCAGACGCAACCCCCTTGCGCCTAAATATCCTAGTGAAATCAGCCCTCATGCTAGCAGAAAAAAGTAACAATCTAAAGCTCCTTGCTCTCCCTCACTGAGGCCTGTTTTAGCCAATCCATCTTTGAGCCGTCGCCACCAAAAGAATGGCCTCGAAGTCGACCTCTCTCCAGAAACACCTTGTCACCTTCTACTCGACCGCAAGCCGAGTCTCGTCGTTCCTTAAGGACGAATCCCAACAATGGTGCATCCATCCCATCTTTTGCCGCAAGAAGGTGACCCAAGTCACGAGGTTCTCTCAAAAAATCCTTCTTGGTGAACTTTGAAGCCAGCCATTCTGATTTTGATGTGCCATCTTTTGCTCCAAAGGGAGACTTGTAAGGCTCGATGCTGTGGAAATAATCATCCTCGGCGACAATACCAGCAACATTTTCCAGATACTGATTTCTGGATCTCAATTCTTCTACCTCCTTTTCCAGCTCGGACACCTTCTGTGTGGATCTCAACTCTTCTACCTTCTGTTCCAGTTCGGACACCTTCTGTGCCAATGCTTTGTTTCCCCGACGTTTTCGCTGCGTCGCTGGCTTGGATGGTGCCGCTTCCTCCTTATGAGTAACGACTGGGACAAGAGGGGGTTCGAGCTTTGCGAGATTAGGTGCAGCAACAACAGCTCCTTTTTGAGGTTCAGGAGTAATCTGATCTGGCCAGCTTGAAGAAGTCTGTTCTGAACGACGACCGTCACTCGTGGCTGCTGGTGGAGGAGGAAGAGTAGTAGTAGTAGTAGATGGATCTTGCCGAGCCGAAGAAGTCTGGGCTTGATGACGACGAGGTGCAAACGTAGGTGACTGAAGAAGATCATTAATCCGGCATTGCCAGAGTGAAGACATCTGTTCTGAGTGGCGACTAGCAACAGAAGATGTTTGATGAGCGACAGTATGCGGATCTTGCTGACTTGATGTGATATGGGGTTGACGACGACCACCAGCGTTGACAGGTGCTTGACCTGGAGCAACAGTTTTATCTTGTAAGCCTGAAGAAGTCCAGTTTGGGGGACGATGTGCATCCTTCGTCTTTTTGCAATGCGCCACCGTAATCCAATCGTTGTTTTCTCCTGAAACACGTAGTGTACCCGTCTTGCTGTGTTGGTCGGAGGGAGGAATAGTCGTACTGGCTTTTTCTGTGTTGTTCCATGTTTGCGACTGGTTGAGTCCATCGTCAAGAGAGATCGGTGAAATAGATAGTAACTCGTCCTTTGTTGTGTCGCCTCGTATCGATGGCAGTGTCTTCGAGCTGACATCAACTTTTCCAAGAGACGCTTGAGCTGATGTTGCACTGGACGCGTCGATTGTCTCTTCGAATTCACTTCTAGCGGGAGTTTCGAAGCGTGGCGATGCCCCATCAAGCAGGGAGCTACTTTCCGTTCTCTCCGACCTCACTTTTGGTTTGTCCAAGATTTGTGACATGGGTATGTCATTCATATCTTGTGGTCTATGTCCGGCGTGATAACCAGAACAGCCCATATCAAGACTGTTCGACCTTCCAACGCTGTCGACATCTGCGGTTGACGGATCGACCTGAGCAGTTTCCAACTTGTCTTCGCCACGGACTGTAGTCTCAGAGACATTTTGAGCTCTCCTAAGCATAGCAACTGCATATGCATCTTGTTCGTAAGAGTCGAACTTCGTGTCCGTCTCACCCAATGCTGACCTCTCAATTGTCTTAGTCCACTCATTGACTCTCGATAGTTTGTTCTCTTGATCTCGGACCGATCTTCTTGACATCGAGACCAAAGACATCTGTTGCACTTTCTTCTTGCTGTCTGAAGCGCTGGAGGTTGCAATAGAAGAAGGGAAAGGCTTGGCATCCTGTTTCATCTCTCGATGATCATGCTCATCGGCATCTTGCTTCTCGATAGCCATTTTGCTGTCGTCGGAAGAACTCTGTTCAATAGATTTTCCAGTATGACTTTCATCATGGCTTTCACTTGCGGCTGTATCGTTGACAAAAGACTTCATTTCATCCTTTGTTGCAATAGTGCCCTCCTTGGCCTTCCTCTTTGACTTCTTTTTCTTCTTGGATGGATGTTGGGGTGCTTCTTCAAGGATTCTAGCAAGCTCGTCAGTACTCATTGCCTGGAGCTGCAATCTGTTTCTCTCCTCCTGAAGTTTCTTTTCTTCTTCCCGGAGCTTATGATTCTCTGCCAGCCTGCTCCATTGTTGTCGAATTTTTACTTGATCGACCACTGCTAATAGGTGATATTCCTGGTCGTTAAATCTTCCAGGCCCCATCATGAACATCACCTCCTCCAGGTTCTCTTGCGACATGTCATAGTAATCCCACGTAGACCATCCCATGGTGTCGGGAGAATTCAACGTCCGGGAATTCTCTAGCTCACTCAAATGTTTGACTGCCTCCATCGCAGGCGCACGTATCACACAACCACCGTACCAGCCTAAGAGCCGCCTCGTGAAATAGTGACAACGAAGCGTATCACAGAGTCGATAAGCCACCTCTGCCTCGTGTTCATAGAGATGTAACACTACTTCGTGATTGATATCCAGCAACCAGTAACCATCCATCAAGAGAGCGGTGTGTCTCAATAATTGCCCTTCAGTGGTCAGATTCCCTGACTGTAGCTCAGCCTTGAGGGCGTACACATCCTCTCTCAGGCGACGATAGCTCGCATCCTCGTTTGTCCGTTCACAGGCATGACATTGGCAATAAAAGCCATAATAGTGGTGGAGCTTGTGAAGATACTGCTCAACACTGCCAGCCAAGTACAGGTATGATATTGTGATCTCCTCGCCTGCTCTTATATCCTTCACGGCAAATACTTTCATCGTGACGGTTGGAACGGCACTATCCTCTGGCTCGTTATCAGTATCAACCTCTAAAGTGGCGTTTGGATGGCACGCGTGGTTGATGACACCGGTGAGAGCACCGACTGCCCATGCCCTTCCCCCCAGGTAATCAACATCGACAGGGGTAATTTCTTCGATTACCCGCCTCAGATGTCTCAGCTCCAGCTCTTTTTCAAAACTCCAATCATGCTTATCGGCCGATTTGTCCACAAGCTGAAGATACTGGGATTCAGTGATGAAAGACGAATATGCCTCGCGGTCCAGAAAGTTGTTGAAGCCTTTGGGATAATTCATGCCTTCCAAGGTACCCGTTTCGACAAACCAGCGCAAGGTGGGTATGCTTGTGCGAGTGGCCTCTAGCCACGCACCAAGCCAGTTTTTCCACTCTTCCTGGGGAACGTCATGATACTTTGGAACTGGCCGGTCGCCCAAATCAGCCACGGTGCCCACGACTACTGCGGTTTCGGAAAACAACAGGTCGCCGTGTTTGTAGTCTTTGGGAGCGAACAGGCCAGCTTGTTTGAGGGAAGGACATTCTTGCACGATGGCGCAGAGTCTCGGCGGCGGCGTTGTCATGTTGGCTATGATGTGTCGATATGAGTTGGTTACGAGGATAAGATGGTAAAAAGAGGGCGTCGGTTGCAGCCAACTGGCTGCCTGAAGGAGATATTGAGGCCTTCTAGGACAGACAAGAAGGTTGTGAAGGGAAATGATACGAGGAAGGAGCAATCCATTTGCAGTTGTCTTTCAAAGAGAAGCAGGAAGTCGTCCTCAGCATTGAGGATTTCGATGATGAAGGAGCAAGGATGAAGCTGACAATAAATAGTTTGCAACATGTTTGAGTGTGTGATCGTTTGCTCGGCGCTTCCATTGACATGGACCTTGCGCTGGCTTTGACGACTAAGCGAACGACGACTATGTGAAGGCATTGTGTCTTCAAAGATGAGGACTGATGCGAGAAATCATGTAGATATCACGTCGTGGATTGGTAGATGGTGCTGAGATATCGGAACAAACAACCCATAAAGGATCTGGAGATGGGGAATATGGTCGTCCACCACTACCCATATCGAACATGGTACTAACACATGAGGCTCAAGGTCAACACATCATGTGCTGTCGTATGGGCATGAGCATACAAGGAAAACATGTCACTTTTGTAATAAGGAAGTGAGGAGTAGTGAACGAGGAGGTAAGACGATCGAAGGAACAATCATTGACTCATGGGTCGCCTTGTGACAGAGGCGGGGCTCAGGAAGGCACATATTGATGCTGTATTTCTATGACCGGACAATAATGTCGATATTGTACGTAGCGAAGTTTTGAACTGGTCCCTCACCATATCATGAGCGAAGCTTGTGATTCCAGAGTACTCGAAGGTTATCGCTAGACGACCGATTTTTCAAATGAGAAAAGGACTCGTCCCCAACGCCCAGGTCCCTCATCGTTGGTGGTTAACATGCTGCCAGAATCAATACTGCAAGTATATCGGTGGCACAGATGTCGTCCTTGTGTACATTGGGATCCCAGACTTGAATCGTCATACCTCCTATCAACGGAGGCAGGAGAAGTCGCGTATCAGTTCGATGAGAAAGTAAACTGGGATCCAGATCGTAGCAGTCATAACGGGCAGCAGGATTTGTGCCCAGAGAGGCCACGAAAGGTAGCTAATAGTCGAACGCCGTATGATAGCTTCGTGGTAGGTGCTGGTAATGAGGCCGATTGGAGCCATAGAGCCCTTTCTCGGCTGCGTGCTTATCAGTCGGTGAGGTAGAGATTTGCAGTATCCAAGACTTTAGGTCTTTTTGGTGTCGGTGATGTCCTCCAGAATTGCTCGAGTATTGAACGGTCCTTGCTTTGAGAATACTAGAATAGTCGATACCGAGGACACTGTTAAGCTCTGGAACTGTGAGCGGTGGATTTGCTACACGCGGTCACAGCCTCATCCCCCTCTGATTTCGTTGCATCGCCATATCTGAAATGAGGGATAGTAGAGCAACGTGGCTTGAGGTGGCTTGAGGTGATCATTTCAGCGAGGTGAAAACGCCACGCTTTGTTTGCATCGTGGCAAGGTCTGACCGCAAATAATCCAAACAAAGAAGCTCGGACCAATTCCTCATAACCATTTTCGGCCCGCAGCTGTCACCCTTTGCCGGAACATGGGACTGGTGACGGGTTTTCCGATACTGTAGAACGGATTCATCAACGTCTTGACCCATAGTTCAAAGACTTCATTCATGAACTGGCGAATGGCTTCCTCGGTCTGTGGACTGGTGGGATTCTGAGGAATCGAGGTTGAAGAGATTGTGGAGGTACGACTACCTGCAGAGGCGTTTGTCATTGCCGGGGGTTGGTGAAGAAGCATGAATCGAACATTTGTGCCGGTGATAAAGCAGCTGATGTGGGAGTTTGTAGGAGCATAGTTGTCGATGACTTTGAGCCACATGTTTGGGCTCAGCCATTGGACTTCTTCCACCACATCAAGTGCCGCATGAACAATGAATTGGTTCATGTACCTAGAAGTCTCTCCATTCCGAAACCGAGCGACACCGTCTCCTCCACCTTTCGATGTACCAAAGGTCAGTTCAAACAAGGGAGTGTCGGCTGGTGAGATGATGACAAAATAGTAAGACATTATTATGCCCGTGAAGTGTGTTGGGAGCAGGAAATCAAGTTACCTCGACACCTATTGATTACCTGAAGCAACGAAAGGCATTTGACGGGGAATATATGTTGTTCTTGATCAGTTGTCAATCAACTGAAAAGCCGTTGTATCGTCCTCCGTAAGGTGGGCAAGGTGCAAATGAAGCGAGGTGTCTGTCCAGCGCGGCCGAACACGGACTAGAAGGACTTGGCAAGGCTGCCCAGAAATTAGTCATCATGGAGATGGACTCCTTTCTCGGACAACGACATTCACCACCACCCTGCTCAGCCTATACCACAATTCTGCCATTACTTACTTCACCTCCTTCCCTGTCCGTCCAAAAAAAGCAACCAAAAAATCCCGCAAGGGACAAAAAGTTTGGAGAGTCGAAGCCCCGACTAGCTTCTCTTTTACTTATTCCGACTATGATCGCTGCCATCCCCTCATACCTTGGTCAAGGGATGTTTATCCAGTGATCATGGAAACCTGCTGACTCCCAGTTTAATCCACTAAGCTGGTTTCCAAGAATAAGCCCCCCTCCGAACCTTTGGGCCAAAGTGGCGATTCGACGTGGTGAGTCTTACTAGTGGCCATCAAGGCTGTACTTTGTTGAAGGAAAGTTCACTGGATTAAATATATGTACTGCAGAACAAAACATGCGCTTAGTACTCACTAAGTGGTATATATGCCCAAAGCAGGCAAGTACTCCGTTCACTAAGAATGGGTGTAAATTGCATTCATTATCGTTTCAGACTATGGATACTCGGATGGCAACATTCTAGTTCGACTCATATTCCAGGGGCACGCTCCAGATCCTAACATTATTGCGGTCCAAGCTCGTCAACTTGATCTCCCCATTCTTGAAATCGTTCCAGATGACCATGTCAAACCCGGGTGAGCCTTGCGGCTCCATCCCCTCGTCACCAGGATGAAGGTCCTCGTCGGTTCCAAACCTCGCAAATCGCCACTTTTGCTGTCTCTGGAGATCATACACTTCAACTCCCCCATCACCACCAGTGTACACGGCGAGCTTGTTGCCCGCATCCATGTAACGCACCCCATAAACTTCGAGGTAGCTTCTCAAGAGTCTCTTCTTGCGCTCCTCGTCCACCTTACACGCGTCAATGCTTAAAGCCCGGCGGTGGACCACCGTATTGTCATTTGCATCAATCACCAGGACTGTTCCCATTCTGCGACCACCAATCGCCAGAAAGCGACTATCAGGCGTCCACGACGAATGTCGGCACCAATCAATCTCGGATTGTCGGGACCACAGAGTCGAGCCGTCACTGGTTGAATAAAGGTAAACAGTCCCGTCACCAGCAGTTCCAGCGAAAAACTTCGAGTTGGGGGAAAATGAACCGTTCCAATTTTGCTTGCCAGTCTCAAATTTGAACTTGAGGCTACCGTCTTGGGCATCCCATATTCTCATGGTCGAGTCCCAACAACAAGTTCCAATCATGGTTTCATCAGGACTGAATCCGGACCACATGATTGCGTCACTATGTCCTACCAACGTGAAAAGATCCTCATGGGTCTGCATCGACAATACGCTCATATCCCAAGGAGCATCAGCATTGGATCGAGGGCGGTTTCCTGGAAGGTACATCAGCCGTGTCCCCGATGGGTCAAAGAGGTGAGTATCAAAATGGTTGAGCAGGCGTCCTGCAATTCGAGCATGATCTGAAACCAAATGCCTTGTAACAAGTGTGGTGACCAATTGCTCAATATCCGTCGACAGCTTTGAGATTTCGGTATCTGTCAACTCGACCGAGCCACCTCCTTTCGCAATGGCTGCGGCGATACCGCTACTGGCTTCTTTGGAAATATCTGAGATTTGGGCAATGTCCTTCTGAGCTTTTCGCACCTGTAGGTTCCAAAAGATGATTTCGCAGTCAGCTCTGACCGAACCTGCATGATCGTTCGTCGCAGCTGACACAAGAATGTTTGGGTTGTTCGGTTGAAAGGCGAGTGCATCGATTCTAGATATGTGACCCTTCAAGACCTGTGTCAATTGGAAATCCTCGGTGGTGAAGATGTGAATATCATGTTCAACGGCAACAGCGAGCATTGAGCCATCGGTATTTATGGCGACCTTGCTAGCTGTAGCTGGCAATGTGATTTTATGGTCCTCAGCACCCCATTCCACATGTCCTCTCTCAACATACGGATAGAATTCCCTATCATCGGTCATGAAATCCTCAGCAACCTTGTATCGCCAATCCTTGTAGAATTGCTCACTGGAATAGCTGAACATGCTGAAGGATGTTTGTGGATGTGTTCAAGTTTTACCGCCAACGACCTCAATCGTAGATACGCTGAACAGCTTTATAGGAAGGGTATCATAGGTCTTGACACTGGCAACGCTAGTATGTTAAATATTTGTAGTCGACTCCTGACGTTGCTGCTGCCTGGGACTGATCGGCGACTTCATCCACTGTGACTTGGCAGAATCAAGTTTCCCTGGAATCATCTGCCGTTTTTGCCGGGTACGAGTCACAATGTGGTTGATGCCTGGATCTAAAATCATTTTACTCATGGGCTTCGTCGTCTGTGTACATGCTGTACAATTTGTTCTGCACGATAGCTTAGCCTGACTCATTGGCTATGTTGAACATGTAGTTTGATCAATGGTACGACTGCCTAATGCCGCAGCCTTGTCGCTTGCGGGATCAAAGATAAGATAAGATTTCCCTGCGATTCCCCAAACTATGAACTTTTTGCTTTGACCTCTTCTACAACAAACCATTCCTACAACCCAATTCACAACATAAATATGTCTGGTCTGGCATTTGGCTTGAATGCTGGTAAATCGCAGCCCGGCATATCCAAACCACAAAAACGCAAAGCGTTCTTTGACGACGAGGAAGATGTTCCGGAGCACAAGCCTCCACCGCAATACGGTGCGAAGAAAACATCGAAACCTTTACGACCCTTGAGCGCATTTGACGATGACGACGACAATGACGATGGCTCATCTGCCAAAGAGGAGTCCAAACAATACGGATTGCAGCCTGCAAAAGGCAAATCCGCCGGGACGGAGAAATACACCAACTTGTCTGCGCTGCGAAGTGCCAAACTCCACGACCAAGAAGCTTCGAAGATCGATGCTTCGGTCTACGACTACGATGGTGCCTACGAGACATTCCATACGAAGCAGGAAAAGAAGCCATCCACTAGTGGACAAGAGTCTGTCCCGAAATACATGACGTCCCTCCTCCAAAGCGCCGAGGTTCGCAAGCGAGATCAACTACGAGCCAAGGAGAAGGCACTACAGCGAGAACGAGAAGCCGAAGGGGACGAGTTTGCGGACAAGGAGAAGTTCGTGACCGGGGCGTACAAGAAACAACAAGAAGAAATAAGACGGTTGGAGGAAGAGGAGAAGAAGCGCGAAGAGGCTGAGGAGGAACGGCGGAGGAAAGGCGGCGGCATGACCGCCTTCCACAAACAAATGCTGCAGAAGGACGAGGAGAGAATGCGCATGATCAAAGAAGCAGAAGAAGAGGTTGCGAAGAAGAAGGCGACTGGAGTGGAAGATCAGGTAGAGGCTGAAGAAGAGACGACAGACAGCAAGATCGCCGAGGAACTAAACAAGCAAGGCGCGAGGATTGTGGTGAACGATGAAGGTGAAATTGTGGATAAACGGCAACTGCTTTCTGCCGGTTTGAACGCCGCGCCCAAGAAACCGGGCAGAGAGCCTGAAGGACCGAAGAAGTCCAACAACGATGCTCGGCCGCAGGAGTATTGGCGATCATCCAAGGCTCAAGACGCTCGACAAGGACAACGCGAAAGACAGTCTCGTATGGTGGAGCGACAGATTGAAGAGATGGCAGCCAAACAAACGGAAGCCGAGACCGAACAGGACAAGGCCCAGCAAGAGAAGAACAAGAGCCGAGTCACAGAAGCTGACAAGATGGGTGCAAAAGAGAGGTACCTTGCACGTAAAAAGGAAAGAGAAGAAGAAGCCAGAAAGAAAAAGGAAGCTGGTGGCTGAACCAACTCAACTTTTTTGGGGTCGAGTGGTCTTTGCTGGGTCGTGATGAGAGATATCATATTGATACCAGGATGGAGTAATGGCGATTAATCAAGTCTTTCACTGGATAAACCATCCTCCATCGACAGCGACGACCTTGTTATGAACGTAACCAGTTTTGACCATCCACACGACAGTCTCGGCGATCTCTTCCGGCTTTCCGAGTCTACCGATTGGGATCTTTCCGGATAGTTCATCGTTGCTGCCGGGCAACATGCCAGTCTCTTCGATCAAAGCAGGTGCAACACCATTCACGGTGATGCCTTTTTTCCCATACGCACCGGCGAGCCAATGGATGAGACCATGCATTGCCGACTTTGATGATCTGTGTTATGATACGGGTTAGCAAGCTTCCTACGATCGAAGTATCGAATTATCGAATTCATTATCAAACACGGCAAGGGGAAGGGAAAACAAACATACGCATAATGAGGGCCTACAACGCCACCCGTGAAACCAGCTACGCTGGAACAAAAAATTACACGGCCCCAGTTGTGCCGGAGCATGCTTGGGATGCACAGTTGAGTGAGGAGGAATGCCGTCCCACAGTTCCCGCGCCAGGTCTGTTCGAATTCTTCGACGGTGACTTCGGAAATGTCCTTGACCCCCGATTTACCCATGGTCATGCCGGCGTTGTTGAACAGGATGGTGGGGTGACCCATGTCCTTCACGACGGCGGCGTGTAGCTTGCGTGCGCCTTCGTAGTCGCTCAAGTCTGCCTGGAACGCTTGGGCTTTGACACCGTAGGCCATCAGGGTCGATTCGAGTTTGGCGGCCTTTTCTGCGGCACTGTGGTAGTGAATCGCGACGGAACAACCGAGTTTTGCCAGGGAAAGACATGTAGCTCGGCCGATTCCTGACAACGTGTGAGGTATTGAGAAGGAGTGGGCCACAACACGCGAAAGAAGATTGACCGACATGTATAAAGCAAAGAAAAACATACCTCCTGTTGCACCAGTGACCAAGGCAAGATGAGAGGACAGGTCCGTTGTCAAGGTAGACGACATTTTTTATCTTGACTTTAATCTTGATCTTGATTTGTATGGCTTCAACCTTTTGTTATTTGGTATTACGGAGTAGGTGGTCTGAGAAATTGTAATCCGTACGTGACAGATTGATAATGGGGGTTCAAACAAGGCCTTGAGGAGATGAGAGACTCGAAGATAACTCGCTGAGGTTGGGAATGGCTTTTTAGAGAGGGGGAGAGAGAGAGAGACCTAGTTAGGTACTCCGTAGTAGGTACTGTAGCAAACAGAGAAATGTCTACTAATAGAGGTAATACAAAAACCGCTCGCCCCCTCGTAATTCCGGCCACGACAACGACAATGCGGGGGAGAGAAAAAGAACAACTGGGAACAATGATGAACCACACCGTACAATTTTGTACTCGTATTGAGTACCTGCTATGAAAGGAGCAGTAAATCACCGAATCAATGCAGAACCAACATGGATACTCTGTAGATAACAATACGGAGTAACACTTTTTTCTCTACAGAGTCCATCGCACCAATTTCCCAAGGCCAACTGGAACCCAAGTGGTTTCTTCGAATCAGGTTACCCTTTTGCCGGAAAGAATCAACCATTCGACGAGGGATACAACGGGCACAAATAGTGACTTTGTCATAAACGTACATCACATCATATCGTATCGTATCAATGAACGGACTACATCCACGACAATGTCGACACCCGCAACCGGGCCACACTCCATCTCCAGAATGTCTGGGAGCCATCGCAAACGCCGAATTGGATCTACACTATCTCGCCGAGGGTGCCGCCAACGTCATCTACAGCGTGTCGGTGCTGCCGTCTCCTTCTTCGGCCCTCCAGGAGCATTCACACTGCTGCGTGATGCGTTTGAGGAAAGACGTCCCCTCCACGAAACCAATCGTCCAAGTCGTTTCGGATTTCAAGAATCGAACATCACCTCTTTTCCGTCATGTCGACACCGACACCGACACCGACGACACCGAAAACGCCTCTTCACTTCTTCTGACCCAAAAATTGTACAAACTCACACCTTCCATGGTTGAGAGCTTGAACGTGGAGCTTCACGAGATGGAAGAAGATACTCTTCCCGGCTCGTCGTTTCCAGATACAAGGACAGATAGGAGGCTTCCACCGCGGCCACATCACAGACGCAACAAATACCTCCCCTCGTACGAACAAGAACAGTACGGGGTACTGATGCAGAACCTTCAAGGGCCGGGTGTAGATTGGCTGATCGAATTCAAACCGAAATGGCTCGTGCAGAGTCCCAGTGCACCCGGAAATGCAAAGACTTGTCGAACATGTGCTCTGAACGCCATGAGACGAAGCAGCAACGAATCCCATCAAGGCCGTGGCGATTCTGGGTTTTGTCCCTTGGATCTATTGGAGCAAGGTGGCGATGAACTGGATCGTGCACTAACCAAAATCTGGCCCTCGGACTTGGATCAGGACGGACTACCCGGGTTTGTTGCGCAGTTCAAAGAAAGAGTCCAGCCTGCCTTGTATCATCTTCGACGGCTGCAACGGGAACATGGGGCCGTAGGGATTGATGATTTTCGGAAGCGATCCGTCGCCGAGGCAGAGACTGAAAATCTTGGAGTGGCAATGGCGTTGAGAGATTGTAGTTGTTTCGTCGCGTTGAAAAAACGCCGTGTCGGCCACGATATTGGTGGTGATGATGATGGTGTTGATATCATCGACGTCAAGTTTGCAGATCTTGATTTGAAAACCACAAAAGGTGGAAAACTTGAGAAATGGGCGGCCATGGAACAAGATCTTCTCGACGGAGGGTGGTATACTCGTTCGGATTTGGGATGTTTGTTGTCTCGTAGTCACAAGTCATGATTTCCTTCCCCGTCTCTTCTGGGTTTGTCATGTATGCTCAATCTCAAAAAGTAACCCTGCCAATGTTTGGACATTGCCGTCCTTGATGTTTTCTATTTCTTTCCTGATCCGCCTCAGCATGTCCTCGGACAATCCCTCTTTACGTCTCGAATACACATCTATCCCCGCCGGTGTGAAGAGTGTCTTTTCGAAGTACGTGACGCACCAAGCCTGATCTTCTTCGCCGTACCCCAGTACTTGCCACTTGCTGGATGCGATCTTGAGCCAACCTTTCCCTCGCCACCCGTAAGCTGCCGAAACGTCTGCAGAAGGCGTGTCGTATCCTTGTACAGTCTTTCGCTTTCGTGGGTTGTTTTTAGGTCGGTACTCTACCAGGTCATCCAACACGTCGACATTATTCTCGAGGGGGGTGTAGGTGATGGTCACGTCTCGGTTCGATTTCCACATGGGTAGGGTCGAATGGGTGACGTACCACTTTCCGTGGAGGAATGAGGATGGAGGAAGGTCGAAGTTGGTGTAGTTGTCGTCGTTTGCGATGGTGGCTGCGGTTGTTGAGGGGGCGCGGAAGTTGAGTCTGGTGTTGTTGGTGGTGGTGGTGGTGTTGGTCATGGCTCGATACCTTAGGTACAGGGTATACAGGTACTCGTAAGGAATCAAAACGAGACTACATGTGCCGCAGGTTAAGATTGTAGGTGATAATGAGAGGAAAATAAAATAACAACCACAGCTCGTGCATCTTTACTGTACATTCATCGCTCAATGACAACGTGTTTACTGTTTGGACCACAGAAAACATAAGTACGAAATACGGGGGCAATTGTAACAAATATGTGACGTCCGGTGTGTCATCGATCCTCTTTATTTCTCCAACACGACACGCTGTGAAGCTTCCTCTCATCATCATATTTTGCATATCGAGTGATAGGATACGACTATTTCTCAGATTGGAGATTGTATATACAGTCGAAGTCGAGTGGTATGATATTCTACAGTATGTGGACTACATCCATCAAGCATCAAAACATATTCTAGTTCGTAGAACGGCATTCATCCGTCCAACAGCTTTTTCTCAAATCATAAGTGCACCTCCCACTACTCCATGACTCTTCTCCTGCAATACTTCTCTCTCGAATGCGCGTCGTATACGTCAGGACGACCTTCGCATCAGAACTCGATGGCAGTTCGACAAGAATCCCCCGTACTCTGCTGCACGATGAGTCCGATGACAGAGATTCAATCTCCCCTGGATTCCTTGCAGAGTTACTGTTGCTGCTCGTCGTGATCTTCTGTTGTTCCTTGATCTCAATAATCTTTTCAGCGAGTACAGCAGAAAGATATGACTCCCATATACCTTCCCTGTGAGGTTTGAGGTACAACAACCTGACCGCCTCCTGTCTCGTCGTGGCATCTCGTGCGAGAATGGCCGTGTAGTAAAGTGCCGGCATCCAACCGATATCCGCCACCGAAGACGCAGCCGTTTCGTTGACGTCAAGGGGATGAGTCTCGTGCAGGTCAGACACCGGGTCGCGGACCTTGTGATAAAGCCAAGCACACTGCGACACGACGGAGAGGCATGGATTGATGGGCAGCAAGCCATTCTCTGCCGAATCTGCTGCCGAACTCGAATCAGTATGCAAACTGTGCTCGTGGCTCGAGCCGAGGAAGCTCGTCGTAGGCGCTGAGGAGTATGAGGTGGGAAAGTTCTCCTGACTCTCTTCAACAGGGCTTGAAGGAGAAGTCGGATGACGTGTTGAGGGCGTTTGTGTGGTGGCGCCAACGTCGACTGTAGATTCGTATCTGCTCGTAGTAGAAGACGACGTATCCTGTGCAATCAGACATGCCAGTGTGTGGAGAAGCAACAGAAGCTTCCAGGCATAGAATTCCAAGGACGAGAGTGTGTGTCGGAATCTCATCATGCTTCTCTCGTAAGATTGTAGCCACAGGCTCAGGTCCTGACGAATTTCCGTCATCCGAGATAACGGCAACAGGCTCGCGAGATCCGACAAACTCTCCGCGAAGATACTACACTTGGTCTCGTCCACGAGACTAAAAATCCGAAGGAAAATACGCTCGAGGCATCTTCTGGCGTGTGAGGACGATTGGAATTCCCGTTGAGGTACATCCAATTTGTCAATCAGCAGAGGAAGTAGTTGAGTACGGTAGACGTCTTGACCCAAAAGCCTCGCTTGTATCAGCAAATTCACAAATAAATTAATGATGGACTCATCGTTGGCATCCCCGAGATTGTTTCCGCCGTTCCTGTTGTCGTTGTCGTGAGCCAAAAATTCCTCAAGCAAGATTAAACCGTGCCGGAGATGTGTGAGACCGGTCTGATAATTGTCTTGCAGATACTCCAGCTGGACAAAAACCGCGCAGGCAATGATGGCCACCCTAAGTGAGGCTTTACTTCTGTTGGAGATCCGGTCACGGAGGCTACCTGTGGCGAGAGTCAATTGCTGAAGAGTGAACAAACTGGCGGTGTCCCTTGCGCTCGTCTCACTGCAAGGGATCAAGCCACACACGGCTCTCTTGTGGATTGATCCGAGGCTCAAGACTGCATGCAATATGGCTGGTTCCGATTGACTTGCTTGGGGGAGAAGGTCGCTCCAGAAGGTCTGTTTGAAAGCACCTGGCAATTTCGGGGCTGTCCTGCACATGAACCACTCCATGTATCCATGCTGGTCGGGCGGCAAGAGGTGGAGTGGAAAGAGTCGTAAAGCTGTGCCCTTCATGGACATCAAGGACAACTGATCGTCTGTTTCGCTTTGTGGTGTACCTGCATACCGACGAGCATGATCTGCTGAGTCCCCCGCAAGGTACCTGGGCCGGAATTGTCCTAGTTTTTCGACATACTCTCCCGAACGCCAGAGATCCCGATCAGGATTCGACTGTTGTTCTGTTGTCACATGGTTCGGGATAACAGGCTTGTTACCCCCACCCCAGATCCCATAGCCATCACATACCCTACCAGTCTGGAGACATCGGCGACAGGCCGGCCGTGATTCATCGCACTTGACCTTGCGGGTCTTACAAGTCCGACAACCAGTCTTGACCTTGCGTGCTTTTGGAGGACCAATCGTTGTTGGCCGGCAAGTAGAAGTCACTGTTGACTTGCTCTTCCCGGTCATTGTTTAATGAGTAGTGGCGAAAGGTAGGGTAAGTCCAAAGTGGCGCATGGTTGGTGGCAGAGAGAACCCCCTGGAGAAGTGTGTGATTGATTCAATGACAACCGATCTGAGACTGAGCTCGGAAACGTCGAGACATGGTTCGTGTAAAGGAATCAGATAACTCAGGCAACGAACTTTCATTCAGGGTCCGTTACAAGCAATCTGCAAGCCACCCGGACAAGGGAGTGTGTATTCGCACACTTGCATACGGAGAACAGTGTGTGGGATCGACGTTCCATCTCACGATAGCCGGAAGATGCCAATGATTCTTTCCGTATCGAGATTGATTGGTTTGCTCGGATCTGTGCTTTGCTGATTCGTTGTTGTCTGGATCTGGTGGAGACTGTGACTGGGTCAGCATTTAATTCCGTCGAACTGCTCGAATCCACTCGATTGCATATGCATATTATCACTCTTTTCATGCGAAGGCTGCACTGTTCACCTCCGATCACTGTGCTTCTACTTTATCTCCGGAAAGAGGTGCATTATTGGTACCACAAATGCCGCAGCTCAGTGGACAGTGGCCCCTGAACGTCCTCGGAAAGTGTGTGGTTTGACTGGCTCAACGATAGAATGGCTCTGCCCATGGCGCCCACCAAGGCAGACTGAGTTATATATATTCCATCATGACCATGTTTCAAAGAGCTCCAGAACAAGGAGTATCAACTGTTGCCAGAAGCATCGATAATTCGTCAACACGTAGTAACTAGAACTTTCTGCCGGCTCATATCGTAACGATGACTGCCACAACCAACACCGAGTTCAACCAGAATACCGAAGCTCTTTCTGTGGCTGCAGCGTTCCCAGAATCCATCAAAGGCAGAACCATCCTAATTACTGGTGCCAACAAGCTGGGCATCGGGTATACCACCGCAGAGGCTCTCGCTTCACAAGGCCCAAAATGTCTCATCCTCGCCGGCCGTTCTCCCTCCAAGGTCCAAGAATGTATCGACGCTCTGAGTTCGAAATATCCAAACATAGACTACCGCCTCTTGGAAGTCGAGCTTAGTTCTCAATCCTCCATCAAGAAAGCCGGGTCCACCGTGATGAGCTGGTCCGACATTCCCACAATCGACCTCGTCATCAACAACGCCGGAGTCATGAACCTGCCCCAGCGCACGCTCAGCGTCGACGGTATCGAGATGCACTTTGCCACCAACCACCTCGGTCATTTCTTGTTGGACAACATCATCATGCCCAAACTGATCGCCGCAGCAAAAACTTCCTCCTCTGGTTTCGTCCGAATCATCAACGTCAGCAGCGTCGGTACCATGGTTTCACCCCTTCGTGTCAGCGACGTCAACTTTACCAAGCCCGTCAAAGATCTCCCCGAGTCCGAAAAGCCCAACGTGGCCATGCTGAAGGCCGCAGGACTCCCCGCTAATGAAGATCTGGTGTACATGCCCTTTGCCGCTTACGGACAAAGCAAAACCAGCAACGTCTTGTTCTCGGTCGGCCTCAACGACAAGCTGTACGCCAGATACGGCATCCTCAGTCTCGCCCTGCACCCCGGCGAGATGAAGAGTGAACTGGCTCGACATACGGACAAGGAGTGGCTCGCAAAGGCCCTCGAGGCGAGAGCGGCCCGTGGTGGTTCGGTCAAATCGCTTGAGGCAGGAGCCAGCACTACTCTCGTCGCCGCGTTGGATCCCAAACTCGGTCGACCAGGCAGTGATGGCAAGGGTTACTTTCTCAGTGATTGCCAGGTCGGTGATGTCCAGCCGTATGCCGTCGACGAGGCCATCGCTCGTAAGTTGTGGGAACTCAGTGAGAGATTCGTCGGAGAGAAGTTCACATGGTGAGATAAGGGTGGCTGATTGAATAAAACGAGTGAACCTGTACAGCGCCACACTGCCGTGTACCCTACTCTATATACTGTGCCTGATTTCCAGCCCAATCATGAATGTAGGGGATATGTATTCGAACCATAGCAATTCTGCGTTGTTGATGCAGGCAGAGAATAACCAAAGGTTCGGATTCGTCTCTCATTGATTGTACCTCCACGGTGACTATCTCAGGTTTATAGCCTCGGCTTTGTTGAAATACGGCCCGCCACCATGGCGGTAGTGGTTCTCCGTCACTTCCCAACGAGACCATTGATATATGGTACGACACCCTCATTGACAAATTCCTCCAAGGTATGGAACTTGATACCAAGATCCTTAGTTTCCTTCGTGGGGACCGGAAACTCGTTGTACAGACCATAGTCGTTGTAGTACCGGTACATGACATCGAGATCGTCGAACCCCGAATGCGGCGCCGTGATGATACGTGTCTCCCGACCCGTCTGCCTTTGTATCTCCTTCGCCACCTCTGCCGTACTGTGGTGTCCGCCGACACAGTAGACCTCCTTGCACGGGCCGATCAAGTCTGGTCTAGTTTGATACGTTTTGAGAATGGCATCCACGGTTGGACCTAGGTCACGCTCGATCCATGTCATCCCTATCTTCGTCTCGGGTTTCATGATGGGCTGGACGATTTTCACGGCGCCGTCAGACTCGCAAATCGAGAACAGGCCAAAATTGCGCCAATTTTCATAGTAAAACCCCAAATACACGTCGACGTGAGGCAGCCCGATTTGCTTCAGATACGCCGAAACATAAAACTTGTTTTCCACTAGGCGAGGGGAATCAAAATGGCCTTTGGATCTGAGTAAGGCACTCGGGACTGTGGACCAGATGAGGAACCTGACGCCTGCTTGCTTGGCGGCGTCGGCAATCTTGATGCCCTGTTGAGCCTCTTGGAGAGGGTTGCCTTGGTTCTCGCCGTCGTAGAATTTTGTCAGGGCGTAGACGGCTTCGGCACCGGTGAAGGCATCGAGTAACGTGGCAGGTTCGTTGAAATGTGCCCTGACCATGGTGACGTTTGGGAGCTGAGACAGTTCTTTGGCAACGCCGTTGCTGGAGGGGTCCCTGGTAAGGCCGCGAATTTCATATTCTCCTTGTTTCGCGAGGTAGCGGACAACCTACGCAAAGAAACCTCTGATTGGTATTCATTCGGAGGGGGCGAGGAAGACTGGAAAGGGGAAAGATTGCTACTCACAGCACCTCCTTGCACGCCAGTTGCGCCTAGGACTGCAATGATACGTTTGGACGACATGGTAGGTCCAAGTCAGATTCCTGCTCGATTGAATGCTGATATAGTCTCTGAGGCCCAGCCGACCTTTGTAACATTGGCAGATAGAGCAGCCTTTTATATCCATTATTGATTCCCTGGGTTGTGACTTGTGTCCCTTGTGCCACGCTCCGACGAAATTTGTGCCCCATCATCGTTGGTCGTGCATTATTTGGCAGACAAGAGAGCAAGAGTCTAGAGAGCCTCAAGACATCCAATACCGTAACGTATGATGCAAGTGTCTCGTGGAGTAAGACCTCCGGGCTAGTGTTTAGAGGTCGGGGTTCGCGAAATGCCGGCGCAGAGTATACTTTCTCCACACGGACAATTCTCCCGATGCTGGTTTCAACTTTGCTTTCCAATCCTTCTCCACATGGGAGTCTCCGCGAGCCCGAGGGCAGTGAGAAGCTGGGTTGATCTGTTCTTTACGTGAATGGAGGCACTGCGTAGGGATTTAGTAGCCGTTCACTTGTACCCAGTCGCAACGCTCGGGTCGGCAAATTGCAAGGTTTACCTTTGTCGTGTCCCTGTGTCACGAGGATCATTCTGCCACCTAGAAGAGCGGAGTTTTATGATTATAAAATGCGACGATGTCATTTGCGCTTTCTTCAACGCCATCCTCCATGAGGACATCTCCCATGATGTGAAGAATTCGACAGATCTCGGATTTCCGCCATATGCCAGCATCTTCTAGCAGATTGGCAAAGTGTACCAGGATTCGTCTTGCTGAGGCGTAGCCTCCAGCTATTGGGATGCCAGAGAAGGTAAGGCAGCCGCCATTGGTGATAAAGGCCGTTGCAGGCGGCAAGTTTATGCCGTCAGCATAATGAGCTGGTCCTCCCATGCCAACATTACCGACGTCTCTCCAGTCCAGGTCCGCGAGGAGCTCATAATATGGATCTTGCGAAGAGGTATCGGAAGTGGACTTTGTAACTAGAACGTACAAGCCGAGTACAAGAGCAGCCTGAAACATACCTGTTTCCGAGTGCAGCATCATACCATCAGAGACTTTCCTCTTCGAGCAGGTCCAGAATATCTGAGCTGCGTGGATACAGGCTCGCCTAGCTGCTGGAGTATTGGCCCAAGAGGCAATACATTGCAAAGCTGCTTTCGCAGGCTTGGCACCTTGCCTTCCAGCGCCCAATTCAAACATCCATGTGTTGCCTAATAGTAGCATGCACAAGATGTTCCACATGATGAGACAGTGGGGATTCGAATTCTGCAAGATATCTCCGTGCCACTGCATCATGTCAACTAAGAAGGGAGCAATAGCCCTGGCAAAGCGGTCTTGGGAGTAGACCTCGTACGGTACCAGCCCGGAACCCTCGTGTGCCAAACCATTGCGTGACAAGAGTCTGTGGTGGGCCTCCGAAAGACGGATCCATACCGTTGCAAGGATACCATGGAGCCCAAGAGAGTTGAGATAGAAGGTTCGTTCCGACAGTGATACTCGGTCCGCATGACATTCTAGGATGGATGATGATGTCCTACAGCCAGCTTGTAAAGATTTGGTCCATTCATCTTCGCACGAAGCAAAAAATAGTTTCTCGTCGCAAGGCAGGTATAAGTTTAAAAACTTGGTGGGAATAATGGGAACCAGGTCTAGCGTGCTCGAGTAAAATGCATCAATCATGACAACGGCGATCAATAATCTTCACAAGTCAGAGATTTTTTCTTTAGTGTTTGAGATTCCGAAACTGACCTCTTGGTGGACTCCATCCTTCCCCAGATCTTCCAGCCATCACGTTCCTGAAGGATATCATCCGGCAGGTCCTTTTCCACCATTTGAACACTGTCATCGCCGAAAAAGCCATTTCTGATCATTGCCTAGAGTTCATTAGGGACTTTGATACTAGAGGGGCAGCATGACGCACCGTGACAGTTTCAGTATAGAGTCCCTGACATGCTTCAGAGTCACCCTTTCCCTAACATAGGATTAATCAAGCTCTATACAATAACTCCCCCAGTAAGACATACAATGACAATGCCGAGCAATATAGAGAGATACGAGCTTGCCACGATGGATAGTAGCAATGGTGCCGCGGTCTGCACTGTGGTTGCCCTAATCTCTTGACGGCAACGAGCAATAAGAACCTAGAATGTCATAATCAGTCCCGGGATGGTGGTCTTTGTATCTCGAGTGAAAATCTCACCATGCCATGTTCATTGATAAATTGCTTTGCCGAAGGACTCTTGATCATAATGAATCCCAGCATGCATAACGTCGCGAGCAACACATCTGGCGTCTTTCGGGCATCAAATGTAGCAACATGAATGAATGGTACGAACCTGTGGAATTGTTCGAAGAATAGGTCCAAACTGAAGTCGAGCGTATTAACCGAAGGAAATCTAGCCCTTTGTCTGTTTGTCGGCAAAACAGGTGGTTGGGCTATTAGACCTTGATCAACATTGTCATTGGTGGTTGATTGGTCGTCTCCCTCGACAACGCCCAAAGTCGTCATCACGCGTTGTCTGCAATCTGAATCGAACCCCCACTTTGAGGAGAAATTATGGCCAATCGAAACTTCAATTGGTGATCGAGAGAAGACATTATCTTCGGGGTGCGTAACAACTTCATTCCAAGTTTGATAGCTGCGTGTATCAGCCTTCTTCGTAGGCCAACAATAACGTACCCGATCAAATCTTTCGTCGGGTATTACCTCCCGCGGACTGCAAGGCTGCCGAGTCACAGACTGGAGTGGTTGTGTTGGAAAGGAGAACCACGGACTGGGAAAGGTCACATTGAAAGCAGAGAGATCAGCTGTATCCCACAAAAGAGTATCAGAATAGTTAAATTCTTGCATGTCGTACTCTAGATCCTTGATTACGTCTGCATCCAACGATTGAAATTTGTCGGGCCCGAAATCGAATGAATTCAACTCAAGGTCTATGGCTGGTGTTTGTTGAATAGGCTCAATCGATGATGTCGTATTCAATAGGTCCATGGGCCCTTGCCATGACGCGATGGAAGGATCAAGATAAGCCTGTGATGATTCGGGCATGCCGAAGTCATTATCTGCCCGAAGCACATCTCCAAGCAAATGATCACTTGGTGGCGCTGGTGGATTGGCATCGACTTGACTAGCGTTATTTGCCTCATCGGGAGAAGGGCGGCGGCTCCGTGCTACTACTTGCGCAACACCAGTCTCAGGAGGCAGAGTCTTCATATGCTTCTGAACATGTCGGTTGAGAACATCTCTGTAGGCAGTTGTAAGCCAAGTTTCAGGACCCTATGATCGGTGCTAGAAGTAGACTGACCTTCGAGAAAACCGCTTTTCGCAGTGTGAGCATGGGAAAGGACGTTCACCTGTGTCTGTAGTGAATTCGATTAGCGCTTTTCATTTCCGTCATTGTGGTAACACATCACTAACGGCTCCTTTCGTGTCGTTGAAGATGCTCCATCTTGGAGAACTCCTGGCCACATGTTGAGCATTTTGTCGACCGGATTTTCCGAGGTCGACCACGGCTACGGGTAGGCTGTTGTACTGATTGTGCCCCATCCAACATTTCAGTCGAGCCATCCATGCTGCGGTGGGAAAGAAATTCTTGTAGCCAGAAGAAATAGATAGAGAATGGAGGAGCACGCAGTCTTGTTGGGCCACTTGCTTTACAATCGCTGAGTCGATTCATTCCGCTGCCCGTGGCCATTTTAAGAATAGTAGGCTAAACGCATTAGGTAAGCCTCTCACGTGCAGGGGTAGATTTAGCCTTACGGAGTATCGTTGCTGCGTTCCGGGCGGATGCGATGCCGCAATTGCCACTTCCTGCGCGTGCCTCGTACTTCTCGTACAATGGACCAAACCAATAACATATCATGGGAAGGTCATTGAATATTCTATATTTGATGGCTGGTTGAACGTTTTCCAATTCTCAAGGAGAACACCAAACGTCTAGCTGCGTCATACCAGTCAAGGGCCCAACATGTCGCCACATCTTGACCGCATACATGTACGCAACGTCGAGCTACCAACCCCCGTTCTATGCCGCACACGGGGTCACAATCGTCCATCGATTCGATAGGCTGCACGATGCTGCAGTTAAGTCACCTGACAAAACAGATGCGGCTCCGAATATTCGTACGTACGGTAGCAAAGTTACCTGGTAGGTACTAAGAGGTAAGCTCTTTACAGGTGTGCGAATCAATCGGCCTGCATCAGGACTGGTCTTGGTGTGTGTTGGATTATCACATCTGAATATCATCCCCACACCATCTCCTGTGCCCCATTTGAAATATATCGAACCCCAGAGTGAGGACGCAGATCGACCCCAGGATGATTGGTTGTATTTCCCCAGGTAACCATGATTGCCTCGAGCCAAAACTATGATACGGCATAAGGAAAAGGCCGACCTTTACCGTGTTCCGCCCACGCTCAGGGATCCATTGGTGTGAAATGCGGAGAGTACATAATGGACAATGTTTGAACATCTGATACTCCTACACCAGTTGGAAGCACTTAATTATTGTGTTGTGTTGCGTTACTAGGACAGTCTTCGCACAAATGTCACGAGACTCGATGCTGGTTAGACTGGCAGGGAATTTGCCACCAATCGCCAGAGTGTATGCGTTGGTCCTTCTGCTGATATTACTACCTTTTGCCCGTGGACTTTACAAACGGTACTCTTCTCCTTTGAGAAAATACCCCGGTCCCTTCGTGGCGTCCTGCTCGAGACTATGGAGGGCGTGGATCACGTACAACGGCCACAGCGAGCATGACCACATCGATGTTCATCGCAAATACGGTGCGTTATTATTTTCTAGACTCTCGCAGACCTGCCAGGCTACAAATACACTGCATCGAGTCCGTACTGACGAGCACTTGTTGCCCAAAAAGGCCCCATCGTCCGCACAGGTCCGAACGAGTTATCTTTCGCGTCAGCAGATGCCGCCAGGGATATCTTCACCGTTGGAAGGGGGGTGCAGAAGACAGGTTTCTACTGGGTGTTCCCTCCTGCAGAGAATCCGGACGTCTTTACCGAGATCCGAGAATGGAAACACGCTCAAATGAAGAGATTTACGGTCCAGCCGTATAGTCTTTCGTCGTTGCAGAAAATGGCGCCTTCGATCGAAAGCGTCGAACAAGAACTTTTCGCGAAATTCGATGGCTTTTGCGAATCCCCTGAAGGAATATGCGACCTGGGGGACTATTTGCATTACTTTTCTTTTGATGTAAGACTCCTCCATCTTCGTCAAACACGACTGTACACTAACATCGTGAACCAGGTACCTGGCGAGATTGCATTCTCTCATCGATACGGCTTCGTAGGGACAGGCACAGACGTCGAGGGATGCATCAGGTTCATCGACAACGTGCAGTTCTACGACGGGCTCATCGGCCAAGTCCCGTGGTTCCATTATCTGCTCTTGCTAAATCCGCTCTTGACACGTATTCCAGGCCTAGGTCTTAAGGAGATGCTCCTAACCCGAATGGCAAAAGCAGAACTCCAGAGCAGGCTCAAAGTCGGCAACAACGGTAGACCAAGTGGTGGACAGGATGACCTGCTGGCGCAGTTGATGCAGGGTCATGAACGTGCCCCGGACAAGTTTAGCCTGACCGATGTATTCTCGGTCGCCCATGGAGCCATGTGAGTTGGGAAATGCCCACACCATACCCTGTTACTTGCTCACCTACGCGGGGGCGGCGGCGGCAGCAGCAGTCATATCGTGAATAACTCTGTTGTGTGCACATCCCAGACTAACTTACTGCCTCCTATCTTTTCTATATAGCGGTGCCGGCTCCGACTCAACCGCTTCGACCATGCAGTCCTTTTTTTATTTCTTGCTCAACTCTCCACGCTCTTACGAAAAAGTCCTCGCTGAACTCGACAAGGCTCACGGCGCTGACAACCTCTCCGACCCCGTCACGTTCGCCGAAGCCCAAGAGCTGCAGTACTTCCAAGCCTGTCTGAGCGAAGCTATGCGTCTCCGTCCCGCCGTCGGCCTACCAATGTACCGCAAACTCCCGCCCGGAGGCATGCACATCAACGGACAACACTACCCTGGCGGTCTCGAGGTGGCTGTGAACGGCTGGGTCGTTCACCGAGATAAGTCTGTCTTTGGCCACGACGCGGATGAATACCGCCCCGAACGCTGGCTCGAGCCAAACGCCAAAGAGATGCAGAGACACATGTACCAGGTGAGCAAGCAAAATCAGTTACTCCAAGTCGTCCGGGGGTATACGGTCCCCATCCAACAACTTAGGGCCTTGTCTCCTCCAACCGTCCCCCAAAGTCCTTGCACAGCGATAGAGTTATATATCAGAAGCTGACCTGTTGCACCAGTTTGGCGGAGGAAGCCATTTATGCTTGGGTAGGAATCTGGCACTGTTGGAAATGAACAAGTTGCTTCCACGCTTACTGAGGAGATATCATTTCGAGCTTCTCCATCCTGGGAGGCCGTTGAAGCACCACACGACCTTTTTCGTCGTCCAGTCGGGCTTGGAAGTTCGCATGTCGAGGAGAAAGGTTGACTGATCTCAACCAGGGATGGTGGTGATGCGACTCGATATCAGTCACGGTGTAAAGTTTACGTTAACGCAAAAGGCCTCCCATTTCAAGTTCATATTTTGCTCCTTGTGTAGGTTACTCATACTATTGGCTCTCCCTGTGTTCTACTCGTGATCGCTCCCCTATTGCAGAACGAGGTGCTTTTTTCTATGGTGTAGTGTACAAAATCAAATCCTCGATGACTCTTAACAATGAAGAATCTAGAACGAATCTAAAAAGGTGGCAGCCAGAAGGGGTAACCACCGTTCTTGATCCTGAATACGCTCATCAAGAAGCTGTACATGCCGAAAACGACGGTGGCCCAGATAATGACTGCAAGTTGTTGGGTACGAGCATCCTTGATCCGTGGAACCCTCAAAGCGAGATTGATGGCGGCGAATGCGAGTATGGCGTCTAGTGTTGTGGTCTACGTTAGCGCGATTCGAAGAGGGGACATGGACCAAAAAATATGACAGACTTACACATCGCAGCGACAACTTGCGTCTCCATCCCGTATTGGTTCTGAAAACCACCTGCGAAATAACTGATGCCCCCGCGTCCGTTCCCGGCGACATAGGGAACCCTTCGGATGTGGTTGAACATGTGGCCACTCGTGAAGAGCAAGATCAAGATCAAACTTATGCCGGCCCACAGGTTGCGGTTTTGTATGACCGGCAAGACGTAGGGGTACGCCACCGTGAGGAAAGTGAAGGCTCCGAGAAGGAGGGTCACCGTGACGGCGATCCTGGTGTAGTTGATCGGCCTGCTGATCGTGGGGTATTGTCCTCCCGCCGGGAGGTGTCGTAGTAACCAATTGTGAACACCTTCTGCAGTCTGAGGGCCGAGGAAGTCGAGTCGTAGAGGTTGAGAATCTGGTTTGGCATTGGGGCCAACGGTAGGTGGGAAGAAGAGGAGGACCGGTGCAGTTTGTAGTTGAAGCTGGAGTGGTACCGTTCTTAGTCGCCTGATCCGATGGGCTATCGACGGAAACGAAACCCCTTCCTTGCTACTAGGCAAGGTAGGTAGGCAGGTTTACTTACCTTCATGAAAATGTTTCTCCCATTGTCAAAATCCACGGTGCTCAAGAGCAGTCTGTGGTCTCCGTGTTTGTCCCCCTTCTGCCAGCTGCGGCCCAAGATGTTCCATTCCGGGTCGAATTCCTTGCACAGTCCGCACGCGTATCTCGCGTCGCGGGCCGTGAGTAGGACGGCGAGAGAATAGTCTCGTGGTGCGGTCGTCAGCTCATTGTAACCTTTCTCGTCGAGTTCGAACGGTGCTGAGCTGGCCTGCTTGGAGAAGTAGGTGTCGAACTTGGTCGTCGAGGCCTTTCTGGCCGAGACCGTGGCCAGGGAAAGCGCGGCGAGCGCCAGATATTTGAACAGGTACATTGTTTAATGGGGGGCTGCACGAGGTCTCCAGTGCGTTGTGATGCTGGTGAGACGTCTTGAGACTCTTGGTCTACTCCTGTAGGTCCACGCACTGCAATGATTGAGGACACGGAGCAACTTCCAACTCTCCAACTTCTTGGCGTGCAGCTCGTTATCCCCGTAATGTCCGCGTCTATCATGTCAGTTACAAACTCAACGATCTTCCACCTCTCAACGACCATAAATCCTGCGTTGGTAAAGGGAGAAGACGCCAGGCTGATTCATGACAACTAAAATAGCTTTGACAGGGCAAGGCTGTTGGTTGGTATTGTCCCGGAAATCATTCGTGGACTTTCCCTTGCAGGTCGTTCCCTGGGAATCGTGTTTTTACTCCTCAATGTGATATGCAACGACAGACCACAGAGTCGCCTTGTTCTTCAGTGCAACCTCACTAGCAAGATCCTTCGGAGGTATCCCGACCTGGGAATTGGCTCACTTGAAGCGAGTTGGGAGAAACAATTTTTGTCTTAGCATTCTTCCTCGCCCCGGGCTCAGCCTTGCGGTCAGAACGATCCCAACGCCGTGAAAACAAAGAGACAGGAAAACAGTCTCAACCCGTCGATGCCACATGACCTTGGCTTGGAGATAAAAACCCTCGATGGAGGTTGTATGTATCACTCTTACATTTGCTTTTTGATCATCCTAGAGTATTGATGGGCCGCAGATCGAGAGGAACAAATCTACTCTCGTGACCTACTACAGGACAACCAAAAAAACAAAAACAAAACCTCAGTAATAGGAAGAATTGCTTTTGTTTTCCTCAGTTTAGAAAAAAATCGGGTTCATTTTTTGGAACATTTTTTTAGGAGAGAGTAATGAGGTGACATGTTTTTATTTTCCTGGGCAAGGGGGGGCTGAAGAAGGTGGAGGAGGACTCTTGGAGGAGGAGAAATTATCGTTTCTCGTTGAGATTCGAACCCAGCACCGTTTTCCTTGCTTGACTAGTGAATGGCCGTCCACCACATAAGGACATGTGGTTTATCCTGAGCCATCACTAAAAGGTTTTGGTGATTGTGAAAGAAAAGTTCACTTGTTTGACTGATAGGAACTCAAAATTCTTACGCGTCTTGCGCGTCCAAGGCTGAGAAGAAGCCTTGTCGCCCGAGCAGTAGATTCAGGTGAATAGTACAAGTGCAAAACCACAATTTCAATTCCTAATCTGCCAACCACGAGAATTGAAGAAATCACACTGAGCAGCAGCATCCGGATCTCTCATCGGCGTTATGCTGTTATACGTCACAGCCTGGACCGTGAATCCTACGCCTTCCCCTTCAGACTTTGACCCCTGCGCGCCCGACACATAACTCGGCCAGTACGGAGCTCTTGTATCCCTCAAGGGGTTTGGGTCATGAAAGACCGTGAAACTGACCCAGTAGCTCGTCATGATGTGTGCCAAGGTCAAATTGTTCGCGCTCGGATAGTTGGTTTGATTCGACGAGATGAAAGCGTTCGTCGCGCCGTGCAGTTCAGTTCCGGCAGCGAATGTGAGTTTGAACACGGCTGATTGGTTGGCGATGCTATCCACCATGGACGAAGCCATGTAGTACGTCGGGCAGTTGATGATGAAGTCTCCAAACCAGGTCTGTCGTTGGTAGAAGGTACTGTTGAATGAGCTTCGTGGATAAAGTGAGTACAGACGCGAGAAAAAGGATGGCCCTGCAGAGGGGAAGAGGTCTTCGGCCTAGAAGCGACACCAAACAATTAGTTGCCTCTGAAATTTGATCCATCACAGACAATGTTGGTGTCGAAATAACTTACATCTGTTGTTTCGGCGACCTGAGACGTCTGGCTCATATTGGAGAAAATATATCCCTCGTATGCATCGCGGTTGGTGATCAATGGAACATTGTAGAAGTTGCCCTTTGCGAATTCCTGATCAGGAAGGTCTCGAATGAATTTCCCATCGACCACAGGACCCCAGTAGTAGACGCCGTATGCGTTTCCAGGGCCCAGATAAGTTGCGTTTATGACGGCTTGATTGAGATTTCCGAGCGTTTCGGACGATAGCCCCCGAAGGCAGTTGATGTCCGAGCAACTTGACAGTCTCAGTGCAGTATTGTACTGCGTGTTCTGGGTGCTCCTGTTTGCCATGGGTTGCCACCAGGGATGATCTGCTATGGCCGCCGTGAATGGAGCAAAGTCGGAGCCGCCGTTCGCAATCAGCTGGCATGACACGCTACCACCACCAGCCGACCCTCCCCATATCTATAGAAATGTCAGTCAGGGTTCGCAGCAAAGTGGTGATGACTATCGCTGCTGCCCTGGACGCAGTTTCTGCGGGAGGACAACTGACAGTCACTCGACCTGGATCACCGCCAAAGGCTCGAATGTTTCGCTGGACCCAATCGAGGGCAGCTCGTTGATCGAGCAAACCGGCATTCAAAGCTCCATTTTCTGCAATATTGTCTCCGCCCATAAAACCAAACATTCCCAGACGGTATTGAATACCGACGAAGAGAATATTACCATCAGACCGATTGACAAGAGCGTCACCAGGGTAGGAAAATGGTGCGCTACCACCGACGTAACCTCCTCCATGGATTCTGTAAAGTATGCCCTCCTGGTCAGAATCTGTAAATCAGGCAATGGCAAGATGCCGGGCTATCAATAACAAGCATAAAAGCAGTTGATTACTTGTTTCGTGGCTGGAGAAAAAGGTAGCATAACTTATAAGACGAAACCTACGTGAAGAGTACAGGCAAAGCTGTCGAGACAGGATTGGAAGGTACCAAGACATCAAGCAGCAGACAGTCCTCTGACTGGCCCTGTGGTGCAGATGGGGTTGAGTATGTCGATTTCGCAGCTGCTTGGTAACATGCAGGTCCTAGCGTAGAAGCATTGATTGTTCGACCGCTATAGTTGTTCATATACTCGATTGGCACCGGTTTGTCCCAACGCAGGTCACCCGTCGGAGCAGCAGCATATCTAATACCGCGGTAGTAGTTGATGCCTGCAGTGGCATTTTGATACCCGCTGTACTTGACATATCCGAGATCAATCACAGGAACGGTCGGTGAAGGCGTTTGAGCGTCAACTTTGCCGCCGAGGGCAAGCAGGCAAACCAATGCTACTTCCAACAACAGGGGTCTCATCTCGGAGTAGTTCGTGAAACGCGGCCGTGTGAGGCGTATTCGAAGAGTGAAGATACTGGGATCCGACAGACCCCGGCCCAAAGAGGCACATATTTATGTTCTTTGCAGGAGAATCTACAACTTGCAGACGGATCATGGCGGAGAGAAGAGCTCAAAGGGAACCAACGGCCGTCCACGCTGAACGGGTCATAATCGGTAACATTGTACGTCTCTGCCGTCTCCCCCGCCTTCTTCTACGTGGTTGTTCGTATCTTCTCGTGTAGAGGTGGAGAAACTCTGGGGACAAATTTGAATATCCAGGCGGAGTATGGCCGGTAGACGATTCCTAAGCCTTGAAGAACTTGCGAAGACAGCCCGATGATTCATTGAATCATATTTGCCTAAATATGATGTGAATCGCGGTGAACCAAATTGGTGGAAGCGAGCAAGAGTTAGTATGTATGCTTCACCAAAGAATACTCTATGGTGGAGTATTAAGTATGTATATGTTGGTTTCGAGTCCAGGGGTTTGAGAATGAGACATCGAATACGATATGTATCATCAAGTATGTCTTTGATGACAGGATTAGACTTATGAATAGAGGTCTTGCCTTAGGGTTGCTGGAAAAGGCTTTAACCTTTATTTCTAACCGGACTCTTTGCTGTATTTCTCCCTTCCCCATCACACCTTTTCCATATGTGTAACGGGTTCATTTCAGCCTTGAGTCTTCTTCCTTTCCTCCATCAACTTCTGCGGATCTACAAGACCATTATACTCCTTAGTACGCCACTGGACTGCCTTGCAGAAACCATAAATGCATCTTAAAGTTGGCATCGCAACCCCTGCGCCTTCGCCTGCTCTAAGCGCCTCGCCCACAAGGTACTCGTATTCAATAAACCTCTTCTTCCGCGTGTCTTGCATCATGCTGGGTGCACACCAAATTTCCAGCGGATCTGCATCAACCATAACTTCAACCAGTGATTCGGGCAATTCAACATCGGCTACAGCTTTGGCGGCGGCACGAACCTCATTCATTGCCGGTCGGACAAGCACATTAAGCGGGCTGGCAGGGTCATCGACTTCGGAAGCGAGTCTGAGACGTGTGGTGTCCATCCCGGTGATGGCGCAAATTGGGTTCCAGACGGCATTATACAGCAGCTTTCTCCAGCGAATGAACTGCACATCCCGATCATAAGAGCACTGGACTTTGCCGGTCGCAGAATATATCTTGACAAAATGCTCGGCTGCAGCTATTTGGGCTTCGATGTCGAGAGCTGGGTTGAAAAATGGTCCGACTGAAAGTCGATCGGTGTCGTTCTCGAGAACGTGGCCCGGCGACAATTCATCTGCTCCCATGAATGATACGCCCGACAGGACGATGTTAGTCGGGAACTCCTTGTGCAGAGGTTTCTCGATATTGAGACCATTCTGGATCAGCAAAATGACAGACTTGCCGGGAGTAACTGCTGGTCGGATGATGTCGACTAACACAGGCGGCACGTCGGGGATATTTTTGGTCGTGCAGATAATGTAGTCGAAGGGCATCACGGACGGATCAGAGGCGACATCTGGAACTTTGTTAAGGATTTCGGCGGGCCTCCATCCGTCGAGTTTCCCATGGTCGCATGAGTCAATTGTGAACCCTTTCTCCTTCACTGCTGCATAGTTGGATCTCAGAACAGCCGACACAGCAGCATGACCGCCTTGTTCCAAGTTCAGGGCTGTCATCGTACCAATACCGCCGCTTCCGACGAGCAATACCCTTACTTTTTCTGCCATATTGTGGAATCGGTGTTCAACTCGCGTCGTTTGGAAGTTGAATATCATTACTCGTGAGCGAGAGGGAAAGGGTATATAACACTTCTTCATGCCATGTCTTTACAGTTCCAGCCAGAATCTTCGGAGAAGCGCGGGCAGTCCACGATCGGCGAATAGCGTTCACCAGAAAAGCTCTTGGTAGCTAACGGGAGGTCGAATTGGGAAGGTCTCTCCCGCGTTCGATGTTGAGGCCGGACTTGCGGTATCTTCCCCGAGTCCACAGCGTTCTAGGCTGCATCTAAGGCCTACAAACTACTATGACTACCTCTGGTCTCAAATATAGATGGGACCGCCTGTTTCGAGACTGTTCCAGCCGTCACATTCGGAACGATTCCAGCATCTACCAAGTCATTGATCAAATCCAGCAGCATCAGATCACATCCCTTGCGTGGCCATTATCCTGGTCGATACAAGGGGAGACTCCTCTTGCAAGGTCACACTGCTATTGTACGACACCTGTCCCAACGGTATAGCGAAGTCTAGATTTTCCACCAATGAAGAACTGAAACCGGTCTTGAGACCCATCAGCGCACCATTTGTGCCCTGCTTCCAGATAGCGTAAGCTGGCACCGGGCTGGTGAACACGTACAGGAACAGGCTCTCGGAACATGAATCGGCATGGGTTGGCAACCTCGCTGTTGAACTACTCCGCGAAGACGGTCTGGTGCGAAACGGCCACATCAGGCATGTCAGGTGAAGCTGTGTCTCCATATGCCCAGGTGCCGTTGGTGGACGGGTTCACATAGGGGAACCGTCCGTGTATTTGGCAGAACACTTTTCAAAGAAGGGATTTCGGACAAGGTTGATCTGTTCCAAGGTGCAAAGGGCCGCCCAGGTGCTGCCGACAGAGTCCTGCACAGCAGCTGGCGAATCGTCTGAATGGGTTCCTGTCCACTGCTTGGTGTAGTTTTTGGCTGATCAATGTGCAGAGAGGAAGCTGGCCAACTGCTGCCCGAAATCGGCACCCACTTGCTCGCCAAGAGTCAAATCGGATGAGTTTGCGGATGGCAGGTCATACGTGAGAATGTTCTTTGGGTAACGGGTATATTTCGTCGTCATGTTTGAGTACAGCACCTTCGAGGCGTTGATCCACAGCTTCGGATCCCGAACCAGAAACCCAACGCTGTCCAGTTCTGGAGCCAAGGGCACAACATTTTCAGCTCTACAAGACTGTAAGACCGTGATTTGGGCGATTGCAGAAGAGTCCGTTGCCTTCCGCCGGCACACGAATAAAATCACCAGTGTCCGATCCAAGAGCAATATCAATCCAACCGTGAGCAGCGACTTTAGTGCCGGGATCAACAGAAGAAGAACCGCATTCCTGGTATTCGTCGCCATGCGGAGTACAGGTTGCCTGGAATGTAGTCGTCGATAGCATCCCGTGTGTTCTCCCGAGCCGTGACTTGTGTTGTTTTCACCTTGCCGATCACTATGGCGCCGGCATCAGTTGTGCGGATATCGATGACCCAACTAGGACCCCACATGGAGGATTTCCCAAGCTCCTTAGTTTTTCCCGTGGTCGATAAGAGTTTCGTACTATTACGAGAATTGAACGGTTGTCATGGCTTCCATCTTCTTCTGCAAGGGTTGTTTCCTCAAACTGACTGGCTGATGACTCAACTGGTCAAGACAAGGCTGAGCAGTCCACGCTTCCTTTTTTGTGTTCAAAGTGAAGACAGCATTCAAAGGCAACAACTTAGAGACTTGTCGCCACATTAGGTCGCTTGGAATACGTATGCAGCCCACGACACGTGTAAAGTACATGGTACTGGAGACTTCAACCCCCCCAGGACCTGTGGGCGCATTTGAGCACGAGTCATCACTTACCATAAGAAGCCTAGGAACGCCCGGTGCCGGCCTCAGACCGGCGTAGAGTAAGCCAATGAAGTATCAACGATCGGGCCGGCCCCGGGAGACGTTCATTTCCTCCCCTCCCCTCTCACTTCTCTTAACTACCATGCCAACCCTCAATGTATGAGAACGCACACTCTTTAGAAACCATTGTTTCAAGTAGGGCGATACACATCTCACGACAATGACAGCTTCAACTGTTCTTCTACTTCTCGACATCCAAAATGGAATCGTCGAACGCGCCGGCATGACACAGAGTTATCTCGACGCCGTATCCCAAACACTCAAAGCGGCAAGAGCAGCACACGTCCAAGTCATACACGTCCTCACCGCGTTCCGACCAGGCTACCCCGAAGCCTCTTCACGTAACGGTACCAAGGAGCGGATCGCGTCTTGGGGTGACGGGGTATTCATCGAGGGCCATCCGTCCACGCAACTTCACCCAGTGACGACTCCAGTGGAGGGTGAGATGGTGGTCACCAAGCGACGAGTGTCGGCGTTTCACGGCACGGACCTCGACCTGATCCTCCGCAGCATCGGGGCAGAGACGTTGGTCATCGCGGGCTTGATCACGAGCGGTGCTGTACTTTCGGCGGTTCGACAGGCCGCTGATCTCGACTACAAGCAGATTGTGCTGGAGGATCTGTGTGTGGACCCCGATGCGGAGGTTCATGACTTGTTGGTCAAGAAGGTCTTGTCCAAGCAGGCCACGGTCATGTCTTTATCGGAGTGGACCGCTGGGCTTGGAAAGGATTGAGTGTGATGTCCTGGACGAAAACAATTCGAATGAGGCACTTGACGCATTTATGGCTGGCGGTGGAAAGTAGGTATTACATTCCTCTGGGCCACTCTTCTCGCCTTGTCAGGGAGGATCGAGAAGGAAAGGTTCGACCGAGCAGCCTGGATGGCGAGATATTCTGCCCCAATAAAGACCAACAAAACCTGTCGTAATAATGTCAGACCTGATGAATCCTGGGGAGGGAAATGCAATAGTCAGTAAACATGAGGGACTTTTATCTGGTAGCAAGAGCCTAGAACAAATACAATGGTGTGTCTCCCTCCGCATGGCCATGAAGAGTCGGACTACATCCCCGGATCAACCACGGGGGACGACGGGACATGTGCCGATAGCCTAAAAGTTTGCCCGCATTTGAGATCGACATATAGACGACATCAATGACCTCGAGCACGATGGACTTTTTTCAGTCATAAGTTCAACCGACTTCGAATACTGTTTTGGGTTGCACTTGATTCTACAATTCTCATCACCGCTAAAGACATCAGGGTTTCAACACTGTGTAGGAAGCGCCTTTAAATCATATCAAAGTATCGACCGGTAAATCAATCATGGGTTCCATAAGCGTCGACCAACACCCCCCGGTGGCTCCTCCGCCCTCGACGACGAAATACACCATCGCCTCGATCCCTGCCGACGGTATCGGTCCCGAAGTGATCTCTTCTGGTATCAGCGCTTTGGAGACGTTGGCCTCCACGTTCTCCGGCTTCAGTTTTACCTTCACCCACTTTGACTGGTCGAGCGACACCTACCTCGAGACCGGCAAGTACATTCCCGACGGGGGCCTCGACGAACTTCGCAAACACCACGCCATCCTGTTCGGGGCGGTGGGTGACCTACGCGTCCCCGACCACATCTCGCTTTGGGGTCTGAGGCTGGCCATCTGCCAACCTCTCCAGCAGTACGCCAACGTACGACCGACGAGGATCTTGAAGGGGGTTACCTCCCCTCTGTCGTCCTGCCAGGGTTCGGAAGCCGCCACGAAGAAACTCGACTGGGTCATCGTGCGTGAGAACAGTGAAGGAGAGTACGCCGGCCAGGGGGGCAGGTCGCACGTGGGTCAACCCTGGGAGATTGCGACCGAGGTGTCCGTCTTCACGCGGCACGGGGTCGAGAGGTTGATGAGGTTCGCCTACGAGACGGCCCGGTCGAGACCTCGCAAGAAATTGACCTTTGTCACGAAATCAAACGCCCAACGTAACGGCATGGTCCTGTGGGACGAAGTACAGAAGATCGTGGCACGCGACTACCCCGACGTCGAAACGGACAAGATGCTCGTCGACGCCATGACCTGCCGCATGACCTTGCAGCCAGAGACCGTGGACACCGTCGTCGCCACCAACCTCCACGCCGACATCCTCTCGGACCTCGCGGCCGCCCTGGCGGGTAGCATCGGCATCGCGCCCACGAGCAACCTCGACCCGACCAGACGGAACCCCAGCATGTTCGAACCCATCCACGGCTCGGCATGGGACATTGCGGGCAAAGGAGTGGCGAACCCCGTCGGCACCTTCTGGACTTGTGCCGAGATGGTCCGTTGGTTGGGACAACCGGAAGCCGCCGACTTGCTGATGGACGCTGTGGAGAACGTGCTCGACCAAAATATCAAGACGAGGGATCTGGGAGGGACGGCTGGCACGGACGAAGTCACTGACAAGGTTTGCGAGGAGATTCAACGATTAGGAAAAGAAAGAGGGGTGGGTGCAAAAGGTAAGTAAATGAAGAATGAGGGTGGTTGGCTCATTCTAGTCTTCATGGCTGTTTAACGATTGTAGAAGACACACACACACACACATAAGAAAAAAGCAAGACCAAGAAATTGTCGAATGCCGATCAATGTTTATTTTACTGAGAAAAAAACCCCCCACCCACCATGTCCCAAGAACCTGCTCAAGACCAGTGACCATTAGTCGACTTTCTTTTCCTAAAACAAGAAACAAGTGGTATCATCTCATGATAAGCCCATACTAGCCAGCTTTTCTTTCCTGACGTGTGTCGATACCAGTCGAGACAAACTCCCTATGCATTCCCAGGATATTGCAATATTCTCCAACCCAAACATCCAACCACAAGTCAACACTCGGAAGATCATGATGGTGATATCGCCCTGGTATTTTGTTTATCAATGAGACCGATGGTAATCACCATGACCAACAGCAGGCAGGTCAGTGCAACATCTCTGCAGATACCTCTTGCCGCACTCGCAGATCAGTGCACCATGTGGCCAGAGACCATGAGAGGATTTGGCATCGGCCATGAAGAATCGTTCGTGGGGGCATTCGTTGTCGATAGGATCGGTCTGATAGGCTTTCGAGGTGGTGGTTGGCTCTGTTGCATCAGCGACATTTTCTGGATCGGACTCGATTTGTTCTTGCTGGAATTCGTGTTGTTCACGTTCATCATCATTGTTGGGTGCGGCATTTTCGACTCGTCTCTTCTTGGTCGCTATGTTTTCTTCGTCCTCCTCATCTTCAAACGATCGTTTCGAGCTGCTCGGGCTGCACGATCTTGATCCACTGTTTTTGTCGACATCATCGGGGGTCACATCTCGCGGTCGGGGTTCACTGATTTTCTGGGGACTGGGCTGTCCTTCGTCATCATCTGAATCTGTTAGTTCAGACAGGTCTGACTCACTTGTTTGGGACAAGTCTTCCGCAGTTGGGGGGAAAATCCGGCTGCAATTTCGCAATTAGCTCAAAGTCGTTGAAAAAGCGGAACAAATGTATCACTTACGGCAGGAACTCGGTATATGCCTTCATGTCATGCTCTGTGAAGTTGCAAAAGATGACTCTCTCTATAGTCGATGCTTCCGGTGTCTTGAGGAATGCGAGGGTCTCTCGAATAGCTGTACGGGCAGCATGTTTGCTGGGGTAACCATAGACTCCACAGGAGATGGCGGGGAAGGCTATCGACTTGCAGTCATTCTCGACTGCGAGACGAAAGGACGTACGATAGCAGGAACGAAGGAGAGGTTCCGACTTGGCGGGGTTTCTGTAGACGGGGCCAACAGCGTGCATGATCTTCTTGCATGGCAGGTTGTAGGCGTCAGTGATTTTTGCGGAGCCAGTTTCACACCCACCAAGGGTTTCGCATTCTGCCAGGAGACGCCGTCCAGCTGCACGGTGGATTGCACCGTCGACACCACCTCCTCCAAGGAGTCTGGTATTTGCAGCATTGACAATGGCATCGACTTCCAATTTGGTGATGTCATGCTGGATCAGACTGATTTTGTCGTTGTATTGTTGGTTCGGAGATGGCAAATCTTCTTCATCAGATGGCGCGAGGATTTCCGAGCGATACAAATCGGACAGGGTAGGAATAGTCTTCAAAGACAAAGGTTTAGAAGATGCCATTGCAGCTGCTTGAAGACGAGTGAGCATGTGTGCAACTTGGGTTTGACGATGAGTCAATGATACGAAGTAGAGAGAGGTTCAGGAAACTTGGGAAGGGACGAGTAATTCAGGAGGAGGCGAGACTAAACATATATACGGGTAGAAAAAAATATGCAAAAAAAAATCACCGTTCACGGGTCCATAGGTACGAGCGTGAATACAGGAATAGACGCGATTAATGAATAGACCGAGGTGCGGCAGCAAGAGTTTGTTATTGAAGGGGTTGAACAATGAAGTCACAGTGGAAATGAATTGAATGCTCCAAATGCGGGGGATGAATTGATAACGATAAAAAATGCGCACGTGATTGCTCCGTGAATAGAAGTATCTCGGACTATTGTTTGTCCTCCCGGCAACGCTAAGCTGAATAGGCGCCAGACGACCTCAGAGTGAGAAAGCGAGATCACCAATATGATCATGGTCAGGATAAGCTTTTCTCGGGCTGATTGATCTTTGAATGACTTTTCTTGACAATGGATGTGACTGTTCGTGCCGCTGTAGAAACAGATCTGCCACAGGTGCGTCAGATATTCGAGTACTATGTGCTGAACACAGTGGTCTCTTTTCTCGTACAGCGGCCACCGCCGGACTATGTTGCTGCTCGTTTCCACAATGCAAGGGCTCGCCACTTGCCATATCTGGTTGCTGTTGACGCAAATGGTGAGGTTGTGGGATACTCATATGCCTCAGCCTTTCGTGGCTTCATGTTGGGCTATGGACATTCTGTGGAAATCAGCCTTTTCTGTGACCCTAGGCACCAGAACAAGGGGATAGGCAGCAAGATGATCAAGCAGCTCCTCGAAATACTCCGACAGACCAAGCACATTTCCACAGAAGATGGTCACGAAGACAACCCTGTTCAATTTGACATCAGAAAGGTCTTTGCGGTCATGGCGATAGATGAAGAGGCCCCTAGCCAGGGACTAGCACTGCGAGATTGGTACAAACGGTGGGGATTTGAAGAAGTGGGAAGACTCAAAGGTGTAGGATCCAAAAAGGGAAAGATGTGAGAGATTCCCGCAGCTGAAAGCGCCGTTGATGCTAAATAGGGTCCGTCAGGATTGACACAATGTACCTGGAGTTACATCTACAGTGATTAGGCGATCCTGGAGGCACTCGAAAGGTACTCTATGAGAATCAGTGGGTCGATCCTTTCTCTGAGAATTTGTCCTACCAGTTCTGCCGCCATGCTCCAGTTTGCAGGATAACATTGGGAAAGTCAGCAATCAGTCCATCCTAAGACCAATGGCAGATTTTGAAGAGAATTAATACAAACTTGGCAAATGCATTGGATCAAACGTTTCGAAGCCTCTCGCGGTTTGCATCTCGGAATGTCATTACTCAACATCTAATTCAACATACTTGAAAAGCGGTGTTGGAGGGCGTCTTGGCGAATGCAGCCCGCGTTGAAATTTATCTGGAGCTTCAGTCTTGACTTTGGCGGGACAAAGAACAACGATTAAGAGATTTTGATGGCGTGACGGTTAATGAAACATTATGGCCGTTTCTTGGTTGTGTGTGCAAGGCTGAGTCCAACGTGACTGGAGCCTTGCATTTGTTCCGCAACATGATTGGCTGATCACCACTGCCCATTTCCCCTTTCGGAACCAGGCAATCAAGCCATACGGTTGCCTACATTCTCTTCCAACTACTTAAACCCCCTTTGATTTCCTCACTTCCCGCACTACTCTCTCTTCCTCATCTATCACTACTACTACCATCACTACCGGGTAATTTACAGTATCCTCCCATATTCAACCTAACCATGTTCGGCTCACACCACCAGAGAACTCGCTTGTGTGGTTGTTGGTATGGATGCTCGCAGCCCAACAGTTCCTATCCACAGAAGCAATACCTCCCACAGGTAGAGTTGTCGACGTCCACAAACATTCTGGCCATCACCTCACGAACCACGCTGAAACAAACATTCGTCAATGACCGGAACGAAAAGCTCGACGAGGTTCGATACACTTTTCCATTGTACGATGGAGTCAGTGTCGTTGAGTTCACCTGCACCGTTGGCTCCAAGACTTTAGTCGGAGTAGTCAAGGAGAAACAGCAAGCCAAGGTGGAATATGAAGAAGCAGTTGCTCGCGGTGAGACGGCTGGCTTGCTTCAACAACTGCCAGAGGCTTCTGACGTCTTCACCACCACAATCGGCAATGTGCCACCTAACGAAAAGATCTACGTTCAGATTGTCTACCTCGGGGAACTCAAGTACGATGCCGAAACAGGAGGCTCACGTTTCACCATACCGACTACGATCGCACCACGTTATGGCCCCATCTCGACGGAGTCGGCAGCAGCGTTGAGCAAACCCCTCGCAAACGCCAATAGCGGCATTTCCATCTTGGTGAATGTCACTCTCGAAAACGGTTCGATTGTACGAGGTCTTCAGTCACCCAGTCACCCAATCGCCGTTACCATGGGCCGTACTAGTCTCATGGAAGAGGATGCTTTCCAAACCAACAACGCCTCAGCGACCTTGACCCTTGGCACGACCGAGCTCGATAAGGACTTTATCATTGTCGTGCTTGCCAAAGACACCGAGACCCCACGTGCACTGCTTGAGACACATCCACGGTTTCCCAATCAGCGTGCAATAATGACGAGCCTGGTGCCTAAATTCGCCCTGCCAAATATCTCCCCCGAGATTGTATTTGTGGTTGACAGAAGTGGCAGCATGTCCAGCAATATCCCACTCCTCATCTCCGCCTTGAAGATATTCTTACGCTCTCTCCCCGTCGGGGTCAAGTTCAACATCTGCTCCTTTGGCTCTTCTTTCTCCTTCCTCTTCGACAAGAGCAAAACCTACGACCAATCGAGCTTGAAGACAGCTCTCAAACACATCGAAGGTTTCAGTGCCAACCTTGGCGGCACGGAGATGTTGAAGCCCGTGGAGAAGACGGTCAAGAACCGATACCCCGATCTTCCTCTCGAAGTGATGGTTTTGACTGACGGTGAAATATGGAATCAGAACGAGCTATTCGATTTCGTCAACAATACCAAGAACGCTCGGTTCTTCTCCCTAGGTATTGGACACGGTGCGTCTTCTGCTCTCGTCGAAGGCATCGCACGTGCGGGCAACGGCTTTGCTCAGTTCGTGGGTGACAACGAGAAGATGGACAAGCGCGTCGTTCGTATGCTCAAAGGAGCCTTGACCCCTCACATTACAGACTACACTCTTGCCGTCACGTACGACCAAGACTCGATCTCTCAAGATGATGACTTTGAGATGGTCGAGGCCATTGACAGCTCAACCAAAACTGTTGTTGTGACTGACTTGCAGAAACCCGCGGAGAAAAAGACGATCTCACTTTTCGATGCGAATGCATCGGAAGAACCCACCAACCCTCCAACCAGTCGTTATAACGGTCTTCCTGAGGTCCCGGTTCCCAAAGTGTTGCAAGCACCCCATAAGATTCCGGCGTTGTTCCCCTTCAATCGTACCACGGCTTATCTCCTGCTCGGTCCAGATGCTCCTCAGAAGATCCCAAAGGCAGTCACACTGCGAGGAACCAGTGAGCACGGACCGCTGGAGCTCGAGATCCCCGTCCAGGATGTTGGAGTTGGCGAAACAATCCACCAACTCGCCGCGAAGAAGGCAATTCAAGAACTCGAAGAGGATCGTGGCTGGATCACAGAAGTGCATGACAGTCATGGTCAGCCTCTCAAGTCCGCCCACGAAGGTAAATGGGATCTCATAGTCGAACGCGAAGCCGTCAGACTAGGTGTCCAGTTCCAGGTCGGCGGAAAATGGTGCTCATTCATTGCTGTTGAGGCGAACACTGTTGCCGCTGACGATCCAAGTAAAGGTATTGTTGCGTCGCGCGACTCGTCGAGTAAGTCTCATCCCATTGAACCCTCTTCGTCGGCGTTCCGGAATCCTGGAGAAGCTCAACTTACTGCCCGCGATTTGGATCTCCCCAATTTGCGCCGTTGCCAATTGCGTCAGTTGAGTGCCTTGTCGTATGGCACTTCGACATCAACAGTGCCCCCGGGGCGTCATTCCTCTCAGCAGTCGACAACTATACTCTTTAGTGGCGTGTCGGGAAATTCTGGCTCAAGCTCGTACTCTCCTGGTGTTGCTACACCGCCGGCCGCGTCCAATACAAGAGGAGGCGGTCTTTTTGGTTGTTCGACGGCTTCAGGGTTCGGTGCAGGCTCACAACCTTGCGTTCCCTCCGCTGGACTGTTTGGCAGCTCTCGCTCTTCGTATCCGACGGGTTCACAACCTGGATCTTTTACACAGCCTGGAGGACCTTGTTCCGTCACCCTCAGCAATGCATTGTCCGGCGCGAGCTCAGCCACCACCGCTGTAGCGGACGCGAAACCATACGCCGACGAAATGATGGCGTCAGCGTCAATGCCTTTACCTGACGAATCGGACAAAGATGAGGACATCCACGAGGACAGCAGCAACCGCAGCGACTTTTCTTCCGGCCTCGATCATGCTTCTTCTTTGTTCCCCCGTTCTCGTGCCCAAGACACTGACACAATGGACCCCACAGGTGGTCAAGCGTCTTCTTTCGAGACCATGACTAAGAAGAGAGCAGCAGGTGGACCCTTGGCCCCTCCTCCCCCGGCACCGCTTCAGCAACAGCAGCAGAGAGCTTCTTCCCCGGGCTCACCGTCACCAGATTTGCGCATGACATATTTCTCCGCTTTCTCGCCGTCACCACCAGACACGTCGTCGTCGACACCGCCACCACCACCACCAGCACAAGGGCGCGATCGTGATGTCCGGGCCAGACAGACTGCACGCCGATCTACGGGCGGTAAAGCTCCACGAAAGCAACTCGCCTCCAAAGCATGTCGTAGATCCGCTCCGACGACAACCACCCACGATCGTGTGGCTGACGTCGGTGTCGACATGGATGGAGGAGAAGGAGAACCCGAGGAGACCAACGATGGCAACAACAACACCAAAGACGGCCCCACCTCCCTCGTCGATCTCGACGACAAGGAAAAGATGCACAAGATCATCGACCTTCAAGAGTTCGATGGATCGTGGACCCTTTCCGAGTCTCTCTTGGCCCTCGTCGGCGGTTTGACGGTTGACCAGGTCAAGAAGAGTGTGACAACCGTCACAGTCTCCTCCTCGCCAGCGGATGATACGTCCATCGCCACGGCGTTGGCTATCGCATGGCTCAAGTCAAAGGTCCCAGGAGAAGAGGACGTGTGGGAAATGGTCGTGGAAAAGGCCGAGGGTTGGCTCAAAACCATACTCGGCAGTGATGGAACGACGGACAAGGCTCTCATGAGCGAGGTTGCAAAGTTGATCGGATGATTTTTGTCATTCTCGTGCCCATCACGATCAGATCAGATCACGGCTCACGTTTCACGCGTACCACGCACCGCTTTAACGCGTAAAGGGTTTGCAAAAGGAGAAGAGCAAAAGAGCAAAAACAAGTTTCATATGATTATCACGAAAAAAAAAGAGTTACGAATCACGAATCATTAAATGCACCAAAAATCAGTGTAGCTTTTCGGAGAGTCAGTTCATAGTTTAGTTGATCCATAGACAATGCAATGCAATCAAAATTTGAAGAAACAAAAAAGATTGTGATGTGGTCTCAATTCTTTCTTCTGTACATTTTCAATTCAAGAAGGCGTGAATCACTTCATCTAGGATCTGATCCAGAAAAACTCTGCATATCTCATCATGATTAACATCAACCATTACTCCGTATTAAGAATATTCGCTAAACCACTTCCTCAACCTTTTCATGTCCATTCCCCTTTCCGTCGTTGTTTGTCGCTGAGCCATGATCACAAACCTCGCCTAACAACCTCCATCCCAGGCCGTCGAGTTTAGTACCGAATATACACTGTATCCCAGTCTTGGGTTCATCACCATTATACGCCAGCCATGCTTAATCAAAGACCTCCCTCCAATTCATTTAGACATGATACATCCCGTTCGCTCCATGCCGATTCTTCTTTTTTTTCCTTCTTCACCTATCAAACCTAAATTCCCCTTCATCGCCCAATTCTTCCACCTCTTGTTCAACGAGTCGTTCGATTTCACTTGCGACACTCAGGACCCAACGGTCTCTCTCAGCCCGGCTTCGACACTTGAACACCATACCCCGACCAGGCACACCAAGCTGTCCGACGCGGCGCAATTTGGCTCGTGTTTTTCCGCGAGTCTTCGCATCGTCACTCGTTAGTTGTCCATCAGAAGAAGACTTGTTATCCTCGGCAGCTGCTGCTGTCCGAAACCAACCTTTCCGTCGGTTCTGCCACACGACAAAGCATGTCATCACATCTACGTCGGCGCTTGTCCAACCATCTTCGAGGTAGACTCGTGGCAGACTTGCTATGCCGGGATGGTTGGCGTCAAACGTCTTGTTCTGGTAGAGCAAGTCATCTTCGACAATCAGGCCACTATAAACATAACAATCTGTCAGATCCACGACCTGTTGCTTCTCCTGGTGTATGTGGCGAATCTGTTCACCGGTCCGTTTCCTCAACGAAGCCTGGTAGATCAGAAGCTTGCCACCAGTGAGAATGACATGGCTCCTATGAAAAGCCGCTCGACGTTTGGTCTTCAGGTATAGCGGACCAGCCATCGTGATGCTTCGGCATACACTGATGCCGCACATGTTGTACAGCTCTGGACTCGCCTGGCTTCGACTGACTTCCCACTTCTTCGCAAATTGTCCGATAATTGCTTCGAGTTCTTCGTCGATATTGAGCTCTTCCAGATTAGCTCGTCGGATGGCCTTGTACGTGTCCATCTCAGCCGCAGCACGCAACTTCCAGTACTTGACCAATTTCTTGAGCCGCGAAATCCATTCATCTCGAGTTTGTTTCGAAAATGCTTGCAGGCGTATCACGAGCCCATTGTCGAGTAGAATTTCAAAGATACGGTCATCGTCAATCTGCTTAGTCGTACCGTCTTCAGCCCTGGTGTCTGAAACATCCTGATGGAAATCAACATCAGAGTCGGAACCGGCATCGAGCGTGTCATCAGCTGGGGAAGCGCCCCATTTGATTTTTCGTACTTTCTTCACGTAGCATAAATTGACAAAGCCGTCTGACTCAAGGATATTAGCGACATTGCGTCGAGCTTCTTCAAGAGCATCTCGGTCATGGCTCTGTATAGACAATCTATCGCCGGACGACAACCAGGAAACGGCACCATCTTTCAGTTTGTATGGGTCGACATCGAACATTAATGGTGTTTTATCAATAATCTCTTGGGAAGAAGGTATATTCTGACCCCCGATCGTTGCTAACCTAGGAGGATGTGGTGGTGTGGCCTTTGCAGGCCGATTGAACATCAAGAATTGATCGTGAGTGGAAAAGTACAACCGCTTGAAGAAGGCTTTGCCGAATCGTTGCTGGACGCCCTTCTGAGACGTGAGACGTATAAGAAATCCTTCGATCGGGCTAGGCTCATCATGAAGCTTGCCTTTTCGTCCGTGAGTGCGGGTAGGGTAATGCTGTTTGGGTCGTAATTCCAGATCGTGCGATCGTTGCATTGCCATAGAGCCATACATTTTCTGTTCGTTGGCACCATAAACCCACTCCAGTCGGTCGTATCTCTTCCAAGCAAGGCCCATATGAGCTGATTCGCTCCAGACTTTTAGTACGCTGGACCATTCAGGGTCACGCTTCAGCATATCCAGGCACTTCGTTATGATAGTGCCGGCGACAGCTTTCTCAGCCTCGATGGTCTTAGAGAACGCAGTCTGCTCATCGGTCGCATCAGCCCCAGCAGTCTCCAGACCTTCAAAAGGCCGCTCAAGCTTCAAGGTGACATCTAGGTCGGGCACATTGATGTGGAGAATGCTGGGTCTCCGCCAACCCAGAGCATCCCGAAGGAACGTGTACCATTCGACAGAATGTGCCGTCGAACTGGGTCTCATGACGAAAATTCGGGTTCCTTTTTTGTATGGATGCCAAATGACTACCGTTTTGTCCAGGGAGGAATACAGGTTCACATTTGTTGTCTTGGGATCGAGCCTGATCTCGTGCGCAGGCTTCTTCTTTGTAGATTCATTGTCAATCTCAGGAATCACTCTAGTTTTGTAGAGTTGCAATCTGAAATCATCCGCATCTTGCTTCTTGCTTTTCCTAGCCACAACCATATACTCTCGCCACTTCTCAAGGAGTCTCATCTCGATCTTCTGGCTCTCGTTCTCGTCAAAATCTTCTGGGGGTGGTTGCATAGTGAGATCACATCTCACCAGCATCCTCTCCATCTTGACGATGGTCCCTTCTTTCAAGGTATTGCGTCTTAGTCTGTGGTCGGCAACGCGATCTATAGCTCGCTCTGCCTTGCTCTCGATCCGACGTCGACGTTGCTGGACCCCTTCTGTAACCTTGAAGCGAACTCCTGTAGTGGCACGTTTGAGTTGGTACGAGGTGTCGTCTTTGATGGGTGCCGGCTCATGTTGTTGGAGCGCCTTAGGCCTTGAGGGTCCAGCTTGCGGCTCTAGGAGAGGTGTCCTAGAGCTCGTCCCCACGCTGGAAATCCGGTGAGACCCTTGTCCATCGGTCTCCTCCTGGTCGGTATCGTGTCTAGATCGACGATCATCTAGCAGGGACGGCTCTCCGTCAGATGGTGCCGACATCTGCTCCTTCGCGGTTGAAAACGATGTAGGACCTGGAGATGTCACAATCTTGGCAGACCCGTTCGTCGTCTCGTCTAAACCTTTGTCTTTTCGTACAGGTATAGCTTTCGGGGGTGCTACGTTATCCTCTGATTGTAGCCCATCACCGAGTTCACGTGGAGCTTCACTTGTTGCAACGGGCTCGATGGTCGTTGTTTCGAGGACTTCCTCCTCTTCTGGGCTCTCTGGCTCGGCCTCCTCGCCTGCACTCGATGCCTCATCATAAACGTCTTCTGGCTGTGGGAAGCCGAATGAAATCCTTGCGGCTGTCGACGGACCATCCAAGCCTGTCATAGATCTGTGAGTCCTATGATGAGGCCCGGTGTCGGCAGCGGCATTAAAACTTGCTTTTCTCGAGGAGTAGGTGCTCAATTCCAACCTTCGCCTGTACCATGATTTCCTGTTGCTGTTGAGCCAGCCTTCGGGTATCGGTCCGATGAAAAACCTCTGAGAGGTGAGGTGTAGATGCTCAGGGGATGCATGCTTAAGACGATGGGCAGTGTAAGACTGGGGGTCCAAGGTATCGAAGTCGTGGGTTGTTGTCAAGCTGCCCGCAGGCATGACTCGGGAGGACGACATCGTCTCAGGGTGAAGAGAATCATATTATAAAGATTATAAAGGGATATATGTGCATGATTGGGGATATCAAGACACTAAGCAGACTCTTGAACAATTAGAAATCGTAGGAAATGTCGATGGACATTTTGTTTGGTGCTGTAAATACTTGTTGCTTTTGCTTCGCCCACCAGAACTCAAAACATGTTCCAGGCTCCATCTTAGAAGTGACGTCAAACCAGGTACTCGTAAGCGCAGCCTTGTACTTGCAATTTTTTTACTCATACTCACTGTCAAATGACAGCGACTGCAATTGTCGAATGGGCTTAAATCATTGAGCGGTACAGTACATTACAGTTCCCCCTCAGCTGGGAATCAAAGCGAGTTCAAACGATGTGAAAATTCTCGTGTAGATCTCAAGAACACCGGTATTATGAGGGGCAGCATCAGGGAACTATAGGGCTTGTTTAACAGTCATGCGATGCGGAAGAAGTGTATTTTCCACGAGGGATATGTCTGTAACAACGACAGGTTGAATTGGGAAGGCCTTGTCTTGGTCCGATATGAGTACATCACGAAGTTCGCATAAGTATAACTTTGGAAAGGGAAATCGTAAGGTGGAAAGCTTGCTATTCGATCAGTATTGTATTGTGAGCTGCGAAATCCAATGCCCTTTTTGTTTCCTTTCTTTTCGAGCCTTTCTTCCCAGTCATGGTGCCCAAGGATGTGCCAGAGTCTGCAGACTGACGAGCCACACCAACATACGAAGTGCCACCTGGTAAATCGTCTCCACCCCCCGACTTCCGACGCCAACTAGTAGATGATCAAGGGACAAGTTGATCAACCGTGTATATTGTTTCCTTGGAGCTTGGATAGGGCGGTGGCTCGATACCTTCCGATGACTCGTGTCAGCCATGCTCACACTCCGATCGAAGCTATGTCGTCCAGTCCTACTCCTTATTCAATCCCTCAAGTGTCGCATTGTAGATATCGATGAATCGTAGCTCCAAATTAATCCCGCGCGCACACACCCTGACCAGCCTCGGACCTTGACGACCACGAGTAGGCAGATCGCATTTCCCTGTGCTCGTGTCGACACCAAGGACGGGATCGTCCCCTGAGACGGTATTTCTTTTCCTTCAACCTGACGGTACTCGTAGCAGCCACACTAGCAACATTCCAACGGTGACTGGAATTGTCGGGCGTTCAACTTTTGTTCCAGGTCCGTAAAAGGCAATTTGAAATGGCACCTCGACTCGGAAATGCAGCTCGCTCGCTCCCACTCCTCAAAAGTCGTAGAGTTTCATCATCGACCCAGAGTTTGTACATCATTTTCCACGCTTCTGCTCCAGAAACAACACCTGCCGCTTTACCACGGGGTCGTATTTGAGCATACTCAGAGGTCGGGATGCGCGAGGTCGGATCATCGTCCGATAGAAGCCAGTCATGGCCATACTGATGAGGCGGACTGCGACCGTACGAGACTTGACTGGGGAGAGAGTAAGCCTTTGGCGCAAACGGGTCCTTGAAAAGGATGAAGTCGATCAGAAGACATCATTTTTCCGTACCTTTTTTGGCCATTGCGATATATGATTGTAGTACGCTTAGTAGTAGGTTTGAAGAAAATAAAACTTGGTGGTAGGATAATCGATGTGAGCTCTCAATTTTCTAATTGCCCTTTGGGCACTTGGGTTGCCTGCGAGATCGGGTGGGATTGTCTATCGAAACAACGCTCCAAGACAAGTATGAAGCTCAAGAATCAAGCTGCAGCTCTGGGCATTTTTGATTGCATTTTGTGGCTGCTTGATCCGCCGTACGCATTTTCCCACATATTTCGACGGGCCATAATACGAAGTACGAGTACAAACATTGATAGACAAGATAGTTCTACGAAAATCGAAAAGACAAAGATCTTCAGTGGGATCAGGTGCCTCCGTCAGGATACTCAAGGCGAATATTCACGAACGTAGTCCACCGCAAAAACGCTGCAAGTGACCAAACGATTTCGAGCACACAGATGTAGGTATAACTGCGTTCTAATAATATCGATTCTAAGTACGGAATTGCACAAGTTTGAATATCGGTTCGTCGATCACGTTTCGCAGTTGATAGAGCGACTAAGCCGCCTCTCCGAGTCCAGTTCTAACTATGATGATGGGTTTTTCTCTACCATAGTCGTATGCCATAAACATGCTCGCTAAGCCAAGAAGTGAGAGAATGCCGCAAACAGAATCCTCCTGAACGACAACTGAGAGATTGCCGAGGACTCCTTTTTGAGAGCATTCACTGCAATAGTGGATCCTGAAAATGGTTAGCCAGCATCCTGCTGCAAGACAAAATGATGCAGATACTTACCCTGAAGTGTTTCTGGTGGTTGTTGGCCTTCTCCAGTTTCGCCTGGTACCTGTTCTGAGAACGCTGCTCTTTTTGCCTCGATCGAATCTCTTGAGATCGAACGTCCCGGCGTTGTTGGTTCGTGGTACCAACCATGCCCGCTTCACCTCGGCGCATTACGCTGTTACGAGGCGGTGTAGCCGGCAGATCTCCAACATCCTCCATGTCTGCGTCCGAGCTACCTTCTTCGATCAAGCGCTGTGCCCGCTCCATGCGCTCCGCGGCGGTGGGATAAGAGTGTAGGTTCTGGTTATAGTACTTTCGCAGATTTCTGTGGCCGGCTACTCTCCCACTGGGGAGGTGCATTTCGTATTCGTCATAGAAAACTGCATGGTTATGATTATGTGCGTGAGAGTGAAATCCGTCGATGTTTCTGTGAGGTCGAGGGTCGGTATTCGAGTGATGTCTATGCATAGGGAGGCGTTGGTAAGATGATGTTCGGTCGTCATTTGGGACAGATGCAAGCTCCTCGGTATCGAGTGACGAGAACGATGAATCTGTCTCCCACCCATCTTCCTCGTGGTTCTCACCATTTGCCAACTTGACTCCACCGTTCCGTGTTGATTTCGAGGCGTCCATCTCCGTATCGGAATCGCCCGCACCATCATCCGAGTATGTGCTTGAGAAATCATAGAACTGACCAACTTCGATCATTTCCTCTTCGGTCTCGAAAGCAATCTTGCAATGGCCCTTATCTCTCATATGTGTCTGAGCACCGTCTGCGTTCCCCCTAAGCCGGTGGCAGAATAGGCACTCATAGTTCTGATACACCTTTGCTTGCATGTAACGCAGAAGGCCTTCTGGATTGACCAAGTAGTTCTGCTCGGGAATGAACAGGCTGTGGATCTTGGTCATGTGTATGAGACTGAGTTTGACGCTGGGGGAGTCGTAGTTGCAAAACAAGCATCGTGACAGAGGAATAGAGGAGAGCTCCGGCTTCTCAGGTGACATGGGATGGTCTTCCCGTCGTTCAGTATCCGGGCCCGGAGCAGATGGTCTTCGTGTGATGGCCGGGAGATCTTGAATGGATGCGTCCTTGATACCCGCCACCACCTGTTCGAACTCTGCTTCTGCCTCTGGATCTCGGGCTTCTGAGTCTGCGGAGGAGACCACCCTGGATACAGCAGCGTCCGACGCACTAGTCCTCTCTCTTGAGATTTTGCCGTTGGTTGTTGAGCCCCTCATTCGGTGGGCTTTGCTTGCAAGATGGTTTTGGAAAGCATTCTCACTGTAGTATGTCTTCTGGCATTGTGTGCATATTTTGGCAAAGGCTGCTTGAGCAGCTGCTGCGTTGTTGCTCGCCTGTGCAGCGAGTACCTTCTCGTTGTAATCTTCCGAAGACACAGCGGGGAGTTCGGCTAATCTTCTCTTGAGGTTGTATCTATGCCAGTCACTCCTCATGTGTGTTCGTTGGGCATCGCTGTTACGAAAGGCAACTGCGCATGAATTGCAGGTATACGGGTGAGTCTGTGAAACATCGTCGCGCGCAGGCGCTATGGCCGCCATAGTGAGAGACTGTCGAAAGAGTCTTTGCGGGTTTGTGGTGGTGCAAATGCGAGGAGGGGAGATGTGCGGGAGTTACAGTAGTTGACTGAGAGCGCAACGAGGATATTCAAAGTGGGATAAAGTGTTTAGAGATCGCTTGTGGCGTTTTTACCGCCTCTTGAGCCTTTGACGGACGAAACGGAAAGGAATCGAAGTTGTGGTTGTCTCCAACGACAAAATGACGTGGACCGGCGGATATTCGAAATTTATCGACATCCATGCCCTCTCGGTGCGAATATGAGGGTCCATAAAATCGATGTACCAATACGGATATTCCCAGGCCCAAAAGGTGGCGACCCTGGCATATCCCGCTGTCGATGATTCTCCTTCCTAGTGCTTCCTCTGTGTATTACGAAATACTCGCCTTCCTACTGAGATATTGTTCATAGTATTCAAGTCGTGCAAAAAGAGGTATTAAATCCGGTCGGAAGGGCAGCCTCTTTATCAACCACCAACTAAGTTATCGATTCGTATCGTGAGACTCGATAAGAGCCCGTTCATTCTATTTGGGTATCATATGTATTTCCGTATTCATCGCTTATCACAGCCTTGCATCCCTGTACATCACAATCCTCTTGGCCTTCTAAAATCATTCCGTATTAACGCCACCCGCCAGGTCCATTACTAAAACTCGTGCTGACAAATGCCGCCCATACTTACTGTTGTTGTACCCCCGGACTCAGAAGAGGAGACACATTATACCAACGCTCAAAATGATCCAAGAATCATAACCAAGATTCTGAAATGCATTGTTCGGCGCTGGTGGCGTTCCTGTCTGTGTCGGGGATGCTGATTGTATACTACCAGAGCGGGTAGAGGTCAGCATTGTCGTACTGGCCATTTGTGTCGTCGCGCTCGTGGAGGTTGATCTGCTCGGTATGGTGGAAGTTAGGCTGCGTGTGATGGTCCCTGTTGTGCTGGGGGAGGCAGTAGATGTGCTGCTGGGCTGTGCAGAAGCTGGCCCCGTCGTTGTTGATGTTGATGTTCCTAGGGATTGGTTTCCCGATGTTCTGGTAGTAGTTGTTGTGCTCGAGGGCTGAGCTCCACTTGACGTATTAGATGACTGTGATGCGCTGCCCGACTGGGTTGTGTCCGATGCAGAACCAGACGTGGTCGAGCCGGTCACGGTTCCAGAACTTACGTTGGCAGACTGGGTCGCAGCGGGAGATACATCAGAGCGTGATGATCCGGAGATCTCAATGGATGAAGCCGACGCTAAGCCCGACCGTGAGGGCTGCAATGAGGACGACGAAGGGGTAGGTATCTATCATCTGGTCAGCGACAGTACGATAGCTGAGCTGGAGCTAAGGAAGAACTCACTCGTCAGCCCAGAGATTGATTCGCTTACCACGGTGACCGCTGGTGTAGTTGCTGATGTAGTGGCTGTTCCCGACCAAGGCCAGCCGGTTCGGGTCACAGTACTGGAATCACCATTGTTGCCAAAAGCCAAAGGAGCACTTCCTGTTGTTACTTGAGAGGTGACTGCAGGAGCTGAACTGGAAACAGGTGTCCCGTCACCTTGGCTATTTATCTTGCCACCAGAAGAGACGATCGACTGCCAGGTGCCGCTGGTGCCACTGTACGAGTATTCAGAGCCAGTCGAATAGTCCGTGACATGTATGGACTTGAGGTACATGGTGAATGGACCAGCGGAGTAATCTGTAGGACCACCGGCCCATTCGATTGTGCCCTGGGGGTTCGATGGATCGCCTCCTGCCCAAGCACCGACCTTGACATACATGGGCGTTTGAGGGTATTGGCCGGCCTCAGCTTGAGCTTGGGTCATGACCCTCACAGTGGTACCATCAATCGACCAAACAATCTGATCAGCAGTCCAGTCGATGCTGTAGGTGTGAAATTCGTCGTGATTATTTGGAGCACTGTGGAAAGCCCCTCGGTTGTAACCGGTAGTCGTTTGCCCTTTGCCAAAGTAGTTGCTCTGGGCCTGGGTGTCGTCGCCGCCTAGCCATTCCCAATCGATTTCATCCAAGCAGTCGGACTGAAGGATAGCCGCACTGACTATGCCGGTTCCGGGGGCTGCCTTGACAACATAGTCGACGTGTCCGAACATAATGTACCATTTTGAAGAAATGGACGGCGAGTCACCGGATTTCGCTATCGTAAATGCAGCCCCATTCGAGTCGTATGTAGGAGCACCGGACTCTGTGAACTCGCTGGAGGCACCCGATGTAAAATCAATATCGACACTCTTCCCCAGAGCCGGATCTGCTGGGCAATTACCTGCTTCTGGTCAGTTTGATTCAATTTGAATAAAAACATTGACTTACTCTGTTGTAACGGATTACAGGAGGTGTAAGTTTGCGCGATAATTGTTGGAAGCAAGGACGAGACAGCAAGTGCCGTGAGGACTGAGCTGAGAAGGGAGGAGTGCATATTGTACAGGGAAAACTGATATCCAAACGCCCAAACAATGCAAGGTAACGACGGGTGGCTGACTGAAGTGGCCTAGGATTGTGGTCCTTTGGTTGAGACGTAAAAGACTGCTGGAAAGACGCGATATGTGCAAATCAAAGGTGTAAGTTTGAGTAGATTAGCAGAAGAATGTTCATTGTGAGCAGAAAAGTATGGATCAGATGGTTAGTGAATGCTGGAAATACTTAGGTACCGATAGTGTAGGAGGAGGTTGGTAAAGACGCAAACGTCAGCACCTGACGATTGCATGACAGCACAGATTCTGCTTGGCCGAAGCGAGCACAATAACGAAGGGGTCCCATTGGCGATTAGATCGCTATTCACAGTGACCATTGTGATCCGAGTCTTGCATTGGAGGGAATCAAGAAGGCTGGAAGCCGTGATATTTTGCTCTACTTCCTTGCGAAAGACCCTCAGGATTCGTATTATGGTGGCTGGTTGCCGCTAAAGCACTTTAGTGCGGCACTAAATGAAGATAGCATTGTCTTAAACCCGCAAAGCCACCGTGGCTGAGGCGCTACAGCCAATCGGCAATTTGATTTTCCGGCTACTTCTTGCTCGGCGTCCCCTGCCATCCTCCACACATTTCTGGAACATTTCCACACAGGTCCATGTTCATCGACCCAGAACCATGTCTCAAGAACCAGTTTTCCTTCCATTCGACTTTGTATCTCTCGTGCTTCGGAGAAGACGCAGTGTCACTTGTCCTTTGTTCCACAGCCATGATGTGGACAGATACGGGCGTCATACGAGTCCTGACACATAACGGTCTCATCGTTGGGCCAGGGTATGGAGTACAGAGTACTGTACTCGAAAGATCTCGAAGACTCGGTTCAGATGGCTCATCCTTCGTTATTCCAAGGTCTTTACACCTCCCTCATGTACAGACACATCATACTCTTTGGGATACTTCTCGATGATCTCCTTCAACTGCTTCATCTGATTTCGAGCCTCTGGAGTTAGTTCCTCGTACATGTCGGTGAACATTTCTCGTATCGCTGGCTTCTTGACCTTTTCAGCAGCCGAAAACTCCCTCAGAACCTCCTTTCGTATTGATGCTCTGGCTTCTCTCTCCTTGTCCTCGTCCCAGATTCCCTTATTCTCCATCCATTTCCTCAACCGCGTGATCGGGTTGTCTCTCCTCTTCCATTCTTCCACCTCTCTCTTTGCCCTGTATGCAAAGCTGTCGTCGCTAGTGCTATGATGACTAACACGGTAGCTCATTGCCTCCACAAGTATAGGTTTGCAATTGCCTTCAAGGGCGCGCTTTCTTGCCTCTATCATGACTTCTCTTACCGCAAATATGTCATTGCCATCCACTCGAATAGTATCAATGCCATATCCCATGCCGCGACTGGCAATACCATCACCCTTGTACTGCTCGATACTGGCGGTTGAAATTGCAAAGCCGTTGTTGCGGCATACAAAGACGATGGGACATGATTTCGTAGCTGCAATGTTTAATGCCGCGTGGAAATCGCCCTCGCTTGCTGCACCTTCACCAAAATAGCAGGCAACAATCCTTGGTGGAATATTGGGATTGATCAGTCGTTGCATTTTCAAGGCGTATGCTGCTCCAGAAGCTTGGGGTATTTGTGTAGCTAATGGACTTGAAATCGTGTGCACATTGAGTTTCCCGCTGCCATAGTGAACGGGCATATTTCGACCTTTGCCATGATCATCTTTATTGGCGAACAATTGGCTCATCATCTCTTTTAACGTGAACCCACGTTGTATGAGCACGCCTTGTTCACGATACTGCAGAAAACAAACGTCTTCCGGGATCAGAGCAGATGCGGAGCCAACAGCTATACCTTCCTCTCCGGCAGAAACCATGTAAAAGCTTGTCCGACCTTGCCGTTGAGCGTCGAACATGATCAGGTCCATGATGCTGACCGTCAGCATATTCTTATACCATCGAATAACGTCCTCGTCTGATGCCGATTGAGGATCTCGGGTGTTGTCGACAATGTTGCCGTCAGCATCCATTATTCTATATGTTGGCATGGCTGTAGCCTCGGCAGGGTTATGAAACTTCATCGTAGCCGTAAAGCTGCTGTTTAAAGCCCCTGGAAAGTTGACACTTTTGGGTCGAGTTAGAGAGTATAGGCTCTGTGTGTGAAAGGCACCTACGATTCTGCTCCAGCCTTTTGCGCCGGCCCCGAGGCCCATGTATCACTTGCCCATCGTAGCCCTTGTCTTCGGAGGAGAACCCCCTCTCTATATCGACATCCTCGCAAAAGAGGCCTGATTATGGCCCGAGTTTTCATGCTTGTGAATCAACTGGTTGATACAGTGATTTCTTCTCGATTCAATGAGGGCAAAAAGACATGACAGGTGTGTGAGCCGGACGTGTTGATGGACAAGGGAGTCTCGGTTATTCACGGCACCCGATACATCGAGTCTCTTCCCCTCGGATACGGAATAACCATTCGAGACAGCCGAAACGCTAAACTGCTTCTGGAGGAAGAGATATCTGCGCCAAAAGTTTGGAGGATGTCGATGGAAAGTACGATTTCCGTTAGGACTTGGGCGGTATCTTCGTAAACATGCTGCGCTTTATCCCTCGCCGAGTTACTACCTGTAGAAGCTGTAGGCTAGCATCCAGTACCCCTAATCGCCTCTTTTCGACGATCCAGCCGCTGTCACAGCGGCTTCCAGGCGAGGATGGCCGAACCACGCACTTCGGCTTCGAGACCATCTCCGAAGCTCAAAAAGAGGCCAGAGGTATTATTTCCCCTGTCAAGCAGCTAAAGCACTCGCTAATCATGTTGCAGTGGGAGCTGTTTTCTCCTCAGTAGCATCTTCGTACGATACAATGAACGACTTGATGTCCCTGGGCATCCACCGATTATGGAAAGATTACTTTGTCCGCAGTCTCAATCCCGGAAGCAGGACAGACGATAAAGGCTGGAGCATCCTCGATGTTGCAGGCGGAACAGGGGATATTGCCTTCCGGATGCTCGACCATGCGACGAATGTCAACCTCGATCTGACCACCAAGGTGACGATCGCTGACATCAACCCGGACATGCTTGCTGAAGGCCAGAAGAGAGCTCTTGAAACACCATATGGAAAATCTGGAAGGTTGTCATTCATGCGAGGAAACGCAGAGTCTATGCCTTCGATCCCGTCGGATAGTATCGACCTCTATACGGTGGCGTTCGGCATCCGCAACTTTACGAACAAGGACGCTGCACTTCGCGAGGCGTTCCGAGTACTCAAGCCGGGAGGTGTCTTTGCTTGTATGGAATTCAGTCATGTCAACAGCTCTATTTTCAATGCTTTATATAAGAGATGGAGCTTTGGAGCTATTCCCCTCATTGGACAACTGGTGGCAGGCGACCGAGACAGCTATCAATATCTTGTCGAGAGTATCGAACGATTCCCGACCCAAGAGGAGTTTAAAACCATGATTCAAGACGCCGGATTCATCACGTCTGGTGCTGGATATGAAAATCTGACAGGAGGCATTGCCAGTATTCACCGAGGCATCAAACCGCTCTGATCGACTCATGGGCAAATGCCATGAAAGAGGACATACAGTTTGATTCGAACATCAAGTCCAAATTCTGCCAGCATGCAACCCTCCAGTAACTGTGATGTCAGCACCTGTGGTGTACGAAGAGGCATCACTCAGCAAATATACGGCGGCACCGAGCAGGTCGTTGCGGTTACCGATTCTCTTCAACGGTGGCGAAGAATGCATAATGTCCACCAAATGCGGACGTTGTTCCCGCAAGGTCTTGCTCATGTCGGTATTGATGAAGCCGGGTGAGATTGCATTGCAGCGAATGCCTTGCGGGGCCAATTCAACACTCAAGGCCGTATTGAGCATCCTCACTGCACCTTTCGAGGCGTAGTATGCCGATAGCAACTGCCCGGGAATGGCGCAGTGCGCGCATACAGAAGCGATGAGGAGAAGGCTTCCGCCGGTGCCTTGCTTCTCCATCTGTTTCGCGGCCATTTGAGCCGCGAAGAATGTACCGGTAACCTGTAAAAAATATCAATCATCAAGATCGGATGGCAACAGATTTCCAGCCACTTAGCTTACATTGATGTCCATGATTTTCCGGACCTCTTCCCACGACCACTCTCCAAATGGTTTGTCAATGCAGATGCCAGCAGCTGTCACACTTTTGTCCGGAATTAGAATTAGTCGTGCGTCCGGGTCTGACAACGATATACATATATTGGGGCCTTCTCCTTACCATCCTTCAAGACTTCCAAATTCCGAGACAGTCTGGTCGAATGCTTTTGTCAGACTCTCACCGCTCGTCACATCGGCATGGATGTATCTGGCCTTGACTCCAAAGTCACCCTCCAAGGTACCAAAGTCTTTGACCGGAGAGGGCAGCACGTCCAGGACAGCCACGTTGCCTCCCATCTCTGCCACGGCACGAGTGATTGCGTATCCGATTCCACGCCCACCTCCCGTGATGATGTAGTTTCGACCTTTCAGGTCAAACATTGGCCGTACGCTGTTCAAGTCTCCATCGTGAAGTTCGTTCCGTCTCACCGAAGTGGTTGATATATTCTTCTTGGTGACCAACGTGGCAGGGCGGTAAAGCCTGCTGAGGTTCCGCCGCAACGGTAAGGATATACGACTTGTTGGTGTTAACATGGTTTGAGATGCAGGGGACCTTTTCTTATGGATTTGTGTGTTGTCGACAATAGTCAGACCCGAGCATCTCTTCCTCTTCTAAGAGGTACTTTGCAAGAATCGTAAGCGGTTTCTTGTCTATCTTTGAACTTGGTGAGTCCCCTTATTGTGTACTCCAGTACGGAGTACTTCCCCAACTTTTCTGACTAGCCGACACCGAGGGTTTCTCCCCCGAATCTACGGGGTATGTAATGTTTGGGCTTATACGGAGTACGGAGTATTGGGAGACACGTACGAATACGAACTCATCCGATTCCCTACCTCCGTAGATTAGTGCTTCTGCAGGGTCTTTGATCCATTTCAAGGGCCTTGTATACCTCGTATAGCTACTCCGTCTTCCATCCCGATACCAAATACTGGTGGTTCTTTTTAATGATGCAAAGCTACTCCGTACCCTCTTACCATTTGTACTCTGCAGGTACCGTAGGGAGGACACATGTACCTCAGGTGCCTACCTGGGTAGGTGCTCTCCCCCCAGGGATGAAGTGCGGGGTACGGTAGGCCTCAAAGTAAGAATCAAGTTCAGGGCACATATTAAGAGCGCGAAGTACAGTAGGGCATTACTATCTCGCCATGAACAAATCACGTCGTGATAACTCAGGGAAGCCCGTCATCGCCACGCGTCCGGTATCACTGCAACATCAGAGTAAGTCATAAGATCCTCGGTACGAGAATGCCGATGATGTCTTCTTTGCTGGTATCGTAGGTAGGATATCCTCAGAACCCGTGCACGGGCTGTGACCCTCTTTCTGGGGTACGAGGGTGGCTTGGTCACACCCTAGGAAAAACCCATCCACCCCAGTCGAACTACCTACCCACCTAAGCTACCTAGTGGCCCTCCTGTCTCTCTGTGCCTGTGTGTCGCTGGTGACGCTATTCTTGGGGTCATGGTCCTACGACTACGGTAGAAATGCCGGGCGGGCCGGGGCTGGGATGCCTCATGACTACTTACTTACTACGTACACACAAGCTCCCTCTTGCTTTTTATTACTTGCCCGTGTATAAGCCTGAGGCCCTCAACATTACCTAGGCATAGGACATTCATCGAAAACATCGACTTCATCGAAGTGTGCGCTACAGCGCAATTGCAATTTGTCAAGAATCGAACCGCAAAGCTCCAGCTCAGCTCGTACGAGTCCTGGTGGAACTCGTCTCACCCGACAACCCAGGTCGGCAGCTGGACCTCGAATTCACAATTCCTCCAAGTTATCTTGTCATTCATTTCGAATATCAAAAATCAACAAAAGATCATGGGTTGTGGTCAATCCAGCCTCAAAGGCGACGATTTACCGGATCTCAACAGCCAACCTGTCGAGAGACCGATCAAAAAAGTCCAAACAAACTTTTCAGACGTCAATTACGATCAGGATTCCCAACAGAGGCGTATGACGGAGTACGCGCCGAACGAGACGCCTCGACAATACCCGCCGGTGCAGGAACAGGACGGTGAAGATGCGAATCAGGATCTCGATCCCACAGCCGGATCGTCTCGACCACTAGGTTCTGGAGCTTTCGGTGGCGGTAGTAGCGGGATTGATGACGGGCTCGCCGCAGGTCTGGGGGTCAGAGATGCGTCCTATCCCCATCAAACGTCAGGAATGGACCTGATCAATCCGAACAACAATCATGCTGGAGGATCCGGTCATGATCCAGCCGACCAAAACGCACTAAAGCCATATCAAACGTTTGACGGGACTGATTGGGACAATGATAATTTTCAAAATCAGATCCCAAACCAACACCAAAACCATGGCAATCACGATCATCACGATCAGACAAGCAACCTAAATGGCTACGACCCTACTTCGCGTCAAGCCAAACGTGACTTTGCCAAAGAAAATGATCCTGCGAGACATGACCATTTTCAGGGAGGCAGCCACGGGATCGGCGAAGACGCCGCCCAAGACCAACAACAGCAAAAAGGTTCGTGGTTGGGCCAGAAATACGCTAACTACCAGGCCTCCAAGGCAGGGCCCGGGGTCAACGACGAGGATCTGAGACGGTACACTGGCAAAGACCGCGCCGAGTTCGACGAATGGGCCGAAACGCAACCCGGAGTTGGCGCGCGACAACCGGCGAACGATGCCGGATACGCAGGTGCTGGAGGGGGCTTCGTCAGTTAAAGAGCCCTTGAATTATCGATTGGAACTCGTGCGGCCCCCCTTGGTTCAAAGTTCACCTGGGACGGACTGCTTTGCCTCGGGGGCTGGGTCTGCCTGAGTGCGTGTTACCGACTGCTGTATCATTTTGATCCGTTGTTGTTCGATCTGTTCGGGTCAGATCAGGTCAGATCAGGTATAGCCAACGCATAAAGGGCAAACGGTGTGATAGATGAAAGCGAGGGCTTCGCCTGCCCTCGTCATTTCTCACTGCTGCAGCAAGAGCTGTCAGTTTGGTGGGTAAGAAAAAATTGTTTGCGCTGGAACCGAAATGGAACATGTCACCGAGGGTTGGGCAAGAAATAGTAAAAATCAGGAGAAAAAGAACGAAAATACCGCAAGCCGAGAATGGAACAAGGTCATCTAAATCGAGGAGAGAGGACTCACACAACAAACTTACACGGGGCCCTTCCGTCGGTCGGCACAACAGATCACGATACCCTCTACACACTCGAGGTCTGATCGTGAGGTGCTACACAGGGGTTGGTAATAATTCGATCGTGCCCTGTGGTTGTTACCATGTTGGAAGGACGAAAGATGCAAGGGATAGGGTCTCTGAGGCCATTCCGAGTGTCACACTTTGGAAGATGGGAGAAATCGCAAAATCTTGGGAAAAAGGTATGGAGTACAGCGTACGGAGATCGCAGTATTCGTAGGGACAGGCTCACAAACACCACAAACCAACATCAATTCTTCCTGTATAGCATGCATGTCGGGTCATCTGAGATATTCATATGGAACAGTCGGGTTGGATGTAAACGTGCATGGATACTGTATTCAATCATCTTTAAACTTATATTCATGTTCTAACTTTTTCATGGCACAGCTTCATCAAAGAACGACCAGGTGTGATCATTCTGGTCCACTTCCGAATTGAAAATCAAACATTCCTCAAATGCTCCTCAACCACTTCAGGTCATATCATAATACTCGTATACCGACTAAGCACCCGGAAGCTTGTCCACAGGTATCTTCGTGGGAATTCTTTTGCCCTCCTCGAGGCTTCGGATCCACCGATCCGATATACCCGGCACCACCACTTTCAACTGAAATCATCACAGAACTCCCGACTCCACGCAGCGGTAGCACTTTGGTATATAGAACCCATGTTTCTTGCTTGCCGCGCCAAAGTTCAAACCATTGATCGTCCAATCCGACCGACAAGAAGCGACGCCGGAAGGGCCTCCCCGTCGACACTGTAGGGAGTTTTTCTGGCAAGTGTCTGGTCGTGATTTCTTCATCGGTGGGTTCTAGTTCCAGTTCACTTGACATGTTTGTCTGGGAATTCGAGAATTCGAAGCCAAGCTCAGTCAGGCTGTGGCGGTATGATTGTTGTGCACAAGTTGCTGCCTTTGTGGCAGAGGTTTCAACTTGCGGAGGCGGTGATTTCTTTGCTCTTGCCTTTCTCATTGTCTTGAGGCTGTGAAAGGGATGTACTCGAACCTCGGTGATCATCGGCATAGAGATGATTCTGCTCAATATATTCGACGACCGGTGCGGGAATGAGATATTGTACGCTCATGCCTCGCTTCAGGAATAGTCTGATCTTGGTGCTACTTACGTCGTTTTGGATGAGCTGTTGAATAACATGAATATTGTCGCGATAGTTCTGTAAACTGGCCAAGGCCTCATCGATGTCTGTTCCAGATCGTTCGATGATGAATGTTCCGTAGCGTCCGAGGATGTGGTCCAAGTCCTGCTCGCTCCAGACTCCCGGAGTAGACATGGTTTGTATAAGATCGGCTCCAGCAAGCAGAGCTATCCGTACAGGCTTGCGAATACCGTCTCCTGCGTCGATGCCCTTTCGAGCAATGTTTATTTCCTGCTCAAAGTGATCCAAAACTTTGGCAGTGGGTTGATATTCCTTCTGTTCGGCTTCCCAGGTATCGACCATGAGCCACGTGGAGGCCTTATCGATGGCGAGTTGACACATCGCGACTCTGTATCCAATTAGCCACATGATTTTTCTGGTCATTGATATATGGAACTCACCGGTGCTCGGCAGGCGCAAGGCCTTGTTTCTTATATGCGTCAGATACAGGCGACAGATAGCCACCAATCATTTCAAATTCGGTGTTATGTTTGACATAATCTGCAGCCATGACGAACATGCGAAGGTGTAAAAATGTGATGGGCGAAAAAGAACCGCAGGCGACAAGAAGAAGAGGGGTTTTGGATGGGTCATCCATCTTCTTCTTGAGGCGAGAGTCTGGAAAGCGGTACTCGTCCATTTTGTCGCCGTCGCCGATGATGGCTTGGAGGGCAGTCGCTCTTCTTTGGGGTGGCGTAATTATATTCTTTTTCGGCCACCAGCGAGGTGGTGAAGAGGTAGATGGCGGGATGAGAGGAGGACGGTTTGGTGTGGATTTGTCAGAGAAGGCTCTTGTACGGATTATGAGGGTGGATGAACCGGCAGGCGGGGCACCTGAGGCTGACCAAGTGAGGCTATGGCACCTCACAAATGGTCGCTGAGTCAAGGACACAATCGTGGAAGGTGTCGAATAGAGAAAATGTGAAGGACGAGTCAGCATCTCATGGCTTCGTAGCCCGAGAGTTTTGTAGAGAAGTTGGGGGGGTGGCAGGGTTTGCCGGGCAGGTGGAGGGAACAACCGATCGAGACTGCGGTTTTCTTTCTGACGGACAGAAGGCCCCGGCGAGGACTTGTCAATTGTCAGATTCCCCAGTGGGTGTTGGAGAGAGCGATCTCGGGGGCGCGCAGGTTCTTTGACTTTTTCAGCACAGCGACCGGGCGTCACTTGGTTCGAGATGGAGGCTTTCCCGCGGGCAATAATGTCAGGCTAGAAACTACGCCATCGCTTAGTGCGGCCGCGAGTTGAGGGGGGATATAACGGACAAGAAGGTGGGGTTGTGAAGACAAAGACAACAATTGGTGGTGTTAGGGTAAAGCGATGCAATGAGGACTGATGGTTATTGCAAAACTCGTTGAGCGGATGTGAGTGCTGGATCTGGTGGGATATAAAAGGCATATATGGAGTAAGACTGGATTGCTACTCCGTAATGCAGGGCCTCAATTATGATGTATTTTACCATCGTAAGTGTGCGACAATGTGGCATGGGTGCCCTATCATCGAAGACAAGATCAAAGACTGTACCTAGGTATTCTCTTCTGAAGGTATTCGTACACCTATCTCATTAGGCCTATTATATTCATACAGAGTGCTCCTACGGAGTACCTCAATCACCTCCAGAACCTAAGAAATGTCCTAGGTGCACTTCTGTAGCAATCACACTCGCAACGAGCGTCTACCGTTGATAAAGCACAGATACGTGAAGTAACGAGGTACCTCAGTACCTTGGTAGATACTTACGGAGTGTTTGTTCTCCTATGATTTAATCCAAGACCTCTCATCTCATCAAGAATTATCTCCTCGAAAGCTATCCGTACTCGTATTTTTATAAACCGAGAGCAACTACGAAGCAGACCTGACCGCTATCACCTCTGGCTGATAACCAAGAGGCCATGCACTCAAGTCTAGGCGCCATGGTAGGTACATTCCCTCCGATCTAGAGCAAGGCTGAGTGATTTCTCGAGCCTCGTCGAGACGATGTCGCGCCTGGTGTTGTAAGGGGGCTCCTTGGTAATGGAAAAATCCCGGCATTTGTCTTGAAACGAGTCACCGCAATCCGCCTTACTCACAGAGCAATACGGAGTACTTTTCATTGAATCCCGAGGCTTTTATCGAGTCCGACGGGGCCGACTTGAGGCTGATAGAGACTTCCACGTAGTTGCGAATGCGCGAGTACAGTCCGTCCTCAATCGCCGTACCTGCGGTAGGATCTGCAAATCAACGGATGGAAGAGTGTGTCTCGCAAAACAACGCCACAGGATCCTGAGTATGGAAGCCTGAATTACTCAGGGACAGTGGCTACGTGGGCGAAAATAGCTTAGCAATACTCGTTGCTCCGTAGTCCGTAGAAATCTCATGGTTCTCCGCCTGTCATATAACGATCCAGTCATGATGTGTTTCGTTGAGCGCCAACGGATGGTTTGCCGACGTCGACTCTGTAATTCATTCTCGTCCTCATATCGTCCTCATATTTGTTGTTGATGATCCCTACTTGCATTCATTCCTTCGGATCCCAGCCTGCCATATCAATCACTTCATCTCTGATTTCTTGATCAATCAACACGACGACCGCCTTTCGATGGCGGGTTAAGCATGGCAAATTTGCCCGCCCGATCTACCACCTCAACCAACGGACGAAACGCAGGCACATCACTTGCTCCAGACCACCAACTCGCAACTTCCCACACAGCACCTTCTCCCCACAGAAACAGGTACTGCTCGCTATTCACTCTCCTTTTATTCACCGGCCTGCGTTGAAACCCTTATTGCGTTGCTGCAGATTAGTCTGTCTACACTGCCTTCTCTACCGGCCTTTGACATCCAGACCAGACATCAAACTGCCTGCCTGTCCACTCCTTTTTATTTCTGCATTTTTGTTCATCTCTGCTTTTTTACATCCATCTCCATCGTTCTTGATGGGACTGATCACTCATGTCTCGCAGAGTTACTCGCTCTTCTGTGAGGCTCGCAGCAGAGGCTGCCGCTCCCGATTCTTCCATCGATCAACCCACCCATCCACCTCCTTCCGCCTCCCGAAAACGAAAAGCATCGAGCCGTCGGACATCTGACCCTGTTGAGCAACCTGACGAAACAAGTCCTTCATCCACTCGACGAGGTGGCAAGAGACAAAAGTTGACGGAATCTGAGAGCACGGTTGCCCAACCCAGCTCTAAAAGCAGTCGGAGGAGGGGGCCAGCGAACGAGCCGGAAATGTCTAACAATGGGTTCGTGAACAGCCGAACGATGGACATGAACAAGTTGGCTGATAGGTTTAGTTCATCTTCAAAATATACCGACGAATCGATTAAACAGACTTCCTCCAAATCAGCCTCTAGACGTCCGTCCAGTCGAGGCAACAAGAAGAGCCCACCAGGTATCGTCGCATCAATTAGTAATAGCGGACCCCTTCTAACAACATCTACAGACGCTTCGCCTCCAGGGTCTGTGCCTGCACCTCGCCGACAGAAGAAACGCTTGGCCAAGAAAGACCAGGATGTTGCCATGAAAGACGACGAGGAAGAGAATGAGAAGACTGGAAGAGACACAACCCCACCACCCCATCGACCCAACGACGATAGTATCGACGAGGACGATCAGAGCGGTATGGATGACGATGATGGCCCCGACCCATTTTCTGCCGCCTTATTTGGCTCGGGTCGAGGCCCTTCAGGCCTATCGAATACGCTAAGAGCATTGAGCGGGATGATGAGCGGCATGTCATCAAGACTTAGAGACATATTGAACAATCTCCGACAAGTTGATAATCCGACCATGCAGATGGTGGCTTTGGAAGAACTGTCGAATCTCTTGCTCGTTTCAAATGAAGACAACCTATCTGGTCAATTCTCGCCAGATCCGTATGTCAAGGAATTGGTGGCTCTGATGCAACCAAATCCTCTTACAGGCGAAGAAAATCCGGAAATGATGCTGTTGGCCTGCCGTTGTATCGCCAACTTGATGGAGGCTATGAGAGGGTCTGTGGCCAACGTGGTGTATGGCGGCGCCGTCCCTGTTCTGTGCCAAAAGCTGCTTGATATCCAGTACATCGATGTTGCCGAGCAGGCCTTGAGCACATTATCCAAGATCTCCGTCGACTTTCCTGCATCGATCGTTCGCGAAGGTGGCCTAACTGCCTGCCTACAATTTCTTGACTTCTTCGCCACTGGCACACAGCGAACAGCTGTCACAACAGCAGCAAACTGCTGTCGAAACATCCCACATGATTCCTTTCCTGTTATACGAGATGTCATGCCAATTCTCCTCAATGTCTTGTCTAGCCACGACCAAAAGGTCGTCGAGCAGGGCTGTCTTTGTGTCACAAGAGTCATCGATAGTTTCAAACGAAGCCCAGACAAGCTCGAGCAACTGGTCGATCCACCGCTGCTTCGAGCTATTCTTGGGCTTCTCCTTCCAGGCACCACGAACTTGATCGGGGCCAATATCCATACAGAATTCCTCCGGGTGCTTGCAATCGTCGCTCGGGCAAGTCCACGCCTGTCCACAGAACTTCTGAAGATGAATGTGGTCGACACATTGTATCAAATTCTCACAGGAGTTTCGCCTCCGTCTGAAACTGCTGATGCTGCCTCGAAGATCGACAGCGTTGTCATCATGCAAGCTCTCATCCATAGACCTCGAGAACAGATATTCGAGACCCTCAACGTTATCTGCGAGCTCCTCCCACTTCCCAAGTTCGAGGATGACTCTGCATTTGACGGGTATGACGATATGGAAGGTGACTTTTCTGGCGACGATGAGACACCAACAGAATCTTCTCGGACGGAGCAAAGAATCAGGTTGCTCGAAGGCTGCAAAGATGAAACCCGTAGATTCGCTATGATTCTACTTCCCACATTGACCGATGCCTACTCAAGCACCGTCAACCTGACCGTTCGACAAAAGGTTCTCGTCGCTCAGCTGAAAATCCTCTGCAATCTCGAAACTTCTGTTATTGAGGATGCCCTTCGACCAGTGCCCTATGCATCCTTCCTCGCCTCAATCTTGTCCCAGGAGGATCACCCGAGCTTGGTCATGTTCGCACTGCAAGCATCTGTTCTCCTCTTTGACAAACTTGAAGGAATTTACCAGTATCAGTTCCATCGCGAGGGTGTCATTAGTGAGATTAAGAAACTTGCCAGCAGAACCCTCGAAAAGGATAGAAAACTCTCACACGGTTCGACAACGGAACCAAGTGGCGAGGCTGAGGGCAGTTCAGAATCGAAAACTGCCTCGAGTGCACAGAATTACAAGGGCGACGAGGCTAACCGTGAGCTCGAAGACGACGAAGACGAAGACCTAGACCAAGATGTCGAGGAACATGGAGACGATGAGGACGAGGACGAGGACGAGGACGGAGATGAAGATGACAATGATGAAGATCAAGACGAAGACGATATGGCCGCCAGACATGACCACGATATGGACGATTCTCAGAGCTCAGATTCCTCAGATGATAATGAACTGACCTCTCCTCTCACAGCGTCCGGACTCTCGGACTTGGTCATTACGAGAGCGAAGAATTTCTTGGAAAAGTACGATACAGCCAAGGGGAAAGAAATGAAGGAGAAGGCATCCAAGATACGGGAGGATCTCCATAAGTTGGCGACTGACATCGACTCTTACTATCAGCAAAACCCCCAGGTTGAATCGAGCAATCAGCTGTTCAAACGTCTTGCCAGCTATTTCGACGGCGATGCTCTCGAGAGTATCACAAGCTCAGAGTTATTAGACTCTGGTGTAATTCGTGCTCTTGTGGAAGCATTGTCCGGAGATGCGCCAGGAAGCCCCAGTGCTGCCAGAACACACTTCATCTCGGCATTCATGGAGTCTATCAACGAAGCGAAGATCAAGACGACTGCTGCCTCGTCCAACCCAACAGCGTTTAGTGTTTTGATCCAGAAACTGCAGGATTTGCTTAGCCGTGCTGAACATTTCGAGGTATTGACGGTCAACAACAATGCTTCAGAAAATAGCAGGAGTAGCTCGACGTCCATGCTTTCTCGCCAGCTACGGTTAAGACTCTCTGCAGACGCTAACAGCGACATACCCCCTACATATCGCGAGATGATTGTCTCTATACATGCTATTGCGACCTTCAAAGCTTTGGACGACTATTTGCGTCCACGTTTCAGCATCTCTGATCGACCCGCTTCGGCCCAACGACGCAGAGATATGCTACAGCAATTGGCCAAGGCCCGTCTTGCACATCTGTCCGGGGCTGCAGAATCAGGATTACTGTCTCCTTTTGGGCAAGAATTGGGTTCTCCGTTACCTCCAAGCGAGGCTCGATCTGCTTCTCGTCTGTCTTCCCGGACCAAGCAGCATGCTGACGACAACGAGAAGCCGGCGGAGGAAAAGGCAGCAGAGCAACCAAAGAATCAGCGCTCTGGTCGACGGAGTCAAGCGTCCTCGTCCAAGCAACAACCTCATATTCCAGAGCCGAGTACCGAAGAAGAGACTGCAAAACTGGAATGCGCGGACGAGAGAGTTCTCGATGATGAAGACACTGCTGGAGGTGAAGACGAAAATGCTCTGGAGGCCTTCGTTGATGGTTTGGAAGAGGATATGTCTGAAGAGGATATGCCTGAACCCGGTGCTGTCAACATGGAAGTCGGGTCTACCGGAAAGGTTACAGCTCGTCAAGAAGATGGGACACGGGTCTATACTCCACAGCCAGGAACCCCAGTTCCAGGAACAACCCGCCCTCCTTCTTCAGGACAGTCGCCAGGACCATTGCCAGCTGCGGGCACACGTCAGTCGTATGCGGCAGCACTTGCTGCAACCCCGCAAGATTGGCACATTGAATTCAGCATTGATGGAAAAGCAATTCCCAACAACACAACAATCTATCGAGCGGTCCACCACAATCGTGACCAACCACGAGATCCTTCATCTCGCAGCGTCTGGTCTGGAATACATACTGTGAAATTCAGAAAGGTTCGGGGTCCTCCTCCTGACACATCCAATCTCTCTTCGCCAAATGAAACGGAAAAGCAGGGCAGTGACGGCCTACCAGCATCACTTGATGGGCATCCTGTTACGTCGTCGATCCTTGCTTTGCTCCGAATCCTGCACGAGCTGAACGCAAACCTGGACGAAATCAAGGAAGACATGAGTCAGACTGGCATTGAAGTCTACAAAGAGCCGCTTGCATCATTCATCAACACCAAGCTCACCGCTAAGATGAACAGACAACTCGAAGAACCACTAATCGTCGCTAGCAACTGTCTGCCTGACTGGAGTGAAGATCTTGCGAGATCATTCCCATTTTTGTTCCCTTTCGAAACTCGACATCTCTTTTTGCAGTCAACCTCATTTGGGTACTCACGCTCAATGATTCGATGGCAGAACAATCAATCCGAGAACGATGAACGTCAAGATCGCCGTCGGGATGACCGTCCTATTTTGGGTCGACCTCAGCGCCAGAAGGTTCGCATATCCCGCCATCGTATCTTGGAGTCTGCCATGAAGGTTATGGACATGTATGGCGCCTCTCCAAGCGTCCTGGAAGTCGAATATTTCGAAGAGGTTGGTACTGGTCTCGGCCCAACACTTGAGTTCTATTCGACTGTGTCTAAAGAGTTCTCCAAAAAGAAGTTGAAGATGTGGAGAGAGAACGATTCAGCGGCTACGGACCAGTTTGCTTTCGGAAAGAATGGCCTCTTCCCAGCGCCTATGAGCGAGGCAGATACTCACACAGACGCGGGCAAGAAGCTGTTGTTGCTCTTCAAAACTCTCGGAAAATTTGTGGCCCGGTCGATGCTCGATTCCAGAATCATCGATATCTCTTTCAGCCCGACATTCTTTCGAGTGGGAGGCATATCCAACGTAGCTCCATCGATTGGTCTGCTGCGTACTGTCGACCAGGATCTTGCAAATTCCCTCGCGCAATTACAACAATATGTGAAGGCTAAGACCAAGATCGAACTCGATGCATCTTTGACAGAGTTGGAAAAGGCAAATAACATAGAGAACCTTACCATTCGAGGAGCAAAGGTTGAAGATATGATGCTCGACTTCACTCTCCCTGGGTACCCAAGCATTGATCTGCGTGAGAAAGGCTCTGATATCAGTGTCACCACGGAAAATGTACAAGACTACATCGACCAGGTATTGGACATGAGTCTTGGACGAGGAGTACGATCACAAATCGAGGCATTCCAGACAGGGTTCTCGCAAGTGTTCTCGTTCACCACCCTCAAAGCTTTCACGCCGGACGAACTGGTCATGCTATTTGGGCGTGTCGAAGAGGACTGGTCGATGGAGACTCTGACGGACTCAGTCAAAGCAGACCACGGCTTCAACATGGATAGCAAGAGTGTCAAGAATCTCTTGCAGACAATGTCGGAACTCAATCCGGCTCAACGACGAGATTTCTTACAGTTTGTCACCGGTAGTCCCAAGCTTCCTATCGGCGGATTTAAGAGTCTTACACCAATGTTCACCGTCGTGTGCAAGCCAAGTGAGGCGCCCTACACATCAGACGACTATTTGCCCAGTGTCATGACTTGTGTCAACTATTTGAAATTGCCCGACTACAGCAGTCAGGCCGTGCTAAAGAAAAGATTATTTGTTGCTATCCGAGAAGGACAGGGTGCTTTCCACTTATCCTAGTGGCGACAAAAACATATTCTAGCCGCTGACAAAAGCGCCCCATGCTTGGAGAATTCGGTTGCAGCAGGGCTAGAACAGCGTGGGGGTGCTTGTGATTTGCCTGATGGCGTGAGGGGCTCAGCGAGCTGGTGAGACGAGGTCGAGATGAAGAAGTTGCGTCGCAGTAATTGAAATACTGCTTTTTGATAAATTGCACGAAGGATTCAAATGGGACAAGGCGTTTGAGACCAGTGCATTGATTGCATTAGGCACGGAGTTTTCGGGTCACTAATTCCATTCCCTCCTAAAGCAAAGGGTTGGACGTTTGTTAGGACTGGGGCAACAGATGACGAGCGGAAGGTCTCGACGATGGTCAATAGGATCGTGTGTGTCCTGTTTTTTTCTATTTTGCCCCCAATTCCCCAATGATCATGAGAAAACCAGCACAGAGAAAGTATGAATATTCCCCTTCATAGCAGTCATAGTACCCTCACTATGTAACTATTCAATGACCCCCAAATGATGAACACGAACGTCAAAACATGAAATCCTTTCTTCTTTCGTGTCCAGTTCGTTGAATTGTAAAGACATGCCAAGTACGGAGTAGGTGGACGATGATATGTAATCAGCAATGTGCCACGTATCGCATAAAAGAAGGGCGAGCTTAAGCTAATCTAGTGTAGAGAGGTAACAGCGCATATTTGTCTAGTTCCCAACGCCCGCCCTCTTTTTTCTTATACCATGTTGAGTGAGTGAACCCCGACCAACCAAAATCCGGAGGGAGGAGGGAGGCTTGCATGCAGGCAGACCTTGGTTGTTGTGGGGGAAGTCGGGTCCTACTACTCGCCAGAGAAGGGAAACTTGCAACTATGGGGGGGGGAAGTTTTCTTCTTCTGGGTTGGTCCGCTCTCTTTTTTTTTCATTTTTCTTCTCGCAAGGTCATTTCAAGAGTAGCGAGACGAAACAGGTGGGAGAGTCTGGGTCGGTCTCTGGATGTCGACATCACTACCACCACCACCACCACCAGCAACGTCGTACCAACCCTGAGTCCGGCCCGGACCTTGTTGTTGTTGTTGGTGGTGGTGGTGCCAATTGCCATCCGTGACGGCGGTGCCCGAACCAGAACCTGTCCTTGTCCTCTCACCTCTACGACCGCCGTGGTGACTTGGTTTCTGCCGTGCCTTCATCGACAGGGATCTGCCTAGACTCATGGCTCTGGTGGTGTTGGAGCGTGCCCGTCCGGGCGGCACGGTCGGTGCCGAGTCGGACGACAATGATCGCGGGAGAGAAAACTGAGCCAGTTTCTCCGACTGTACGCGCCTGATGATGCTGTGGCGCCTGAGGTTGCGCAGGGCGATGAGAAACAGGGCAAAGTGGCACAGCCAGACGGCGGCGCCAAAGACGATCCCGGCCAGCTGCAGGCGGCCCACGCTGTACAAGACGGGCTGGCACTCTCGGGCGAAGACGTTGAGCATGGTGTCGCAAGGCACGCCGCCCGACTGGGTGCGCGTGGCGGGGCGCCAGAAGCGGAACAGCGAGCCGTATGCGGCCAGGATGAGGGAGGCGAACAGGGTGGCCAGGATCAGCGCGGACGACAGCGCGTGGAGGATGAGCGGCAAGGGTCTGCCGCCGGCGGTGACTGCCTCCGCGGGTCCTCGTTGCCGACGGGTGGTGCGGTTGTGGACGAGCGTGGCGGCGTGGTAGACCAAGGCAAAGACAAGAGGGCCCAGGGGCATGCCGTCCGTCCAGTCGCCTCGATTGGGGCCGGTGTTATGGAAGAAATTGCTGTTCCAGTGTGGGATGGCGGCCGCGAAGAGAGAGGTGGCGAGGAGGCTGGCCACGAGACTCGCCATGTGGAGCGTGCTGGTGAGGTGTTTGCGAAACATGCGTGTTCCGGGTCGAGGACGCTCTTCAAACATGTCGTAGGAGGAGGGGTAGGTTGCAACGGGAATGCGTTCCTTCGTGAGCATCTTTGCGTCGTGCGTCGTGGATCAAGAATAGATGCCCAGATTTTTGATGAGTAAGGGGTTCAAGATGTACGGTTCGAATGGGCGGGTCGACAGTTGCGTGACAATGTTGATGGGCAAGACAGTGATGATCCCCCACAACAAGGTTCAAGGTCCGGAAGATTAGAGAGGTCTGAACGGCGAAGACACCAAATATAGGTAGCGCGCGCGGGACGTTACAGTTGGCAGGGGGTTTGGGATGAGGCTCTGAGACAGATACAGAGACTTGCGGTGTAGAGGAAGTAGTAGCCGTTGGTGGTGTATGGTGTGTGGTAATGGCCTGAGAGGGATGGATATAGTTCGGTCACCACCTATTTACCTGCATACATATGCGGGATCGGTCGGGGCCAGAGGGGCTATGCCTGGATTGTCGTTATTGGATATCCGTCGTCGTGAGATGCGTGCGCCAAAATGCAATGCGAGGCGAGACGTAGTTGTTGATCCTGATGGTCAAAAAAAGAGTGAGGCGAGTAGGCGAGGGCGATTGTCCTTCAGGGTCTCGACGATCGATCAGTCAACCTTGTCCTGCAAGTAATAATCCCTTCGCCAGGAAGGATTGATAAGAATAAAAGACGAAGTACAAAGTAGAAGGAGTGGAAGAAGAAAAGAAACAAACACAGAAGATGCACTGCAAACCTGTAGTCGTAGAGAAGAGAGTGAGTGAGATTAAAGGAAAGGAAAAGAAAGACTGAAGAGATCCAGAGTAGAAAGGAATTCTACCAGTTGCAAGGACAAGAAAGAGAGGTACGTGTGTGTCGTGGCTCTGGCCTCGGTTCTTGTGGTTGATCACCTACTCACACTCACAGCGATAGGCTCATGAAAGAGGCGTATTCGTAATTGCCATTGCGGATGTGCGAGAGCCGTGGAAAACCTGAGACGGTTGATGAAAGAAAGAGGAGCCATCTGTAACGAGGGTCGAATCATGCGCGAAGTCCTCGCGAGAAGCTGAAACACCAAAGTGTTGGAAATCGTCAATCCATGTCTGCCTTTGATACAAGCGAGATGGCCGTTGATTGGCCATTTCCCCCTGTGATCAGTTCAATTTGTACATGCTGGGATTACGAATAACTGTCTTGGGTGAAGAATACGGAGCATTGGGACAGGTTACGAGAACTCACCTGTCTGTCTCTGGGATGGTGAGGCTCTCTCTCTCAACTACGATAGCCACCCCCTTCGCATATGGAAACCCTCAATACTCCGTAGTCACCTAATACTTGTCCTATTGTTGGCCCTTCGCATTCCCCGAACCATGACCGGTGAGCTAAACAGGTTCCTCAGACCCTAGTTACACAACAAGTAACAAACTGCCAATGAATCCCTCTGGACACCCCAGTCAAATAGCATCGTCAACCCCCCCCCGTAAGCATGCCTCAAGCGACCTTGCATTGCCTTGGAAAGATCAGTCTCGTCGTAAAAGACTCGGTAAAGCCCTTTACACCCTAGCAGTCGCAACTAGGCCTTCCCTAGAACCTAGTCACACTCCAGACAAGCCTCCATGCTCCGCTCTTAGGTTCCGGTCGATCCTTAACAAGGCTTATCCTCCTCCGTGTTCCTAATCATGGGCTGGACTCTGTCGGGCAGCAAACACCCTAGTCGTCTGGCGCCTTGTCCAGGCTGGAAGGCACAAATTATAATCCCACCACCAGGGTAGATTAACCGCGAACAAGGGTATCGCTTAACCACTCTTTCGCACGCTGTTCCTTGCCGCTTGGCAGCTGGCAGTGGGGGTGGACTGCCCCCCCGTGGCACACACCGGTATTGACGCATCAGAGACTTCTTCACACCCGACATGAGCTGTGGATGATTGCCGCCGCTGCAAGGTTGTAAAAGCGAAATGCAGGACTTTTGGTCACAGGTCCCAGGAAAAATGCCCCTCCCATTCCCCGGTTCGAGTCAGGCGGCGCAGAGGTATCCGCAATACGCTGTTGGGTCGATATCATATGCTTGGGAAACTCTCGTCCTTCATCTATTAAACTTTGTTGTTCTGTTGCATTAGTAGACCAACTGCCGACCTGAGATCGATTCCAGATGGCGCCTGCTACCATTAAACTTCGAGATCCTCCCGAAGAGGTTCGGCAGAAGCTGGGCTTGAGTAAACAACAGTTCGACAATTTCAAGACGTTCGTCCCGACTCTGCTCGTGGACTCTCAGCCTCACCTCTCTAACCTTGTTGTAGTTATGCCCTGAACGTGCATCGAGAGTACTGTGCAGGCCATCCACATTCCAGCTGGGCTAACCAAGAGACCGTGTGGTCATCCATTCCCGAGTCCGAGAAGCAGCAAGTCATTCAGATGCTGAAAACCATGTGCATCGACAGAAGACTTTTTCCGCCGGGATTTGATAGAACCCTTTTCGAATCCGGTTGTGAGCAGAGACTGCATCAATGCCGTAGAACCTGGCAGCAGACGGGAAGAACACGAGGCAGGGGTGCAAGAGCAGGTGCTGAGGACGATGACCCTCGAGAGGGCTCTTCTCGATAGAAGCCAGGTAAACCGCAGCTTGTGCCGACAACAGCCGAATCCTTTCGTCGAACCTTGGTCAACACTTACCATTGCCTAGCCTTATATCAAGATACATGAAAGGTGCCAAACTGCCGCAGCCGATTGTCAGAAACACTTGAAGTTTGAGAAGTGATCACCATCACTTGGCTCGAGCTACTGGGGAGCTGAAATAGATGTTGCGTGGTGAAGATTGGAGAGAGAGGAGAAGAAAGGAAGAGAAAAGAGTGCATAACCGGCCATCTTATATACCAACCGAACGTTGTAAAAGAAAAGAACCCCGGTCTCACGGCGTAACAAATCAGGATGGGAGAGCCATGTTAGCCGTGGGTGATGCATGGGGGTTGAAGATCATGGGAGGAGATAGGAGACGTGAGGTGCAAGGGACCGACATACGGCTACACCCAAGAAGGCCCTGCAGAAGCGATGGTGACTGGATGACTGCATGGGAACGCAAGAGGAAAGTACGACATGGTGGGATCGTTTGGCCAGCATCCGTGGCCCGCTTAACCACCGCTTGCAGCCGTGTGTGGCACTTTTTGGACTTGACGGGCGAGGTGCATGTCATGCTGGCTCTCCAATTTAGAGCGCCCGGGCTTGCTGGGCTCTACCGGGATCTTCCTGTCTGGGCTGTCGGTGTTGAGGAGGCTTGGTTTCGGCCACTGCTAAATGATTAGCGGGACAGCTGTGGTGCGGACTTGAGGAGGATTGTTCATACGCACACACACACACACTTACACATACATCCATGGTCATCGTGAGATAGTCTTCAACGAGGACCCGGTTGACGAATCAATGACCCTTAATCATGATGGGTAAAGGGTGAGCAGTGCAACAGTTGGACTCTATCTAGTCGAGACAAATCTGCCGATTTAATTTTTGCTTCTGCCAGCGCCATGCACAGTACTCAGCATGGTGCACCTCGTTCGGCAACTGGAGCTGCCGGCGCCATGCTGCAGAATACATGGGATTTGTCTGAAACGAATCCGTTTGAGAGCGCGCAAAACAAAAGCTGATGCTCCTAAAAGGGTGATCTTTGCAAAGTATTGACGAGCCCTGAGATCGAAAATGCAACGGCAATCTCGTGTCTGACGCTGGTTTGGCCGAATGCTATTCAATAACCTTGGAGCCCCGATCTGCCGATGAAATTCAAACATAGAGGCCTCAATGAGGACAGTGTTTATGTTGAGAGCAGCCAAATCAGGTGCGCCGTTTGGTTTCCGGGGCACCTCTGTATCAAAATGGATAGGTTACGCAGCCTTTCCAATGTACAGTAGTGTTTGCTCAGCCCCAGGCCCAGCAACAGGCCTAAAGCTGCCGACGGAATACTGTCTTGTGTGTTCCCGGATTATAGTCCAATTCTCCGTACTGTGTTGACTGGCCAGCACTCAGTCGGCGCACCAGGCTAACAGCAAATAGCTCCAGGCGGGAAAGCTAGCACTTTCTCGGCGATTGGACACCTGGAAGATCTTCAAGACCCCTGCTAGGAACACCTGTAATCGACAAGATGCCGTACAACTCTGCTAACTTAGTCTTGAGACCAGGTTCAATGGTTGCCGCCACGTCCGGATGGGTGTCGATTAGCGCATTCTTGTACTCCCACACTGTGTACCTGTATCGATGAGATAAGAGCAGGGCACATGAAGGATAAGCAAGCACCCGGCAAAAGATGACCCTGTAATCGATCAGACTGATCCAAAGGTGAACAATCGAAGAACCTGCCGGGACATGATTAAGCTTGGAGATGAACCAGGTACAGCGACGGAGAACTGTATGTATTGTGACTGCAGAGTCAGTCAGCAACATTTACCCAGCAGAAGGGTAACGACGGGGACATACCGAAGAATATCGCTCCGTATATCTCTAGCAACGCGAATAGCAGTTCCATATACGGAGTAGTCGCAGGTAGGTAGTGCAGACACTTCGATTGATTTACCCCCGTCCATCCGTACGTAGTGCGTAGGTGAGGGCAGTACTCGTACTCGTATAGTTCCATTCGGCGGCCCGGAGTAAAATGACGCCGCGGCCAGTGACGCAACTGCGATTTTCATCTCATCCTCATAGTTTTCCCACTCAAAGGCACATGCCCATCCACTTACCACCCAAGATTTTGTCTCATTCTACGCAGGCATTGTTTATGAAACAGCGCACAGCAGTAATATTAATATTTCATCCGTTTTGTCAACTAATGTCAATTACACCTAAAGTCTGCTTGTTCCCAGCCGCCGGCCACCAACTGCGACCGAGAGCCTCTTCCGCTTCCCCCGAGTCTACCTCACCTTCTGCGCTGCATTGTATCCGAGTATCATGAACCCTGCCAACTGCCATGGCCGACACTCTTGCTCCGGTGGTCACGACCGCCATCGACTATCAGGACAGCCCGATTGACAAACCACCTGCCATAACCTTTCCCTACCCAGAGAGACATGATTCTGTTGGCTCCCATTCGCAGGTCGATTCGGAAACCACACTCTACGAAGCACCACGTCGCCGGAAAGACTCAAAGAAGAGGTACTCGGACACAGTAGTCGACGAGAACGATAGGTTTCAAAGACCAATCTTAGCTGCCCACAAATTTGAGACCGAGATATCGTATCCTGTCGCACCAAGACCTCCCGCTCCACTGATGCAGCATCGTTCCACCATAAACCAGCGAATCGCTCGAGCCTCCGAAGACGCCGCAGTCTTCAGTGAGTCCGACGGATGGTCTTCTGATGATGACGAGGGACCCACGGAACTACAGAAGTCACACACTGCGCCAGGCGACAGTGCACTGGCAAAGTCTCATCTCAATCGTTCCCGCGTGACACCGAGGCGCTCAAACCTCAAAGTCGGTAATGAGTTTTTCCAGTCAAGAGGACGAGTTGCAAAAGATGGCAGGCTGAATATCTCTGTTAGTGAAAAGGCAGAGACTGGTTACCTTGCGAAAGCTCTTGGGGCGACAATTAAGCGCCAACTGGGCACTCACCATGCCCAAGATCTCGAGGACGCGGAACAGGCAAAAAGGGATTTCCTGCACGCGAAGCCTCAGATTCCACGGCTCCACATTGTCATCATGGTCATTGGCAGTCGCGGTGACATACAACCTTTCCTTAGAATCGGCAAGATCTTACAAGACAAATACAACCATAGAGTCAGGATCGCCTCTCATCCAGCGTTCAAAAAGTTTGTTGAAGAAGAAGTTGGACTAGAGTTCTTCTCTGTCGGTGGAGATCCTGCAGAATTGATGGCCTTCATGGTCAAAAATCCTGGCTTGATCCCGTCATTCGAAACAGTCAAGACCGGCGAAGTCGGCCGGAGAAGGGAGTCCATGTACCATATGTTCCAAGGCTTCTGGAGAGCTTGCATAAACGCCACTGACGACGAGACGGATACCGCAAACTTGAAGATGATGGGAAGCAAGCCTCCTTTTGTGGCCGATGCAATCATTGCCAATCCGCCCTCGTTTGCTCACTATCATTGTGCTGAGAGACTCAGTATCCCTCTGCACCTGGTGTTTACGTTTCCCTACTCACCTACCCAGGCCTTTCCGCATCCTCTGGCCAATATCAAGTCCACCAATGTTGACCAGAGCTATGTCAACTACATGTCATACCCTTTGGTCGACTTGATGACCTGGCAGGGCTTAGGAGATCTTGTCAATCGATTCAGAGTGAAGACTCTAGGTTTAGAGCCTGTCTCGACGTTGTGGGCTCCTGGTCAACTATCTCGACTGAAGGTGCCGATGACGTACCTCTGGAGTCCCAAACTCGTCCCCAAACCTGCAGATTGGGGGCCGGAGATCGACATTGCTGGCTATGTATTTCTTGATCTTGCGTCGTCCTACAAGCCACCTACCGACTTGGCCAACTTTCTCGATCGGTCAGGAGAAGATAAACGATCTATAATTTACATCGGGTTCGGGTCGATATCAGGGATTGATGACCCGACGGCCTTCTGTCAGATGATATTCGATGCGGTTGAAAAAGCGAAAGTCCGTGCGATAGTTAGTCGAGGCTGGGGCGGTATGGGTGATGGTATGGACAAACCAGATGGAGTCTTTCTGGTTGACAACGTACCACATGACTGGCTTTTCCCCAGAGTTGACGCAGTGGTTCATCACGGTGGCGCAGGCACCACTGCGGCAGGTTTGAGATTTGGGAAGCCAACAATGATTGTCCCTTTCTTTGGCGACCAGCCATTCTGGAGTGCCATGGTTGTTCGAGCCAGAGCCGGGGCAAAGGAAGCCCTACCACTGAAGAAACTCGACAGCGACAAGTTTGCTCAAGGCATCAAAGAGTGTCTTGAGCCAGAAGCACGAGCAAAGGCTGAAGAGATTGCCAAAGGTATTCAGGAAGAGGGGGATGGAGCTGAGAATGCCGTGGACTCTTTTCACCGAGCCTTGCCCCTGGACGGTCCTCATTCGATGCGTTGCGATATAATGCCTGACCGTGTTGCCGTCTGGAAGACCAAGCACACTTCTGTCCAGCTATCACCTCTTGCGGCGGATGTCTTGGTGGAAAACAGGGAACTTTTATATTCGGATCTGCAGTTGCAGAAAATCCGTGAGTGGAACGACTTTCAGGGACCCGGTGAACCTATCACTGGTGCTGGCGGTGCAATTGTGCAGGCTTTTCAAGAAGCATTGCATGGACTGAGCGACATGCACGAAGAGACCAAAAAAGATATTCAAAGATTTGAAAAACACAGGCGGAAACACCAAGGAAAATCGGCCATCGATGGACTTATCCTGCCGGGGAAAATCGCTTATGCTACAAGAGGGACCAGTGTGGAGGAACAGAGAAAGGAGCATGCCCAGATAGAGCGAAACCTCAACCTTCGGGGCGATGCAGAGCCTTTCCGACTCCCGGTCATCCTTTCACGACAGGGCTCGGATGAGGCTGTCATTTTGAGCCGTTCCACAACACAGTCGTCTGTTAGAGGTCCTTCTCAAGCGGTGGTCATGATGAAACATATTGGTGGAGGTATCGGGCGATCAAGTCATGCGATATTGTCATTACCATTCAGAATGTTGAACGCGACGGCCCTTGGTTTCCACAATGCACCCAGACTGTATGGAGACAAGACCGTGCGACCAGCGCCAAGCAAAAAGATCACCGGTCTAAGAAGTGGTATGAAGGTCGCTGTTACCGAGTGCTGGTTAGGTAATTATGATGGTGTCCTGGGATTGGTGCGCCTGCCACTGCTAGAAGTTCGCGAAACAGGGTGGCAAGGGCTTCCCAAGGGTATGGCGAAGGGCTTTGGCGGTCTTGTATTGAAACCGATCGCCGGCACGCTTGGGTTGGGGGCATATACTTGCAAAGGCATTCGTCACGGAGTGAAAAAAAGAATACGCGACACTGAGAGAACGGATCGATGGATCTGTAGAGCACGAATCGCACAGGGACAAAGAGATGCCGCCATTCTCAAGAACGAGAATAAGATGAACACCAATACACCAATGTACGAATATTCCCGGAGACAGGCTGAGATTGATGAGATTCGTGATCAAGCTCTGCGAAAATGGACTACGTATGACAAAGACAAGGTGAACGAAGGTAGAGAGAAGGAGAATCGAAAGGCAAAGTTGAGGTTGAGTCTAGGCTCAGGTGTTGAAAGTAAGGGAGTGAAGAAGGGGAAGGAGAAGGACAAAGAGAAAAACAACAAGATACCCCGATCACGGACAAGATGATCATGACCTTGACGATGGCGTTGAGCTTTGACTTGTGGATATTGATTGGTTATATTATATTATACGGAGTCCGTATCTAGATACCACGAATAGATCAAGCGAAGGTGTTGAGGTGTTGATATTATTACGTCTCGGAGAGTATTGTGGCAATTTGATCTGAAGCAAATAAATTGACATGAGAGATATCCTTTTACATGCACATGGTTTTGCTCGTCTCGGAGTCCTCATCCTCCCCGTTCCCTCATGAATGAAAACCGGCCCGACTTTTTCAACTCTGGGTCCAGGCCCAGACATGATCTGAGAATCCATCGGGGTCGGCGCCGAACAAGGACGGATCTGAGTTGTTGTCGAGAGAGAGGCGGCAGAACCAGGGAGTGTCGCCCCGGTCGAAGGGGTCACCGGGCTCCTTCCAGATGATCGTGGCCTGTTGGAGGCCATAGGACGTGGCAAACGCCGTGCAAGACCGTTCGATGTCGTTCGCGACGGCACAAACGTCGGAAGGATCCGTCCCCAGGGACGCCCGGAGGGGAACCTGGGCCAGTACCATGCTGTCGAAACGCAGTTGGCCGTGGCCGGCATAGTAAAGGTTCCACGCCTTTCCGGCCGTCTTCTTCTTCAGAGTCGTGCACGACTGTGCCCAACCACCTTCGGGTTGACCGATGGCCGTGCTGCCTGCGCGTGGAAAGACCGAGAGCGCATGATTCTCGGCGGAAGACCCGGTGGACGGTGCCTGGTGGACGGGTGTTGCGGTTGCGGCTGCGGCAACAAGAATCACTCGAAGGAGGTTTGACGGCAGATGTACCATGTTGGACAGGGTCGTGAGGGACACGTTACGCGTAGATTGGCTTGCATCGTTGCTGTTTCGCGGCGGAACCTCCTTGTATACATATTATTGCAAGTTCGGCGCCCGTCCGGTCTGACCTCAGGAACTTCTCGCCAGGTCGCGAATTCCTCCTCGAGGATTCTAAGTTTATCGTTATTTTACCTGTGCTTCGCATTACTGAAAAAGCTCGGTGAGCCCATTCATGACTCTTTTGGATGTTAACCACTCGTAGACTTGGGCCATGCACGGACAACGCTTGGCTGGTTCTAGAACCCTCAGAGAACTATTGTCCTTTTTCGGTCTAGCCCTGAGCAGCGGGGTCCACCTTTGGAATAACTGTCATTCCGCCAAGGACTATAAGACGACATGTCTGTAACAAGGGGAGGGAGAAGGACCTTTTACTTGCAGATGACCTACAAAGGTATACCAACCACCCGTCATGACCACATAGTACAGGCCAATCCCGTCACGGTGGACGGTGGACCCAGGTGCCGTGACGAGGCTGCGTACAGAGATACACCGGCTCAGCGGGGAGCCACGACTGGTCCAGCAGATACGCTCTTCCAGGCACAGGCGACGATTAGAATCCAGCCAAAGGTTGAGACCATCATGGTCAGGTTCATAGACGTGGTGAGTGAGATTGAAGGCTTCTAACAAAACACAACTATACCCAGCAACAGAAGTTCCGGGTTTCATCTTTTGTTTTCATTGGCCATGTTCTATAAATTTTGTGCGGCTAAGAATTTCACCATATGGTGATCCAGAATGGAGGGTTATCTTAGCCATGAGCTAATGTATATTTTTAACTATCCAAGGTATTGTACCCTCGGCGGATCGTTGACGCACGGCTCTTCCTTGAGATCGGATTTATCGAAGTATCAAGGGCACATGGACCTTGATATAATAATCTTCTTTCTTCCTGAAATCTCTTGGCATACCAGCGTTACCCCAGGCTATGCTTCTTGTATTCCCCGTCACCGTTACATTGTCTTCTCTTGATTCAAGCCTCAATCTATGTTGAGCCGCCTTTACACTCTTTCCCACCAGCAACAGGACTCCTTCCCAAGATATCTTGGCTCAGCTGCTGCGGCGGTGCAAGGCCTTCCGAATAACTCCTTGTCAATTCGCCGGTCGCCACCATTGACAAAAGCCTGTCCAACATACTATGAATGAAGTCGGCTGCCCACCCACGCATCTTTGTTAACCGCGCGAAAGGAATAATGCAACTGGAATTGTTTTCGGGCAGAGATACTGAATGGCTCCATGTATCTTTGTAGATGGTAGCAACTCTCTTTCAAAGCGACGTCACAAGAAGCTGAAATCATTGGATACCTCTTGCAGGCGACTTCTGTAATGTCATCCCACTGTACACCTTTGTCCTGATCTTTACACTGTCTTAATCGAGCCGGAAAGCAACTATGGAATTTTTTTTTTAAGTTACGAGTGAGTAGGGAAGCCTAGACTTTACCGTGACAAACGTCCATACGGGTATCACTTTATTGTTTCTAGACTGGGTTGCTGTCCTTGATACAAGACCCTAAAGGACTCCATTTAGTTGCAAGGCCTGTTTTAAAGCACAAAGAGCTTATTCGCCAATGGTGTACAACAATGTCGTATAATTGTGCAGCTTTTCTTTCTCCGCGGTTGGCCAGACTAATGCCCATGACTGGTCATAGCTTTTCACAGGCAACGGAGGAGAAACAGAACCATGTAACAAGGTATCTACTGTGGAAATCGTAAATCTTCAGCACAGGCTCCCGGACTGCGACAAACGGCTCGACTGATACCAACACCTCAAGTAGGAATAAATGCCAGATGAGGAGTGCGCCTCCATCAAGCCAAGACGATTACGTCTCGAGTTTCTCGAGGGATTGCCTTGATCAGTTCTCAGATAGCCTACCTCGGTCTATACAGAGAATAACCAAGATATACCCGCACATTGTCTGGACCACTGTTCTACCAACTTGGCGTGAACGATCCTACCTCGAGTTCCAGCAGAATGATCCTACTTCGCACGCAATGTTGATTTTATACTTTTGTAGGTAGGGTGTAAAGTGCTTTCGTCTATACTACTGTAACCTCGACCTGATTTGTCCTGGTAGTGATTCTCATACGTATTTAAATACCTCTTGAGACCGTCTCGCCTACATGGTTGATCAACAATTCGTCTACAACCTTTTTTTCCAGGTCATCTAGAGCTCACTCACTTCTTGCGTATCCTCGATCATCAAAAAAACAACAACAACAACAGCAACAACAACTCCAACATGAAGACCTTTACCCTCTCTGCCATTTGGGCACTGTACGTGACAGGGTACGTCAAGACCTTGAACCTCTTGCGTTGGGGCTTGCCTTTTTTCCCCCTCTAACCGAAGAAATTTCAACAGGACATTCGCGGCCTTCTCCTGTCGATGCGAGGGCAATCTGTCCCCCAAGGAACTTGGAGCGGCGACCAATGCAATCTGTCGTTCTCCCGCGGGCAGCTGCGGTGGTTTCACGGGAGGAGATTATGGAATTGTACGTCCGGTTGATCAAGAGCATTCTTGGTCGCAGTTGTTTATCCTGAGAAACCCTGCGTATACCTAGGTATATATACATTTAGGTTCACGACCGCTAACGTTGAGAGTTTTGAGTCACACAGTGTCGACAGCTCGTGCTTGGGGTCTACAAGGGCAATTGTATTGATGCAGGCGCTTTCGAGCAAGGCTGCATTGAGGCAGGAGCCCAAGGAGCTTCTTGTGACTATTCGAGCTACTATCATCCTCCCACCTCGGAATAAAAAGAGGAGGGGGGGAAATGTGTACGGAGAACGTCATGAAGGAGCAACCGAAGGAGCAATAGGTATTCTCCATCTATCAAAATATGACGGGAACAGCTTTCAAGTATATATATATATATATATATATACCACAGATCATCATTTCAATTGTAGATATTTTTAAGCATAAGGATATTTTTCTTACGGATACTTGAAAACGAATGCCTCGTATGATCTATCGTAGTGCTCGGCTCTAGTTTCATCGAAGAGTGTTTTCAACGGGCATAGTCTACTGGCAGCGGAAGGTAGCAATCAGAGTGATGACAAGAATCGGTTCAGAGACTGTGAACAAAACAGGATATCAAATTGATAGCCTGGATCCTACGGTACATGGTGGATCCTTGAATGAAAGACCAAGAACGATTTGACCATGAATATCTCCCTCTCCAGGGCCCCGATTGTTCTAAACCAAGGGTAGAGCAACATGATACCTGGTTCTTCGAAGCCCCCGTCTTGCAAAATCTCTCGCTCGATAAAGGACAGTTTGCCCAACCAGAGGTAAGACGACAATTCGTCTCCGTCGAGAAATGACCGTTCTTGTGGTGTGTTTCAGAACCCCCATTGCTATGGGAGTAGGAAATGTGAGGCCAGGACGCCGCTGATGTAATCTACATAGTTCTCGGCACTCTTTTCCTCTTTGGGGTCACCGCCAAACCGCCTGGTCTGGCCCACCCGTCTCAGATTTTGGGGTGGCCCGGGAACCCCGGGCATAGATTAATTCCTGGCCGCAACTCGCTTACCTCAACAATACAAAGTAGCAACTCGCTAAGAGACGCGAAAGCTGTGGGGTATCTGGGGCTTTGGTTGACAAACAAAGCTTTGCGACGAAGAAGATTGTTCAGCACCGTTCCTGTCATTAATTTTCCCTTTCTGTTGTTGCTCTGACGGGGGCAACAGCTAAGAAAGTGCCTGGCCCTCGGTATGAAGTCACCGATCCCGGACTACCTGAATGTTTTGCTGGAGAAGGTCCGGCCGATCGAAGATGGCGTGCCCGCTCAGTACATCAAGACGTTGGCCAACGCGGACACGTCCAAGCTGGCCGTGGCGATCGTCATGGTGGACGGCAATGTCTACTCGGCCGGTGACGACCAGGTCGAGTTTTCCATCCAGTCCATCTCGAAAGCCTTTGTCTACGCCATCGCCATCGAGGACGCCGGGCTGGAGCGCGTCCTGGAAAAGATCGGCGTGGAGCCGTCCGGCGACGCCTTCAACAAGCTGTCGCTGGAAAGGGGCAACAACCGACCGATGAACCCCATGATCAACGCCGGTGCCATCGCGGCGCACTCGCTCGTGGTCCACCCCGACGCCACGGCGGAGGAGAGGACCGACCGCATCCTCAAGACCATGTCCCGACTGGCCGGGCGGGAGCTCCACGTGGACGAGGAGGTGTACGAGGCCGAGCTCGAGGACGCCGACCGCAACATGGGGATCGGGTACATGCTCAAGGCGGCCGGCATCATCTCGTGCAGGCCGGCCGAGGTCGTCAAGGGCTACATCCGCCAGTGCTCCGTCAACGTCAACGTCCGTGACCTGGCCATGATGGCGGCGACCCTCTGCAACGCCGGCGTGAATCCCGTGACGGGCGAGGCCATCATGCCGCCGGAAAGTGTCCGCCAGGTGCTCTCCGTCATGACCACGTGCGGCATGTACGACGCCGCGGGCGACTGGGTCTCCCGGGTCGGCATCCCGGCCAAGAGCGGTGTCGCCGGCGGGGTCATCGGCACCCTGCCGGGGCAGGTCGGTATCGCCGCCTTCTCGCCCAGGCTGAACGACCGGGGCAACAGCGTGCGCGCCGTGGCGCTGTTTGAGCAGCTGTCGCGCGACATGGGTTTCCACATGATGGACGCCAGCCAGATCGCCAGGGCCAGCGTGAGTACCTCGGTGGCGAAGATCGTCGCGGGCAAACAAGATCCTCACCACCCCAACTGCGACCGGCAGGTCGTCATCTTCGCCCTTCGTGGCGCCGTCCGCTTCTCCGGCTCGGAGCGCCTCACGCGTGCGATCGTCCACGAACTCGGCGAGCCGGACCCCAAGGACCCCGGCTCCGGGGGCCACCGGGACGCTTGCGCCATAGTGATCTCGCTCCGGGACGCGTTTTCCCTCAACCTCATCGCCCGGCGGGTGATCCACGAGAACATAAAACGTTTGCTGGCGGAGGGAAAAACAGTCGTGGTGATTGATCCCAACGGTGTCTTGCAGATGGATTTGGGCAGCCTCCCGACGTGTCAACACCCGCAGATTGTTGAGAATGAAAAGGAGGCGAGAGAGTTCATCGGAGGGACAGGTTGTTCGGCCATTACTCAGTCTGACAATTGGTAGTAGGACACAATCCATGGTAATCAGTCTCAAGTACAGATCAAAGATCCGTACTACCTACTGTGAAATTGAGGCTGAGTTGGCCCTGATGTGTGACGCACCATCTGATCCTTTTAGAGCAGAAAAGCGGTTATCGATACAAGTCCCACCTTACAGTCTTCTTCTCCCATGGAATTCGAGCAATTCCAGCCATAAGAAATTTGTAGTACGTAGTGCAGAAAAGAAAAAAGACTGCAACCGGGGGAGAATTGGTATCAGACCCAGTTTTGATCCCCTGCCCGAAGAGTATTGTCAGGGGTGCCCCCAAAGGAACTGCCTTGAGTGAACCCATCTTTACCAGTCGGCAGATGCACACCTCAATTCGCATGGCATTCCCGGGGAAAAGAGTGTCTTTCCTGCCATGTGCAGGACGCGTGTTGACCCCTTGTCTTTCTTTCGGGTCCCCCGTTCTCGTCCAAGGTGACCTTTGATCCTCGTCAATCCCCCCAAAAGATGTGTGAGGATGTGGTGTGATCGAGAAAATGAAACGATGTGAAAAAGACAAACCTCACACAAACAAATATTGCCGTGTTTGCACAAAAATATACCGGCCTCGGTAGCCCATGTGTTGTTCCACTTTTGCAGCTCGAGAGCACGGTGAGCAACAACAATCAGACACTTTGAGGTGTGTTCGTCTGCGAGAGCCGTTTTGTCAAAATCCATTTGCATCAAAATCTTCCTGATCTCAATATGTTTCCTTCTAGACAGAAAAAAAGCATCGAAGTGAAGAGGGCGATGAAAATGATCGTACATAGGTAGGTGCCAGGTTTGATAGAGGAGCGAGAGACGGAATGATTTTTGAACCTTGGCTACCTACTTCTGCTCAAGATGCCCGTCAGAGTCGAACGTTTTCCCACCGACCCGTCGAAGAGTTGTTCACCATGGCCTACAGGCAGGTAAGTACGCATCTGTCTATTCGTATGGTCCTGCGTTTGAAACTGAAACAGAGAGAGTGACCGGCAACAACGAAAGGGACAGACGACCTGTGTTCTCGAGTTGAGCTCGTCATTGGCTTTTTGTCCAAGGCCCCCTCTCTAGGTAGATGACCTGTTCACGTTGAACTCTCACGGATGACGAGTTGATATTTACTCAAGATACCCAAGGTTATATACATCGCAGTAGCAGCGGTAAGATGGATCAGGTAAATTGCGTATCAAATCTTGCTTACTTGACGGAATTACGGAGTACAAATCTCCAAGCCACAGAAACACTTTGATTTGTGTGGCCCTAGAGAGAATAGTGAGGGCTGTGGCTTTGCTTTTGCAATGACCTACTCCGTATCATTCATTACGCTCGGGATTATGGATTCGCCGCGAAATTCCCCTCGTTGAGAACGTTCACCCGTCGAGAACAAAAATGTACTGAAAAAGTGTTTGCAGCAAAAAAGATGCTGGGGGAGACAAGGGTTCATTCACCAGGTTTTCTTGTTGACTTTGTCAAATCTAGATCAAAAGACCCAACAAATCTATTCAAGAGCCAAAAACCCATTCAAGGATTCTATTTTTGTACCACCTCCCGACACCTTTCGTTTTCCTCTATCGATCAAATCAAGACCCGAATCCAAAACCACCGGGTACTCTAGACAACACATGAATCGGTGTATTTCCAAAAGGCAAAAAAAAAGTATTTCATACTCGCTCGCTCAGTGATATTCTAAAAACCAAAATTCAAGTCGTAATCACATCAGACCACAACAACCACAACCACAAGTTATACCCGTATATAGATTACAAGGCAAAGAATCACCCATAAAAAAGGTCAATAAAATCAACTTGGCCTTTCTACCGGTACATCTTGTTCTTGTTTCTCATTTTCTGCCAAATTCTTGGCCTTTTCTCGCTCTTCCATGGCGACGGCATGACGATCACCTTGTGCCGGTAACTCGCCGTGGGTAGTGGTGGGTGGGAAATGTGATCCGGATCCGGACCCGGAACTTGCGTCGTGTGATCCCGCCTTGAGCATCTTGGAATGCTCGCCTATGCCGTGACGGTCCTCCTGGGGCATGTCCGGGTCGGCACCGTAGTCCGTCCTCTGTGGCGTCCAGGCGAGGTAATCCCGACGGACCTCGACGTAGTCGTAAGCAAACTCGCCGAGTTGGTCGTCGTCCATGCCGAGCAACTCTGCTTCCTCCGAAGCCCTCAGGTGAAGACCGGGGATGAAGTTGACGAGGTAGGCGAGGATGGCGCTCATGACAAACGCGTATCCTGTACAGGCAAGGATGTAGGCGAGTTGGATGTAGAATTGGCGATAGTTGCCGATCGGCCACCCGCCGATACCCGTTCCAGTCGTCGGGTTGGTGGCTCCGGTGTTGACCCCATCCAGACCGACGACGTAGTCGACGCCAAAGAGCGCATTGAACATGAGACCGATCATGCCGGCGAGACCGTGTTCAGCGAACACATCCATGGAGTCGTCGATTCGGACCCAGTACTTGACTAGAAACGGGGCAGGAGTCAGCAAAACTGGAGAAACACCCGGCCAGAACAACACTCACTCTTGGTGCCAAAGTTACAAGCAACACCGGTCACGATACCCAGTACGACAGAGCCCCAGGTGTCGATGTAGCCAGAAGCGGGTGTGGCTGCCACGAGGCCCGAGATGGTACCGGAACACCAACCAACCATGGTCCACTTTCGGGCCAGCCGGAAGTCGAGAAGAGTCCAGGTGATGGCCGCAAAGGTGGCGGTCAAGTTCGAATTCCAGCAAGCCATGACGGCGCGCAGGTTGGCGCCAAAGGACGAGCCACCGTTGAAACCGAGCCATCCAAACCACAGCAAGACCGTCCCCAACAGGATAAAAGAAACGTTGTGAGGGCGGAAATTCAGCATCATCTTTTCCTGGCGTTTTCCAAGGACCATGGAATACGCCAAAGCAGACATGCCAGAGCCGATTTCGACGGGGCCACCACCGGCATAGTCCATGACACCATATTTGAAGGCCCAGCCGTTGGCGTTCCAGGCCCAACAAGCGATAGGGTTGTATACCAAGGTGGCCCAAAGGAATGTCCAAACCATAAAGGGCATAAGTCGACCCCGTTCAGCAACAGCACCTGCAACGATGGCAGCGGTGACAGCGCAGAATTGCATCTGTTGTGACACGTTAGACTAAACTTGTCCAAACATCAAATCTCCCCACAGCTTGCTTCGAGTCCGTACCTGATAAAAGGAATATAAAAGACTGGACACGAGGGGCGATCCGGGACTTGGGTTTCCAAGAACTCTCTTCAAACCAAAGTGGACAAGATCACCTATGAAACCATTCTGGGCGGTGGGGGAGAAGGTCAATGAATAACCCCAGAAATACCACTGAAAGTTGATTATGCTCCCGGCGGCCATACAAGCCCACATCATCGACAGGGCGGATTTTCTTCGTGCGAGCCCAGAGTATAGAAATCCGAGACCCGGTACCATTATGAGAACGAGACATGAGGAGATGATGATGTAGGCTGTATCGCCTGACTGGAACCATTTGTTCAGATTCTCATGCCCTGGTCAGACGGTTAGAATGGTGGTGTGCAGACGGAGCCCGAACCCAGATGACATACTTGAGTCTCCTCCAGTTTGCGCGTTTGTGACCTGAGTATAATCTGCGGGAGCGCCGGTCCAGTTGTAGGAGGCATAGGTTGGGATAAAATTGGTGACGCCTGGAGCTGACATATTGGCGGGCTCCGGATTACCGGGTGCTCGTGTGACTTGATGAGGTCAAGCTGGTAACCTGCCTCGAGGAGGGCCGTGAAGGACGGCGGTACACTTGCTGTGTGTTTTGCAGTCGATATGTCGCGACGTTGGTGAACAGTTCAACAGTTGGTAAGTCGCAATATTAGCCAAACCGTGAGAAGAAACTTGGTCAGAGTACTCGTAGTGGCAATGGCAAACTAGGATCGAAGGGCCGAAGTTGGTGGTATTTCAAGACCAGGTGGTGTTCTAGTCAAGGAAAATAAAAAGCAATTCGAGGTCATGAAGATGAGCATGAGAAAACATTTGACACTTCTGGGCGACATCGGCGTGTCGGAAGAGCGAGGCGTCATTGTTTCTGCGTTTCCTACGGAGTAGTACCAGTAGGGGATGCACTGACTAGTCTCGACTCTGTAGGAGCAAAGAGGCGTGGTGAAGCTAGAATCTCGAACTGTTGGTGGAGCAGGAAGTCGGTGGCGTGGATCAGTGGAACTCACGTCATTCGATTGACAAAGCGTCGTTAGACATACATATTGTACTGTAACTCGCTCCGTATGATACCCGTAACTGGTACTGGATGTACCTGTGCGAGACCCCGACGATACTGATGACTACACTATAATGTACTCGTACGGAGTGTGACAATGGCAGTGGATTCGGGTAAAAGAGCAACAAGACTTACAGGATGATACTCGTATTGCCCACTGACAAAGCCTCAGTTGACACCTTTTCGTTCGATTTCTCTACGTTGTGACTGGCCGGGTAATCATGCAACACCGAAGATTCAACCTCGATGGCTCTGATCTCGACATGTTCTCCCATGATGCCGAGCCTTTGGGGTCTTCTTGGCTCCATGACACTCGAACATCAACCGCCAACCAATCTTGCCTGATATGTCGAGAGATGGACAGGGTCACCAGTTTGAGTGATTTAAGCATGTCTTGGCCTTCATTGCTTTTATCTGTAGCCATTCATACAGTACCAGTACGGAGGATTGTGAGTATCCGTACCGAAGACGACGATACGACATGCCTTGGGGATCTGCATCTCCGCGACTGCCCCAAAGCATTCCCCTGAGGAAACAATATTCGGGAGTTCTCGTAGAAAAAAGGAATATGTCTCGTAATGCCAAGAGCGACAGTTGAAGCGGTTTGGAGTTGCTTTTTGAAAGAGATTCGCATGGGCACAGAAACAACAGTGCAATCGTCTATGCAATAAATCATTGCAACTGTCAAGCCAATCACAACATGTTTTCTTATCATGGCTGAACAAATTTAAACTCTGACAGGGGCATAGCTTGTCCAGCCGCACTAACCACTTCCGTCCCAGGATCCGCTCACCTGCGCCTCCCATCGCCAGGGATCTTGCTTAGCACTAGGCGAGCCTAATGCAAGCCAAAATTGACCTTATCTTTGGCCAATAGCACATTCGACATTTACTAAAGCACGTGAGTTTCCATTCCTCCGCACTGGGCGTTTGGCATTGTTACTGCTGAGGTTTTGCTGGGCATCGGCTGTAGGAAGCCTCTCGATGCACCTCTTTTCTGGGGAGTCAGGATGGACTTTGGGGGGGTTTTCCCCAGGCCCATTCTACTTGGTGTGAGACGCCCACAGCTATCTTGCGACGATTGAAGATCAGTCCATGCCAATTCTGAGATAGGCGGTTCTGAAATTTTCCTGTCATGCTGATGGAAAAAAAATTCGATGCAGCCAGCTCAAAGTGACCAAGTGCAGAAGTAAGGAGAGAGACAAGGAAATGTTTGGCAATCACCTGCACACTCACCATCTGAAGGCAATACAAAATAAAGGAGCGGGTTCTTCTGGTAGGAAGCGAGGGCAAAAGCACGCGACTGTTTCACAGTCTCATGTTCTTATCAGTTCCGGCTGTACATGAAGTCGCTCCCCTTGAAGCGGCTGTCTACCCGCCCAACCAAGAAGCTTTGTCGAGACCGACAAGAATAAGGTGATGTCAGAATGAGATGATCGCCACCGATGTTGATGCGAATTTTCCTCCAGAAATCGATGTGAGCAGGAATGCAATTCTCCTTGCTGATGCAGATTGCTGGTCGCTGATAAGGAATCCATCGAGATCGGCTGAGCTGATCGACGCCGTCATGGCACGTCAGTCTGCTCGTACCACGTTACAGGATGCTAAACAGGCATCAGTCTCTGGGTGATTGTGATGCAAGCAATGTCAGGTATGATGTCTTGACCAGGATGAGTCGGTGGCTGCAAGGTTGTTGGCACATGCCAAGGCAGTCTCAGTTCATCTGCTGGGTGATCATACCACAGGAATGACCTAACCATGCATGTGTTACCACCAGTGTGGCCCGTCCCTTATCGAGGACGACGGTACAAGCAGGAAGCCGTCTGCATGGACGCTTCCCATGCACGACACAGCCTTATCCCCAGATTCCCGTGCACGTCTTGCCTGCAAGTCTGACTGATCTCCTTATCAGTAGACCATCGTTTCCACCTATGACCTTTGCGCTATCTCGAACTACGACTGACTGCTGACCTAATCCAGCCTTGACCCATATTTCAGGCACGGAGTGAAGCACTGTGGCTGCTGTTGAGGCCCCGAGCTTTCATTGGTTGTGCTGGACGTCAATTGGAATTGTGGTGAGACCAGCCTGTATCTTTGCTTCGCTAGTAGTCTATTTGACGACGGAGACATTATTTGAGAACCCGGTTCTGTGCTCGGACAGATGCGAAGAAACGGCACGGTCAGCAGGACCAAATCCAGGTAGTTTCAAGCAAGCCCAAGACGCACAGTCAAGAAGAGAGTTGGCCTTGTCACTCTTCTCTCAGAGCAAGGGAAGGAGGTATACAGAAGGACCTTAATTCGGTCTGACATCAAATGTCTAGGTAGCAATCCACAGGATAGTGAATAATAACAGAGAGTCTTTGAAACAAACAAATAGTATTAAATGTAGAGATGGTCATAATCATTCATTCGCCTATAGCTCTAATGGCGACTCTATACCGCGAATTCTGCGTTTCTCTCAGCAAAGTGTAGCGTCTTTGGATCCGCTCATGAATAGCAACAAGCACAATCAACAACCACCAACGCCCTGTGCAATCCCCAAGCGTCCTGAATGTAGAACAAGCTTCCCTTCTCACTCAATTTTGTCCACGCAAGCTATAGAGGGTATCTAGTTTAAAACTTTTCCTCGGGAAGAGATCCATACATGGTCTCGACAATAATGCCGGTGATTTCTGTTCAACTTGTTAGTATCAAATCAATCTTGATCATGACACGGAGACAACTTACGGTATGGGTCAGCGTTGGACGCAGGTCGTCGATCCTCGAAGTAACCCTTGCCCTCCTTGGCGCAGGCACGGGGAATTCGGACAGACGAGCCACGGTTGGCTACACCCCAGGTGAATTTGTCGATACTTGAGGTTTCGTGGGCACCAGTCATTCGCAACTCGTTTCCTTCACCGTACACCTTGATGTGCTCAACGTGGCGCTCCTCAAGCTTCTTCATGGCCTCTTCAATGTATTTCATTCCACCATCTTCACGCATCTCCTTGGATGAGACGTTGGTGTGCAGGCCGGCGCCGTTCCAGTCACCGGGGATGGGCTTGGGTTGGAAGGAAACAACGGCACCGAATTCTTCGGCGATACGGTGGAGGAGCCATCGAGAGACCCAGAGTTGATCACCCACTGGAGTTGTTAGGACAACATTTGACGCATGTTGTTGACGGATCGAACTTACAGTTAATACCCTCGCAAGGTCCGACCTGGTACTCCCACTGTGCGGGCATGACCTCAGCGTTGGTGCCAGAGATCTCGATACCAGCGTACATGCAAGCCTTGTGGTGTGCTTCGACGATGTCACGGCAGTAGACACGGCCAGTACCAACACCACAGTAATAAGGACCCTGAGGGCCGGGGAAACCCCCCTTGGGCCAACCGTACGGCCAGCCGTCAGGGCCCAGGAGAGTGTATTCTTGTTCCAGACCAAACCAAACCTTGTGCTTGGCGTTGGCTTCCATCAGGCGTGCAGCATCGTGTCGGTAGTTGAATTTGTTTGGTGTTCCATCTGGATCCCAGGTCTCGCACATGACGAGGATGTTGTCACCTAGACGGATAGGATCGGGGAACATGGCCACAGGCCGGATGTAGACATCGGAGTTGTCGCCTGGGGCTTGGCCGGTTGAGGAACCGTCGAAGTTCCATTCTGGAAGATCATCGACGGACTTGGGAGCCTTGTCCAGGGTCTAGAAATCGCCAAGTAGGTTAGCCTCATGGTTCTGCGATTCAGATCAATTTCAATGTGTCACTTCGCCATTAGGCCGTAGTAGGATTGTCGTGTTGGCGCCGACGGGAAATGCACATTGACGTCGCCTCCCGATGTGCCGAGATCGGCCAAGTCCGAGCTGATTGGCGCACAGCTTTGGTTTCTGAGGCGGAGCAACGTCGGAATAATTGAAGATTTGAGCCACATTTCTAGTGCAACACCGCATGGACCAGGATGGCCGAGCGTGGGGTCAACCATTTCAATGGCAAGCCGGTTGATTGTCGTGACTGCGCCAAAGTTGTTGACGTTTGTTGTAAATCGCATTCGATGGTCGAGCAGAAGTTGACGGTGACACCGAGATGGATTCAAGAGAGCGTGAGATTTGTGCTTACCTTTGTCTTATTTCGGAGGCCGTTCGTGCCATCGATCCAGATGTACTCGGCCAGGACCTTGCCTCTCTGGTCCAACTTCATGTACTTGGCCAACTGCAAAGAAAATCAGCATTGTCGAGGGAGAGAATCCGGCGCATTGCACCGTCACCAGCAGTGGCACTCACATTGGAGGCATTAGAAACAATAGTTGATTCACCGACGCCAGCCTAGAATGAGTCAGTGCCTTGATCGCGTGCACAGCTCAGCAGGAACCATACCATGATGGGCACTAGTGATCCGGAATGTGTACAAAAACGAGTAACGTGTGGAATGTGATGTAGACGACTGTTTCAACCCTCGCTGAACAGTACGACTTGATTTAAGGCCTTGGGGAAGAAAAGGAGGAGGAGTGGAATGAAGATAGATAACGAGAGAAAAACGGGCAGAGCAAAGAATAAATAAATGTATTAATGGAGCTCGCCAGTTCCGATGGCAGGAGCAGGAGCAGGCGCTAGTGTGGCAGTGAGCAGAGTGAGAGAGATGTTTGCGGCACGCAGCCAGGGTGCGTTCGCCGTTGCCCGCCCTCCATTGCCCCGCCAGGCATGGTGAGCCCCTCCCTCTAGCCTCTAGCACAAACCGCGCCCAAGCACAAGCAAGGCCTGTACCCGTACTGTAACGCAATCACGCCTAGAACAACACCCCGACGGCCACCACTGCGCAATCGTTGGCCCCGATCCTCAACAAATAGGGTCCCCTAACGCACTGCCCGACTCGTGGCTTTTATTGGGGATCAAGGGCTCCGACGACCGTCGATTATCGTCCCCTCGCCTCTCGCTTGATACCCCACCGTTCTTCACCCATTCACCATCGCTGCAATTCCAACCTTGCTAAGATAAGGGCCTCGATCGATTTTCCCTTCTCAATCGCCCATGAATTTGCCGTGTCCTCACACCCTGTGAAGTATGCAGTGACGACTACATCAGACAAGACGGTAGCAGACGCCAGACAAAGAGATTGGTTAAACAAAGTAAGCACGAGGCAGGCTTTCAGTGAGCGACGGGGTTACGGAGTACTGTAGACGTCTTGGTGGTACGGCCATCGTACCGACGACTGAGACGGAGAGGATGACTCCACCGTGGGATTGGTATAGCACAAGGGTGGGCTTTGCTTATGGTCGCTCTAACATCAGCCCGAATAAGTAATTGGACGAGTGCCTCGCTCGAGGAGCGCACCGCAGAGTCTAGGTGGCATGACGGGATTCGCGAAGCTGAAGGGTTGAACAAAAGAACTTTCTGGTTGCGTAAGTCCAGAAGCAATACCACATCAGACATCGTTCTAGACAACGTACATGACTCGACATTGCTTCTGCCAATAAATGCCATGCCAATATTCGGTACCTTGCAGCGTTACTGTTACCGAATTTATTGCCAACTGCGTTTATGTTATTGAATCTTTGGGCCGCACCAATCGGAAGTCTGCGATAAGCAATTGCGCTCATTTCACGCGAGCCTTGACTAACAACGCCACAAATGCGGCCTGACGGCGCGTACCAGTCTAATTGCGGTACCCATCGCAGTAACTGCGTACGACTCCCCTCCATCATCGCTTCGATTGTTGTTTTCTCAAGGAATGCAGGTCAAATGAGCCTAAAGGGTTGCGATCTTCATTGCTCTTTTCTTTTGCTTCGTGGTACGCGTAGGTTATTGGGGACTCCCTCTTCTGCAGAGCTTTTACAGCGGCAGTTCTCTAGCCGCGAAAAGAGATGTAGATCGCCCTGCGGAGTGGTTGTCTCCTCTCCAGAATTGCCTGCGCCTCCTGAACTCTTACCCATATTCCTATGTGGACACACAGCTACTGAACAAGATCGATGAGGAACATGAGCATTTTGCTCGGGCTGCAGTGAGTCGTCGTGAAAGCAGATCGACTGCGGCTGAGGGAAATGCCTCTGTTGGGCTCTTCAATGGAGTGCTTACTCAAGGAAAGTCACACTGGTACGGCTAATTAGGTGCTTCTCATACGATCTCATGCAACGGACACTCCTTCACCATCCTTCGCAAAGGAAACCTTTTGCAGCGCCTCTTTTGGGGTTATATGGCCCAAGCCCCGACTCAGTCGAAGACGCAGCGTATAAATTGCTACCAGCATCGATAGGAAGAGCCTGGAAGCATGTATAAGTGGTAGAACCTTCACGTGAGGGATCTCCAGGAAGATCGAGCCTGAACAGGTTCAAGTTATACTTGGAGTGATGTGCTCATCATGAGACTAGTCTTTTCACAGAGAAAACTCGCATACATTTCCCTCGAGATCATCATTAGAGCAGTCGCTTTGATATCATGGAAAGACTTGGTACTGTACTCGTATTGAAGTCTAAAGATGAATACAAATGATTCATGATCTTGAACAAACGCTGTAGCAGGATTCCGGTGTTTCTCTGTGCACAAGAGATTTGTGGTAATCTTGATATCTCTGGGGCACTGTACTCGTACAAGTAGTATTTCATGCACTTGGGTTCCGCTGCGATATTCAATCTGCAACTAACGAGGTGCTGTCAGAACATATGGATAGCCATTCGGCTGCCAGAGAATATCTCACATGCTGAATTCAAGCGGAAGATCTAGACAAAATGCTTCGCCGTGGTTTCTCCGCTGGATCAGGCAGACCTCACGCGTTGCACCCCTAACTTGATTCCACCCATGCCTTATTACCTAAACATCTACAGAACGTGGCTTGAACTGCATCTGCATCTCCGAGCCCGCCTTTGACAATGGCGTATTCTTCCTCCTAGAACATATTCTTTGCACGGACAATTTGCCGACGAACCTCACTTGCTCCCCCGATATACCGACCACGTATGGCTATCCTCGAAAGCCATGCCTCGCCACAGACCAACTTCCGGATACGCTCGCCTTGCGCAGGCAGACGAAGATGAGCCTTTAGGAGACGAAGATTCAGACTACGAGAACTATCACACGACGCCTCTGACTACCCGGTATGCCTCAATACAACCTGGACCGCGAGAGAGCATGCGCTCGGGCGCGCCATATGACCAACGACGGAGACCGACGCGACGGATGCGAAGTAATTCCTCCGGGGTCGACATCAAAGCCATCAACGCGCGACTGGAGAGGTGGGCTGAAGAGATTGTCACGAAGTTCAAGATAAATTCGGTCAAGGGCAAGACACAAGAGGAGGAACAGCTCGAGATACATCACTCCGTCTTTCAAGCTCCTCCCGGAATACAGCCATGCACTGCAGAAGATCTGGCCAGCTATGCCGCCATAGAGACACAACGCATGACGAAGCACCAGTTTGAGGATGTTGTCGAGGCCGTCAGAGTCGCCATTGAGATGGGCGTGCACCCAAAAATGATATCCCAAGGGAGCTCGGGAAGTTATTTTGCGCGAAATAGTGACGGCAAGGTCGTCGGCGTATTTAAACCAAAAGACGAAGAACCCTACGCTTCGAGAAACCCCAAGTGGACGAAATGGATACACCGCAATTTGTTCCCTTTCTTCTTCGGCCGAGCCTGTCTCATTCCAAACTTGTCCTATGTCTCCGAAGCCGCAGCATATGTCCTGGACAGACAACTGAGGACGTACATTGTGCCTTACACCGATGTGGTCTGGCTGTCTTCCAAATCGTTTTACTATGACTTTTGGGAACGCAGAAGTAGCTGGAGAGGAAAAAAGAGCCTGCCGGCCAAAGTGGGCAGTTTCCAAGTCTTTCTCAAGGGCTTCAAGGATGCGAACATATTCTTGAGGGAAAACCCCTGGCCAGATCAGGCGACGGAATTTCGAGCAGACCTCGAACATAAAAGGAAAAGGAGGCCACTCTCAAATTGTATACCAAGCGCGACACATTCCGACGACGAGGAAGAAGCCCCTCGTCTTCTTTCTCCCCAACCCCAGGCGGAACAAGCACCCAAGTTTCACTGGACGCCCACGATAAAACAAGCATTTCGGGAAGAACTCGAGAAACTCGTCATATTAGATTACATTATGCGAAACACGGATCGGGGATTGGACAACTGGATGATCAAGATAGATTGGAAGCTGGAGGAGGTCTCGCTCATCGCCGAACCCCCAAAGCCCCAGGGGGATGCTCAGAATGGAGATGCTACACCCCGGCAGATGTCAGTCAGCCCACGACCAGAGTCCAACACGTCGAGGCCTTATCGTAGGTACGAGGCTATGGAAAGCCGGTCAGCTACTCCTTCCCTTAGCCAGGAAAACAACTGCTCAATAACTCTGGGAGCTATTGACAACAGTTTATCATGGCCATGGAAGCATCCTGATGCCGTAAGTCGATTTCTGTGTCTTGAGTGTTGAGGTATCGATTTGCTAATCAAGTGCAGTGGCGGAGCTTTCCCTTCGGCTGGCTATTCCTCCCCGTGTCTCTTATCGGACAGCCCTTCTCTAAGAAAACCCGCGATCATTTCCTTCCCCTTTTGACCTCCACGGCTTGGTGGAGTGAGACCCAACTCGCCCTCAGGAGAGTGTTTGCTCTCGACGATGATTTTAAAGAAAGCATGTTTGCACGGCAGATAGCCGTCATGAAAGGTCAGGCGTGGAACGTCGTCGAGACCCTCAAGCAGGAAGACCACGGGCCGTTGGAATTGACCCGACGAACCAGAGTCTGTGTTTGGGATGACTTGGTCGACGTCCCTGTGGCGATCCCAATGCGTGTACCATCCGCAGAAATGCATCGCAAACAACGCCGTTACGACCAGCAAGAAGAAATGGACATTGGGGCGTCGTATTCTTCGGCACCTCCCGGACGCCAGCAACCGGAGCACGATCTCCTCGGGTCGCCGACGATGGAACTGCCCAACCCCAATCGCTTCGATCTCACGCGCGACGATAGCGCGGCTGATCTTTCATTCGCCTCGGGCCACGAAGGTCCGGCGAGCCCGGTCGACGTGAGCGGCTTTGATTCTCTCGAGCATGCCAAGGAAGCGAGAAACAGCCTGGGCAACAGCGCGAGCATGCCGCCTCGGCCGGCCATGAAGAAACAGAACCGATTCAGCTTCGAGTTCCCACCACGCCGCGGCGACGCCGCCGGGCCCGGCGCCACGAGGACCAGTGCGCGTAGGCAGCGTTCCATGTCCACGCGCAGCGGGAAGCAGGCGCCGGCCTTGTACGAAGGTGACGATCTCGAAGGGGATTTGGGTTATTCTGCCGCGAGCGACATGGAACAGAACAAGCGAAAGGTCATTGTCGAAAGGTTGGAAACCATCAAAGGTAAACAACCCGTCTTTACCTGGTGTTGAGTCGGATGTGCGGAATGCATTTCTCGTCTTCGTGATCTTCCTTCAAGGGTTGTGGTCGTGGTACCGACTTTGCAACGGTAATAAGGTCGGGCAGGGGGACCCTTCTTTAAAAAAAAATTTGGGTTGTAAAGAAATATCATTGCATCACGGCGTGAAAAATTCGCATCGCATTGGGCTGGATATTACGGAGTATATATATATATATATATATATACCCCGAACTGTGCTTTGTCCATTCCCATGTTCGTTCAGGAAAGGGAGCGAGGCTGCTTTACTCGGGCACGTGACGGGGCATCGAGGAGACCCGGCTGAGCAGGGGAGAGCGTTGTGGGAGCCCGGCCAGACTATGGGGGAGCACTGCGCGAGCCACAGGGAGCGCCCAATGCTAGAAGCCAGTTCGGGCTTAAGGATCCCCTTTAGGCCTCGGCTATAATTACCTCTCGGCCAGGCATCCGTTCTAGATAGGCGTTAGTGAACCTGGAATATTCCCTGCCCTTACACTGTTGCCTAAATTTGCCCGTAACCATAGGCCTGGCGGTGCGCCAGGGTACGGGGTAGTTAAATTATCCGTCGTACTGAGAGCAAGGAATCTGATTAAGGAAAACGGTGGTCCAGGCACCAAGATGCCTAAGGTCTCCGTTAAACTGTGAACAACCAGCTAGTACAAAATACAGTGCGGTGACTCATTGCTTTCCAGGTGCGTCGATGGTGGCCGGTGTTGCGATATGACAATGGAGGGCGAGAACGAATACGATCTGACGAAGTTTGTTAACATTCGGAGCTTTTCCTGGACCGGACCTCAATCCAAGGAAGATTTTGATGCAATCAAAGACTGCCTTGCTGCAAACGCGGGACACTTGGAAGTTCTTAACCTTGATCTCATGGACTGGTCAAAAGCCGACGACTTTTGGTATATAGATCATACACGATGGTTAGACGAGCCCACTCGACGCAAGAACTTCTTCGCCGATGACATTCTGGGCCTGCCTTTAGATGCCGACAGGCGAAGTAGCGGTGTCTGTTTTCCTGTGTTACGGCATCTGCTCCTCGGGCAGGTGTCCTTTGACTCCGCCATCACTCGGCTGGTCAATGCGTTTTCGATCTTCCAATTGAAGCAACTCAAGCTCTGGAATTGCCCACAGACGGTTAAATTGCTGGAGCATCTGACTGAGGCCCGACAAGATTTGGAACTAGAATCTCTCGAGGTAACATGCGGGTACGAGTATGCAACAATGATGACACGTTGGGACTGGAGTTTACGGTTCCCCCATTCTTGCGGAAGCTCTCACGTCTTAGAGACTTGTACCTCTGCTTGCCTATTGTGCAGTGGGATGAGGTCGTGGACTCCGTTTGCAGTCACTTAGAGACTTTGGAGCGTGTCACCATACATGCGCGAACTGTCGACATTGACGACGAAAGCCCGTATTTTGAGGAAGAAGCGGACGGTGACCCAACCTTTTGTGGGGGTTTCTTTGAGCTTTTCACGAAAGGAGATTGTGATGTCGTCGGGATCCAATATCCTCCTACCTTTGCGGTGAGTGGAATCAATCTTTGACGTCTAAATTGCTGACTTCGGGAAAAGCGAAAATGTCTCCAGCCACACGCAAAGGACGTTTCTTGCAGACTTCTGCATCTGAGAGCCGCAGGGGACTCTTTAACTAGGCGCGACCACGAATTTTATGTTAATCGCGAGGAAATAGACAGCTTTGCTGACTGGGTTTTCGGACCTAATGGCTTCTCTGAGCTTCTTGTTCTCGCATATGGCGACTTTGCATTCCCCGACATACATGAAGACAAAAACGTGCTCTACTGCAGGAACAATGTAGCCCAAGGGGAGGAAGGTGTTCAACCCACTCACTTCAAGATCCTTGAGCCCGCAGATGAGCCTCTTTGGGATTGGGTTCAGGGCAATATGGATGCATTGTCAGCTTGTGCTTACACAGCGTTACTTCGGGTCTAGCAGACGTGGGAGAGGACAGGACGATAAGCAATTATACGGTTGCGGTTACACCAACAACAGTATTATGCACGTTGAATGTAGCATGGTCTGAACAGAATGGTAGAGGTGTTGATTAGCTCGGGAATGAAAGGAATAGTGCGCAAGAGTACTTCGCGTTGAAGCCGCTATGCCGGCTCGACAACGCCTTCTGGAGCTTCTCACACTGCATTAAGAGTGCCTAGTTAGGGTGGCATTCAGGCGTTGGAAAATGCTTCTTAGCCAAAAATCCAGGACTGTTAAACTGGGTGTAAGTAGCTGTAAAAACGGAATCAGACAATGAAGCTAGGTTGGTGTAGCTATAATATTAGAGATGCGTTAACACAGGTTGAGATAGTATTGTTTTGCAAAGTGTCTCAATTTTCTTTACTAGATCTTTACTACACACATGTGCGAAACTGGCGTCACCTTAAGCAACATAGAATTGTTAACTATATTAACTATTCTAAGTTAAAAGTGTCGGCCAGTTAACCCGCGTAAGGCTGAGCACACTGCGCAAGGCTGAGCATGGTAAGACTATTAATTTATAATTAATAGTCTATTCTGTTCTAAAGCCTTCTATATAGACTCTCCTTTACGTCTATATAAGGAGGTCTTTACCCCCCTTTATGGGCTTTTCACTTCTTAAGCTCTCTAAGTCCTTATTTAGCTATCACTTAGCTAGTCATTCATTAATAAAGGCCTATTACGCTATACCCTTTTCTATTACGATATAACCTAGTCCTCTTAATAAACTTAAATAGAGTACCGTATAGTCTAATAAACTATATAGGGCAATGAACCATAAAAACCTACCTAACCACCTTTTAATGTCTTTAACGCGGCACCAACATAACTATTCTATTATCTAAAGATATTAATGAGTAGTTAGACACTTTATCTTCCTCCTTAGACTTAATTTTAGTAATAGGTCGCTAGCGTAATAAACCTTATTATCATTTCACTAACTACTCCACTTTCACCTTCTAAGTAACCTCTAATACTTTCTTTATAAAGTACATAAATTCACCTTTTAACCTAACTCTTTTACCTTGCTTATAACTCTTTTATGCCTTAAGTAACTCGCTTTACTCTTAATTCTATCACTAAAGAAGTGTATTCTTAGTGATAAGTGTTTTTATTATATAGGTTATCTAGACTATATATTACTTAGCGAGTAATGTAAGCCTAAGTATCTATATTAATATTGTATCTAAGAGTATATTAGATTCTTAAAGTTCTATATTATCTAGAGAAAAGTTATATAGTAAAGAGAAATTAAGATTATATCTCTTTAATAATATAATTAAATATAGAATATATATAATTATATTTTATAAAAGGTAATTTAGTATCTTTTATAAGTTATTTAGTATTAATTTAGTGTCTTATTATCTTATAAGAATATTATTTAGCTTAATAGCCTTTATATATATATAAATAAATATTTTAAGTTATTTTAGATGTAAAATATATTATATATTAAGCTATAAAGTTATATTAATCTTATTTAAGTAAGTATACTTAAACGCTAAAAACACTTTTATATTAAGTAACTAAAGAATATAAAAGTAATGTAATAATATAATTAATAAATTAATATTATTCTTTATATAATAAGTAATAAAATTAGCTTTAATATAACTTTTATAGTTATTAATAATTAATAATTAGGGTTAACTTATTACTTTCTTATAGATTTAAAACTTAAATATCTTAATTAATTATTATAGATTAACCTTATTTAATATTTAACTATTTTTATTAATTATAAAATACTAATTAAAGAGTATTTAAGCTAGTAACTATTTAGAATTAATGTTTTAATCCTTAAAGATAATTATTAGTGAAAGTATATCTTTAGCTATATTAATATATTTAATTATAGTTACTTACTTTTATTTCTTTATTATAGTCTTATATTATTATTAATAGTTAAAGAAAACTAAGACCTTTATTATTTAACTCTCTTTAATCCTAAAACTAAACTTATTTATATTCTAAATATTAAAATTATTATAGGTATACTTTTAGAATTTAGTAATAACCACATTAAATCACGCTTTAACCTTATTATATAATATATCATTAAATTATATAGCCTTAAGTTACTTTATATAAATACTCTAAATAATTAAGTAATAATTAAGAAAGTAATAAAGCTATTTATAGCTAATTAAAATAATGATTTTAGTGAAGACTAAATTTTATAATATATATTAAATATATTTATAGCGAATTAATTTAGCTAGCTTAATTAATAATGCTAATATAATAAGTAATTTAGTATATATATATTATAAGACCTATTATATAAGTATCTTTTTTTCCGTGTTTAAAAGGATTTAGACTATTTTTATGGCTTAAGCGTGTGAAAGTCCTTTAGTAAGCTAATATAATAAGGTTTAATGCGACATATTAAAAGTGGCGGTAGTAGCGCGAATAGACTTATATTCTTAATTTTAATGTGCTAGGATAGCTTTCTAGACTTACTCTTTAAGATTAGCTACTTTAGAAGTGCGTTAGTAACTTATGGTTAATAGGAGTAATAGTTAAACATGACTAGATAGAGTTTTATGATTCATTACTCTATATAGTTTATTAGACTATATAGTACTTTAGTTATTTAGGTAGGAAATAATATTACTAACTAACCCATTATTAAAAAATCTTATATATTTAATAAAGAGAGAGAAAGAATAGTAGGCATTATTACGAAACTAAATTTAATTAACTAAGGTTTAGAGAAGTGTATTACGCTACTAGTATTAAATAAAGATACTATAAAACTAAAGCTAGGGTTCTTCTTAGTGAAAAATTTGGCCCTAAATAAGCTAATAAAAGGCATTATACCTAAATAAAGATAAAAAGATAAGATTTAGTACTTTCATATTTCTCTATAGAAAGAGTAATTCCTTAATCTCACATAATTAGGTATTATTACGTTATGAATATATCTATAATAACTTCTTAACTAATATATTAAGAAAGAACTATCTAAAGTTTAACATAATATATAAGAGCTACTTTAGAAGACTAAAGCTAATCTACTAACCATAGAAGAGAAACGTAATAGCGCTTTAAAAATGCGCATATTTTTAACTCGCTTAACCATGGCATTTAACTAGCTTATTATATCTGCACTAAATAGGATATATAACGATGTTAATATAGTATTCTTTAATCTTTATAAGAAATATAGGCCTTATTACTTATGGGCTACTATTTAGAACTTAAATACTAAGTTCACTAATATGATGAGAGAGTATGGGGTAATGCGGTAGGTTATTACTAATGTAAAGGATAACCTTTCTAACGTGGAATCTAATGAGAATAATGCTAGTTAAATACTAGTATTAAAGAAGGACATAAAATAATGGGTTACTAAGGTTAATATTATACTATCTTAGGTCTAATAAATATAGCTAACTATTTATAGATTTACTAAAATAGTTGCGAGAAAGAACTCTTAGAGATATATAGTTATATCCTCCTTATGGAGTTATTTCATGAGCACTCTTCTCACTAGATAGAGATTATAAATGACTATATGTAGATAATTAAGGGTGTTATCTATGGATTTATGAACGCCGCGATCTATCACACTTATCCTGATAAGAACATTGCTGACAAAGTCATGAAATTAGTTAGGACAAGACTTTAGGAGAACATGAGTAATGCGACAGAAAAGCTATAGAAGCTGTGGCAGGATGAATAGTATTAGCCCATTACATATAATCACTACTTTATTGACAATATTCAGAAATCCCGGGAGCAGATCACTAAGGATGCTCTCAAAGATGCGGTGGTCGAGACCAAAGAACACGACTGGCACGGAAAAATGCATATCAGTAATGTCCAGCTGGAATATTATGGTATCGGTGCCCACCTCAGGGCCACCACGTATAGCAGCCCTCATTGACTGGGGACAAGCTGGATGGTACCCAGATTATTGGGAATACTTCAAAATGTGTTACACTACCCACTGGGATAGTGAGTGGCGTAAAATTTGGATCCCGAGAATGATTGAGCCCCAAGAGCAACAGAGCTATCTCATGTGCGAATATGCCGCGACGATTGGAGCTGTCTGACGCTGAACAATCCTGGCCATGATCTTGACGTCTGGCACGACCATGGCCACGAGCCTCAGACGGTTCCACAGGAGCGACTGATGCTGCAATGGACCAAAAGACCCGGACGAAAGTGCCCAGCAGGTGTGCTTGATGTCCAAGATATATTCTCACTTCATAACAGGCTAGAAAAGCACCACATGGTCTTATAAAGGGAATAGCGACAAAACCCAAAGGTGGGCGTTCACGGTTGAGTTGTATACTGTCGATCCTACGAAGCTGCTGCGGGAGGGAGACGGCCCCGGCAGTACATGGAGATCTGCTCCATGGTGGATCGTCACTTGGAAGAAAATATCAGTGACGTGATGACGATGGTTTATCGTTTCGTCGATCGTGTCCTGGAGATGATCTGGCCCGACAAATTGGTCACGTCCAAATTTCTCTCAGCTTTGTTTGACCGCCTTTTCGAACGTTACCAGCAGGCGATCGAGGCATGTTCGCTTTCTACTCGACGCTGAGATTTGAAGTTGCTTGCGTGACTACTAATGCTATCTGAGCCGCTCATTTGCAGACTGCCCTAATACACAGATCCGTTGTGTTGTTGCTACCGGCGGCGTCGATTCAAAGTTAAGGATCTTCGCAAGCAAAATTGGCAAAGGGATCTGTAGCTGTACCGGATGCTACTGCTCATGCTCTGACACAATGTGGAAGTGGCCATGTTCGGATGAATCATAACAACTTTAATACCCGGATTTGCGGGAAGTCGCAGAGCCGCAAAAGGCACCTTGCGTTGATGTCTTTATGAAGAACCGAGGATTTCAATTTCTGAGGTAGACAAACAAATTCCACTGCGACATCCGAAAACCCCAGGCCCACATAGCGACATCGACCCCGGAAGGAGGCCCATTCCGGATCTATCATGAGCTGTGGTTCTGGCTTCACGCCATCTTATTTGGAAGGGTTTTGGGAGCACCTTTTTGGGCTCTGGCACTAACAGTAACTTCCAGAAGATACGGATTATTCATTTCAAAGGAAAATAATCGATATGCCAGCGTGGTGAGATGCTCTTCGTGGTGACCAAGCAAGCCACAGATACTTCGATTCCGGTGTCTTGTTCCTCTCACATCTTTGATCAAGCATTAAAGAGTGACGTTATACTCTGAAGTCATCATAGCAGAAGCAAGCACACTATCAGTCTTGGTGATGAAAAGGCCCTTCGTTGTTGGGGATCTCTCAAGAAAGAAGATTGGTGAAAATGTTAACTCATTTGCATGAACATTTAGCTCCATTCGATGAGCCCCTCCCATTCGGAAAGAAGCTCCTCGACGCGTTTGGGAGGATAGAACAAAAGTTAATGCGACTTCCAAAAGTTCGAGTACGTCGAGGAAAGAATCGGCCAAGTAATTGCAAAGGGCAGCGTGGATGGCGCCCTGTGAGTGTTTGCCGACAGATGATGAGGATGTTTATTGTCAGGAGATTTCTTGTATGTGTATATGTCACACTACGCTGGCTCTAAGCGATGATGATCAGCTACATTGACTTTTTCCATGCTCCTACAGTACCTTAATATCAGTAGGAATCGCCCGAATTAAGCTTACTATATTACAAGAGTTACAAATCCAGTCTTACAGTGTAGTGGAGAGAACAGCTATGTATAGCTTCCGGTCACGAGGGCAGGATCTCGGAGGGAAACAAGACCATTCTTCTCCTTCCGTGATAAAGTGGCACAAAGAAGGCTACCTCTTTGTTCCGCTACTGTATTGCACCCTTTGCCAATCCGCGTCTTGCGAAGTGGACATCTCGAATCACTAGGGGCCTTTTATCCTTGTCCCTACTATTCGCACTTCTCCTTAAAATATAACGTTCCTTCAGCACCGAGCTAGCCTTCAATGATCTCCGTCAGGGGTGGCGCACCTTATGTAGGTCGGCGTCGCAAACTTTAGCCACCCTGCCATTTCTGCATCTGCCAGGGCGATGTGGTTTTTCCTCTTCCGCCGCAAGACCTGCAGTCGTCACCACCTGGAGTGGTGCCCCGACCGCCACAAGCCGAGCAATTTGGCGCATTCGGCTTGACAGTTCTTCCTGTTCCACTGCAGGTTCCGCAGAGCATGGTGACAGTCTTTGGGCATCTTGAGAGCCACCGCAAACTCTGCAGACCATTTTTTGAGATGCTAGAAATGGAGAATGGAAGGTGCATAGAGGGACCAGGAGAAGCTTACCGATAAAGGTTTGTTTGTACTTGTCCTCAAGGTTCGCGATGTGCCGAATGCTGAAAGCTGAAAGTTTATGAAGCCCCAAGTAGATGTAGTTAGTTAAATGACTTCGGGCTGTATTCTTGCGATTGAAGATTCTGCATCTAAAGCGACTGTTCTCTAGCATTTATAGTCGACCTGTGCTTCGGTTTTCTGAGAAATGACTATACTCATCCCGGAGTATTGAGGGCTTTCGAGACATTAAGGAGCACAATAGCCGCGCGGTACGCACTCATGTCGGATTAAAGTAGATTTAGCATGGCGACTATAGTTTTGACTGTTGGGTCAACCGCCCTGGCGGTGGTCGAAACGTTTCAACCGAACCAAACGCATCGTGCGTTTCAAGTATACGAGTCCAAGAGTGATGGACTGGAGAGTCGTGCTGTACACATCGTCATCGAAGAATATCGACTAACTTTGACACTGACCTCTTCATATTCAATCAAGCTTACGACCGCTCCACCACCTAAGTTCGATTAAGGCGCTACTGCGTGTGTTCAATGGTCCGACGATCTTCAGCCAATTGATCGCTATTTCGACGCGCCATCTATGACATTTGCGTCTAAACCGCCTCCTCAAGGAAGATTTCTGCCGTAGAGTCTTGCCTTCTACCAAAGATGCAGGTGTTGTGTGGGAGTAGTTCGTGCTTGCCGAGTCACTGAGTAACAGGTGTTATACGGTCCAAAATTTTGGTCCGACGCCGCCGGCGACAGTCTGTGTCTCATCTTCCATGGTCTACTTTTTCCGGCTCGCTCAAGCAATGCAGCCTGAGATGCGTTGCCAGGCCACTTTCATAGTGTAACGCTATAGAACGGTAGGGAATTTTGAAGGTGGGAAAGGCTAGGAAGGTGGGAAAGTTGAGAAAACTAGGAAAATTGCGAGAAGTCAGTGCAGCTTGTGTAAGTCTGCCTCACAAACCCCATCATGTGATTTGTAAGTCGGTCCCGACAAGCCGGACAATAGGTGTCTTTACGCAAACAGGTTGCTAGCAAATTTATATGGCAAAGGCGTCCTCCTTACATGACTTGTTGCATACTTTGCTATAGTCTCAGCCTGTCAAATGATGATACTTGACAGGCAAGTAGATCGATTTTAGCTGCCATTGAAACGTCCCTGGGATGATAGCGCTAGACGCTCCTCCTCCTCCTCCTCCACGTACTCCGTGACCGCCTATTACTGTCTGTCTAGGTCTTAACTGTCTCCCTGCCGTCCCTATCACTTACTCTACGCTCTCGAAGGTGCTAGGCGTTCGTCGATCATCTCTCGTTTCGTGGGGATGCCGAGGAATAGTGAGCGAAGGCTACGCAATGTCCAAATAGTTATACTTGGAGATTCTAGTGCGCTTAAGCCACCAATAAATATTGAAATCCTCGAGTTATACGGGTTATATAGCGTCATAGCCCCAGGCCTCAATAAAACCAACATCGTTGTGTTCGTTGGCGAAGTGGGCTGTTGAAATATTGTTTCATATAGTCGGATTGCTCTCGTTGGCGTTTGCTACCTGCACCTGATCGACCCAAGATGGAGCCGATAAGAACCTCCTTCTCAGTGAGCTGTTCTGTACAACCGACGGTGTAGACCGATATTATCTAGTTCTTGATTCCCCAAAAAAGGTTGAGGCAAGGCTCACACGTTAGTGATTTGGATTGGGAGCAGCTATTATGTATGTAGTAGCAGTGCTGAGGAAGAGTAGGATCTACACATTCCGACCGCCAGCTGATCCTCATCTATAGTCTTGGTCGAAAACTATCAATAAGTTCAAAAGCCAGAAACTGCCCAAGACTCGGTAACAGTCCAACTTCCAAAAGCATTGATGTGAGCATGGATGGATATTCCCCCATGAAATGTTAGCACTCATCAATGATGACTGGCGGCAGATTGATAGCAGAAATATCCTTTTCCGAGCCCCCTGTAGGTACAACACCCTGGCTCTCAAAATGTCCTCGGCGCCATTGTGCCCAACTCAGTATAATAAGGCGTGTACAAGGCACATCGTTGGTCTATTGTCGCTGGAGAGACGTCAACCTGGATGGCTTTCCCTGGTGAGCCAAGCGCTGCGACATTCGGCACTTCTTTCCACCCAGGCCCATTGATGGGGTTTTTGGCAAAGGCCGCCCAGGCACCCTGCATGTATTTGCTCGTCTGGACCTCCAAGGCGGTCGCATTTGCGACAGGATACGTGCCAAACACCATGCCTACTTCAGAGCTGTGGTACACTTCGGACCCAGGGAAAAGCTCCAGATTCTCAAAAGTCGCATTGTAGTAGTACCGCCAAGAAGGGATTCCCCGATTCCGGGAGTCCTGAGCCACGATGGCAGAAGGACACTGGAATCTTACCTCGGTCTCAATGGCGGCAATCTGATCTTGAGGCGATCCGATCCCTGAGGCTCCAATGGGATATGCTTCAAGGAGGGTCTGGTAAAGGTTGGGCTGATTCGGAATCGCCTCCTCGAGATATGCTTGGGTGTCATTCTCCCCGAGGACAAAGAGAAGTCCGTCGTTGGCCACCGTCCCGACGAGAACAGGTACACGAGCGATGTCACCAGTCGTGCGAGCCGTTTCAGAACGGTACACAGCCGTTACATTGTCCAGCTGGACAAAGGTCAGCTTAGTCAATACCGCGCGAAGGGAAACCGGCGGTATACTCACCGTGTACTCAAACCCAAGTCCGAGTTGCTCGATCGTGTTCATCAGAGTGGCGAGATCGACTCTTCTCATACAACTCAAGATGTCGATACTGGTGGTACAGTTGAGAGCTTGAACAGTGGTGTTCCAAGGTTCGGACAAATCTCCCCTGGGGAAGTTGTAGTTAGCCACACCGGACTCCATGATTGCTGCTCGGAAGGGTGGGTGGTGTGGCATAGACGTTACGAGGACGTCGACACTACAGAGTTGCTGTCAGTGGCCCTCCACGAATAGGCCGCAGGTGAGAGGCGTTTGTTACCTTCTGCCCCCTGCGCTCTGTCCAAATATTGTGACCTTTCCAGGATCACCGCCAAAGGCTGCGATGTTCCGCTGTACCCAATCCAAAGCGAACCCTGGATGACCTTGATTAGAGGAGACTATGTCAGATTATCAAAGCTTACTTTGGTCCAGGAACCCCAGATTTCGCCGTGTTATTGGAAGCTGAGGGGCAGCAGGGAACCCCAGAACTAAAGAATCAGTCAGCGCAGATCATGTCCCAGATCATGTACTTGCTGTTCGTTCTGTAGTTGATGGTCACGACGATGACATCCTGATTGGCGGCGAAACTAGCCCCGTCGTAAAGGTGGAATGAATTCCAACCATATTCCAGCGCTCCACCCTGCACGGAAAGTTAATGACATGCGCGGCATGCAGATCCTGGAACGCACGTATATCCAAACCATGACGGCTTTGTTTTTGCCCGCAGTTCCTGGGACGTAGATGTTGAGGTTCAGGCAGTCCTCACTTTCACCAGCTGATGGGGGCGGTGTATTGAACCAGGCCATCGTAATCTCACGGAGTTCTTCAGGGTAATTGAATTGTTGAGGGCATGCTGGACCATATGCAGTGGCTTGCAAAGGCGTTGACCAAGGCACAGCCCGAGTAGGAGGCGCAAATCGTGTCGGAGAGGCGGCAAAAGGAACACCCAAGAACTCGCTGACGGTCGCAGTGGTGCCGGGGACAGTAGTTGTCGTGCCGACCACCATGCCAGCATCAATATTGACAGTAGGAGCAGACGACTCGCATTGTGAACCAAAAGCAAAAGCATTGCCCAAAAGGGAGGTGAGGAGCCAAGGCAAAACGTGCCTTGACAGCATCGTGTACTCGGTTGATGGATCTGTCTACACGACTATTGCCATGTTTCACGAAGAGATGCAGCTTCGAGTCGAACTTATACCTTTGGAGCCACAGTGACACCAGCATGTGGGTAGTCGAACTCACGTAATCTCACAAGTCGCCCTACAACTGCACCTCGGAGTAGCTGAACTGTCGGTATTCGAAGCGACGCCCGGACTGACAAGCGTCGAGCCGGGCACGCGAAACGCGCTTAGATAAGTACCTCGGGTAGAATTTATATGTCGAAAGATTAGTGAAGGGTGGACTAATTGTTGAAGACCCCATCACAGTAATACGACCCTCATATGCCCGAGCATCTTCAGTGAAGTCGCCTTGTTTTTTTGATACGCGGCGCCGCGGTGGCGGCACCTGGATACGCGATCATCGTAGGAGACAGAACCCATTGCACTAGCGATAAGACTAGACCTTCTTGGGCCCCACCGCGTTTAGTATTCTCCGCATCGGCCGTTTACACCGTCCTCCTTCGACCGAAGGGGTCATTTGTACGAGTAATGGCAGCTGAAGGCTTCAGCACACGCCGGGCTTTCCCAACAGCGAATGGTAGGTCATCCTATCATGACAACGCTGTTGGAAAGATGTTGGAAGGCCATGGGACGCGGTCTATTCAATGGACGAGGATGCCTATATATTGGCACCACCCAGGTTCCATCCCATCTTCGTCCTTGCACATCCCCGTATATCACGCAGACTCTCACAAACAGCACGCACTTACTCACTCACAAACAGACTCGTTGGCCCTACAACCATGGACTCTAGATCAAGTGGATACGGCGAGAAAGGTCAATCCTCCCCATTGTTATTATTTGACTCAACACTGACAAGAGAGCCTAAGGCGGGACAACGCAGACAACGAGGAACACAGAGCCGGCGGTGGCAGGTGGCGCATCCGAATCCTTGAACGTTCCTCTGGAGAAGAAACAATTTGGCATCATCACCATCGTGTCCTTGGCATTTGTGATTTGCAACAGTTGGGCTGGTATCTCAGGCAGTCTCCAGCTGGCCCTACTAGCGGGCGGCCCCGTCACTCTCCTTTACGGTATCCTAATCAGTACTCTCGTCTACATCTGCATCGCTTTATCGTTAGCCGAACTGACCAGCGTCTACCCGACTGCCGGTGGCCAATATCATTTTGCGTCGATCCTGGCACCAAAATCAATCAATCGGGGCGTTTCATATGTGTGCGGACTCGTGTCGTTGCTGTCATGGATCGCTATCGGAAGTTCAGTGACCATGATACCTGCTCAACAGATCCCGGCGCTGATAACCGCACATAGTGACACATACTCCCAGGATTCGTGGCATGTCTTCCTCATCTACGAGGGAGTCGCGCTGGTGGTGCTCTTGTTCAACTTGTTTGCACTGAAAAGAAACCCTTGGGTTCATGAAATCGGATGTAAGTCAATCCCTTGAACAAACCATGATGCCATGTCAGATCTGCCATCAACATATCTGGCCAAGGACATCGACGCTGATCATGCTTGAAAATACAGTCGGCCTCACGATCGCTCTCTTCGTGATCTCCTTTATAGCCATTCTAGCGCGGTCCAACCCCAAGGCTCCAAACTCACAAGTATGGACTGCTTGGAGCAACTATACTGGCTGGTCCGACGGCGTCTGCTTCATCCTGGGCCTTTCGACATCCTGCTTCATGTTCATTGGCTTGGACGCAGCAATGCATCTGGCCGAAGAATGCACGGATGCTGCTCGTACAGTACCCAAAGCAGTGATCAGTGCAATCATAATTGGCTTCTGCACTGCCTTTCCATATACAATCGCAGTTCTGTATGGAATTACAGATCTCGACTCTATTCTAAGTTCCGCCGGGTAAGCTCATCCCATCGTGGCCGCCACAGACAGTTCTAAACATGGGGATGCAGCTATATTCCATTCGAGACAACGAGGCAGTCCCTTCGGTCGCTCAGTTTTGCAACAGTCCTCTCATGTGGCGGTGTCGTGATGGCCTTCTTCGCTCTGAACGCTGTACAAGAGACTGCGTCTCGACTCACCTGGAGCTTTGCCCGGGACAATGGGCTGGTGTTTTCCAGTCATCTCGAACGCATCCATCCCCGCTGGCGAGTTCCTGTTTGGTCTCTATTCGCGACCTGGGGAATTCTGGCCATATGCGGATGCATATTTCTAGGTTCTAGCACAGGTAAGTACCGTTTAGGAGTAACTCCCCAACCCCAAATACCGGTCCTAGTGATGCTGCTGCTGGTCGTCGACATCCCCCCAAACGGGTCCTTCTGCTGATCTGCATATACAGCTTTCAATGCCTTGGTCAATTCCGCCGTTGTGCTCCAGCAACTCTCCTTCCTGATCCCAATCGCCCTACTCCTCTACCGAAAGCGAGATCCAAAGTTCTTGCCGAGCACTCGTGCCTTTGTGTTGCCGCGTGGAATCGGGTTTCTGGTCAATATCCTAGCTGTGGTCTTCACGTCCGTCACCACGGTGTTTTTCAGCTTCCCGCTCACCGTGCCTACGACCGCGTCAACCATGAGTACATTTCTCACAATTGCAAGCAATGGTGTCCCAAACTGATATCGTCTTAGATTACACAAGTGCGATTATAGGCGTTGCACTTGCTCTTGGTGTCTTGAACTGGATCGTGCATGCCAGGAAGCATTACCAGGGACCCCACTTGGAGCTTGACGGACGGGTCGTGGGAGCAGAATTTCAAGTTGGGCCATGAATTGGACGAAATGGAGACGCGTGTGCAATGTCAAAATTGCTGGGGCGGTACTGAGTCCGGATTAGCTGAACGAGGACAACCGAGCGTAATACACTCTGCAATCGAGCAGGACATTATCAATTAGGCAACATTCCGAACACGCTTCTCTGTAATCCCCTTGTAGCGGGTCGAGTCCCCGGACGACCACTTAGGAGTGCCAGCTGAGTAGCGTGGTGGCATGATTCAGGCAGCTCAATACTAGCAGGGCATCCCGAATTCCAAAAAGGACGATTCAAGATCGATGAAATGGTCCCTATAGTCTTTGACTAGTCGTGTAAGCCTTGAGACCTAAGCGCGGTCCAGTGGACCACCGGCTGTATTGGAACGGGTACACATCAACCCGGACATTCTGATTGTGGGAACGGAAAACGACCCCATTGAGCGATGGGCTGATGGGTTGACATGCGGAAAGGATCAACAGTGTAGCATACCATTCATACTACAAGACCATCGCCTATACGAGCACCCAGCAGCATCTCATGAACGCCTTCCCTTAATCGTGAGTAGGTTGTCACACCACTGGTGTTGCAACGATGGACTGGAGGATTGGAGGACATTAAATAAGGTAAGCGCGCACTGTTTCTCCCTGCTACAAAGGACAGTACCTGATCTCCACTTCCAGGGCTGCAAAGACGCGACAGACTTGTCTATAAAAGACAATTACCCTATACTGTCTCCTGCCCTCAGAGAACCTCGACTGGTCAAAGCAATTAGACTTGGATTTGTTAACCTCAGAATCAATGGCAACTGCACCGAGCTACATCAATCCCTCCAATGTCGCCTCCCCATCAGGGTATTCCCACGTCGGCGTAGGCCCAAAAGGAGGGAGGTATGTGACAATAGCTGGGCAGATTGGACAAGACGCTTCGGGCGTGACAGACCCTGCCTACGAGGAACAGGTTGCCCAAGCATTCGCAAATCTGCGCGCTTGCCTGGCTGCAGTTGGGGCCACTTCAAACGACGTCACCAAGCTCAATTACTACATCGTGGACTACGCTCCGAGCAAACTCGCCGCAATTAGAGATGGGTTGGAGGCTACCTTTGCCCTTGACAGGCTCCCTCCTTGCACGCTGGTGCCAGTGCCGGCCTTGGCTTCACCTGCATACCTCTTTGAGGTTGATGCCACGGCGCTGGTGCCAGAACACTCGACCCCAGACAACGTTGCGGACGTGATCGTGGTGGGCGCTGGGTTGAGCGGTTTGGAGACGGCACGCAAAGTCCAGGCCGCCGGTCTGTCCTGCCTCGTTCTTGAGGCGATGGATCGTGTGGGGGGAAAGACTCTGAGCGTACAGTCGGCTCCCGGCAGGACGACTATCAACGACCTCGGCGCTGCGTGGATCAATGACAGCAACCAAAGTGAAGTATACAAATTGTTTGAAAGATTTCATCTGGAGGGCGAGCTCCAGAGGACGACCGGAAATTCAATCCATCAAACACAAGACGGTATAACCACTACAGCTCCTTATGGTGCATCCCCGGTAAGCACAATCCCACTCTGTGATGAGACCTCTGTCGGGTGTAGAAACAGTCACTGACTTCACTTCGTCCAGCTGAGCGAGGAGGTTGCAAGTGCACTCGCGGAACTCCTCCCCGCATGGTCTCAGCTGATCGAAGAGCATAACCTTGAAGACGTCAAGGCGAGCCCTCAAGCGAAGCGGCTCGACAGTGTGAGCTTTGCGCACTACTGTGAAAAGGACCTAAACTTGCCTGCTGTTCTCGACGTGGCAAACCAGATCACACGCGCTCTGCTTGGTGTGGAAGCCCACGAAATCAGCATGCTTTTTCTCACCGACTACATCAAGAGTGCGACCGGTCTCGCCAATATTGTCTCGGACAAGAAAGACGGTGGGCAGTATATGCGATGCAAAACAGGTGCGTGTGGTGTCCTCTCAGGTGGGGGACTCGTTTCTTAGTGGTCATTCCAGGTATGCAGTCGCTTTGCCATGCCATGTCAAAGGAACTTGCTCCAGGCTCAGTGCACCTCAACACCCCCGTCGCGGAAATTGAGCAGTCGGCATCCGGCTGTACAGTACGATCGGCCTCGGGCGCGGTGTTCCGAAGTAAAAAGGTGGTGATTTCGTTACCGACAACCTTATATCCCATCTTGACATTTTCACCACCTCTTCCCGCCGAGAAGCAAGCATTGGCTGAAAATTCCATCCTGGGCTACTATAGCAAAATAGTCTTCGTGTGGGACAAGCCGTGGTGGCGCGAACAAGGCTTCTCGGGCGTCCTCCAATCGAGCTGTGAGCCCATCTCATTTGCCAGAGATACCAGCATCGAAGTCGATCGGCAATGGTCCATTACCTGTTTCATGGTCGGAGACCCGGGACGGAAGTGGTCCCAACTGTCCAAGCAGGTACGACAAAAGTCCGTCTGGGACCAACTCCGCGCAGCCTATGAGAACGCCGGGGCCCAAGTCCCAGACGCGGCCAACGTGCTCGAATTCGAATGGTCGAAGCAGCAATATTTCCAAGGAGCGCCGAGCGCCGTCTATGGGCTGAACGATCTCATCACACTGGATTCGGCGCTCAGAACGCCGTTCAAGAGTGTTCATTTCGTTGGAACGGAGACGTCTTTGGTTTGGAAAGGGTATATGGAAGGGGCCATACGATCGGGTCAGCGAGGCGCCGAAGAAGTTGTGGCTAGCCTGGTGCCAGAGGCATAGTTGTAGTTGTGCAGATGTTCGACATGACAGGGGACGCGTTGAAATGCAGAATCCAGGGCAAACGGCCCATTCCTTCTCGAGCAAAACGCCCAACGATTTCACCAACACGACAACCGTAGATCACCTCTCAGACAGAAAACATTGCCGTCTTAAGCTAGGACATGGCTTCTCCAAGCCCATTCAAGTGGCTGGGAGCAGACAATGGATTTATCTGGCCCGTCATACCCATTAACTCACACAAAAATCATGACTCTTCACGACGGTCTCCAAGGCCACTGGGCCATACATGCCCTCCTTGTCCAGCTCCCAAGTCATCTGCAATATCTCCACCGCTCGCTGAGTGATGGCCATGTCGTACGTGGACCCTGACAAGCCCGAACACATTTTCTGCCGATCCTCTGGCGAGCTGAGACACGAGCCGATGACCAGCAGGGGCCACAGCAGCCTGGTGCGTGACGGCGAACCCCTCAGCTGGCCGCACAGGACGCGAAATTCGATAATGATAGGGTCAAGTTTCTGGCAGAATTCGTCCTTGTCGTCATTTTTCATGTACCGTGCCGAGTACAGGAAAGTCAACAGAGCAATTTGATAGATGCGATCCACTGCAGTCGAGCTTTGGACCCAGGCTGGCGTCTCAGATCGAGTTGTCATCGCCGGTGACCAGTTTATAATCTTTTCCTCCAGATCAAGGTACGCCATGGTCCATGGCTCCCCATCCAGGTCCTGGAGCAGGGGAATGGTGGGGATGAGCTCATAGAGCTCCCAGGAGCTCCCGAGCATGCTGCCAAAGGTTTGGTACCCCTGCAGGTGCTGCAGAGACTGAACAAACCAGTCCGAAGCCACCACATCCATCCGGCGGTCCGACGTGATGGTGATGTTGCGCACGATGGCCATATATGTATAGTACTCCAACAGGAAGCCAAAGACCTCGCGCTGCTGGCTTAAGAGATTGCCGACTCCAGCTTCAAAGATTGTGCTGATGAATTCTCGGCTGGCGCGAAGATGGTAGTATGCAATGATGCGGCGATTGCACGTGACAGCCTAAGAACAGAGTCAGTCTCATCACAAATTGGAAGGAGGTCACGAAGAAAGAACCGACTACGCCGATGGCCACTTGCACCCACTTACTTCATACTGACACAGCAACATGGCAACGGTTAACAGGCGCACCGTGTCCTGCGGGGCACCAGAATTCCAGTGCGTCAGCGCATACTTGAGCCCTCGGATGCCAGACAAGTAATGCTCGGTCGTGGCCGCTCTCAATGCCGGATTTCCCGTCTTGTGGCTGACATGGGCGCCGCCCAAGGCCATCATGGCATCCATAATCATGGTTTCCGAGTGTGCCCAAGGAAGCACGAAACTCAGCAGGGGATTGTGTTGCGGTTCTCGGGCAACAAGCTGGACCGCCGTCTCGTTCATGAAGTGACTCAATAGAGTCTGAGACTCCGAGGTTTTGATGATCGCGGGTTCCCAAACAGAAGGATTTGCCCAGATCTTGGAGCACGACGGAGTTGGCAGCCTGCCCTTGCTGGCGCCCAACCGCTGCGAGGTGACATCGTCTTTGAGGATGTCTTGTATGACGTGAAGGTGCTCATCAGTGGGCCTCAGTTCCCGTTCTGCCTTGATCCTCGTGGTCGCGTCCAAGACTCCTTCTTGAAGTCTGATGCGCCAGCCAAGATCAGAGCGGCGCTGAGAGGAGCTGTGCACAAGGGTCCGCGGCCAAGAGCAGATGAGGTTGTTTCTGACACAATTTTTGCAAGTGGGCGTTGCTTCGTCGCATTTTTTGCGCCGGAGCCGACATACAAGACAGCCAGTCTTGGTCCGAGAGTTTCTAGGACGACGCTGCCGCACTGGCGGTATTGTCGACAAGGCCATGTGAAGGCGGAGAATGATGGTCAAATGGTGGCTTTGTTCCGGGGAAGGGCGAGTTTGGGAATCATTAAAACATTCTACAGAATAAGGACGACGACGTGCGGATAGGTTACCATGTATCGTCGTTGAGGGGGTCACCAAGGCTTTAAGTAGAAGTAAGGAGACAAGTTACACTACAACCACGCCGAGGTCCAGACCACCGCCCTGGGTAAATGCGGGGCCTTTCGGGCCACACGGCTCCCTAACTAGTGACTCGCTGACAACTTGGAAACCTCCGCAGAACCTCTCAATGTCCTCTTATCACGCTCCCTCGCTCGCGTTGTTCCCCTTCCTCTCCTCGCTCAACAGCAACAGAGTCATTGTCCATGGAGATTAATCAGAATCCGACGCACTTTACTAGGAGTGGTCTCGAATTACACCTTGGTAAGTTGACTACCTACTTCGTGACCGTGGTATCCGCCTGCGCTGCGAAGGTGCTGGACTCAACACCGACCCTCAGGCACTTAGGACGGAGCATGAAGCACATCAAATCCATCCCAATTGGCCACCTTCTCTTGACAGATCTGCTCATATAGAGCAATCCCACCTATAAAAGTTAAAGCACGTGTTGCTTTCCCAGGGATGTTGCCTCCAGTCCACCACGAATCAGTCAAAGGGAACAGAGTGTGCTCGTTCATCTGGGCAATCAAAACCGACCATGCCTCTTGTGCTGATTTCATCGCCTCGACGGACGTGGCGTGCTCGGCCTCCAACTTTGCAATTGTATCGGCGATCAAGTCGACTTGGGTTTCTATGATTGTTGGGCCGTTGGAAAGGGCGGTGGGAGCTGGTGTGGATTCAGCGACGAGCCTTGGACGGAGGGGTGTCGAGGAACAGGTATCGACTTACCTTGAGCCGTGGCGACGAAGAAGGCATTGGGGAAGCCATGAGAGAAGACTCCCATATAAGTAGATATCCCATCTTTCCACACCTCCTTCAGATCGACTCCGTGCTTGTTTTTCAAGCCCATATGTGTCAATCTTTCAAAGTCAGTCAAACGTCCGGACTCGAGCCACGATCGAACACACTCACGAGCCAGTGAAACTGTCGAAACCTGTCGCCAGCACGATCGTGTCGCATTCCCGATTGCTGCCGTCACTCAAGACCACCCCTGTCTTTGTAACAGCCACAATGGCCGATTGTTGTAGATTCACAATTTCGACGCTCGGCTTGTCCAGCATTTCATAGTAGTCGCTCTCCAGTGGGGAACGCTTGGTGCCGAACCAGTACGGCGGCTTCAGAGGAGCCATGAGCTCTCTCTTTGCCGGATCGACGATGCGAGCTCGAGTCTTTTTAGCCCAGAAGTCGTAGACAAGTCGGTTGGAATTTTTGTCAACCATGACTTCTCGGTACTGGCAAGCAAGAAAATTAAACCCCCCACGCTCCCACAACTCTTCGAAATAAGCCTCCCGCTGCTCGGGGCTAACTTCAAAGATGCCGACCGACGGTGCCTGGACCGGGAAACCAATCCGAGACTTTCGACTCGCTTCAAACAACGTTGGGTAGTAGGCCTTCCAGGCTGTCTGCTCGTTCCTATCCATCGTTCGTTGCCGCATGGGCAAACAATAGCTCGGCCTTCGCATAAACATGGTTACTTGGTCAGCCTTCTTGGCCAACTCCTGAACAATCTGGATGCTTGTGGCCCCGGCACCAATGACGGCGACTCTCTGGCCCTCTGCGCTGAAGTCTTCGTCCCAGGCGCTCGAATGAATCACCCTCCCATTGAAATCGGCCAGGCCCGGGAGTGCAGGAGTGTGCTTCCTGTGGAGCAAACCCGTAGCGAGAATGAGATACTTTGCCGTTGCAACATGGCCAGCAGACGTCTTGACAGTCCAGGTGCCCAGGTCTCTGGCATACCGCGCATCAACCACCTCAGCTCCGAAGTACACGTCTTTTCTCAAGCCCAGAATCTTGTCACAGTGGTGCACATATGACAGCAACTCTTTCTGGTCAGGATAGCGGCAAGACCAGGTCCAGTCTTTCCAGACTTCTGGAATGTTCAGTTGGTAGAAGGGCGTCTCCGAATCAACACGTGCGCCAGGGTAGCGGTTCCAGTACCAGACGCCGCCAAAATCGGGGGCTCCCTCGAAGATTTTGGCGTTGAGTCCAAGCTTGCGCAATTTGTTCACAGCAAAGATGCCGCTGAGGCCGGCTCCAACGATGATTGCGTCGCACGTGACGGAACAATCGCCGTTGGAGTTGTTAGTGGCTGGCATGACTCTTTGATTGTCATTCAGTGGCAGCGGTGGTTGGGGGAAGAATTACCGGAGCTTTTAGGACAAAGGAGATTCTTCACGCAATGTCGTGGCTCAGCGCTACATCCAAGGAACGTCAGGGTCGCGTTCTGCAAATACCTACAAACTTGCAACCTTATATAATGCCGCGAAGGAGCGGTATCCCTGAGAGGACAACAGAGGTGCCTCGGTCGAAATCAACTCTTCGCGGGATCGCATCTGTACACGAAGCTCTATGACCACACCGCGGGTATCACACAGACATGCGAGAGATCAAAGAAAGTCTCCATTGCATTTCCCCGGAGCTGCATATGTAGTTGCTAGTGGAGTTTGAGGGGGTTGACTCCACTCCTTGAACTGAAGTCTAAGCGCGGCTGATACCAGTGGAGTTTAGGATGAAGCTCCCCAGCAAACTAGCTAAGATAGTTTGTGCACTTCATATGTCTCCCACACCCCTAGTCCCGATACTGCTCGACGGCGCTTACGACACGAACCCGGTTTACACCGCGGCCTGCACCCCGACGGTGACCAGATAACCAAAAAAGGACGGATCCCGGCTTCTGGACTGGCTCCTCCACCACCGACCGCATCCACCTTCCACCACCATGCCAGTGAACATCCTTTGTTTCCCTCGGTCATGGCTCGGTTATTATCTGACCTTGTTGAACGTCTGTAGAAGTCTGGCGGTCAAGATGCTGGTCCTGGAGCAGAGGCTGCCACGATCGGTATGAGAGGTACAAGTCCGCTCCCAAACAGAAACGGCATTGTGGAATGGACACCTGTGATCATTTAAAAGCCCTTTGCGTTTGCCTACCAACATCATATCCCTCTCTCCATTTTTCCTCCCTACTTCCTCGTTTATTGACGGAGAACCTTTTGTTGGACCTGTCACAACCATGTCCGCCTTCTTCGATATCGCCGAAGACGAGATTCACGGGTTAGAAAACAAGGTCGCCATCATTACTGGTATGAAGTAAAGCCCTTTGGAATATCCGGGCTTGCCCCCCTGTTGCCCCTATGCTCATTGTCGTCTACCATTCACAGGAGGCTCGTCAGGAATCGGATTCGCCACCTCGGAGCTCTTCAGCTCCAAGGGGGCCGTCGTGATTCAAGCCGACTTGAACCCGCCGCCGAGAACTCTTCCACGGTCACACTACATCAAGACGGACGTGACCTCCTGGACAGACCTCGCATCCCTCTTCCGCAAAGTCATTGACGACCACGGCAAAATCGACGTTGCCTTTGCAAATGCCGGCGTTTCCCCAAAGGCCAATTATCTGCAGCTAGCCTCGAAGGATAATGGTGACCTGATTGAGCCCACAAGGCTGTGTCTCGAAATTAATCTGGTTGCTGTGGCCAACACTGTTGCGCTGGCTCTTCACTATATGCAAAAACAAGAGACTGGAGGTAGTGTGATCATGACTACATCGGTCGCAGGTAAGCTGCTGCTGGCGTTTTCCTGTTGGTCTGGCCGAATTTCGAGCGGCTGACAAGATCGATCCGAGCAACTAGGCTATCAACCCTTTGGTCACGCAGACTACAGTAAGTGTTTCTATGCTGATACCGAGCTGGACCCTCGAGCCCTGAAGAAGCAGAGATCCTGATCCTGTTTGCAGCTGTATCGAAACATGGTGTTGTCGGTATTCTTCGAGGCATTCGCGAACACTTCTATCCCAATGTTCCTATCCGCGTCAATGCGGTTGCTCCTAGCTGGACGGCTACACCAATCGTCTCGTACGTGCTCCCTCCCCATTCCCCCAGCCCCAATAAAAAAAGCATCAAGAACTCCCCATCATTTACCAATCAAAGTCTACCGTCTGAGGTGTTCTCTCTGTCTCCATGAGACGCGATTCGTGGCTAAATGAGACTCCTGCAGCCTGCCCCATGCCGCTTTCGAAAAAATGGGCCTCAGTGTCCAACCGCCTTCAAAAGTGGCGCTGGCTGTCGGCCTCCTGGTTACAGACCCGACTCGCCACGCGCAAACCATCTACTGTGTCAATGGTCGTTATAAGGAACTTGAGGAGGAAGTCATGGCCGCCACTGCCACCGCGATGGGTTTCAAGAGTGTGGACATGACTGAAGCTGGGAGATTCCAGGATCTGGTCAAGAAAGCTCAGGCAGGAACAAGCTCGGACTTGTAGCCTGCTCAACTGTTCCTGCATTTTTGTCTACCGGCCCTGAATAAACAAGATAGATATATATTCCGTCTAGACGACATAGTCCATGCCACGTCACATGCCACTGCCTCGAAGGCTGCTCGGAATGTCTCTGTGACGAGCGGTACGAGGAGAAGAGCATGATCCTACCTACCCTCCAAAGCGTTAATTGAGTTAAGTGGCTCGAGGTACGGATAACTCAGTACTAAGTATGTATTGTTAGTTTGTTAGGATTTTCTCCAATGGGAACTTACCCTCCTCGTGCTACCGTATGAGATACAGAATCATCTCACTCGCCACGCAATCACCACCTGCGCACCCCATGTATTCCTGCCCCCTCAGGAGATGCTGCAAGATGTTGATAGGAACAGTTTTGTCCGGCGTCGGGATCCCGACCTGCGCCGCCCTTCCCCGTATGGCTAGGCACTCCATCATGGTCTCGATAACACTCGATACACCGGTACAGTCCACGGCGTACCTTACACCTTCTGGAACCACTTCTTTGACTCTCTTCAGCACATCTTCGGACCGAGTCCTGGCTCCAAATTACTTCCCGCTCGGGGAATTCGCGCCACTGTAGGGAACGCGGCACGGTTGGCCAAGTTGACCGGTAGGGCTATCATTCTCATATCAGAAAGTAAAGTTCTCTTGCACCAGTGCGATTTTATTGTTTTAATTACACTGGACGGTCAAGTTTTTAACACTTTCTCTCTGGCATTATTACCATGAGTTCTCTCTGGAGTCCTCTTATAACTATTAGGCTATCTTACCTAGTTAGTATATATTGTATATAACGTGGACCTATGCTGATTCTTAATATCTAACTATATTTAGTAGTCTAATTATATTATCCTTTTAATTATGCGCCCTATTTTCACTCCTTCTATTCTCATAATGAAGTCTTACCAAAAAAAAGGAGATGATAAATTTATGGAGTGATAATTCTCTATATAATGTAGATAATAATTATCTACCCGCTATGGTGTCCTAAGTTAGAAGAAAGCTAAAGAGAAGGATAATAATATGCTTATTAAGCTATTAAGATATCGCTTAAGATAGAAGTTTCTAGACACTATAGTTATAATAATATATATCTAGCTATCTAACTATCATGAGTAAACAGAACAGAGAACAGACGACATCTCAAGACTCCACGCCAAGCGTACCTGCCAAGCACGCAACGCCAAGAGAACTCAGGGGAACCGCACAACTATCGCAGGCTTCCCGCACGAGGAACTTCTCTTCCTTATGCTTTGAGTTCTATAATTAGAGCACCTAGATAGGAGGACCTATTTTTATTGTGTTATCACTCTACCTATTCCACAGGCCGTTCCTAACACTAACACTAATAATGTTATTACTTATCACCTGTCCCTAAGCAGAACTTAGCATTATAGGATCACTAACATGGCAGACTACTTACATGGTGATTTTAATATCTACTTATATCCTAATTAAAGTCTTTAACTGGCGAGAGCAGTGACTCCTACTCATATGTCCGTTCCCGCACATAGCCGGACAGCCTTCTAGGCTAGACGAGAAGATTCGATGTGAAGCTGCTACATTTGCCTGGACCTTTGAGCTCGGCAGGGCCCCCAGCAACAGTAATCTAGCCAAGTAGAACGCGGATAGAGCGAATGCCGCGGACTAAGTCCTGTCGGTTGCGTCCACGGTATAAGTATACACCGGCGCAGATGAGTGTTTATTGATAAACAGAAACACAGGAGGGCCGGGAAGGGTTCGACATATATATAGATACAGAACAGATATTATGATTGTTAGTAGGGGTATCCTACTCATAGTCGAACGCTGCATAGCTGCCACTTAATCGGCGGCTGGGACAGTCTATGATATAAGCAATCAATCAATCAATCAATCAGTGGCATTTCATAACCTCTTGTCTTGGCGACGAGGATATAGGGCCTTGGCGTTATACGTAGTACCAATTACCCGAGCACTTCGACTAAACCATGGCATGCACGACTCCGCCACGTGCTCAGTAGGGGCAGACCTGGATATTCTCAGAATTTTGGCTGATTCATTTAAGCTAAGAGTAACCATAAGGCGTCTGTTATGGTTGTGTTTGCATGAACGGCACATCGCTGGCCGATGTACTAACAACCAGGGAATATACGTTCATTATTATGGGACCAAAACTGATCGGGGCTGCTATCTTGAATTCCGACAAGTTACAGCGTCTTAAGTTTCATGTGGTGCAGTTGTTGCATGTATAATTAGATGTGAAGGGCCCGGATGTTACTTAAACCCCCCCCCCGGATCCTTATCCACCTCGAGTCGACGAGCTGTGATTCAGGAGTTAGCAAATTCGATATTGATCGATGGCTTTTAACTGCGATCAAAGCTATCTCTATACTAACTGCTGGAACGAAGAGCTCAGATACCGGTGTCCCAGCTGCGATTACAGCTTCCCAAAAGTTAGTGGATTGCTTTAACGCATTGAGACTGAGGCATGTGCTGCAACTTATAGTGGCATACTAGAGAAATTGAGGAGATACATTAAGCAGCGGGTCTAGGATGCATTAGAATGATAATGTGAATGAGGCTAGCCAGTTATGAGTTCATAGTTAACCCCTCTTAGAAGTTTTCATAAGCCCTTTAGTCCTCTTCTGTAGACCTACCTAGTATAATAGGTTTAAACTTAGCTTCTTCACTACATGAGTATAGACTGCGTAGTAATACATAATTTTTGAGGTACTATTTATATTAATATGCCCCGTTACTTAAACTAATCTTTTCTGCTGTGATTGCTATCGTAATGATAGAAGTAACTTAAGAATATAATGGCTAATATAGTGGGAAATTACC